CTTCTGTCGTCCCAGAGTCCCAGGCCCTGCCGCCCATTCTTACGGACGTAAGGTCTGCGAAGCAGACCACGCTAGTGGCTTGGGAAGTTGCGACTACGACTTCGGCTCTAGTGCATCGAACCGACTTTTGCCGCTCCACTGACAAATTTTCTCCAACGATGCGCGAAGTAACTACGTCCTGACACCATCAAACTGATAGCAAATCAGTCCACACCCTTTCCCTTTTCACGCGTCCCCCTCCCCCCCAGACCCAGATGCCCGTCACCCCCCAAAATGGGCAGGAAAAAAGACACGGAAGTGGCCCCTACTCCAAGTATGCTCCAAGTAAGCAGACGCCGACAAATCCGAAAGATCAACCATCGACCCAGCCCGGCACATGCATGGAAGCCTTCAAACCCCTGCCGCTCAATCCATACTTGTCAAGTCTTCCTGTGTCAGGGCCTCTTCGTGCAGGCTACTACCCAACCTGGTCCCCATCGCGGGTCCCAGCCAGGGGTCACAACGCGGCCACATTAGCAGCATGGTAAGGAGACGAAGTACATACGTGCAACGAGTAACAATTGCAGCTGCCAGCGAGCCTCGTTACTAGCGCTTAGAGACTCGGTGTTCCACACGGAAACACCGCACCGGAGGCGAGCAAGGATATGCCTCAGTGGCTGTTTTCTCTCATTTCCACCGCTTCCGGTACGTCGTGGAAAACAGAGCCATCAGGGTGCACTGGGCGGGGATCCACACAACAAACGGACTTGTAGACAGCCGTAACCAGCTGGCGTAATCAATTTACCTAACGCGGTTTAGCGGGTCCCGGCCAGATGGACTGGAAAGGGAAATGACCAACCATCAAACCGTGATGACCTGCCCTCTCGGATGAATTCGTCTTCCATGTTAGAAATGCACCGGCTCTGAATCCACCCTACTTGCGATTCAAACCCCATAAACGTCATTCGCCAATCCAGCAGGAGAGAAAATTCTCTTGAGCTGCAGGGTGCAGCAAGGACAAGGATCGAAACGGGATCAAACACACTAGTCTGTTGCAGCACGATAACAGTGGCATATCAATTGATCTCTTCTACTCTAGCAATACGAAATCCATCATCCGCCTTGCTAGAGCAAGAGCAGGTCGGACGCCGACGCCGACGCCGACGAAGGTTACTCTCCTCCGAGGCTGGTCGGCTCCTTATTTGCCCGTCGTTGAACCCACCCCGCCAACTGGAACGCGACAATGGCGCGGGGCGGTGTGGGAAGCGTAATTTCACCAAACCACACTCCGTACGTCTTCTTTGAGAAGCCTGTTCGATCAAGGGTCCTGGGCTCCCTGCAGTGGCTCGCCCAGTTTATAGGGGCAAGCGAAGGTTACTACTTCATACGTGCATAGTCTTACCTTCTCTCTCTCCTCGGGTCGGTGCACATTTTTCCAGCTTCGTACATGAAATAGGACATTAGTGACAGAACCCGATCACCCTACCGACATGAAGGTACAGCTCGTGGGAGACGCCCTCGGACCCAATGGCGGCCGCCTGTTTCCGGACCCATGTCGCGAGGCACCGACTGATTGGGCACGGCTTTTGGATCCCCACCCTACCACACCCATCATTGGTTCGATTAGACGCCGAAAGTGGGGGGTTACACATATCTCCAATACGGAATAACCGAGAACATCAAATCATGAACCTCCCTGGTGGTGGGCCAAGCCAAAATCCATGTCCCGTCTTCATCTCAAGTCCTTTTGACCTCAACACCGGATACCATCCCATCGATATGGTTGCGGGCGTACCAATTCCATGACCAAATCTACACCCTCCTCCCAGGAACCCGGACATCTGGTCCGGGCCAAAAAGATGGCGCACACGAGGTTGGCCCCAACCAACGGCGAGGCACTTTCCAGGAGGGAAGATGGCGCCCCCCCTTCGGGAAGCGTGGTACTTGCACGATGCGGCCGAAGGTCATGCCATCCATACCTTAGCTCTTTTGGTTTTTGTTGGTGCGGGTAACCTACGTAAGTGGCCACCATCCCAGTGCATCTCCAGCGCACTTCTATTGGAGGCATGATCTCGACTGGATGGATGTCGGGCGCGGCGCTGTGTTCGCCCATTCGGCATTTCTTAATCGGCATGGCTCTGATTGAGGTACGGGTCTCCAGTTGAAGCCGAGCGGCGAAAGTCGTTTTAAAGATGCCTTGGCGATAGAGGAAGGCGGACGGATGAGTGCGGGAGATGATCAAAATATTGCCGGACAAGAATTGCCTCGCTGCAGACGAGTCCACCATGTCTCTATGCCTCAGCTCGCCTGTGCTCTGTGAGGAGAGCACACCCATTCCCGCCGATTTCATTCTTTTTAACTCTCCTGTTGGGAAAGCTATCACCAACAGGAGTTTAATCTATGAAGCTCAGTCGGGGTGGTCATGTAGCTTGTACCCTAGCAATAAGGTACCTTAGCCGTTCCGCCAGAATTGTTGACTCGGCGCACTTTCTCTTTTTGGAGAAGAAAGGTGACCTCTCCTTTCATCTTTGCGCCCTTTCCACAAGGGAGAAACGGCAAGTGACGCGCCTCCTTGCTTGATGGATCGGATACGCGCGATATGGGCACGTTCGTCGTCACCTGCATCTCACGAATGTGACTCAAGTCGGCAGTTGGCTCAACGAGAACACATATATCTTGTAATTGCATTGATCTTATTTGCCTTATCATTCATCTCCTCCAACAGATGAATGATCTGATTCCGCGCCTGCCGCTGATCACAAGTTGCCTGCCAACATTGCATCATCCATGGATTTTGCCAATCCAGCCAGCCTCCACCGTGAACCCTTGACTCGCCGTCTCCCCTCATCCCTCCCACTGCAACCAGGTCCGGGAGCCACCGCTTAAATCGCCTATTCGCTCGCTCCCCTTGGAGTGGGACGAATTATCTGGAAGTGATGGCCAGGATGGGCGAGACCTAGCGCGGCCACAAGCGCCGTGACAGGATACCGCGCCGCACACCAACATGAGAGATCAACGAGGCATTCTTCTCCCGTGGGACCTTGCACCAGTCGGATGCAGTCGTTGGGTGTTGAGATGCTGCAGTTACATCGAATTTCTCAATAGGCAAGGAGGAAGGGGGGGAAAAGTTCCAACGCTAGATGTTTTTTTTTCCTCCGGGATCTTTTAGGTTGGGGTGGGTGGGAGCACTCGGGCTCGGGTCTCGACTACATGCGACCGCCGGGGGTAAAGGAGTTTTCTTCATGGATTGGCTAATCTTCTTGACGAGTAGAGTTGCGTATATCGGCCTCTTTGCCTACCCCCCCAAGGATACGGGGCGCTTAAGGAGACGTCGTGGACATCAATGACCCGGAAATTCTTGATTTTTCTTGTGGATCAGTTTCCATGGCAGACGTTTCCTGCGGGCATGGGTCATGCGCATTACTTGCTGTGCCTCTCAAAGGGGGCCCCCCGTCCCAACGTGTCTGTCTCACCATTTTTTTATTCTCTGAGTTACTGGATACCTCATCCTTGCGATGCCTATCCCCGCGAAATAGATGGACCCAACGCGATGTGACAGCCCTGCCCCCCCTCCCCGCCCGCCACCCCAAACTTAGCGAGGCAGACTAGAGTTGTCTAGCAGTGTAAGACTGCGAATAGGGGCGGAGTCCCATTTGAGCTAAATGTCAGGGTTGTCGTGTCATTTGGGTCGCAGTGGCTTTGCGGCGAAGGATCATCTGGGTTGATCAAAAGGAGCCGAATGCGTCTACGGCGCGGCGCTAGGGCGCTTACTAGTAAAAATGTCTGTGGGGAGGACTCGGGGAGAAAGGTGAGAGGGTGACCTGATGATGGCTTGAGTTCGTTAACTTCTTTTTTTTTTTTTTTTTCTCTCTTTTTGTTTTCCCTGATAAGAATACTTGCGAGTGTTGCGGTCGTTTTTAAATCAGCCCACCTCGGTGAGAGAAGAGTCCCTCCTTCAGACCCAAAATCTCGAGAATACCGTCGAGAAGCCTAAGGAGGAGAAATGAAAGCATTGTCTTTTTGCCTTTTAACAAAACCGCCCTTCGCCAATTTCCTCCTTACCAACACCGTGTTTGAAAGATGAACCAGACCTTGCATCAACAATTCAACATGAGAGAAGAAAGAAAAAACCCCCAAAAAGGTGGGAAAAGGTCGGGCGATCCGAAGGGGCAAGTGATATTCGGATAACCCTGGAACGAAGGACGGGGTTCCAAAGTTTGGATTCCTCGAGACGAGAGTCAAAGTGTGGGTGGCCAAAAAAAGAGAAGAGAAAAAAAAAAAAAAAAGAAAGAAAAAGAAAACTACTCGGGTACGAAGTCTAGTTTTCTTTTCTAGCTAAACTTGTTGGGACGGACTGCATTGATGGCAACGTAATTCCGGCCGGAACGGGCTGGTGGAGGTGTGGAATCCTGCTCGTTCCTGACAATATTCGGAGGTCGGCTCATCTCGTTTCCGCAATAGCCGTGGTGTCCCGTTGCTGTTGCCGAGCTAAAGATCCAATTGTTGGGTTTTTTTTTTCAGTTGGAGACTGAAATAAAAAAAACAAACAAGGAATGAAATGAAGAGGGATCAAAATGATGTTTGTCTTGGCCTTGGCACGGGAATGAGAAAATCCCGGCAAGGAGAGCTGGAGTAATTAACAATGGAGAGTCCCTGGATGGGACACGAATGCTGGATGTGGGCATCAGAGGAAACGAGAGTATAGAATTGGTACGGCAACCGGAGAAGTGGAAGAAAAAAAAATAATAGCGAGTCAATTCTCCGAGTGGTATCAAGTTCCTTTCTTTTCTTCGCCTGTAAGTGTATATCAGAAGTCTCTGTGTCCCATTGCCCTTCTTACCCGTCGCGACATTATATCCATCATGATCGTTAATGTTGCTTATTGACCGATCCATATGCTCAAGTGGAGCGCTCTTTAAGTGAAAAGAAGAAGGAAAAATATAAATAAAAAAAAGACAAAAAGAAATAAAAAACAAAAGGAGGTGAAAAGAGAACGGAGAAAAGCAAGAAACCCATTCCATTCAAAGCGCCGCATACCTAGCCTTAAAGATAGAAACTTCATCATAAAACAGAATCTCCCTGACTCGGAACTCGCACCGGGGCAGCGCAAGATCCACATCGTTCAGGGGATCCGCATCCGAGTCGTGCGCGAGAGACGTCTCGGATTCCGCGCCATCCAAAACAACGCTCGCGGGTGTCGCGCCTCCCTGGGCACTCTCGACGGTGGAGACCGAGACTTGACTGGCAGTATCATCGTCACCGCCGAACGAGGAGGCATCACTGCCCTGAGCAGGGCTGGATGAAGAATCCACAGAACCTCGTCTGGCCCTCCTAGCACGAGATCTGGGTTCGGATTCGTAAATTTCAAAGCATTTGCCCGAGAGACCGACGTAGCAGAGCTCGATCTCTGGCCGCAATGTTATGATGTCTACAAGCTGCAGGGCCAGCTCTTTAGGGTTCGAGTTGTAAGCCACCCTGTCGGTAAGGGCGATTTCGGGCAGGCATAGAGACCTTAGGTGAGGTATATTGGGGAGCCTTTGGAGGAAAGGATGCTGCGAGAGAGTAAAGAGATGAGAGTCAATAACGAGAAAATGAAGAGGGGGATCGCAAGGGCATATTGCCATGGAGGACGGGGCCATTTAGCGTTGCATGTCTCGGGACTTACCCAATCCTTATAATACATGGCCATTGAGAGCTCTGTCAACCTTGGCATCTTTCCGCTCGTGAGATACAAGACCATGTCGGTCGTCGGTGCCCAATGACGCCATCTGGGGCTCTCGAAGTTACTAGTATTTCCCCTACGCCTTTCTGAGCTGTCCAGCAACAGCTTTCGCAGACTGCCACGGTGTCTAACTATGACAGACTTGAATATCGAGTCGATACTGACGCTGCGACTTAGTGAGTGGCGGCGGTCATGGAGAAACAGAGATTCGAGGGAGTTGGGGGCCAAGGTTTCCTTGATGAAATTGATCAAGGCTGTGGATACCTGGTCGGTGTGGATGTGCTTGAGGGCAAGGTGGTACTGAAGGGAACTTGCTGGCGCTGCCTTGATTGCATTCGCATCTTTGATCCCGGGGATGTTGGATGTCGGCGCGAATTTCTGCTTCAAGAGCTTCCAGAGATTATCATGATATGGGCAATCAAGAAGAGTAAAGGTCGTGAGTGTTGTCCAGTCAATCGCCTTTGTGCAGACCTGCATAGAAAGCGGTACCCGCTCAAGCTCCAGAGTCCGCAACCTCAGCTTCCCTTCCAACTTCCGGAAGTCGCCGCCACGAGACTGGGCATTCGCGGGCTCATCTACTGCTAGTCTAGGAGGTACATAAGGACGGCCTCGTCGTTCTGGGGACGAGGGAACCGGTGTGGTTTCTAGGATAGGAACGACGTGGCCTGGAGAAGGCAAGGCATCACCGGCGGCTGATGGGTGCGTAACTTCGACGTAGGAAACAGGCCCTACTTCGGCCTGGGACTGCTGAGCCGCTGATGACCCACTATTATCATCCGCTTTCTTCGGCGCCTTGCGCCGTATATCATAGATCCTACCGAATATCACCCCGAGGACGCCGCCCAGCCGGCGATCTCCGATAGTGCTTGCGCCGGGCCAGTGAGCATTATGGTCGACTTGTTCTAGGTCAGAGCCGTCCCAGGCTTTGACGAAGTCGCGGTGCGTCACCCGAGAGCCTATGCCAACGCGGAGTTCCCGGAGCCGAGACTTGGAGCGCTCAATCAGAACAGACATTTCGTCCAGGTAGGCGACGTCATCAATTTCCAATACCGTCAGACTCCTGAGAGGCGGAAGCACACTAAAGGTTGGGTACTCCACGCGGCTGTCCCGGTAACGCATAGGAGTCAACGAGTGGGGTTGTGGTTCAAAGTTGGATGGGAGGAGGATGCCAATAGGAGTTAAAGTTGCCGATGATGGGATAACCGTCTGGCTAGCCAAGTCTGGACTTTGGCCATTGTCGGATTGCGTGGGGTCATCGTAGCTGTCATGCCATCGAACCCACACTCGTTCCAACTTGGATTCGGCATCTGGTGAGCGATCTTGGTGAGAGGCCAGGGCTAGGAAAATGTCGGATATCACGCCGGTGGGCATATCCCAGACGAAGGTTTCCAGATTCACCATCTTCTCGACTGCGAGGGCAACAAGAGTGCCCAGCATCTTCCCGCTCTCCTTGGAGATGAGATATTCAGCTACCCAGTCGGAAGGCCCATTTCCTAGCGAAAACTTCCGGGTGTATTGGGCATAGTTGCTCTTCCTAAGCTGATGAACCACCGCAGTCGGTGTAGACGAGGAGTGGTTGCGTAGTAAGTGGGCGCGGTGGGCAAAGGAGTTGCCAAGACAGAGAGTCGAGAGACCATAGGTGAGGGCATCGACGTTCTTAGATTCGGTAGCCTCGGCATCGGAATCGGGCCATACTATGTCGAATCTCGAGTAAATCTGCGGAACGGCTAAACTGTGAAGCGTTGAATTCGTCAACGCAAGGGATGTAAGGTCATTGGTATGCGTAACCTAAGCCCGGTCAGACAACGAAAGCGAAAGACGACCGGGTCAATTAGCTTATGCTAAGCCCCGGAAGTGGAGGGGGCTGGATGGGGGGTTGGTGGAATGAAGTTTCCTTACCTCATGTACAATCAGGCGAAGGATATCTACAGGCAGCTCAAGCAAGGTAAGCTTCCCGCTGCGTTCTGCTAATGTCTTGCCAACAACCTCTTTTCCTTTGAGGAGCTTCTCGACAACTTGCTTCGGAGCAGTCTCCTGCCGGGAGGAGCTGGCCGGGAGCAGAGGTTGGGTAGGGCTGACCTGGGAGCTTTCCTCGGATTGGGAATGGCTGGTCGGTATCTGAGGATCGAAGGGTGTCGTGGGTGATGTGCTGTTGCTGGAGGTGTCGGCAGATGCCGTAACTTCTGACGGTTTGGTCATGTTGGGGAGAGAGAGAACGGTGAGGGCATGCTTCATAGAAGGTCGGTGACGAGGCTGAAGAGGGGCGACGGAGGAAGGCCTCCCGCACCGAGTTGCTGTGGGTGTATTGACGGGGGTGCGGGTCGATGGCGGAATCTTGTGGGCTACGCTGACGATAGGGACGGAATCGCGATCCGAGTTCAGCGGCGAGGGAAGGGTTTGCTATGATGGGCGCAACCAGAACTCTGCCGTGTCGGATTCGGGAGTCGGCAAGGAACAATTGGGCCTTGCTCTATGCGCTTGCTGCTCCTCGAATGTTTTGGTCGGGATTTATGCAACTGTGGTGGAAGGGAAGGCTGGCTGGGTTGGGGGTCAAATCTATGACCAGGCAGTCAGCAGCAGTTGCCTATCTCTAGCTGTGGTTGACTAAGCGTGAGTACATTGATGAGAACACGGAGAATTACTGGGGCCTTCCAGCAATAGAGTCTTGACTCCTTCTTGCGCTTTTCCCTTCGGTCATCACTTAAAAAAAGCACTACAGGTGATGAATAGATGGAAAGGGCAATGGAAAAGCCGAGTATCTCTCGCCCTCCGCCATGATACGCCGTTTTCTTTTATTATCTTGAACTACTCATACCTCCAGTTGGAACTCTTACCTATCCGGGACCTGCGAAGTTAGTGAGAGAAACACTGCTAAGACCGGGTTCCACGAGAACGATCGCCCATGGCCACAGAGAGCAACCGGAGCGAAAAGCGACGCCGCATAAACCAACTCCAGCCTAGCCTCAAGATCTTCCGGAAGCTCTGCCCGTCTTCACGCATTCTCGGGTTCGGGTTCGGGTTTGGAGTCTACCGGTACTCACGTCGACTTTGCCCAATGACACCCCTCCGCCACCTCATTATTTGACATGGGGGGACGGTTTATCTTGGTAGCTCTGCCTTTGTAGAGTCGTTATAACCGATGATGTAATTGGTGTGCCTGTGCAGCCTTGAGCTGCTCAAAACGTACAGCCACCTGATGAAGCACAGAACTCGGGACAAGACCCGTGACGCTGACCCTGTCACGAAGGTCCGAGGTTTAAAATGCGAGGTGAGCGCGAGCAGTAATCCCATCAATGGACGAGTTCCAATATCTGTGCAATTTCTCCTTGCATAAGATATAATGTAATGTACGAGACCTCACATCAGGCATCGAACAGCGAAGCTCCGCAGATCAACGTGCATTGCTCCTCTGAAATCGCACAACGTCCCGTGGCTAGGACTGGGTTACCCCTCCTCAATCTGCCGCATCTTCAACCTCCTCGCAGCCAGCCGACCTCGCATGGTTTATACCTTGCTTGACAAGGAGGGGTTGAAATGCATCCCGCCAGTTCATCCGTCCCATGTACTCATAACGCCCACATGTACGATATGCGAGCAAGCCCAAAGGCCACAAACAGAAAAAAAGAGGAAGAAGAAAAAATTAAACGAGGGGTCCTGGTGTTAATTCCCCCGCGACGAAGCGTGTCCCCCGCCCTCAGACTTGCAACATCATTGAGGCACATTTAAGGCAGTCGAGGTTGGTCTCGTGGTCGCGTCCGCCGCCGAATTTACCCCCAGGCCAGGCCAGGCCTTGCCATATCAGAGCCCAAGTACCGAGAAAGAACAATAAATAGAGGTGTCGCCGATAAAAGCGATCATTGATGAGAAATCCCCGCAAACCAAACCGGACCGGGCAGGTTCATAAACAGGCCTGACCAGCCATCCTTGTTCCGCGTCTTTTTCCTCAATCTGCAAGCAGCAACCTGTGGTTTCTCTCGATATATAAAAGTACACGCCATCTGTTCTCTTCGGCGTTCTGGCTGCCTACAAGTCTCGCCGTTGTTCCTCCTGCAGCTGTCGCTGTCGTGTTACGAACCACCGTTAATACCGGGATCAAAATCAACCTTTCTCTAATTATTGTGTTGCCTAATCGAGCCTCGCGACAAAGACTCCCCGCTAGCTGACGAAGACTCAAGCTTGTGCCAGTGTTATAATTGCTTGCCTGGCGTTTCGTGGTGCGCTTGCCGTGTTGTTTATTGGCCTCCCGAGAGACCTTGGATCCGAAAAAAGAACAGGACAACTTGTCATTTTCTTTGAATGTGAGTTCATCGTGCGGCGACTCTGTCCTCTTCTTCCTCTTTATCTCTCTGTCCTCGTCGATGGGACCAAGTTAGGCGCATGAGTGATGGACCGAGGACGTGGCGGTCTAGGATCCTGCAGTTGTACTTCGTAGACTTCATTGATTTGTACATTGTACAAGTACGAAGTACTTACACGAGACAAGACTAGCCCAGGACCCATTTAAGTCCATCACCGCCTTCCCGCAGTTGCAGATTAGCTATCTGAGCTCACCCACCTCGAAAAGCACGCGTTGCGTCACTCCGCTGCCCCCAAACCGCGACTCGTCGACAGCAGATATCTTCGTCGCTACACTCAGCTAACGCTCGCTCAACGCGAAATTAGGAGGGAAAATAAAGTAGCGAAACCGAGGATACAGATCTAATTCTCTTGTGTATTTATCTTCTCGCGAAACCCAAACCGCCCAATATCCCGCTATTCCGCCCAAACCCGCCCAAACCGCCATCACTGCCACATCCCCAACCCCGCGTCCCTACAAACCCCGAAAATCAAATCGTCGCCTTTAATAAATCCAGCCTTCCGCAACAATGGCCTCCTTCCTCCAAGACCTCTGGGAATCCATCTTCGTCGCCGGTCCGACCCCTACCCTCCTCAAAGCCGCCAACGCCACCTTCGCCGCCCTCCAGCTCCTCCTCGCTATCCTCCTCTTCACCACCCAGAGCGTCCACTTCATCATACTCTCCATCCTCTGCGGAGGTCTATGGTGGTCCATCAACTGGTTCGCCGCCGAGCTGAAGATACATCAGGAGCGCGAGGAGCGCGAGAAGCGCAAGCTCGAGGCCGAGGCTGCCCGCGATGATGCGGCGGGGGGATCTTCGGGCGACGATGACGACGACGGGGAGAGCGATAGCGAGACCGAGGTCGAGACGACTATGACGGCGCCGCCGGCGAACGTATTGCCCGCGGCCGCGAGGACTCCCCCCGTGGCGGAGTCCAAAGACGTCGAGTCGGTACAGAATGTGGGGGAGATTAGGAGGAGGGAGGTACCCACCGCGGCTTCGAGGGGGATTGGACCGGGAACGCAATCGAGCGTGAGCACCGAGGACGAGTGGGAAAAGGTCTCCGAGAGCGAGAACGATAAGCAGAAATAGGTTTTCCTCTAGGGCGTATCCTCGCCGAAGGTCCTTTCTAGCTGCACAATCCGCATTTTTACTTTTATTTACTTTGATACCAGGCGCAGTCAGTTCCGGGCCGTGGTGGCGGAGGGAATAGTGTTGGCATGGGTACTGGGGGGCGAGGGGATGTCAGGCTTAGCAGCGTAGCGAGTTGGGTGTTGGAGCGAGGGAGTCGTTAGTTTTACATGCATGATAGAGAGGTGGTTTTCTTTCCGTAGACAGTTCTCGTCGAGGGAGCTCTATATATTATCCTCACACCGTACTCAGGTTGATGTGGGCACCCATTTCCGTACTCCGGGCATCACCCAAGTTTCTTCCAAGAGAATGGGAACATCTAGTCCGATTCGTCCAGTATATTTTCGATACATATTGAATGGAGAGTTTGCTATCAAGACGTGATTTACTTCCATTGAATCAAGATGTTCCCGTCCGTATCCGCCCACCCTAGCCAGTCCGACAACTAACAACACATTTGCAATGTCACACCGCTTTTTTTGATACCATCAATACAGCCAACGCCCATTCACTTGACCAGAACCGAAAAACAACAAAAAGGGTCTTGCATCGTACCACATGAGGAGAGTAGGTCTACACTCTGTGACACTGTGACACTGGTACCACATACGCACAGCTAGAGTGCCTTCGAAGATGCGGGGACTAAGATTGCTCGACAACATTTCCCTCACAGAATCCGACTCAGCGGGCCGCAGTTCAAGACCTGCGGTTGGTTTGATGGCTCCCCGCCCACGGTTATCCGCCTTGAACAAGAAACAGGTAACCATCCTTCACGTTCGGTTTGCTGAGATCGTCTTCGGTGATGACACCGGCGTATTGGTGCACATGAGGGATATCTGATGCAAGGCAGCTCCGAGGAGGATATGTCTCGTCCGACACAAGCCGGATATGGAACACTAACTTCCACAGCTCGAGGTCTTATTTTGGGTATTTCGAAGGATCATTTACACTGTTGTTCTGCTGCGTGGCGTCCTCTCCAGTACCAAAAATGTGGAAAGCCGGATCAACAGACCAGATCATTGTTTGCGTGTAATTCTCGAAGGCATCCTGCAGGAAAAAGATCAGCTTTTGGAACCCCGCAATGTACACGGTCGCACGCCGTGGACTGAAAAGAGTTTCGTGACTTACCCAATCGACCTCCCCCGTGTCGACACCATTGCCTCCGAGCTGGGGGAATAGGGAGAGGGGTGGTGACGACGGACGGTTCGCCCCAAACGTGTCAAATTGCAATTCCGGAGGCATAGCTGGCTCAGCAACCCCCGTGGACATGGGAAGGTCCATCTGGGAAATGGGCGGCAGCTTGTTCTGGCTCTGGCTAACGAAATTCGGTGGTGACGAGGGAGAGATCGACCCAGCGAGCATGCCCAAACCCAAGGCGGCGGACTGCTCCGGTCTCATATCTTGCGAATCGACGAAGGAGTTAATACCAGTGAGCCGCACACCAGCTCCCGGCGTTGCGGACCGGCTGGGTTCTCGAGGTCGGGCCATTTTCGCACTCTCGATCAGAATTTTCAGGACAGCCCCGGCCTTGTACGCGTCAACCGACATGTGAGACATTCCTTGCCAGATATCCCTCGTTATCTCCAACGTCCTGAGCATCTCACGCTGCTGCTCCGGTGTGCAGATGTAACCAGTTTGAGTGAACGGTGAGATGGGAGTCTCGTGCGCCTCCCTACTAGAATATCGCAGCTCTACTGCGACCAAAGCCGCCGGATAATTAAAGTCCTTCAGGGCTAAAGACGCAACGTGGCATTTCAGGTCTTCTAATCGACCGCCGGGTTGCGTTTCGCGGTGTAGAGACTCGAGATGGTGGAGCATCGCGAGAGATGCTTCAATAGCAGTTCTGCGCGAATGCGCATAGCGAGGGTTCTGCCTTCCACGTGGGATATAATTCCTATGAAGAACACACAGTATCTTTTGGTACAAAATGTCGAGGTGGAATCGCGTCATGTAGTCCTGTGGTGGTTCGGAGATGTCATATAGCGGGGATATCTTGAGATGAGGCGGGAACTGGGCCCGGATAGCCCGGAGATCCGTGTCAAATTGCAAAACTTCGTCGTATGTGAGCTGGCGACCAACGTTTGTAGTTGCGCGCAGGATTTTGCCAAATTCGATGCAAAGTTTAGATTTCGCGATGAGATAGTCCACCGGTGTTCGTTCCAACGCCGACCTTGGTGGAGGTAGTTCCGTGGACTCCGGACCAAAGTCTTCATCGAGGAGGTTTCTGGGCAACTCAGTATCGCAGTCTGAATCGTTTATCATGCGGGGAAGAGAAAGGTGATGTGAGAACACCACATCGCCCATCCGGACCATCGCCCAAACTCTTCTTCTCATTTCCTAATAGATGAGTTAGTCTTCCTAGAGCAACCGAAGACGCGGAAACAAAATAAAATGAAATAAAATAAAATAAAATAAAAACGTACTGCCTGATACGGAGTGAGGGATTTGAACCATTTTCCATCACGATGATATCCCATCCTAAATGCTATCCTCGTTGCTAGGGATAGGACAAGCCACAAGGCCATGTCCATGTCCCACCTCGAGCTGTACTCGCCAAAGATGTAAAGTGTCAGAGTTTCGATCGAATACTCTACAGCTTTGGTATAATCGGCCGTAACGAGACACTGAGAAGCTCGCAGGCGATATTCCGCGGCAATGTCGAGAGAACGGCCTTTCATATCAGGCGGCTCATCACCGGCCTTGTGATAGCTTATCGCAGCATGGCAAAGAATCGAGTAAAGCAGACCTATCCACATCAGTGGCGTCTGTGAGGGATCTAGCCAATGGGCATGCAGCTGGCGCAAGAAAGTTGGGCGATGGACAATACATATCCAACCGTCCGAAGATTGGAAAAAGCGCTCGCATAAAGCCAGAATCGTTGTTTTCGGCGGTAGTTCTGCCCGCAACTCAACCTCGGACGTCCTCAGCGTTCCTAGTAGGAGCACAGGACCTTCAAGCGCATGCGCGGGCTTGGAGGAAATGACCTGTTTGTAGCTCCTCTCCAGCTCCTTTTTGTGAGTCACGAAATAGTTCTTAACTTCGGCAATATCTGCGAGAAGCGAGTGCCAGTGCTCCTGGCCCAAGTACATGGACTTGCCCATCTCGGAGTCGACCTTGAGGACGCCGAGAGAGGTAGCAAGCCTGTCGTCAACATCGCTGCCTTCATCGCCCTGGTCGGTCCGCGTCGAAGCCGACATAGAAGAGCCCTCTGTCTGGGACCTATTCGTGACCGCAGTCGAATCTTGACTTATTTGACCTGTTGACTCGGTTCGGGAAGATGGAACCTCGACGTTCGCACCGCCGTGCATCAACGATAGCACAAGATTTTCCAGGCGATCGATTCTGTTCTGCATATCTCCTGGACCGGCGGCTGCTTGGGTCTGAGGCTTCTTTCGTGGAGCTGTCGCAGCATAATGGCAGGAGGTCGTGGAGGAACCGTCGCGCTTTACACAGTTTCCGCAAGGATGGGCCCGGTCGCATTTCCTATACATAAGAGAAAGAGGTTAGACATTGCCTAGGAGGAGGGTCGAGATGAAAAATCTAGTCGGCTTGGGCTCTGTTGTCGTTAACGAATCGAGCTGCTTACAGTCTAAGTGGCGGGATCGTTAGCACATCACCAATATTCGCGGGAGGTGGAGAGGGCGAGAGTGACAAACTTCTTAGCCCGGCACATCTGGCAGCTCACGGGAATGCGATTCCTCTTGCGTATAACGCGGAACTGCTCTGTCGGGGAATGGGCGCCGCCCGACGAAGGCGTCGTTGAAGGAGGAGTAGGGGTCATGGTGGCTCGCGGTCCAATGGAAGATAAAGTTTAAGGCGGAGTTAAGAGGCGAGTCTCCGAAGAGCTGGCAAGGATGTGAAATGGCGATGAACGTCGACAATGACGAGACGGTGGGTGTGCGATTTCGGTTCCTAAACTGGGAGCACAAAGGAGCGAGTATGTCCGACACGGATTCCAAGCGTTCTCATTCCCAGCGTCGAAGGTGGCCAGCGGCAAACTGGAGACGTTTGTCTTGACCACGGTAAAGAAAATAAAGACGGCAAGGGAACGGCGAGAGTCGAAGATGGTGAAGACCGGGTGTCTCCAACTGCGAGGCGAGGATGAGTTACGGCGGTGAGGAGTTGGAGAGGAAGAATAGGGAAATCTGTGTGCTTTGCGACAATGTTGGTAAGGACGTGAATTTCGGCGGGCCAATTTTGGGTCCTCTGTGCTTCTGGCGTGGCGTGTAGGATTCAGTATCATTGATTGATGCTGCGTCCGCCGCCTGCGTGTTACACTGCGCCGCAACAAAGTACTCTCGAGCCACCTTTGGGGACTAAGTTTGACAATCAATGTTCGATGTTGGACTGATGGCAGCTCGATCCACCCCGGAACAATCCGTGCAGGCGGCGGGGGAGGAACAATTTGGGAGGTGCGGCAGCCAGTTTGAGGCGTGGGCAGCCTGGTGTGGTCCTCAGTGCAGATACCTCCGAAGCGTGAATGTGATTACCACGCTACTACCCTGTACTGTTGTACTTCGTAGTCACTCGAAGTACTTTTGCAGCCCCAAGCAACTGATTTAGGCAACCAGGCTGCGCAAGAGGGGGTTGGTCAAATTGCACTGATGGTGAGAACCCCCGATAATTGCATTCGAGCATCATATTTCTTACCGACTTCGTAGACTGGTAATTCTCCACGACCCTGGTTGTGACAAGAGCGTGGTGATATCAGTGGCTGAAGTATACATATGTCAACAGCATCTGTTAGTCGAGAGCATATACTGAGCCAACTGTTGAAAGGATCAAATCTGATGAGAGCCTCGATATTGAAGCTAGGCAGGGGGGGTTTTGCCACTCGGAAGCCACGATTATCAATCTTGACAGTCTTGGACAGCCCCACCGTAGGGAAGGCACGCCAACCGACTCAAGTCAATGGCACAGTCCTTCGTAGCTTCCATGAATATGTGCGATTCTCCTTATCTTATCAGAATGTGTCTAGGATTAATAATAAGCCCACCCAAGTCTCTTGCGCAACCAAGGACTTGTTTGCCCAATCTCGTCCTTGAATGTCAATGGCAGTTGCGATGGCGCGATTACAATTGTAGTGGCTATCAATCTCTTTGGTGGGGTCATACTCATCGCTCCCTCCTGCCCCTCCAAACAACCTGCCGACAACCCCGCCATTCGACTGCTAAATCTTTTGGCGACAGTCAAAGATTTGATCTCTCCTGCGAGGTTAATTCATTGGTATCTGGAGTTGCCATAATTCCCATTTTTCTGCCTTTGGCTGGAGCACTAATCAACATTTTCCACATCAAATCCAATCCGAATTCCTCCTCTACGCCCCCGATCCGATCCTTCTTTCCGAACAACAATTTTCTCCCAGCACGCCACTGATTGGCATTGATCATCATCGCCCGACCGTCACCATGTCCGCTGTCACAGAGATTCTCAGTGTGGCTGACTGGCAGAAGCACATTGCCAGTCTCCCTTCTTCTGCCCTTCACATCATCTATTTCCATGCGCCATGGGCTGCTCCCTGTGCGCAGATGGCCACGGTCGTCAAGACCCTCGCCGCTGAGTACCCCGTCACAACCCCCCCAACGACGCTATGGGCTTCCGTCAACGCCGAAGAGCTTGAAGATATTTCCGAAGAATACCAGGTCAATGTTGTCCCCTACATTGTCATTTCGAGGGACGGCCACATTCTCGAGACCGTGAGCGGAACAAGCGCTGCGAAGGTCCGAACTGCCATCCAAACACACGCAGGTAAAGCACCCGAGGGTGGCGATACTGCTGCTTCTGCCCCCGTTGCCAACGGAAATTCTGGCGCAAACGCAGAGAATGTCACCACCGGCGAGGATGTGGCGCAGGATCCTGAGAAACAGAAGGCGGAGCTATTCAGCAGACTCTCGGATCTAGTCAAGGCAGCCCCAGTCATGCTCTTCATGAAGGGAACACCAAGCGAGCCGAAGTGTGGTTTCTCGCGACAGATGGTCGGCATCCTCCGGGAGAACTCGGTCAAGTACGGTTTTTTCAACATTCTCGCCGACGATGAGGTTCGCCAGGGCCTCAAGGAGTTTGCCGATTGGCCCACATACCCCCAGCTATGGATCAGCGGTGAGCTCGTTGGCGGTCTCGACATTGTCAAGGAGGAGATTGCGAATGATCCCGAGTTCCTTAAGCCTTACAGCGTCGGAACTGCAGATGTCGTCATGGCCGAGTAGATGTCAGGATCAAACATTCTCGCCCCTTTGGCAGGCCTGGAGGCCTTGAATCGAAACCGCATAGTACCAGAAACAAATGGGTATATATACACGCAGGACGACGTCGTCACGTATGCCCCGCGCCGCAGGATGCACGGTGTAAGATGAGAAAACGAAAGTTTAACCCCTTTCTTGGAGCGGGCTGGGCAGGCACTGGAGATTGAGTAGGAAATGATACTCTGAGAGAGTTGACATTTCTATCGAGGGAAGGCATCGAGAAATGTCTAGCAACCAATAATGAACACGAGAGGCCATTTCGGTTGGCACAACTAGGGTCACGACAGCGGTAGCTAATGAGATATGTGGAACTCTTAGGCTCATCTCTCGCATGATTTCTTCTCGTGGGTTTTGTCTATGTCAAGGTGTCCGGTTGGGGTAAAGGGGCCGAATGACTACCATCGGAATGCTCTTTCTCTGCGCCTGGGGTATCCTGTGAGGAACACACGGATTTTGGAAGGAAAGCTGTAGTGTACTAACGGGAATGCGGAACGTCAATGTATAACCCTCACTGGTGTCGCCAGGCGCGCAAGCGGCGTGGAACATGGACGAACATCAGAGAGATAAAAGCCGTCAGATTGCCAAGTTGGCAAAAGCGATGCCCTCGAACCCATTGAATCACGACCCAGGGTCTGTTTTCTTATTTCTATAGACGCTGAATTGAACAAGGATGTGAGATTTATTTTGAAATTCTTGCTTTCCCTGGTCCTTGTAAAGAAACAACCCCGAACCACCCTAAGTCCGCTTGACAAAAAGTTCGATGAAGCCTTGGCAGGAGACAAAATACGCGGATGGCAGAACACAGTGACCGATTCTGGGTTTACTGTAATCCTCACTGTATGACATGAGGACACAGCTGCCACCCACTTGAGAGGGGACAAGCCTGGCATTTCATACTTCGTAACGTCCCGTCCCAAGACTGGTACGATTGACCACCAGGCATTCTGCACTAACTACTGACTTGCATTGACTAGCAACTTTGCCCAGCAACACAGCCTCAACCCTGTGTCGTCACCATCTTTTCCAAAACTCTCACCTTGCATTTGCCAACGTCGGCTCACGAAATACGGTCCTCGGAGAATCGCCCAAAAATCGAGCGCGATTCTGAAATCTCACTCAACTTACCTTCTCCTCCACACGACTGACGCCTTGTACATTTGGGAATTTGGCATCGCCAGAAGCTCGCACCTGCCACTCTTCCCCGCCCCTTCTTTCCCTCTGGTAATTCGCCAACTCCTCATCTCCTGGTCCTTCCCCGTTAGCTCCTGAGCTCTCCCCTTTGTCCAACCCAGAACTCCCACCCCATCGATCACAACCCTCAAGATGGCATCACTCAATCTATCCACGAATGGTCCTTCGATCAAAAGCAGCTATCAGGCCGTCGTTAATGCTGCCCTTCCCTCGTCTGGCTCGCCCACGTATGGTCATTGGGCTCTGTTCTCTGTCCAGGCCCCCCTCCTAAACGCATTCCAGCCCACCGCCGCCAAGGAGAGTGTGCTAAAGGTAGAAACTACAGGAGGTATGTGTTTGACCGCCGAATCCAACTGTTTTTCGTGAAGGAGCATACCCGGGTGAATATCCTAACATTCTTTTTTTTTTTCGTTTCTTTTCTTCGCAGATGGTGAGCTTGCCGATCTAGTCGAAGACTTCAACGAGGGCCGCATACAATTCGCCTTCCTCAAGGTCAAGGATCCCAATAGCGGACTACCGAAAAACGTTCTCATCGCATGGTGTGGAGGCGGCGTTCCCGAGCGTACCAAGGGCTACTTCACCAGCCACCTTGCCGCCGTTGCGAAGATTCTACACGGCTACCACGTCCAAATCACCGCCCGATCCGATAGCGACGTCGTTCCCGAGACGATTATCCAAAAGGTGGCGGATGCCTCGGGAGCCAAGTACTCTGCAGGTTCTGCCGCGCCTGCACCGGCCCCACGCCCGACACCTCCCGCCAGCAAGCCCGTATTTACGCCAACTACCTCGAGCGCCGGACGCATCAACCCTATAGTCGCGGCACGAAACAGGAGGAATGACGCCGTCGATGATGATGGATGGGGCGCCGATGCACCCCAGGTCACGCGGACTCAGCTGGAGAAGGTGGAATCAGCTTATAAGCCTACCAAGGTGAATATAGCTGAGCTCACTAGGCAGAAGCCTGCAGAACCCTCTAGGTTTGGCTCCTCGGCGGCTCGGGACTCCGGTCATTCGGACGTTGTTGGGGGCGGCTATCAGCCAGTTGGAAAAGTGGACATTGCCGCGATCCGCGCCGCCGCCAAAAACCAGGAAGACCTTCGACCTACACCAGTAAAGGGTGCTTATGAGCCAGTTGGCAAAGTTGACATCGCGGCAATTCGGGCTCGTGCGCAGGCGGCCCCGTCAAGAGAGGAGCCGGAGCAGCCTGCCCCCAAGAGTCTGGCTGAGCGCAGTGCGGCTTTCTCCCAGCCTGAGCAGTCCGAACGTCTCACGAGCCTGCCCAAGCCCAAGGTTAGCAACAGATTTGGATCGTCAACCTCCGCCTTCACCGGCACCAAGCCTCCCGCCCCTGGTGGTCTTGGTTACTCCAAGCCCGCTGCTCCTGCCCCTCCTGTGGTAGGCGCTGCGAGCCGTACCTTTGCGGATCAAGGAGGCAAGACCCCCGCGCAAATCTGGGCAGAGAAAAAGGGAAAGAGGGATGGCCTCGGTTCTGCCACCACTATAACCCCTCCGTTGGCCTCGCCCATCGGCTCCCAGAAGAGTGGCGGCGGTGAGTGGAAGAGCGGATATACTGGCAAATCGTGGGCTCCTGTTCAGACCTCCAACTTCGGACGCGGTATCACCGGGCAGATGACTGGCGGAAGCGAGCAGAGCGCCGGCCACCCACACCAGGAGGAAGAGGAGCCGACATCTGGAGGCGGCGTAGCTTCTTTGAAAGAACGATTCAAGGACACGCAGCCCATCTCCGCGCCTGCCCCATCGGCGCCGTCTGTGCCTAGAGTCGCCGACTCACCACCACCACCACTCCCCAGCTCTACCCGACCTCCCGGTGCATTTGCTCTCCCCGGAATGCCAGCTCGCCCGCCGCCAGCTGATGAGTACGAGGAGGAACCGGAACGATCTCCCTCGCCTCCCCGCGTTGCAGTTCCTGTTCCGCGCAGTCCTTCGCCTCCTCGCGAACCCCCTCGAGCCTTACCTGTTCGACCCAAGGAAGAGGAGCCAGTCAGGCAGCCGTCTCCTGTTCGAGAAAGAGAGAGCTACCACGCCCCTGCCGTCCCTACCGCCGCTGCCATCGTCGGTGCTGGTGTCGGTGTAGGTGTGGGGGCAGCAGCAGCCGCAGCGGTTGCCCACAGCTACGGAGACGACGCTACCCATGCCGCCGAAGAACCAATTAGCAGTGGGCAGAGGGCTATCGTTGTCTACGATTACGAAAAGGCTGAGGACAACGAGATTGACCTTCGCGAGGACGAGTACGTCACTGATATAGATATGGTTGACGAGGATTGGTGGCTCGGCACCAACAGCCAGGGTGACCGCGGTCTGTTCCCTAGCAACTACGTCAAGGTGGTGGACGAGGACGATCAGGACGTTACGGTAGCGCAACAAATTCCAGAGCCGGCTGCCGTTCCGGCCCCCAACCCCGTCCCTGCCTCCTCCCCGGCCGCCGTCCAGCCGTCAGCTCCTTCGGCAGGACCCACGGCCACTGCTCAATTCGATTACGAAGCTGCGGAGGATAATGGTAAGTTACCTAGCGATGACCCTTATTACCTTTCCAATGTAGGCCATCTGCTAACATCTTCTTACAGAGCTTTCTTTCGCCGAAGGAGACATCATCACAGATCTCGAATTCCCCGATGAAGATTGGTGGTTCGGACACTTGCACGGCGCCTCTGGTTTGTTCCCTGCCAACTATGTAGAACTGAACCAGTAAGGTGTTTGGAACGTGGTGGATCTCCTAGGAGATTGTTGATTCGGTTAAGACCCCCGACTTCAAACAGAGGCCAACAAAAGCGGGAGATGGATAGGCGTGGACGCTAGAAAAGGGGATAGCAGAGGCAACTTGTATGCTTTTTTAGAGACTGTTGACAGCACAGGTGACGCGATGAAAATAGCACAACAGACATTGATGTTCCAATATTTGCAAGCTGACGTGGCCACCGTGCCCAAACTACCAGTTGTAAGAGAAATGAAGCGAATCCTCCCTCTCCTCGTGTGCATGCGTACCAGCTAGTTCCTCTCCAATAATTCCCTAGAAAGATGTAGACAGGTAGAGAAAAAGAAGTGAAAAGGCAAAAAGCAACATAGAAACGTAAGATATACTAACGGAAGTTTGCGGTGAATATATAGATGGATAAGTTTGGAAAGAAAGGTCGTCCCAAAACAGCTAGGAGAAGTAAAAACATGCCTCGGTCGTAACGATGAAAAAACATTTCATAGAATCAAAAGCAGATGATGTTTACCATGCAAAACACAAAGCGTTCATAACATTATAGAGATCGCAACCGCCCCACCGTTTCCCCTTTCCTTCTCCTTAACAGACGTCGAAGCAACATTCACAACATTCCGCACTGGAAAACGGAGGCCCAGTTAGCAACCTGTTTATCTCCACGACCACGGCTCAGATCCGCGGGTTTCTGAAAACAATAAACTCACCAGCACTCGCAGGCCTCGTCCACGACGCAGCAACAGCATATAGCCGCCAGACAGGCAGTCAAGCAGTTGCCACCTCCACGTGCAGGCTTCTTTGCTGCGTGTTGAGGCTGGGCGGGCATCTGCATGGGTTGTTGGGGAGGGTAGTAAGCCTGGGGAGGGGGTCCATGGGACTTTCGCTCAGATGGTTAGTTTTCCAAGTGTTACTGAAACATTGGTCACGGGAGTGTAGGATATATGAGATGAAGTGGACTCTTCGGGAGATAAAGTATCTTGGAACTTTTTTTCAGAATTTGTTTGAACTTACCGGCTGAGGATGTTGGGGATATTGCGGGTAACCATGGGGAGGCGCATATTGCTGTTGGGGTGCTGGCGGTTGCTGCTGATAACCGGAGCCGGGGCCGGTGTTGTAATACTCGGCGGCCGACATTGTTGAAGATCACCCGATTTAAATCTCGGGGGTTTGTTTTTTCTGGCGCAGAAAAAAAAACCGGGGTACTGATGAGAAGGGCCGTCCTTCGATCTAAGAGTTTCTGAGTGGGAAACCTTCCCTCAGTGATACAAAGTGAAAGGGTGGATCTTGCGTGTGATGCGGAAGTCCCACGTGGGTCGTGGAGTTGGGCAAAATGGCCGGGAGTTGCCTGTCGCCGAAGTGCCGACCGCCTTTTTTGGCGTGAAAGAGAGATATCACGGAGGTGGTGATAAGGTTGGAGGGAATGAGAGCGGGTGCTTAAGAGGGAAACGAAGAGGAGAGGGATCTAAGTAGGGGCTTGGCAGAATCAGAATTCGTGGTACGAAGGAGATGGGAACGGAAACTCTTCAGCTGGGGACACGGTTAGAGGACAATATTGAAGAGACGTGAGGCAAAATGGGCGGTGGTGGTGCTGGTTGGGGGGGGGGGGGAAGGCAAGAAGAACGAAGATGGCCAAGCTAAGACCTTGACTGTGGCTGTACCTGGGGAAAACAGCACAGGTCTGTACCTTTGTATGAGCGAATGGTATGTCTGTCCTGTGTTCTGGCAGGTTGTGTGGGTTCGAGGCTAGTTCGAATCGGGAGAAGAGACTTGCAGAAACCGTTGCGTTGATGCGAGATCACGGATCACGGATCATGGATACTCTCGTATTATAACTTTGTGGTTCTGGTTTGTGCATACACTACTGTAGCAGAGCCACTCGATGCAACGAATCCTGTTGATGGTGGGCAGACGACGCAAACTTAAAGTTCAGAAGCCACGCTTGGGGCTTGCCCTAGCGAGGCATCAAATGGGCTAAGCGACATTGATTCGTGTACGAAGTACTTCTGCGACGTGGTGTAAGTCCGGCAGGCAGGGGCTGGAGCAGCAGCAGGCTAGTGTAAATTGCACACTGAAGGAGTACCTCCAAAGCGACCATTGACTGGGCCGTCGGTTTTCCCTCACATCAATTGAAGGATTGACGGAGCGAAACTGGGCTTGGAACCGGGGTCTGGGGACTGACAGCTGAGAGTTGGGAGATGGCATTGACAAAGCATCGTTGCATGTGCTCTCCTCAGCGTCTCTAAGCAATTGATGTTTCTTGGCTCTCGATATTATTCAAGGAAGGTAGAGGGCCAGGCGGCACTGGTGGGCGCTAATGGGCGCTGACGAAGGTTCCATCCATGAAATGTGTGGCGATCATGGAATTGAAATGTCGCGGAGCATTTACGTTTTAGCGCATAAGTCAGTCGTCACCACGGATCAATCAGTAGCGATGGAATGTGTCATTGATCCAGAATGGGACAATTGGAGCTGGAGAAGTTCAGACGACTCCGATCTCGATCAATGGAAAAAAGGGCATCCGATTGGCCGATCTGAGTAGAGTGCGGACACGCGTCAGTGGGCTGCCAGCTGATATCTCATGGGAGGCTGTACTTAGCACTTCATTGTGGCAACGGTGAGAGTCTCGGGCACAGAGGACAGCCAAGAGGTCCCGCAAGGTGACAAAAATGCCCAAAACACGGACGATGGTTGGGCGGACGCTCAAGGCGATAATGACGTCCAGGGTACGGACGATTTCTGGGCGGCTCCGCGAGAACGACGCCCAGAGCCCAGATCATAGCTGGCAACCCGGAAATTGTTTCTGCACGGTTTTTCTTTTTTTCCTTTTGGTTGTTTTCGTTTTTGTTTTTTCCCCCTTTTCTTCTTGCTTTCAACGGAGAGGGAGCCAACACCTACGAATGGACCATCAAACCGTACACTAGGTCTCCGAGTACTCAAATGGCTCTTCGATAGTTTTATTTCTATCTCTCCCCTCACCCAAGAATAAACAAGAAGTTAACCGAAACTTGGTCCCGCCCAGCTAATGGTGACCCTGTACACTAGTGTCCAGAACGAATGGCACTGCTATTATATCCCGTCGACACGCCCATATATCCCTTCGGTTCATATAATCGAAAGCCTCACGTTACCATTGAGTCTCGCCTTGATTGGGACAACTAACACATCTTCCTCCATAGTTGAGGACTCTTTGCGAGCCGTCATGTGTCCGCCTGAAAGACCTAAGCCGCGGCTTCTGAAGCTCTCGGGCAAGCTAGAAAACCACAGTCAGAACAAAATCGATCATCGTGACGGGGACCTATTAAGAACACTCCCACCACTCCAGATTCTAGTAATGACTAAGGTGTTTCACTAGATAGGTTCCATTGCGACGGTTCTACGAGCTATGAGGGTCCAGGTCAGGACATCTACATCTGATAACGCGGGGAGTTTGCATACAACCTGCACATGAATTCTATCGTGATAACCCGCCTTCGCTACACCGGCACTCCAAGAAGGCGTGCTAAGGGATAATCCATAGACGCTAGGGTGAAGAACTAAACGAGAACGCTCGCCAAACCCCGTGGTAGACTCAATATCTATGGACTAAATCAATTTCCATCACGCGAAAGAATAAGTCTGGACACAGCGACGTCACGACTTGTATGGATATATATATATATATAACTAAATGACGCCCTTCTCATGCTCTTTTCCGGTTCAGTACCCATATCTTGCATCCTCTTCTTTCGAAAGCCATTTACGGTCAGGACGCCTTTGCGCTTTCATCCCTACAATATGCGGGCCCTGCTCAACCTATTTCGGCTCTGTTTTCCGAACGGAGCCAATGTTGGCGTCAATACCGAGACCCAACACGACACAAACCCTCACTCCAGCCCGACGCCCTTTGACGCACCAACCCTTCAATCAATGGAGCTCTCGACTCTGCTAGGTGCCGCCGACCTGGACCGAAGTTCCACTCAATCGTCACAGGACATCGATCCGATACTGGCCCCTATACTCCAGAATCTTTCACAGAGCAGACTTTGCCAGCTTCCATCCGAACTTCTATTGGAGATAATGGAGCATCTCGACTGGGTCGGCCTTGCGTGTTTACGCAGGACATCGCGAATCTTCCTGAGGCTTTTCTCTTCAGCAGCCTTTCGAGAGTATCACGGTCGACGCCTGTCACATTTACCTGATTTTGTATTTCAGAACCGGTACGATTCGCGGGCCAAAGAACTGTTCCAGGGATTGCGTCTGCTTCTAAAGAAAGATGCCATGTGCGCTCCGTGTTTTCGCGTCTATGAAAACTTGACACAGGATGCACGTGTGAAAGCATTGGCTCGCCGCGATCTTTTCTGCGATGGCTGCCGGGAGTGGCACCCCGCCGGATACTTTTCACTCAAACAGAGACGGAAATGGCTATCAGGAGTATGCCTCGCGTATGAGGGCCATATCCGAGTCTGTCAGCACGCTACACTTCATTGGCAGGACGTTACGCGATGGATTGCTGAGGCTAGGAGCCGAGGCCAGAAGGAACTGAGTATTCTTCTTTGCGAGGATCATGCTTCCACTTGTGGGAAGGAAAGGTTTCAAGGAATATGGGCCAAGATCATTTTTTCGACCTTGGGAAAAAATTTAGAGACGGTGAAGGTGGTAGTAGAGTGGTTGGTTCATATCGACATGCCCCCTGCCTCCCCAACATCACACGGACGTTATCCAGCTTCTCAAATGAGAAGGGTACTGGAAATGCTCTACAAGGACGCAGGGCAGTTCCTCTTCCCGGAGACTGACTCCAGCCTTTCACGCCGCATGGCCGCCTTTGATCCCAATTACTGCTCATGTCTCCATTATGAAGGACAACGTTACAATGAGCAGCCCATCGACCCGGGACTTCAGCTCCCAAACACTCGGGAAGCATTTCACCATTTTCACGAGGCTCGGATTTCAGCTGGTACGAGTCTGGAAGTTCGCCCGTGCTCTAGAAGCTCCGATTCCCTAGCACTTCACTTCATCCATAAAAGCACCATTCCGCTACTTTCAGGATTCAGAGGGCCGGCACCGAGGCCGTCGGGGCGCTGGTATAACCGTCTAGACACTATTTCTTACGATCTAAGTGCTGACCATGAGAGTTGTCATGTGCTGTGGTGCCCAAACCAAGAATGTATTAACTATTGCTCGGGGCAGCGGAATCCTTTTCGGATTACTCCTCTCTTGCGCTTTGCAGTCAGACTAATTCCACCACGCTAATAATCTTAGAAAGAAAAGAACCCAAATACTATGTGTTTCCCTCAATCGCTGTGGATGCTTTGTCCTCACATGTCCCCTCCTGTTTACTCTAGCTCCGCAAGCCGTGCCTCCAATCGTCGGATCCTGCCTTCGAGAGTATTTGTGTCCCCATCTTGGCTCTGAAGACCTAGGGTGACCAAAAGCCGCATCCTTGGTAGCCGCGGTGCGATCTATGGCAGAGCGCAGCCTAACCACTGGACACCAGCGACGACAAGCTCCAGCCAGAATTGGTTTCTAGAGATCGTGACCGCTCTAGTATCTTGGGCCATCTCCGCAAGTGACTGGGCCATCTCCGCGAGCGACATGATGATACTTTCGAGTTCACCACAGTCGTAACTTGTGCCGCGCCGAGGGGCCATCTGGAATTGGGGCATCCTGCTACACTTAGGGTCAGCTCTGAAGTCAGGCATTAGTGCTAATGGATCGATAGATACCTACGGGAGGGACGGAGGAACTGACGAGGGAGTGCCAGGTAGAGAGTGGTTCAATGCGGGATCGGACGCTCAGTAGTTGATTCTTGAAACGAAAATTCTCGTAGTTGTAAATGGAATGGATGATAAATCCTAGGAAACAGTTGCCGGACCGTACGGCGTGTCGTAAGGAATGGTTGATGATCTTAGGAAATGGGTGAAGGATCCGAGTAAACAGCTGATTGATGGTACGAAGTTGATCTTAGGAAAGGTTGACAGGTCGTGGGGAATGGTTTTGACGAACCAGAGGAAATGGTTGTATCGTAGCTAGAAATAGCAGATAGGTTGGCGAGTCTAGAGAGATGGAAAGGAGATGTTGAGATTGATGAAGCGAGAATCTTCAGTGAGGAGACGTTCGATTGATGTTAAAGAAAGATGTATGGTAGAGGAGACGTTCGATTGATGTTAAAGAAAGATGTATGGGAGACCAAGAGTCCCAACTCTTGGCCTAAGAAGGAACCGGGAGAAACATCGGAAACAACGTAGGAAACAACAGAGGACGGTAGAGAGGAATACAACGTCATTCCACCCAAATGGGAAGGCACGTCGCTCCAATGTCAGACTCCTGGAAGCCGCGGCCATACATGGCAAAGAAGGAATTCTGGACCTTCCATGCAGCCTTAAAAGTGTACTTTCTCGTTGACCCCGTAAAGTCGGGTCAGCCCTGGACAGTTTCGCGTCGTGCCCTGGACGAGAGTAGTTCTTCCAAGTGAGCCTCGTAAAGTCAGGCCAGCCCTAGACAGTTTCGCGTCATGCCTCGGACGAAGTCGTAATTTTTTTGTTGACCCCTTAAGGTCGGGTCGGCCCCAGGCAGTTTAACGTCATACCTCGGACGAAATCGAGATCTGAAGATGGTGATTGGTATGGGGATCAAGAGTCCTAAAGTCCTAACTCTTAGCATAAGAAAGAATATAAGAAAGATGATAGGAAGATAGGAAGGAAGAGAGAGGAAGGAGCGTTGATGAGGGGGTTTCAAATGGGTAACGGCGGATCGACTCGGATCCAGTGCGTCTCGCGAAAGCGTTTGCTTATCCCTGCGAGTCTGCTCCGCCGAGAGTCGTCGGGATACTAGGACTACCCAGGGCCCCAGGACAGGGTGTTGTTTGAAGGGGAGAGAGTTGGATGGGGAAAGAGTGTGATGGAGGAAGAGTGTGGTGGGAGGAGCGTGCCGAGTACTTTTTTTCTTTTCTTTTCACAAACCCACTTGCTTTCTTTTCCCCACGTCGTCCACACCCGTACCTCGCACCTTCCTGCGGGGACTTTGGTCATCGTCACTAACGTGCCATGGCGGAAGGTGAAACCATGACTGTGAGAATCCGCCTTCGGCGTTGGATAGGACGAGTTAATGTGTGTAAAAAAGGGGAAAAGATGCCGTCGCTCGGAGGCAGAACTGAGAACTAAAGTCACCAGCCGGAGACTTCCTATCTCCTGTATTCTTGTCCTTGTTCCTCCCTCGTTATAGGCCTAATCTTATGACAACGCATTCCGCAATTGCAGCTCGCAAACCCAGAAAAGCAAGCAGCCTCGCCTGGATCATGATACATGGAAAGTTCTCACAGGGCCCGACCTATCGCGGACGAACACGGTGAAGCACAAATGCGGATAATAAGGACCTCACCGAGGAACACACCTCCATCGAGTGCAAGGTAGCAAAAGCAGTCTAGGCAGAAGAACGAAAGGCTATCTCGAGGAAGGTGCGGGAGGGCGAGATGTATTCGGGAAGGTGCGGGAGGTGTGGGAGGTGCATGTAGTGTGGAAGGTGTGGAAGGTGTTGAAGGAAAGGTGTGGAACGAAGCCAGAAGGCGCTCTTTCCCTTGCCTGCCCGGCTTAGATTTATGAGCAGTGCTACACGTATGCCCGTTCGACGACCTCAGTGTCGTTGCATCCGGCTGTGTACTACGCCCACTTGGCTAGTAGCCGAGCGCGTGCTCAAAGTGTCCTGTTTAAGAGAAGGAGCCAGAGGCAGATATCAGAAGCTCTAATTCTTAGAACTTGGTTTCAAACGAAGTTGATATCGACCATGGATACTAAGGAAGTAAGACTTCAGGGCGTAGCCTCAAGTGCTCGGCAAGCAAGTGTGCATTTTGATGAAAGAAAGCAGGCGCGATGCAGCTGATCCCATGATGTCAGTCTGTTGGTTAGTGTCATTGATCAATCGCCAAGTACTGTCTTGGTACTTTCAGCTTGGAGCCGGCCTGGCCGTATGGATCGTCGTCGGAATTTGATGTTAACCCAATGAAGCGGGCGAATCTTCTGGCCAAAACCCTACCGATCGATCTTCGATCACTAGCCAGGCTGTGTGGTGTCATCCAGTAATCTTCGCCGTCCCGCCTCCCAGCGCATGCAGGTTCGAACATTCTTCTCGAAGGACCCTGGGAACCCTGGGAGCCCGGGACGCCTGGACACCCATTTCGTTCTAGCGAACCAGCGCAATCGGGCACAAGACCGGACCACAAAGCAAAGCAATGACGAAGTCCTTAGACAACTTAGTTTCACTAGACGCAAGCGGTGGAAACTGTTTCTCAAATAGAATAGATAAAAGTAGGCCAAACCTATGTTCAAATGCGCACCCCAGTAGATAGTCGTAACCTCAGTCTGGGAGATGCCGACTATGATAGATTGGAGAAGTCCTGACATCTAATCTCACATTCTCTCAATCAATTTCAATATTATATCCCAGATCACTACTACATATTAGGTTACTATCCTCAGTAGTGTAAGGAACTTAGTTACCCCCAATATATACCTTTCCCCAGCACAAGCAAGATCAACAAAACTAACATGATCAAGATTGAGCTTCTCCAGCTCCAATTGTCGCATTATGGATCAATGACACATTCCATCACTACCGATTGATCCATGGTGACGACTGATTATGCGCTGAACCCCTTATAACCTTAATAGGTTATGAGCCCAGTGCTCTACCCCTGAGTTACCCTCAAGAAGGCACATGACGCACTTAACAAATTCAAGGTAGCTCCCGACCTTATTTTCTGCATCCTTCGAAAGGACAGAGAGGACCTTTTATGTTCACTTGAAGAAGTCGGCTGATTGTCGCCTTGCAGTTCTTACACAGATGCTAATTTCCAACCATGTGAACAAGAATAACCCCCAGTACCATAGTAATCCCACCCTTCTTCAAGGTGCCGACCCAGTTTCCTCACGTCCAAGCATTCCTGTTGCATGCCTCCTTCTCCAATGTCCTCCAGTTACTAAGGTACAGTAGACAGCAAGTCTCAGCCTCGTTATCAAATATTCTTTACAGAGAATGCCTCGACAAATAGGAGGGGGAAAACTACTTTGTTTGGTATTGCCCTGGTTTGAGGCATTTTACTCTCGAGGTGTGTTCATGGTGTTGGCTGTGAAACTGGTGAGCCTGACTCCGCCCACTGATCACAAGCCTGTGTATTTAGCAGCTCAAGAGCAAGTCGTGAATGTATCTTGGGCTGTGTGACACTGCAACAGTGCTCCTCCCTTGGCTGCCACGACGAGTGACTGCGTCACACCTCGACAGCTCTTTCTTCACACAGCACGCGGTGAATAACATTGTAATCGTGACTGTGATCGTCTAGTCTATTCAAGACTTCGAGTTGCAAATTTGTTGTCGTTAATGCCTCGTGTCACTATTGTCATCTTCATTTCATTTCCGTACTCTTTTCAGCTCCGTTGCCCCTCACTCTCCCATTGATCGACACCACCATTTCTTTCTTCTTTTTCTTTTTTCCTTTTTTGGTCTGCCTTCTTATTGTTTTCGTGGCTGGTAATTGTTAATTGTTTGCCATGGAGACGAGCTCCTGGTTTACAAGTGGCTAAGGGATTTACTCCCTTGTTTCCTCTCGGCGTTTCCTCGCAGCTATTTGTATTGTTTAATTGATTTTTATTTTCGAGCTCGAGCTCCGATTTTGTTGACGACCCGACGCCAGGCCTACTTCGCCCGTCATCCGACAGTGAGCTTAAAGCAACCACTAAGATGGGGCACATCGCCGACGCCCTCACCGCGGCCAACATGTCACGTCCGGTGGCTAGTTTAGGGAGGGAAGTTCAGTCAGCTCGCTCGGCCGCCTTCAGGGCCGCAGTGGCAAAAGGCACGGCGGAACCTCTGATAATGCCTTACTGCTTCTTCGGTACCTTTATCATACCCGCCTTGTATCTGGCTATTCCTCACACAAACAGACCGTGGCTCTATCGTGCTCGCTTCGCCGTAGCTGCCTTGATCGCGGCCTTTAATGTGCGGTTGATAGCTCACACGTCCGGCTCGAATCCCGCTATAGCCTATGGCTCGGGGCTGTATGGCTACTGGGGGATCATGAATTGCCTTGCCATGCTTGTCTGGTCCAACCCGCAGTTTGACGCCGCCCGCATCGTGAAAGTCAAAGCAGAAGATTTTCCGGGAAAGGGGGCGGAGAAGGGAGAGTGCAAGGAAGGACAAATCGATCAGCTTATTGGCGGCAACCAAGAGGGCAACCAAGAGCCGAAACCCAACGGAAATGGCCACCCCAAGCCGTCTCTCGAGCCTAGTGAGCCGGCTGCGGTCAAGGACTCATCACCCTTAAGCGGAGGCGTGGTGCGAGGCGAGGAGGGATACATATATTATTGGGAGCCCTACCCGAAGAATGCGCCGTTCCTCTACCGCTTCAGCTGGGCTACTGACCTAATGACGACCTTTCGAGGTGAAGGTACGTGCTAATTTTCTTTCTCGAGTGGCATTATTGTATGGACTTCTTCTAAACGCTCCACACCCATTTTGCTAGGCTGGAACTGGGCCATCCCAACTGTTCCCCATCCTCCACGGCCGAAAGTTCATGGCCAGTACGAGAGAGTGAAACTCGAGGCGATCCCAAAAACCGCTCGATCAGGCTGTACTCGGCACGACACCGCCAAGGCCTATCTCTATGGAAATCTCAAGACCTTCGCCACGACGTATGTCCTTCTCGATGCTATGAGCACTTACATGAGCATGGATCCTTTCTTCGTCGTGGGTCCCAGTACATTACCGCCTCCGTCCTTGCTGCGGCCAATTCCCCTGCCCCTCCTCAATTTCGGCCGAAGCGTCTTGTTCCTCATCTCCGTATATCAAGTCGTTCTGCTGGTGATGAGCTATCTCGATATCCTGCAGTACTTCATCGGAGGCTATTTTTATCCCATCAGGAGGGAAGCCTGGCAACACCCTTCCATATTCGGATCTTTCTCGTCCATCTTCGACCGTGGACTCGCCGGCTTTTGGGGCGGCTGGTGGCATCAAACCTTCCGCGTCCCCTTCACGGCCCCCGTGGCTTGGATGGTCGTAAACGGGTACCTGTCGGCCGGGTCCGAAACCACCAAAGTCCTCGGCGTCCTCTCCGCCTTCTTGAATTCGGGCCTCCTGCACGCCTGCGGTTCCTACACTACCGTCCCGCCCACGAAACTCTATCGCGCGCCGCTCTTCTTCACCCTGTGCGCCCTTGGCATCTTCGTCCAGCAGGCTTTATGTCGCCGGCTCACGCCCGTGCTAGCCCGCGTTCCCATGCCGCTGAGACGCTCTGGGAACTTCTTGTTCGTGCTTGTTTGGCTTTGGGCGACATGCTGGCCTCTGGCTCATGACTTTGGGACAGCGGGCTTGTGGCTTTTTGAGCCAGTGCCTGTGTCTATCTTTAGAGGGCTTGGGTTGGGGGCGGAAGGGGAGTCGTGGTGGAGATGGGATGATTATACGTTTACGTTGTATCGGGGGAAGCGTTGGTGGGAAGTTGGCCTTGCACTCGGTGCCTAGAGCTGTAATAATGAGGTCTCATTGAGGCAGATCGGAAGGGGGACATACAGGCATGGCGTTAGAGGGTATTGCTATTAGTATCATGAGTTTATGGCCTGCTTAGCAGACAACGATAGACGGATAGAAATGCTTTCATAGACTAGAACTACTAGTGTTACTCGTACTACTTTTTTCTTTTTCTTTCTAACTTCTAATTAATACACTCAGGCTTGTAAGTCTGATCATGAATGCTCACAAGTCATCGTCATGTCACATTTCGGTGTTTCTGCCCCCCAGCCTAAGCTTACGTTTGAGCTTCTTGCTCGATTCAAGATTTACCATCTCCTTCTCAATCCAATCAATCACGCCCTCATACCCAGGCTGCTTCGCCCTGACGACCCGTCCAAAAGCCCCCAACGTAGCCACCTGAACCTGCGTCCTCGATATGGCGCACTCGTAACCGGGGAAACGCGCCCTCCTCTCCTTGGACGTGAGGAGCGAGTACGCAACGTCGATGAGCTTCCGGATCGTGCGCACGAAAACGTGCTCGCGGGGCCTCTTCTCGCGCGGTAGGCACCGAATGTAGGCGCACGCCTTGCGGGCCGTCTCGGCGAGGGCGGCGTCGAGGTTGGAGAGGGAGAGGGAGAGGGGGTTGTGGGATGTGTCGTAGAACATCATGTGGGATTGGAGGCGGAAGGCGTTGAGGGTTTTGCGCTCGAAGTTGCGGCCTGGGCGGCGGGAGGATTCTACCGTGAGGCAATCGTCGGTGGTTGTCAGCTGTTTTCCCCCGGTGGGGCGGTTTTTGGAGATGGCGAGGGTCGTGGAGTCGATGAGCGTGCCGCAGTAGGGGAAGCCCCCGGAGGATGGGTCCCATTGAGGGAGCGGTTCAGAGTCGATCTCCATTGGGAAGTTGACGAGAGTTTTCGCCCGGCTGACAGTGACGCCGTAGTCGGGGAGGCCGGCATGCATGACTTTTATGAAGCGCTCGGCTTTGGCCTTATCTGTCGTGATGAGGAGGAAGTCGTCGATGAGCCGCAGCAGGAGTGTTTCGTCGTCGTCCGCAAGGAAGGAGAGATGTCTCCGCTCGAGATCGGCGTAGAAATAGTTGCAAAAGGCGGTCGAAAGGATCGATCCCTGAGGGACGCCGCACTTTTGGCGATAGTATTTCTTGCCGATTTTAATGAGATTACTCTCGACGTGAGAAGTGAGGAGAGATATTAGGGCTTTGGTTTTGAACACGCGCTTCATGACGTTGTCGACAAAGATTGTGTTCCGCTTGTTTGGTGCTAGTTTCGACTTGAGCTGCTGCGAGAACCGGGTATTGTCTTTTGACGTGGAGGCGAGAGAGAGCCACCGTTTCGATGGCTTGATGATGGTGACGCCAGCCTTATTCTGCGCCGCATCTCCCGGCTTAACTTCAACGTACTTTGATATGAGATATTGTACGTCTGATGGGATCGTCTTCATCAGCTCGACTACGGCTGCTTGGGGTATGGTATCGAAGGCGGCTTGGACGTCTACTTTGGCAAAGTAAAACATCTTCCGTGGACCTTGTGGCAACTTTGAGCAGAAGGACTTGAGCCGCGTGTACAGGTCTGGGACAGAGAATAGAGAGGCGCCGAGCCGAGCAGGATCTCGGTCCTGTAGTTCTCCACGTTAGTTCGTATCCAACACTGTACAAGGGGAAATATCATTTTCTTCATCCGCACCTTTTCCAAGGATAGCATGCTGTGAACGGGTGCTAGTATTGAGTTGATGCTAGGCCCCAAGGTCTGCCGCTCTCCTCTCAGGAATGCTCTCCTACGGAGGTTCATGATGGGCCTTAGAGTTGAGTCTTTCGGAAGCAGCCTTAAATGACTAGTTCCAAGGGTCCGCGAAGCAAGGATTTCTTTGGCATCGCTCGTGTTGATCTCCTCCAGGAGTCGAGATTTAAGCGCAGCAGTGGCAGGTTCAGCGATGCGCCGCCAGACATCGTGCCGAAAGTAGAATAGGCGGTATTTGTGCTTGCCCGAGTCCGTAACGTAGAAGTTGGACCGGATTAATGGGATCAGGAGCGAGTCAAAGACGTAGTATAGGAATTCGAGGAATATCTCTACCCTCTTTAGCTTGTCCGTATTGGTCATTTTTGTGCCTCTCAAGTGAGGCGGTGCGAGCCATTCAATATCGGACACCTACATCGAGTCGTAACGCGTCAGTTAGTAGGACACTTGTTGGCGGTTGAGAGAGAAATCTAGTACCTTGATTCCTTGATATACATCATGGAGAGACATATTTTCAAATCTCCTTAGTCTAATGAAACGGTCGACGTTTCGCAAAACAAGCTCCTTGTTATGCTTCTGCGTCGAGCCTACTCCCCAAAATTCGTTGGGAATGATTTTTGACAAGACTCTTTGGCAGAATGCAGAGACCTGGGAGACAGGAGTGGCTAGATCAACAATCGACTTGCCTTCTAGGTTGAGTGTGGGTGCCTTTTTCGATCTTCCATTTTTCGCGCTCTTTCGTTTGCTAGCCTTCTTTCCCGAGCTGTTGCAGACTCTCACGGATGTAGACCCCGCAGGCGCAGGCTTCCATTCGATCCGCTGCGAGTGAGCGACGCGCTTATGAGCGCCGCCGGTCAATGGGTTTGGGCAGTAGTGGTCGAGAATCTGGACATATGAACATCGGGCATGGAGAATCTGTAAGCGCTCTACGAGCTCTTTCGGCCGGCCGCGGAGTCGCTTAGGTAGGCGAATCCGAACTGCGAAGTTCCCATCGCAAGCCTGGTCGACGCGGCGAAACACGCTAGAAATCTCGTCTTCTCGTAGAGTGTAGTCCTGAAATTTCTGGGCACTCTTCTGACGGTCAACTTGCGACGTAAAGACATTGTGGAGGCCAAACTGGCGAGGGAACATGTACGCCATGACCCTGAGTGTGTTGTCTTCGAATTCCCGATTACCGCCGCTGTCGACCCCGGTCTTTCCTTGCTCGCAAGCTTCCTTGGGCACGTATGGAGCACGGTTTAAGATGTCTAGTTGTTTCGGGTTAGTGCGGATAGCTAATATGCCTATGCTAAGAGAGTAGGAACATACGGATATGTCGGAGGCCTATTTCGACGTTGCCTCTTGCAGTCAACCCAGCTCTAGCGTAAAGAATTCGGCTTCTGACGAAGGTGATTTCCCCAGGTGACCTTACAGCTGGATTCTTAGGCCTGCATGGCGTTCTTGGCCTGTCTGACTCGGGAGGATCCATCTGGATGATGGGGTCTAGCTCGGAGAGGGGAGTGCCTGGTCAATGTTAGCTCCTCCTGGCAATAGAGAAGAGCAGATCCTTGCTTACTTACCACTCAGCTGCCACATGTTTCTGACTCCAGAATCCACGGAAACATAGACAGCGCAGTCAACTAATAGGTCAACCATGATGCGTTCCCCTGCCTGGCCTAAGAGAAGGAGCAGCTGTGGCCATGGCGGCCTTTTAAGAGCTTCTACATGGTGATTCGGATATATTGACAGCAGGTTAGGGATGGACGGCTTGACTCCAGCAGGGCCACCCTGCCTTTGCGTGTTGAGTCCAGTAGTCTTTCGAAAACCATCACAAAGAATATGCTTAGGCCTGGCTCTGGCTTTCTCCGCTCTGGAGAAAAGTAGCCAAACAGCAAAGTCTACAAGCTGTTCATCCCAGTTAGCTTATAAAGAAATGGTTTCCGCGAAAGGAAAAAGAAAGAAGAAAAATTCGAGAGGAAAGGAGTGAGGGAGAAAGGAGTTATTGGCTTGTGGGTTTACCGTACATCTGGGTGGGAAAAGGTGCCTTTACCCGACAAAGAGACATGGGACTCATCGTTCCTTTGAGAGAAGGTCACCCATTTCCCCCATCGCTCGTCCGTCTGATCATAGGGTTCCCCCGACAGACCTACAAGTGTGGTATCGAGTAGTCGACATACTTCTGTCTCGACCTTGGTGAGGACACCAATGGCTGTGCCAAGGCGAGATATCTTTCTCTTTCGAATCCGCGATGTGGTTGGAAGTCTTGACAGAACATACTCTCTCAGAGTAACAACGCTTGGATAGTATTGACTCAGAATCACACGGCTCATGGGCAAGCGGACCTGGTTTCCACCGGCTCCGCGATCGTCCGTCCGGACACGCTTTGCTTTATCCGATGACTCGTCGCCATCCTCACGGGATCTCTTGGGGTTTCTCGGCTGTGTCATGGTCGCTCTGGGTAAGCTTTAAGGGGCGCAAGGGTCTGCCATGGGCGACGAGGAGACATGGCCCTTGCCGCGAGACATGTGCTAACAAAGCCAACACAATATTAATAGTCGACAATGTTAAGGGTCGAAGGAAACCACGGCAACGGGCGAGTGAGACAGGATCTCAACAGTTGTCTTGGTGGTGGGAACTGGGAAAGGGCAACGGAGAATAGGGGCGGACAAGTATCCCTTGCCGCTACACTTATCACAGCCAATTTCCCTTCCCAGTCCCATTCCCAGCTCGTCTCTCGGGATCGTCAAAATGCCGAAGCTGGGCCTCAGCAATTGGACGTTGGAATGCTGCTGCTTGTAGAAATAGCGGGAGTTGGACGGTTGACGTCCATCAATCCTCTCCAGGATGGCAAGTCGACTCGTGTAAGATCCAAGCCGCGTCTCGTGTATTTGCTGTGCTTTTCTGGGAATCAATTGATGATGGTACCTCAGAGTGTACAGGTACATGGGGCAGTGAGTGTGTTACGAGGAAGTCAACGGTACCCTGAAATCAACCAATTGGTCAATCAATCAGTGTAAGAGAGACATCATTGCCAGCTGCCCAGGGCATGGCCAGGCCTAGTCGGGCCTGACCAACCAAAAAAGGTAGCTTCAGCCCTGGACGGGATTAGCTCAGCGATCGTCGTGAAGATTAACTTTGGTGCCCCTGGATCATTGACGCTGGAAACGGGCAACAACATTGAACAATTTGAATTGAAAAGGTTGAGCTTAATCCAACTTCGAGATGCGTTCACAAAGGGACGGGCAAAGGGCAATACTGCCGCTGCAAGAATAACCGCATGATAGTGGCGTTTTCGCTGCAATGAACTGAGACTAACTTTCGACTTCGCTCCACTGTATTTCTGCAGTTGCTTCAGGTTGACTACCCAAGCCGGCCTGGCTAACAAGAGCAGGGCTTGGTAACTGCCGAGGCTTTTTAGCTGTCCTCAGCTCATTGATGTTTCTGTCTTTTGTCTTTGCCTGGCGATGAAGCCATCATCTCCAGTTATCGACTTTAAGGACGCACGCCAACTACGTAGTGCCGGATCCGGCATGAGTATTCGAATCCTCCGTCTCTCCCTTCGAATACCATCGGGTGTGGATGTGAGGCAGGTGCTCCTTTGTGAGAAGACATCCGCGTATGGTAACATCGTCTCCTGAACCTCGTGGTCCGGCCCGACCGCCGTCATACCGAGATGATGGTCCCTCCAAGATGAGAGTTACACCCGCCAATGGGCTAAGTCCACATGCACTTCCATTTACATGGGTCTATCCTGCCATCGAGATTCAATATTATTATTAAGGATGCTACACTAGACTCTGCCGAAGAGAAAATTTTGCAGTTTCGTGGAGAATGCTCCATTTTCGGACAGTGTCCAGCGAGTGCCAACGTGGTGATGGTCGTACTAGTCGTGGTCGTGGTCGTGGTCGTCGCTTCATTGCTTCATCGCAGAGCCATGAAAAAGGGACGGATTTCTCATTATGAATGGACAGCCGCCAGCAGGTTCAGTCGAGTTGAGGGTTTGAAATAATGCCGCGAGGATGCCGGAAAAATCCAGGGGAAATTATTTTCAGGGGATTAATTTATATTGATAGTAAGTAAGTGGGTGGGCTGCATCTCGAACGATTCTGGGGAAATTCAAAATACCTAGGTCCTGTTGCAATCCCCGGTCTGTCTGAATCAATTCTGAGATTCAGGAACAAGTTCTGTCCGGCCTAGCATCCGACTTTCTCGTTTATCTTCATAAGATAGCTGCGGTTCAGAAAGAAAGAAAACCCTGTGCTCACTGTCCAACCGACGATTTCGAGCCCAGCGAACCCAGTAAACCAATCTCCAGACGAGGTGAAACATGGCGGTCGTGTGTCGCTGACAAAGCTCCAGTCGACTCGTTTTTCTCCTGCAACGTTCATGTTCTTCCCAGCCTCGTTCAGTGCTGTTCGCTCACAAAGAGAGGTGCAGCATTAGCCTCAAAAGGGCACTTCCCCCCGCACATTTGCACCACGAACTCGGATAGTGTTTGCTTCCGAGCCAGGTCACGGTCGTTGCTTCATAAGTTCGTATTGCTTGGTTGATGGTTGGGAGATGAGCTAGAGCAGAAACAGCCAAGTCTACGCGAAGGATTGAGTCCTGCAATTCAAAAATAGACTCATTCACTTCAGAAAAAAAATATGTACTGCGTAGTATCAGCCCTCGATACCTCGATTGTAGCATGAACTCTACCCCATCCTATCAAGACCCGCCCAGATATGTGTTCATCGGGTCAGATCAATGGGACCAGACTGCCCATCCAATACTGCGTGTGTTCAAGGTGTGCGTATGAAAGAGGAATACGAAGGAGGCTCAGAGTAGCAGGTACTTCCGTTCCGTGTGTATGCGTGTGTTGTCTCCGAAGTACGTACTTCGTAGTCCTTTCCTTCCCTTCCACTTCGCAGAGTCCAACCAAATCTTGACCAAGCCCCACAGTAATTGAAACGGCAGTAGCAACAGGAGGAGGTATTTACCTTGGAGTCTTGGACGAACAATGCCTGGTCTACGAAGTCGTCTGGCCAGGCTGTGGCGTTAATAACTAGTGCAGCCCTGGTGTATTACTATGGAGGACACTAAAATGCCCAAAAATTTAGGTGCGAAGGGATGTGGGCTTCTTTGGGAAATGTCAAGAGAGACAAATGAAGCGGATTTTGATGTCTTCCCTGGATGGGACCCTGGGCCATTTTATTACATACCTCGTGCGACTTGGTCGTGGGGAGAGGAGGTACTTGATAATTACGAAGTATTACTCTTGCGAATGTATACGAAGGAAGGAAAGTACACTGCGAAGTATGCGAAGTACGAAATATTGATCGATGCATTGTGAAGGGGACTTCGGAAGGTACGGTTATTCAGAGCAAAAAAGTACGTGGTACAATTGTACCAGAAGTACTCACATCCTTTGATAAATTTCATGTGTGATGAAAGGAGGACTGAAGGTACTCCAATTATCGCGTATTACCTCTCAACTGGCCCTCTACACTATTATCTTGCCTCAGTACCTTGCAGCCTCAGTACCTTGCAAGGTATTTTCCTTCGTCCTCACAATTACTCGCCCTGGCTGGTCCTCGCGTCGCCCCCCCAAATTCGTGCGATTCCCGGGCTCGTGTGGCGTTGCGAGACAAGAAACACTGACCAGTGTGTGAGAGCCCCAAATTAATAGGTTCCGACCTTGCTCAGCTCAACCAACGCCCATTTGCCAGCGTCACTTGCTCTGCAAGAAACCTCATCCATTTGTTATGACGGTCCACTCATGTCCAAGGCCAGCTCATCAATGATCCCACGCCTAAACAACCCCCCACCGCTTGCATGGTCCTTCAACTCCTAATACCCCCATCCCGCAAGCCTGCCTAACGGATGCCAGGGTCAGAATGGAGGCTGAAATTCGAGACGAGGACTATCGATTGGGACCCTCGGCCATCGATGATCCCCTCGCCGCCCAGCATCACCGACCATCCCAACTCCAGCAGCAATACCAACTACACACGCACACGCACTCACACCCGCACCAGCTCCACCACTACAACCAGCGCCTGCACGAGCACGAGCACGAGCACGAACGCGAGCAGGCCTACCCCGATTATTCTAGCCACCATCGCCAGCACTTAGGCCAATCCGACGATCCCCGATTACACTCGTCGTTTCTTGACCCGGCTTTTCCACCTCATCCGCGTTCACCCCCTTCCAGCACGGCCCAACCGACCCAAATCGCCTCACCTGTTAGCAGGTACACAGATACCAATTCGAGCGCCTTCACCGCCAATAATCTAGCCTTGACTTCACTAGATCCTCATGACTTCTATAGGAGTTACCAAGCTGTGGATACTGGTGCACTAGCTGCCCGCGAAGAAGACGTCCCAATGGCGACTACAGCCTCTTCGCGAACCGACATCTCACCCTCTCAGTCAACTCCTAGCCATCCGTCCTCCCGACATGCTCCGGCCGCCAACGGCTCTCGTACCCCCCTCCGCCAAAATCTACGCTCCGTCTCCGCCCCTCTCGGCAATGATCGCCCTCCGCTTAGTCTTCCCAAGGCGGGCTCGGCAGGCCAACCCAGCGTCAAGGACCTGAGGAAAAAGTTTGATCAGGGCACCTCACCGTCTATGATTCCTCGACCGCCTGCTCGTTCCTCGTTGATACACCGTCCTACGTACTCATCCAGGAGTAGAGCCACGACGCCGACAACCGGGCTAGCCAGACCTAGCCAAGCCTCCAGCACCACCTCCTCTAGGTCCACTGGCGCAAGAAACCAATCGTCAACAACCGATCTGGGCCGCTCGAGCGGGTCGAGGTCATCTCAGACCGGCGGTGGACAATCGTTTGCTAGCCGGATCAACAAGCCCAAGTCTAGTGCTTCCTCCAAATCCCTAAACGCAAAGCCTATGACCCAAACCTCCCGCCATCAATCCTCGGGCTCTTCGCCTTCGTCTGCCGTCTCGCATTCACGGAACCCTTCTCACTCTTCGCAACCCATATTATTTGGCGAGATCCTCCCGGAACAACGCGACACGCTGGCGTTAGGCTACGGTATAGAAGACGCCCTTCCGCGGCAGCCCTCGGACGTCGAATCCGACTCACGGCGGCAGGCTCTCCCCGATTCGGGAGACGCCGCCCCAGACTCTCCAACCGACTGGTACCGACCTGAGAAAGCGACCTCCAGCAGTGAACCTTCTGCCCGTTCTACGTCAACGCTACACCCCGACCAGCAAGATGGTAGCAATAATGCTCTCCCCCCTAGCTCTCCGGGCTCCCGTCATCGACCGACCTCACCCGCTGTCAAACGACCAGGATCGAGCCGACGATTCAACAGCATATCTAGCGATGCGGGTCTGCCCCCATCCGGCCTGCCTTCTCCGAGTTTTAGGCGATCCTACGACTCAAAATCCTCCTCCAGGGCTGGGACTCCTTCGGGAAACCGAGCGAAAACCCCGACAGAACCGCGTTCCGGTCGGAAGCAGCCGCCCCGGAATATCATTACCCCAATCAACACTACGAACAATAGCACTAGACTTAGTGCGATCATATCGACACCGCCGCCTAAACTCTCACCACCCCTTAGAAGCTCTAGACCCAGGCAGCCCGTGTCAGTTGCTACCACTGCGAGTTCTAGGTTGAAATACGCCGACCGCACACCAAAGTCGCCGAATAAGCAGTCTTGGAAATCGCCATCAGCGAGTGATGACAAGAGTACACGGAGGAGGAAACCATCTGTTGGCAATATTGACTTTGAACAGCGAAGGGAGCACGTCAAATTAGCCTATCGAAAGTCCATCCGACAGTCTAGAATCCAAGATGCGAAGCGAGCAGCGAAGAATCGACCGAGCGACGAAGTCGAAGTTGTTCCGGAGTCAGAGGCGACTCCAACCTCCGACCAGCCCACGATTACGTTATTAGACGGCACACCGACAGACGTCCCATCTCTGAAGCTCGTGCCCGATGAATCGATAGAACCTGGCGATACCAGAGAGTCGCGGGACATCATCCTGTTTGACAAGGATATTCCCGATGCGACCGCTGACTCTCCCACTCTGGGAATCCCTGGCAGTTTCCCCGCTATGAGTCCGCCACTTGGCTCCGACGAGATAGCTCCTCCATCCGCAGTATCGACAACTTCTGATATGACCGAGTTCGATAATGAACCTCAGACCGATCTGGACATACAACTCTCTTCCGCAGCAGCAGTTATCGGGGGCGATGATGCTTATCCGAATAATGCAGTTGCGGATGCGGAAAGTCGCAACATTCAGGATGAGGACAATCTCCCTACGCCCGCCAGGGCCGAATACCAATACCCATTTGAGGAAGATGAAGGGAATCTAAACGAAGATCAAATTAACGAGAACACCAATCTCCCCGAGGAAATGGTGGTAGAGATAGGTCTAGATATCATGGACACCCCTACACTGCCGCCTGAAGACATGGTAGCCCGCGTCGAATTCGAACGGGTCGAATTCGAACAGCCTTCCGTGCCCGGTGCCTTCAAGGACGACTACGAGGTTTCTCCCTATGCTCCAGACTCTTACGAGACCAGAGTACGCGTATTGAGGCGTGAGTCTGACATGTCTCAGTTCACTGGATCGCAACATAGCCATGCGCCCTTTCCAGCCTACGACTACGAGGAGCGGGGATATAGTCTCGACCTTGAGGCCCGGGATGTTCTTAATAACATCCACCACGGTGGCGAGGATTCGCTTACGGATGATGCTTGCTCTGCGGAGGCTCAGGAGGACGGCGACAATAACGAGGCTTATTATTCCCCCCAGGCGTACCTAAGGAACGGCGCTTCATCTAACCGAGCATCGACTTGCGAATCATTTGACGCTTCCCATTCCGACGAGCATCATGCGGCGTTGACGGCAAGCGGGCTTGGTATTAGACGGACTCCTGATCCGGGGCAAATGCTAGGAGTCCCTTCCATGCTCATGTCTGGCAACCGGTCGAGTCAACACTCAAGTTGGACGGACTTTTCTATTGATAGCAGTGAGCCCTCCGACGGTGTTGCGCCAAGATCGTCGAGAAATCGGCTCGACCCATCACCCTTACCCAAGCACGCCACCAAGTTCCCCGACGAGGACCTGATCGCCGGGAGCCTTCAATTATCGGCAAGAGATGATGCACATCTCGCCTCCGTGGAAGACACAGATGGAGATGAGCAATCCTACACTATCAACCATCAACTGCCCGAACTGGACACGGGCGAAGGATTCGAGATCCCGTATCTGGCCCAGAAGCCCATAGAAGAGGAAGAGGAACCACCCCAGCCAGAGGCTACGGTGCCGCTACCCGCTCATGAACCGCCCCCGATACCAATCGTCGAGAGCGAAGTGCGTCAGACGCCTGCGAGCAGCCTCTACGAACAGCCTGGTAGTACCCTGGTTGGTTCTCAGCGCGAAAGTGAGGAGTTTACGCATTCGCCCTCGGTTCGTGAGTCTATGCACCGACCATCTTTTGATCATTCCGGAATAGGTCAACAGGCAGATACAGTCGATGATGTCAGCACTATTGCTGGCACGGAAAGACACGAACGGTCCAGCAAGGAGAGGCATCGTCTCGTCCAACGACGAAACGTACTTAAGGAACTTGTTGACACAGAGGCCATCTTCGTCCGCGACATGAACGTCGTCGAGGAGATATACAAGGGTACGGCGGAGGCTTGTCCGAAGCTTGATGACAAGACAATCAAGTTGATATTCCGGAATACGGACGAGATTATCGCATTCCATACGGCATTCCTGTCCCAGCTGAAAGAGGCAGTTGCTCCGGTATATCAACTTGCAGGCAGGAAATCCCCGCCTCCTGGGGAGGACTCCAGGGCGTCGGAGGTGACGATTAATTCATCAGGCAGCCACTCCACGACTAATGAACCAGACGACGAAAAGGATCGCCTCGTCGCACTCGGTCCCGTATTCAAAGCGAACATCGACATGATGAAGGCGGCACATGAGGGGTTCCTCAGGAACAGCGACCAGGCTGCCAAGAGGCTCATTCAAATTCAGCAAGATCGAACAGTCAACGTCTGGCTTACCGAGTGTAATGAGGTAGCGAAAGATCTAACGGCAGCTTGGGACTTGGATTCCCTCTTGATCAAGCCCATGCAGCGAATCACCAAGTACCCGAATCTCATCATTACCCTCCTCCAGCATACCGCCGAGGATCACCCCGACCGTGCAGCGCTAGTGGGCGCCAAGGAAGCCCTAGAGACTGCCATTATCGAAATTAACAAGACAAAGAAAAACTTTGAGCTTGTCGGCCAGATAGTGGGCCGAAAGCGAAAAGAATCCGACGTAAAGGCCGGCTTCGCCAGGGCTTTCGGCAAGCGCGTCGACAAACTGCAGGCGTCCAATAACCGCCCGGCCGAGGATGCCGCATACGTCAAGCTGCGCGAGCGGTTTGGCGATGATTATCTCCGGCTTCAGGTAGTCCTCCGTGATGTCGAGTTTTACACGCGCCAAGTAACTTCGTACGTTCACGAGTTTCTTCAATATCTGTCGTCCATGGAACTTGTCATGAGATTGCAGGCGAGTCCATTCCCGGAGGTCGAGAGCAAATGGGTCCGGTTCAATGTGTCCATGAGAGACATTGAAAAGGTTGCATTAGAGAATCATGTAAGTCTTACCCCCTTTGAAAGCAAAGAACGCCCTGGCATTCGCATTCAAGCACCCTGGTCAACACATGCCGCTTTCACGTTTTTACACACGCAGAAAGAAAAATGGATTTCCCTTCAGCTCGATACATTCTTGTGGCGTCCATGCGAAACTGACGGACAAATGATGATAGCTCTCACGGGTCAGGAAAAACGTGATTGAACCCTTCGAGATGGTGATCAAGTCCTACGGAAACCCATCTCTTGCAATGAAGAAACGGGCGAAACGTCGGCTAGACTACGAAAGGGCGGAACAGCTCAAGAAGAGCGGGAAGACTATTGACTCGAAGCTAAAGGAGCTCGTAGAGCAATACGAGGCTCTCAACGACACCCTGAAGAAGGAACTCCCCAAACTGTCGGAGCTCACGGTCAAGGTTGGCAACATCTGCTTAGCGAACTTGGTGAACTTGCAGGTGGAATGGTATTCCATTTGGAAGGAGAAGGTCAAGATGCCACTTGAGGGCTGCGACGAGGTGCCGGAAATCAACCATATTATCTCGGCCTTCCAAGGAGATTACCAGTTCGCGCTTGATGCTGTATCAGCGATCGGCATTGTCAACCCGTCGTGCAAACCAAGGACATCTCAGTCAACGAGAGCGAGCACGGACGAAAGCATCACAAAGATTCGCCCACGACCAACAGAGCTGTCGCTCCGAGGCAGGGGCCCTTCGGTTAACGGCGACGGTCCACCCAGTCTTCCGACGCCTGAATTTGCAGGCAACAACAGTGCTGGCAGCTTCACGATCTCGCCAACAAGCGTTACCCTTCCCAGCCCGCACCAATACTACTACCAAAACTACTATACGGGCACCAATGGATATCGCGGTGGCGGTGTTTCTCCTATTACTCCGGACGTTTATGGCGCTTCGCGATCGCACACTACTGGGGTTACAGCCCGTCCAAGCACCGGGCGGAGCTTCGATTCAGTTGGAGTGCCGAGACAAAGTTGGGAGTCTAATAACGCCAACAACGTAAGGGATTCGAACTCGACCTCATATAATGTGACATATCCCGGATCGGACGGTCCTCGGCGCTTCTCTGGACTCTTCCATTCGGCACTGCCACTGCCGGATGAAACAGAAGAGAGCCAAAGATCCTCGCGGGCTTCGTCAAGAGAACGGCCAGCAGCATCGGGCGGGTACAATATTCTCTGGCTTGCAGCCTCGCTCTTTGAGTTTCACATTGAAACCACCAAGCACGAGGCGGGGTACCCCTACCTCGTATATGAGGCTGGTGAGGTAAGTTACACGAATCTCGGCGGAAACGAGACCTTCTCTTCTGTTGGTGTCATGAACGCAGTCCCTTTTAACTAACTGCAATCACTTGCATCCAGATTTTTGATGTCATAGCGGAAAAGGGCGAATTGTGGCTCGCAAAGAATCAAGACGACGCTCGGGAGCGAGTTGGATGGATTTGGTCGAAACACTTTGCGAAGCTTGCCGATTCTTAGATGATGATAATAATCTGATATACCAGGGGAGAACGGGACAAAACCGGCGAGAAGAAGAGCCATTCCCTCGGCGCCACCTCGACCACCGACACAGGTGGGTATATAAATGGAAGGTAACGCGACAACAAGATGGGATACAGTCCAGTCCAGCCCTCTCGCCGTTCCTCGACTACACATCAACGACGCCGGTCTTCGGAGACGAGCCAGCCAGCAGGACCCAAGAAAATTCTTCATCATACACGATCATGCTCTGATACGCCCCGTACATCCATCTCTTTTACACATTCATATATGTACACACGCAACCTCTCGCCTTTTCTCTCTCTCTCTCTCTCTCTCTCTCTCGCCCAACTAGATGAGGCATCGCATGGGAATTGAATTGAACCCAGGCAGCAATTCCTAGCTTAGGTTTCGCCTCTACGTACCTCCCCTCCAAATCGCCGTTTACCTTGCGGGAGAACCATACGGTCTTGTATCGGATTGGCATGGATTGTTATAGCATGAATGGGCTATTTTCTTTTTTATTTATTTTTTGGGCCAATGGACGGACGCAATGAATGGTGGATAGGACATCCTCAAGACAGGACAGCGGCGTTGTGTTAGTTTTTGTTTTAACTTTATTCGCTTCTCCTTCTCTATACCGCCTCTCCACATCCACACTGAGTGTGAGTGGGTTAGGAACGGCCTTTTGTGTAACTTGTCTATTCCCACGATACTTGAATGTTTACTTTTCTTCTCCATCATCTTTTTATTCCCGCTTGGCTTGTTGGGTTGCTTTACAAGCCCTGGTATTGAGACGGGGAAGTTTTCAGGAATTTCCTGTAGAATAAATAGGCACGGACTACCTCAGTAGGAGAGTTTAGAAGGAAAGAAGGCAATGGATTTTCCACTCTCAAAATTTTGCATTACTTGGTATACATGTTATTTGAGCTGATACGGGTACTGTTCTTCTGTCCGTCTATTCTATCCTATCCAGTACTTCGCCAGGAAAACGCATCGGACGTGTAAGACATGGCTCTTGAGGGATCAGTCCGCTCTCTGAAACACCGACTTCGGATGGCACAGAAGTTGCATGGCTGGCCACCACGACGAGAATAAGACTGTAGACGTATGGTACGCTTAAGGCGGAAATAAAAGAGAGCATTAGAAACTTTGTTCTGTATGCTTAATTGTCACCAGACCCCCCTTCTTTGAGTTCTTTGAGTCCTCTGAGTCGACGTCGAGAGTTTAAAAGGTCATGATGCAGTCTCAAACAGGACAGATAGAAAGACAGAAAGGCGCATCCCCGGGTCGAATTACGTAACGTGGCGCTGGGTTACGACTGGAGTGGCGATTAGCATCACCGGGAAACGTTGAAGCTTCCACTGGTCGAGCGTCAAAATGCTGGGCTGGCATTAAAGCTTCCCCACGCGCCCCGCCCCTAATGCCTGGTCATGCAGGCTCTATATTGCGGTCCGGTTTCCGCCAATGTTGCAGCACGTTTATTCCTGTGCTTCGTCTGAAGTACGGAGTATTTATAGTGCATTGTGCGAGACGGGTGGTACTTCCGACGTACCAGATCTTTGATCTTCAGGCCAGTTCAATTGTTTGATCTGATCCCCTTTTAAAGCTCCCACTTCCCAATCATCACATAATATATACCGAGTAGTGTTTATCACCTGCTGAGGGATGGCTTGTTCTTTGTTCTTCTATAGAATTGCCGATTGAACGGAGCCCAGCCTTTTCTACTCCGATCGATGGCAACAATTACGTCGAGGAGATAGAAGTTGCAGTCGCTGTCGCAGTCGCAGCAGCACTCGATTGATGACGACACTCGTTAACAAGCTCGAGCTACGCGTCGCACACAGGCCAAGATAACACGAACATCGAAACATCGCACACACGAGTACAATCCCACATCATTTACAATGGCGAGGTGGAGGGGTCACCCGTCCGTCAAGGGCAGTTCGGAGATGATGAGGATGGTTTTGCTATGCTTCTCTGCCATTGGAATCACGTACGTGTGCTGCCGTGTCGTGCCGTTGAGCAGCCATTGAAGCTCTCGTGTCTTCCCTGTCCACCCATATCGGGGAAACAACGTCGCTAACTGCGCTTCGCTTCGCAACTTTAGATTTACGTGGGGATATGAAATGACCTGTACGTATACACTCCCTAATCCTAGAATTCGATATGTCAAGATTCCCGAAATATCAATCTTAGATCCTTGACTCACACGTCCTTCGGTTTCTTGTAGACTGCACGCCATACCTCCTCAATCTAGGCCTCACCAAGAGCAGCACCTCCCTCGTCTGGATCGCAGGTCCGATCTCCGGCCTCATCGTTCAACCCATCATCGGGACCATCGCCGACCAGTCCACGTCCAAGTGGGGCCGCCGGCGCCCGCTCATGGTCATCGGCTCGGCTATCACAGCGTTTCACATCCTCCTCCTAGGCTTCACAAGGGAGATTGTTGGGGTTTTCTTAGCAGAGTCAGAGTTCGCGAGTCGGTTGACGATTTGGCTAGCTGTTTACTCGATTTGGGTGATTGACTTTGCGATTAACGCTTGTGGGTGATACCTCGCTCCGCTGGGCCGGCAGCTTTCGGAGGGCATACCCTAGGAAGTTGAAGAGGCGTTCTTCTTTTATGAATATATGCTGACATGGCGAGGCCGTAGCTATGTCCTGCTCGAGGAGCCTGGTCGTCGATATTCTCCCTATCCACAAGCAGCAAGCCGGTGCTGCATGGTGTACGTAAACCTGTGCAGTTCTAGCCCCAAGGCTCTTCTTCTTTTGAAACTAACGAGCCCGGTTAAAAACAGACAGCAGGCTTGCGGCTTTTGGCCACCTTTTGAGCTACGGCATCGGATCTGTCGACCTTGTCACCACCTTCGGCACCAGGTTCGGCGACTCGCAATTCAAGCAACTTGCCCTCATCTCCATCTCTGCCGTACTCTCCACCTGCGCGTTGACGTGCTGGGCGGTTACCGAGAAGGTTCTCATAGCAAGCGGAGATAAGGAAAAGGGCAATGACGAGGGCAGTGTAGCGGCGGCAGTCCGGACGATTTGGACCACCCTCCGCCATCTGCCACCGAGAGTGCAGGCGATCTGCTGGGCGCACTTTTGGTCATGGATCGGTATGTTTTTGATTCCTCCCTGATAGCCTATTTGGTAATGTCGTTACTAACCTAGACTCTCGTGCGCCTCTAGGCTGGTTCCCGTTCAATTTCTACGGGACCACTTGGGTCGGCGAGACGTATTTCCGCTACGACCTCACCGTAGAGGAACGCGCATCCCGAGACCCTCTCAGCGAGATTGGCAGGATCGGTAGCTCGTCCCTCGTCATCTACTCTCTCATCACCTTTGCGAGCTCCTTTATCCTGCCCTTGTTTATCAGCTCCCCACAAGACACGGACTTTACCCCTCGTCCGCCAAGGCACCTCGCTGGGGTCCTTAATCGTCTCGAGGCGCTGAAGCCCGACCTTTTGACGGCGTGGATTCTAGGTCACCTAGGGTTCTCTGCTGCCATGTCCATGGCGCCGTTTGCGACGAGCTACAAGTTTGCTACCGTCCTCGTTGCCTCGTGTGGAATGTGAGTAGTAGTCTTCCGCCGTGGATATCTTGCTATTTTTAGTTTTGTTAAATAAACTAACTTGAGCGAAGTCCTTGGGCCATGACGCAATGGGCACCGCCAACGTTCCTCGGCATCGAGGTCAACCGTCTCAGCGGCAACTCCGATATATTACCCATGACACATCACCACCGTCACCCGTCAGGGTCGAAGAGCCCTACGCCCTCCCCCGGAACCTTCTCCCCAGCGGACGCACCATCAGCATCACGACCGATGCTTTCCCCATTGCCATCTCAGGCCAACTCCCACAACCCCTCACACACAAACTCATACGCTTCAGCGTCGTCGTCCTCATCATCACCAACACCGCGCACCTCTGCATCGGGCGAGCTCTCGGGCATTTACTTTGGCATTCTCAACATCTACACAACGATTCCGCAATTTATGGGCGCCGTCATGTCGGGCATCGTCTTTGCGCTCATGGAGCCTGGTAAGAGCGAGGAGTCGACGGAGTCTATTGATCAGCCGGATATGGAGGGGTTCAATGCCATTTCGGTGTGTTTGTTTATTGGAGCTATGACGACGTTGGTTTCAGCCTACATGACGAGTAGATTGAGGCATGTGAAGTAAGCAGTAGGAAATGAGGGTCATAGAAGGTGGAGCGTACAATTTATGCTTGGGAAAGGGATTCTGTAAAACACCTAGTTTTCTAAATGGTACAAACGGGACGCAGGGAAGACGATATAAAGCATCCAACAGTTTTGGTAATATTGGGCATGTACATGGATGATGGGTTCTGGGTCTATAAGTCTATATCTAGTTGTACACATGTTTCTAAACACGCCGGACTTTTCGCAATATGCCAACTTTCTTCTACGCCGTTTCTTTTTTCGCCGCCTTCGTTCCCTTGCCGGCTGGCGCAAAGATGTTTTCCATGTAATACCTCGCCTCCTCAATACTCTCCAAAATATCATCCCTCGCCCTATGACCCCCCTTCTTCACCGGCACCCGCGCCACCACATCCTCCGAGCACCACCTCCTCGCAGCCTCCTTGATAGCACTGACATCAAAAATACGATAATGCAGGTGCTCGATAACAGGCGCGTAGGGTTCCCTCATGAGGAACATCTTGTCCATGTGCACGGTGTTTCCCGCCAACAGCGCCGTGCGGGGCTCGGGGACGAAGCGGCGGACGTAGGAGAGGAGGCCGGAGGCGGCTTGTTCGGCGGTGGTGGTGGAGGCCAGGACGGCGGGGGTGAGGCCCGTTGCGGCGTGGGTGGTTTGACACCAGGGGGACATGGAGGAGAGGATCGAGGATGGGTGGTGGATTGTGGCTGTGTAGCCGGCCGGGTCGAGGAGGTCGAGGGTTGGGGTTGTGATGAGGCAGTGGATTTCGAGGATGGTGTCAGTGGTGGGGTCGAGGCCTGTCATCTCGCAGTCGATCCAGACGAGGAGGTCCTTGGTGGCGGACATGGCAGCGGAGGGTTGGCGGCAACGGATCGGTGGTGGGGTGGAGGGCGAGGAGGAGAGTCTTGGAGGTGGCGATGCTTTGGCTCGTTTGGTTCAGAGGAGACCGAGATGGTCCTTCTAACACTACCCGAGTATCATTGGCATTAATTGAATAAGCATTGATGGGGCTGGAGATCGACAATGGAGCGTGGGGTAAGAGGAGCTTCGGCGCTGACAACTAATGGTTCCTTTTGGGTCACAAGTGTGGGTTCTGGGATTGGCTAAAAACGCTGGATTTCGATGGCGTCCATGATAAAAATTCTAAGAATCCCTCCGTTTCGAAGCTCTATTCCCATTCCATTAAATACTGGGCACAAAATTCCCGTTTCCAATGATATCCCAAATCTCTCACATGCAATTCAGCTGCTCTCCTCCTAGACAAATGGAGGAAGTCGTAACTCGTGCGGCAATCTAAGGCGGGGAGGCAAGGGGAAGAGCGCCTTCCGGCTTCCGTCTACACCTTTCCTTCAACACCTTCCACACCACATGCACCCCCCACACCTCCCGCACCTTCCCGGATTCACCTCTCCCGCACCTTCCTCAAGATATCTCGACCCCTCGCCACATGCTTTATAGGCGAGTCTATGGCAAGAACTTCCAACCGAGCAGCTCAAGCACCAACACCGCGACTGGTTGGCCTAGCGGCCAATTGGAGCGCTCACAAAGTTAGAAAATTGCAATCTTCGTAGCTACGTTGTCCAGCGGGGAATTGCTTCGAGTTCGAAGTCCAACCAGAGCAGCGCAATGCGATCTTTTTGCTATTTTTTTTTTTCTTTTTGTCACTCGTAATACCAGCACGAGTCCTGTAAGGATCAATACTTCGTCCTTCTTCCTCGCCTTTGTATTTCGAAGCAATACGGGGTAATACGATACCGACTCCAACCTGCGCCAATGCTGGGCTTAGGCACGGTTAGTGCATCTGCAGAATGCGTGTTACAGTGGCCAAGAATCAATCAAGCTCCGCCTGGCTCGAATACGAAGGAAGCTAGTTCAGGAGTCCAGGGCCATCAATGCCAACCAAGACGCCCACACAGACACACCGGGACCTGATCTAGACCAAATCCTGAATAATATCCGTCCGGTGATTCGCTCCGAGCTTAATTGGGTCCAAGTTTCTCGTGTCTCCCACTCTTTCAACCTCCCACGTTGATCAGCTTCAACCATCCATCCAATGGTTGGTCTTGCGACGCTCTCACCAGCGTTAGTTTATGCTGCGTGACCGGACTGGAGTCGCCGCCAGAGGTGACGATCTTTGCATACATCTCGTGTTACTCCAGTGCTGGCATTGCAGGTTGACTGGGCACTAACTCTATTATATTCGACTGGTCAATATCTATTGATATCTACACTATCTATCGGAACCGGGCAATTCCAATCTGTGTCCATCCCATCTATAATACCCTGTGTATCCCCTTGAACAACACTCCAACTCTCAATCGCCGTCCCGTCTCCACTCTGTCTCCCTTCCCGCCCCCGCCCCCGCCCCGTCCCTGCTACCTTTCCTCGAAGAAACAACTTCTCCGCAATGTCCCCTCCGCGCGTCATCATCATCGGCGCCGGCTCCCGCGGCAAGGTCTACGCCAAGTCCATCCAGATCTGCACCAACGCCGTTGTCGCTGCTGTCGCAGAGCCCATCCCGTTCAAGCGCCAGTTCTTCCTCGAATCCTTCGTCTGGACCCATACCCAACCCGCCGAAGGCCAGGAGTTCGCCCACTGGTCCGATTTCGTGGCCTGGGAGACGGCCCGCCGGGAGCGAGAGGCCGCCGGCGAGCCCGTGCCACCCGGCGTCGACACCGCCTTCGTCTGCACGCTTGATGAGGACCACAGGGATGTCATCGTTGCGTTGGCGCCGCTGAGGCTGCACATCATGTGTGAAAAGCCCTTGGCTACGAGGCTGGATGACTGCATTGACATGTACCGCGCCCTAAGACCACGGGCCCATGCCGGAACGAAGGACGTCGACGCGGACGCATCTGACAGCAAGAGAATCTTCTCCATCGGCCACGTCCTAAGGTACAGCCCTCACAACATGCTCCTACGGAGGCTGCTCCTCGAGGATAGGGTGATTGGTGACATCTGCTCCGTCGAGCATACCGAACCCGTCGGTTGGTGGCACTTCGCCCACTCGTACGTGCGCGGCAACTGGAGAAACGCTAGCATATCTTCGCCTTCTCTTCTCGCTAAGAGTTGCCATGATATTGACCTCCTCATGTGGCTGCTCATGTCTCCTGCCAAAGCAGGAGACGGTGGACCGCATCTACCCGCAAACATCTCGTCAACTGGAAGTCTTCACTATTACAAGAAGAGCCGGAAGCCCCGCGTTGCCGGTGACGTGACGAACTGTATGAAGTGCCCTCTCGTCGACGACGGCTGCAAATATTCGGCCAAGAAGATCTACGTCACTGCCGGAGTGAAGAGCGTTCGGACGGGTAACACAAAGTGGCCCGTCAACGTTGTCCTCCCTGAGATTGAGGATATCCCGACGATTGAGGAGAGAGAAGAAGCCATTTTGAAGAAGCTGGCTGAGGACTACGACGCCGATACGCCTGCCGAAGAGATCGCCAACAAGAAATGGTACGGTCGCTGCGTCTTCGAGTCGGACAATAACGTCTGTGACGACCAGTTCGTCACCATTACCTGGGATGACGAACCTTCTGCTCTACCTTCACCCCCTACGCCGTCCACTCCTACCTCAGCTCCGGCAGCGGCACCTCCCGGCGTCGAGGGTAACCAGGACCCGTCGCGACGACGAAACTACGCAAAGATCGCGACGCTCCACATGGCCGCCAGCACGAAAAAGGTTTGCGAGCGCTACACGACGATTTACGGCACGGACGGCGAGATACACGCCGACTCTCGGACCATCACCATCGAGGACTTTAACACCGGCGAGACGACAACCCTCGACGTACCCGTCATTGACGAAGACAGCCACGGAGGCGGTGACCTCGGACTCACGGGCCAGTTTATCAACGCCGTCGACGCCGTCAAGAATGGAAGGCAGGGCGTCGACGAGGCACAGCTGCAGTATATCGGGTGTACGCTCGAGGACGTCATGATGAGCCATGCGATGGTCTTTGCGGCTGAGGATGCGAGGGCGCAGAGAAAGGTGCTGGATTGGAAGACGTGGTGGGACGGCGAGGTTGCGGCCAAGTTGGCGGCATAATGAGAAGAGGGATGCAATGCAGATGTTTAATGTCGTGTTCTTTTGGATTTACCGGTCTTTGCTCATTCTTCTTCTTTGGCTCGAGGCGTTTAATTCTTTGCTTTCACTCCACGGAACGGAACGAGGACTTCGAATGACGAGTAACATGGATAGTTTGGTTAGATGCATGCCCAAGGCAATATTGTAGACACTGGAGATGATACCATATATCCAAGCACCTACGTTATGTTATACTAAAGACTTAAAGGAATGAAAAACGCCGGCCGCGGTCTTAAGAAGTCTAAATCCATGCCAGAAAATACGATTCCGTTAAGGAAGCGCCATCGACAATCAAACCAAGCTCCCGTCTCTATGGGCTACAGGGCGCCTAGAAGAATTTCGCTCAAGCTTCCTATATCAAAACCGTAAGTATTTCGGACTTGCATGGACTAGAATGAATCAACTAACTGAAATACCAAGATCCAGAATCGGCGTGTTTTCTCTAAATCCTGCAGTTGGTGTCTCGGCATTCTGGAGCCCCATTCAATGTTCTCACTAAACGCATGTGGGCGCGGGTGTGCGGTTCCCCGCTCATCTCGGTCTAGCATTGCCTACGATCCTGGCTCCCTCCCAATATCTCACCTCTCACATTGATCTCTTGGAACAAGAAAAAAGCCCATCCTAGTAGGGCACAGAAGCTTTTTCCCTCTTTTTATTTTTGAAAAAATTAGAATTTTACCAGCGCCAAAATATGCCGAGTCTCTTATCAAAAATACTCAGAAAAATCGAAGGCGAGCAGAAACCGCCACCTCTCCCTCTCCCACCTAATGGCCCCGTAGATATCGTCACACCCGCCTCGCTAGCAGACCGCGCAGCGATAGCAAACAGCCCACTCTTCCAGCGCCTCCCCTCCGAGATCCGGCGCCTCATCCTCATCGAGGCCTTCGGGGACCGGGGCCTGCACGTGGATCTAAGCCTAGAGTACCCGACCACGCCGCAGCAGCATCATCATCATCATCATTCCAAACTTACCAGCCATGAGGCACTGACGGCAACGGAGCCCCTGCACGCCAACGTGCACCTCCTCCGGGATAAGCACCGTCACCATCACACGAACAAGCCCCGCCGGTGGGAGTGGTGGGGCTGCGTGTGCCACCGCTCCATGAGATCCTGGAAAACCCCCGCCGACGTGCTACCTTGGATGGATCCCCCCTCGGAGGACTCGTGTCGAAATCCCTACCAGGAGCAGTACTGCACGTATCTCCCCGCCAGGATCCCCTACACGTGTAACATTGGCGCCCTGGGTTGGCTCTTGACCTGCCGGCAAGCCTACGTGGAGGGAATCGACGTCTTGTACGGCACGAACACGTTACACATCAACAAGACCTATCTATGCCGGAGCCTCCCGGACTTATTCCCCTCTACCATACTACGCAAAATCCGAGCCGTCGAGCTCCTCTGGGCCCTGAATCCGTGGGATAAAGCGGGAAAGGAAGATAAGTTCCCGCCCGACCCGAACATGGCCGAGTTCGAAGCCATGCTGGATGCCCTACCCGCCACGCTGCCTAATCTGAGACACCTCTATTTGTCTCTCCACGGCGACTTGATGCCCCCCGGCGCGTCTATCAATAGCCAGAAGCTCACCGACTGCACCCAGTCCCTGCTCCGGCTCGTCGACGCTATGGTGGCCAGGTTCGACAAGCTCGAGAAGGGAAGGGTGGCCTTACCGTTTACTTTGCTGCTTACCGTGAACACCGAGTTTGCGAAGAGGGTGCCCATGTATGACTGGTTGTTCGGCGTCGAGAATATCCCGGGTCCGGTGTGGCGCCATCTCCCGGATGATCTCGTGCGTGAGAGGGGAGGGAAGCGCATAAACGGGTACTGGGTGTGTCTCGGCAAAAGGGATGTAGGCACCTATTATATACGGGAGTCGGCGTGAGAGCGAAAACTGGCCGGGTGTCTCGGTTCCTACAAAGGTTGCCTGTCTAGGTCGGGTAGTTGAGGAACGTGGTTTTCATGAACGATGGGCGGGCTACGCTGTCAAGACTAATAATATCTACGGCGGATGAGACGAAGAGCCTTACCGGCGCTCAAGTCGTCTGTATGATACGAATTGGGCTTTTCACGAGTGTACGTACATATGCAGGTATGGATGGGAGGATAGATGCGATAGAGAATTGTGGTAGACATGTATATTGCGATAACTAAAGTCCAACTTTTTCCTGACCTAACGCCGAAGAATTTCGAAAAGAAAAAAGAGAGAAAGGAAATAAACTCTCAAGAAACAAGACAGAATACACGACTAGGTAATAACCCTGTTGGGGGACGGGGAGGTGGTAAATGGGTATACTCACCTGGGCTAAATGGGGAGAAATCGGGTGGTGTTCGGCGTGTGTCGAGCGACGGGATATCGCCGGCCTGGCAGGTGGTTTGGTTTTTCATCTTAGGAAGAGCCCTCAGAGATAGACGTCTGAATATTTAAAAGCAAGGATGGCTAGAAGAGCAACCCTTCGGAAACCGCAGAAATGCAGGTTCGCCAAAGAGAACTCAACTACCCTTCTCGCTTGAAAAAGCCCCCGGTTTGCGATTCATCAAGCCCACATGTTTGCCCACAGATGCTCAAGAAGCCCACAAAAGCCCTCAGATGCCGTCTGGAGAGAATATGTGCAAGGGAACAGCGTCCCTGCGTGGAAGCCATCATCAAAAAGCAGAGTTTGCCATCGATGCCACGAGCCCACAAGCCGACATGGTTGCCAAAAAAAAAAAAAAGCCCACAAAACCGACGATGGCTTCCTCTCAAAAGGTTGAGAAGAAGCCGATTCTCAAAGCCCACAAACCCCTCGACAGGGTGAACACACAGAAGCATCATGATTAACCCAGCATTTGCCCACAGATATCCGGCACAGATGTGCCAGAAACGAAATTATAGTATAGCCCACATCTGCTACCACCCTCAGCCCCACAACGACGGAATTAGTCGTCGAAGGTAATCTTGTTCTCGGACGAGCCAGCACCGCCGGCGTCGATGCGGCTACCGCCACGGCCACCGCGGCCGCCACCGAAGCCTCCTCGACCACCGAAGCCGCCTCGACCACCACCACCTCGGCCACCACCGCCGCGACCGCCAAAGCCACCGCGACCTCCACGGCCACCACCCCGTCCTCCGCGGCCTCCTCCACGAGGAGAGCCACCATCGTTGGCACGGGCCTGAGCAAAGTCAAGGCGGAGAGCACGAGCAGCCCGTCCAGGCCCCAAGTAGGCACCATTCTTGGACTGGAAAGCAGTCTTGGCATCATCAATGGATGCGAACTCGACGTAGCCGAAACCCTTGAGCTCACCAGTCTCGCTATAATATAATTAGTTTCCTGCATGCTACCTGGATAAGTACCTATGCCGAGGAGGGATTAACTTACGGGTTGGTGGGCAGCCTGACGTTCTTCACCTCAACGCCGTCATTGAAAAACTCCCAAACCTCGTCTCGGCTGATGCCGAAGGGAATGTTGCCGACGAAGAGAGTATCGCTCTCGGGGCTCACAACATCGTTGAACTGCTTGGCCCTATCCTGGCCGCGACCACGATCGCTGCCAGCGGGTCTGCCACCATCGTTGCGAGCCGGGGCGATATCAAGCTTGATGGCTCGGCCGTCAATCTCCTTGCCCTGCATAGCGTCCAAAGCCTTCTTGGCGGCCTCGGGATTGGAAAAGTCAATGAAGCCAAAGCCACGGCTGCGGCCGGACTCCTTCTCGGTAACGACGCGAGCACCAGTAAGGCCCTCGCACTGCTTGAACTCTTCAAAGAGCCACTCATCATCGATGTTCCAGCTGAGCTGGCCGGCCCAGATAGTCGAACCCTCGGCGGGCTTCTCGGCCTCACCGTCCGTCTTGGCCTTTTTGGCGGCGGAGTCATCGTCGGCCTCGTCGAGCTTTCGCTTCTTGGAGGGCTCCTCAGCCTTGGTCTCAGAGTCGTCCTCAGATTCAGACTCGGAGCTGTCGGAGTCCGAGTCGGAAGAGTCAGAAGACTAGAAGAGTTGTCAGAAGATCCCATCCGATATTCCCTGATTAGATAGGGTGAGAGAAAAGACTTACGGTTTTATCCTCAGCTTTGGCGGCGGGCTTGTCTTCCATCTCTTCGTCCTCGGACGAGTCGGACGAGTCAGATGAGTCGGAGGACTCGCTCTTGGCCTTGGTCGCCTTAGCTCCGTTGACCTCGGCCTTAGCCGGCTTCGCGTCCTCAGACTCAGACTCAGAATCAGACGAATCAGAGTCAGAGGAGTCGGAAGAGTCAGAGTCAGAGTCAGACTTGGCCGCAGCCTTGGCCTTGCCGTTAGTGGCAGGCTTGGGTGTCGTCATTTCCTCATCAGAGTCGGAAGAGTCAGAGGAGTCGGAGTCGGATTCAGACGACGAGTCCTTGGCGGCGGTCTTGCCATTAGCCTTGCCGTTCGTGGCCTTTACCTTGGTAGCCTTATCCTTGGACGCCTTCTTAGCAGGGGCCTTCTCCTCCTCAGACTCGGATTCGGAATCGGAAGAGCTATCAGAAGAAGAGGAAGAATCGCTCTCCTCGGAGGAGGAGACCTTCTTCAATTCCTTGAGCTTCTTCTTCTTCTTCTCGATGGCCTTGGCAGCGCTCTTGGCGATCTCCTTAGAGACAGCCTTGGGAGTCTGCGACGCCTTGGTGACACCGCCAGCCTTGACTGCCTTGAGGGGAGTGGCGTTCGCCTTGGAGGCCTTGGAAGCCTTGGTGGATTTGGCTTTGGCCATTGTGTAATATTCTGATTTATAAATGAAGAGAATAAAAGAAATGAGCTTTCCGCTTTGGAACCAGACGAGAGATGAACGCGATATGTGCAAAATAATATGTGTCTGGAGGGTTGGAAAGGTTGTGAGAGAAAGGAAAATGGTGCGAAAACGAGGGGGAAGCTTGGAGATAATTAATGCTTCTGAAAAACAAGGAAAATTTTGGCGGGAAGAAGTTTTCTGCTGGGTGAAAAGTGGGTCCCACAACCAGGCGGTGAAAGAAATTCGACACCAACCACCTTCTCAAATTGTTTCTAGTGCTCGTGACTGGGGTACGTACCCACCAGGCCAGGCCAGACCAGAAACTTGTGGCCATGAAAATAAGGCTTTAATGCTGACTTCCAAATGCGAGCAATCTGATTGAACAATCTCATGCAACAACCCGAAGCCTTGCAAAGCCGAGTAGCAGCAGTCTTTTGAGCTTCAGCACCTCAGTCCATCACCCGCACTCTCCGCTGAGAGCTACTCCCGCCGCCCCCAGGAAAGCCGATCTCTTAGCTCTCTAGGATCTACTCCAACCAATACCGCCACAATGCCGACCCCCGAGTCCGCCATGTTCAAGGCGCAAAAGCCCAAGGTCCCCCCCACTTTCGACGGTGTCGACTACGACGATTCGAAGGCCTTCAAGGCCGCCCAGGATGCCATTACGAGGGAACAGTGGGTGGGAGCCATGATGATAAGGCTTGTTGGCGAGGAATTGGGCAAATGCTATGTGCGCGAAGGGGTTAATCATCTTGAGAACTGCGGCCATCTGCGAGGTATATATTTTTCTCTCGTCCTCATTGAGCCGGATCGGAATAAGATGCTAACATTGCATTACCAGAGAAATATCTCCAGCTCCTAAAGACGAAGAAGACCAAGGGTACTCTCGGATTGCAACAAAACTTTATCGAGAGGAAGGAGCAGGAAATGGCCAACTCGCAATAGACAGGCACGGTGGGATGATGTGTTGGAAGTAGGGACGCCGGTCCTCCGTGTTCCTCTCTAGGATACTCGCAAACCTTATAATTGCCTGGAGAGATGCTCCGAGGAATATTCCCGCCCTGTTTTTCCGGCGATGAAAGCTCGCGGATGATGAGCAACTGAGAGGCACGATTGAGTGGCAGTGTTGTTCCGAGGGCTCGGCTAGTGGCTAGCTTGGCCTCGGGGCCTGTAACGATACGAAATGGCATCAGAGTATAAACCAGGTGCAAAATCACATGGAAATTTTAGATTTTTTACATATTGTTGTTGTTCCTCCATGATATCCGCTCTTGAGGTTGTTTCCTCACTCCTTCCCGCCTTGATAAATGTACGTACAGTGGTAATTGATTTGAATCACACACTGTATAACCGAGCCTGGCGAACTTCCAGAACGTCGCTTTCTCATCATCAACCAAAGCTTCCCCAAACCCACAACAGCGATCAATTTCTTGCTCCCATCAGCATCTTCCCGCCGCAAGATACCCTCTGGACCTCGAAACTGCCGGACCTTCTAGCGCCCATCTTGTCCATTGCGCCAACCATATCAAAGCCCAAATCTCTCATCCTTCAAACGAGAACTAGTCGCTCCTACCTCTCTTCCTTCATCACCCCTCCACACCATCGACCGTGACAGAACTTAACCTCCAAGCTCACATACGAATCGTCCTCTAATCCATCCGCGCCATTATTCTCGTTACTATTATCGCTCATCTCGAAAGTAGTAGTCACGCAATTTTGCGATCGCGCGGGCGCGATTTCATCCTCGCTATCATCACAAACTCCCACTCCACACCTTTCCATCATCATGTCTGCTCCAGACGGACAGCGCCCGAGAATCAAGATTAACGTCTCGAGCGCCAAAATCTCCGCGGCCACGGATGGCAGCGCGACGCCAGCCTCCGCCACAACACCGTCACTCCTAACCCCCGGCGGCCAAGGCCACAAGATTATATTCAAGGGCAAGGGCTCGCGGGCAGGGACGCCGACCGAGACACCTCGATCCAAGACGGCCACACCCTCTGCTAAGACAAAAGCGGGAAGGCAAACGAAACCCACGGCCAAGAAACGCGAGCACGACGAGTTTGGAGATGATACCATCACGATCGAGGCGGAGCCAAAACCCAAGAAGCGCCTCGTCAAGCTCGTTTCTTCCAAGTCTGCCGCGCCCCCTCTCATAATCAAGGCTCCGGGACGACCTATTGTGAGGCCAGCTGGAGAGGGCTACGACTCCGAAGCAAGCGACCGAGAAGATGATCCCACAGTGGAGGAGCAAATTGTCTTCCGCATGATCCCTGGCGAGCACTGCAACTATATCAGGCAGGCCATCGAAGAGAATAAATTCGGACCTAGGCGTGAGGGCGGTGCTGATGTTCACCTAACATGGTTTGACGATGAATCGCGGAGAGCCGTCCTTCGAGTGAAAGGACAACTATTCGCCGCCGTTTTAGTCGACTTACCAACGATAACCGAGGGGATGAAGACGTGGGACAGAAAGAACTTCTTAAAGTCGAGCGATATCTGCCAAATGTTGCTCGTCTTCCAACCCGTCTCCTCGGAGATCGAGGCAAAGACCATTCCGCTACCTAAGGCAATCGAATCCGGGTTTAAATGGCCTCATGGATTGACACCGCCTATGCATGACTGCGTCCACCGCCGCTTTGCGAAAGTGATTAGCCGGAAAGAAATCGAGGATAAGGAAGCTGAGGTGGAGAGGCTCCTGCGCCTAGATCGAGAAGCTAAGGGCTCGAAATGGGAGCTAGTTGATGATCGTCAAGCCAAGACGCCTGCCGAGTACGAAGAAGAAGATGCAGAAGGTGAAGAGGAGGAAGTTGAATTCTTCCAGCCTGAGCCGGATCTCTTCGGAGATCTCGAGGCTGATCTCGAAGCCGCCTTTGAAGAAGCGGCATCGACAGCAAGCCCAGCTACACACTTAGAAGGAGTCACACCGATGACTGGCAACACTACTACTCCAGCCGCTCAGATTCGCGAGACCGTTGAGCAAAGCGAGGAGTCGGCCGAGGACGAAGATGAGGACGAGGATGAGGATTTAGATGAGGAGGAGCAAACTCGCATGGATGAGGTGAAGGGAGTCCGTGCCATGATTGCCGATCTTAAGAATCAACTGAAGGAGAAGGAGGAGAGCCTCAAGTTGCCACACGTTGCAAACTCTATCATTCTTAGACGACGAGTGGAGAGCACTATTCGAGACTTGAAGAGCGAAATTCAGCTCAAGATGTCGTCGATCGGTATCGAAGAAGAGGAGGAGGAAGAGGAGTAGATTTTGTTTTTGGCAGCATACTGCTACATTAATGAAAAACATGGCGCCTCGGAAGAAAGGAGAGCGGCCAATAATGAGGATACCCTAGCTCCCCCTTGTACATGGTCCTACAGATAGATAGGGCTCAAATAAAATACTTGAAATCCACATCGATGATCCACAAACAGTACTGCGTAAGGGTGCGAAGAAGAAGCGTGTGAGAATATACACTCAGGTAATGTACAATTATCAAGACAGATCTATCCATCTCCCCTCTCTAACATCATTCCCGCCCCAACATACACGTGTATAAATTTTACATAGACTTGAGGTAGTTGGCCTCCTTGATCTGGGACTTGCGCTCCCTCCTCATGGCCTTCTGCAACTCGGCGCGCTTGGAAGATGACTTCAATACATCCGAAAGAGCTCCCTCTCCTCCATGGGCAAGATTAAGGGTCTGGTGCTGCAGGGGGATCTTGGGGGCTAGGGCCTCGACGTCGCCAGTTGCGAGGATCCTGGCCTCGAGCTGCCTCTGCTTCTTGGCGGCGAGTCGTCGTTGCTTCTTGGATTTGGCTAAAATAGGAGAAGAACCAAGTCAGCAAAGAGGATTCAGATGGCATTTATTCTATGTAGAATCAAGGGGAAAAGGGAACATACAGAATTCATCAGCTGCGCCGTCTTCAGCCGCGTTGACCTTCTCGGGATACTCGAGACACCTCCACAGCCACTCGGGGTATTGATCGTCGGGAAGCGCCACTGGGTCCTGCTTGTTCTTAAAGTAATTCAGCCCCGTAAGGACCGTTCCAGCCGCGCAAGACGACTTAGGCTCGGCGGCGGGAGCGGGCTTCGCGAGCTCTTCGCCGGGTTCTGTCGTTGGAGTGGAGAGCTTAGGAGCCTCCCCGGAGGCATTGAGGCGAGCCGGGAAGGTGGAGATGGTGCGGGCGGAGGCGATGAAGGGTTGCCGCGTGAGGGCGGAGGCCCTTCTGAGGCATTGGCGGCAGATCATGGTTGCCAGATAGATATTGCGGCGGAGGGAAGGCTGAGATATTCCAGTTGTCGGTTGTTAGGAATCTTTTGACATCTGCGGATTTTCCTGTGCTGGGCAGTGTACCTCAGTACTCCGTGCAGAATGTCACACCTCACACATGCTTATGTAATTGTCAATCGGAAAGTTGACCCTGGTTCCCTGTTAACACGTGATCCTCCACGTGGCCTGGACCTTCTAAGTTTGATGAGCAGTCTATGAATGGAAGACCCTGAAGGTGCACTGTTCCATCCTTTCGTTGCGGATTCGAGCCGCACCTGCGAGAAACGAAATCATCTTTCACGAGGATGTCAAGACAAATTAAATATATTGCCTGCAAGCGCTGCGGGAATTCGCGATACACGATAAAAACTTGCCGGGCGAATCCAATTACAAAGTAAAGGTAATGTGCCGCCCGCCGCTGCCATGGCCGGCACGGAGGTTTGTAAATGCTGGGTGGTCGGTCAGCCCCGGCAGCCCCGGCCGAGGCGGTCCACCACGAGCGGATCGTGGATTGTCGCCCCTCGAATCAACCCAGGTGAGGCTGCGAACTTATGAGCCTTCAGGACTAGCGTTTCCAGAGCATGGACTGGCACCTCCCGCGACGTTGCCCTCATCCTGTGTGACATCTGATGGCGCGTGAAGTTGTAAACAACACATGAATTCCCTCGTGATAACCCACCTTCACTACACCAAGTCTGTAAACGCTAGAGCGAAGAGCGAACTGGAAATACTGGTTAGAACCGTGCTAGACTCAAATATCCATGGCCTGGATTGATTTTCATCACATGCCCCGAAAGAAGAAGTCTAGACGCTGCTATATCACGTCTTGCACGGATATATAGAGAGACCCCTTGCGTGTGCTGTTTCTATCATTAATGCTAGCCACAATATCTTGCGTCCTCCGCTTTCGAAATCTCATATGCTCAAGGAGCCCTTCCGTCTTTCAAATCTACTTCATGCAGGCGTTAATCAACTCGACTCTTTTTTTTTATGGACGGAGCCAATGTTCGTGTCGATGCTAAGATCCGAGAGGACACGAACCCTCTCTAACCCAATGCCTTCTGACGCGCCACCACCTGAGCCAAACACTCGGAAAGCATTTCACCCTTCTCATGTGGCTCGGAGTTCAGCTGGTGCGAGCATGGAAGTATGGAAGTTGTCCTATGCTCTAGAAGCTCCGACTCCCCAGCACTACACTTCACACATAAAAACACCATTCCGCTACTTCCTGGATTCGCAGGAATGGAGCCGAAGTTGTCGTGGAGATGGTATTACCTCCTAGACAGCCAGTTCATACGACTTAGGTGCTGATCACGAGAGTTGCCATGTGCTGTGGTGCCCAAATCAAGAGTGTATTAACTATTACTTGGGCCGGCAGAATCCTTCTCGACTTACTCCTTTGTTGCACTATGCAATTGGAGTAATTCCAGCGCGATATTATTAGAAAAGAAAAAACCGCCGATATTGATATCCTTTAAACCGCTGTTGAGGGTGTTGACGCTGTTCATCGTTCTCCTGATCCATAATCATACCTCGTGCCTGCCTAACGCATTCTCCTTCTCTTGATCGATAGCCATACCCGGTGAATGGTAGGCTACGCTGTCCTGTCCCGACTGCCCCGCAACATGTCCCTCGAGTTCCTGAACTCTGGATTCGAGTGCCCGAACTCTGGCTTCAAGATTGTCCATATTCGTGTCTCGGACTTGACGCTGCAGACCCAGAGTCGCAAACAACCGTGTCCTCGGTAGCCGTGGCGCTTTCTATAGCAGAACGTAGCTGAACCATTGGACACCAGTGACCGCAAGTTGTAGCCAGAATTGGCGCCGGGAGAATGTGGCTGCCATGGCCCTCTCTCTCGCTCTCTCTGCAAGCAATCGAGCGATGTTTTCGAATTCAGTCCAGTTGCAGCTAATGCTAGACTAATCGGCAGTCGAAATCTGCGGCATCCTGCTACAGCTTGGGTCAGCTCCTAAGTCAGGCAATAGTGTCAAGGATTGATACCTACAGTGGCGAAGGAGTTGACAAGGGAGTGGCAGATAGAGTAAAATGCGCGACCATGCGATAGTTGATTTGTGAATAAAGAATTCCCGTAGTTATGACAGAATAAGTCGGCGAGCCGTAGGAAATGATTAGCTTGTCGTCGGAAAGAGTTGGCGAGTAGAATAAAACGGTCGACGTATCGCAGCTAGGGAAATAGCGGGATCTGTGTTGACGGGCTTGGAGAGATGGAGAGGAGCAGTTTGAGTTGAGGAAGAGAAAGCTTGAGCGGACTCCTTATACCCGAATAGCAACTCGTTCAGTAGTGATGTTGAAGAAGGATGTATGGAAGACCGGGAGTCCCGACTCTTGGCCTAAGAAAGAATAGGAAGAAACATAGGAAAGAACATAGGAAGAGAGAAAGGAATATTGGATGGAAGAGAGGAACAGAGTGTCATTCCGCCCAGATGGGAAGGCACTTCGCTCCAATGTCGGACTCCTGGAGGCCGCGACCATGCATGGCAAAGGAGGAATTCTGGACCTTCCATGACTTGTTAGCCGACAGGACACTAATTGGAACGCAGTGAAGATGGTCATACTGACAGTAGTTTAATGCTATCCTCTAGACAGCTTCGTGATTGTTCTTGTTCAACTGCGTGCATTCGAAATGACCCTCGAGGTCCACGCAGCCTTAAAAGTGTAACTTCTCGTTAACCCCGTAAAGTCGGGTCAGCCCTAGACAGTTTCACGTCATGCCTCGGACGGATTCGAGATGTCATTCCTCGTTAACCCCGTAAAGTCGGGTCAGCCCTAGACAGTTTCGCGTCATGCCTCGGACGGATTCGAGATGTAATTTCTCGTTGACCCCTTAAAGTCGGGTCAGCCCTAGGCAGTTTAACGTCATACCCGGGACGAATTCGAGATCACGGAGATGGTGATTTGTGTGGGAGATCGAGAGTCCTGACTCTTGACATGAGAAGGAACATAGGAAAGAACATAGGAAGAAAGTGAGGAAGGAAGTGGGAAAGAACATAGGAAGGAAGTGAGACAGGAAGTGGGGTGGGAAGTGAGGTGGGAAGTGAGGTGGGAAGTGAGGACCACAGCGGCAATGCATCCAGGGCAAAGAACCTTCCCTAACTCGTTAGCAGAGCGACTTCATGGGTTGGGGGGAGGAAGGGCAGCTCTTGCTCACCGTGGGAAAGAGTAATGGTCAGCTAAGGCCGGGCCAGGTCATGAGGAAGGAGCTCGTTCTCGGCCATCTTCAGATTCGGAAGGAGACTCGTCGACGGGATAATAGTTACTAGGGGTGTTTTAAATGGTTAACGGCGGATCGACTCGGATCCAGTGCGTCTCGCGAAAGCGTTTGCTTATCCCTGCGAGTCTGCTACGCTGATAGTCGTTACGGGATAATAGGACTACCAGGGGTGCTACCCAAGGCACCACGGGTGTTGTTTGTCGACGGAAGAGTTTGATGGGGGAAGAGTGTGATGGAGGAAAGTCTGAAGAGGGGAAGGAGGAGTAAGGAAGAGAGGACGGAAGAGAGGGGAAGTAGCAGAGATGAAGGAGGGGGAGAGAAGAGGAAGGAAAAGAGGAAGGAGTGTTGATGGGAGGTTTCAAATGGGTAGCGGCGAATCGACTCGGATCCAGTGCGTCTCGCAAAAGCGTTTGCTTATCCCTGCGAGTCTGCTACGCTGATAGTCGTTACGAGATAATAAGACTACCAGGACCCCAGGACGGGGTGTTGTTCGAGGGGGGAAAGAGTTGGATGGTGAAAGAGTGTGATGGAGGAAGAGCGTGGAGGAATTGTGTGATGGGGAAATAGTTTGATGGGGGGACGGTACCGAGTACTTTTTTTTTCCCCTCGAGGGCTCTTTTTCCCTTCCCCACACGTGGTCTACTATCTGTGCCTCGCACCTTCCTCCTTGGGCTTCGATCACCATCGCCAGTGGCGGAAGGTGTCACCATGACCATGAGAATCCGTCTTCGGTGTTGGACAGGCCGAATTCATGTCTGTATAAGGGCATTGTTGGTAGGAAACATGACGAAGAAATAAAGTTAAAGACACCACTCGGAGACTCTCCATCTACGGCAATCTTGTCCTTCCTCCTCCCTCGTTCCAAGTGCCAGTCTTGCGACAATGTAGTCCGGACGGACGCCGTGTAGGAGAAATTCCCACTCGACAACGAGGACCTCAACAAGGAACACATCTACATCGAGTGTAAGATGGCGAAAGAAATCAGTCAAAAGAACCAAAGGCCATGAGAGTTATATTCAGCCTGGCATGCCTATCTCGCCTCCCCCTCCTGGATAACTGGGGGGACGAGAAACGAGAACTAGCTAGATAATAAAGGGGACCCGGCTTCGAGATAGGAAGCGAATGGATCTGGAATATAGAAGCGGCTCAAATACTCTACGTATCTGTGATGGAGTGCTGGCTACCAAAAAGGGATAGTACAAATCAGTAAGGCTCTGGGATACATAGAAAAGCAAAGACCCTTTTAACCGCTGTGGGTGCTTTATCCTCACATATTGTCCCTCTCTCTTAACTGGCAATCATGTCTGATGAAGAGTTCGGGTGGTTGCCATGTGCCGAGTCTAGCTCCGTGATGCGTTCATCCAGTTCATTGACTTTGGCTTCGAGATGTTAGGTATTTGTGTCTCTACCTCGGCCCTGAAGACCCAGAGTGACAAATAGCTGCATCCTTGGTAACCATAGTGCGATCTATGGCAGAGCATAGCTTAACCATTGGACGCAAGCAACGAGTTGTAGTCGGATTGTCGTTCGGAGGCAGTGGTGGCTCTGGCCGAATAATCAACTCGAGCCCTCTCCGTAAGTGACTTGGCTATCTTCGCAAGGGATGCAGCGATGTTTTCGAGTGCGTTTGGGTTGCAGGTAGTACTTGGCCTTGAGAACCGCGGCATCCTGCTACCCTTGGTACTTGGTGTCAGCTCTGGAATCAGGTATTAGCGTAAATGGATTGATACTTACAGTGCTAGTAGAGGAGCTGTGAGGGTGTTCTAGGGAGAGGGGTTCGATGCAGGACTACCGAGGCAGACACTAGCTGATTTTTGAATACAGGAAAGAGTCGATTGATCGAATGGAATGGTTGAAATGGTTGATGAGTTGTAGGAAATATTTAATAAGCTGTAGCTAGAAATAGAAGAGATGAGTTGATGGGTCTGGAGAGATGATGGAAAGGAGAGGTTGAGGTTGATGAAGTGAAAAGCTTGAGTAGACAGACTACTTGTACCTTAATAGTAACTCGGCCAGTTGTAATGTTGAAGAAGGATGTATGGAAGACTAAGAGTCTCGACTCTTGGCTCCAAGATCTTGGGTATTTGCGTCTTTATCTCGGCCCTGAAGACCCAGAGTGACAAATGGCTGCATCGTTGGTAACCGCGGTGCAATCTGTGGCAGAGCACAGCCTAACTGGTGGACACATACAACCGCAAGTTCCAGCCGGAATTAGTTTTAGGAGATGGCGGCAGCTCTAGCACCAGAATTGTCTCCAGCCATCTCTGCAAGTGGCCGGCCGGGCCGTCTCCGCAAGCGACATGGTGATGCTTTCAAGTTCACCAGCGTTGTAACTGGTGCCGTACCGAGAGGCTATCGGAAATTGTAGCATCCTGCTACACTTGGGGTCAGGCGAGCAACTAGACAAACATCAGTTAAAGAAAACGTTCGGAGAGGATTCGAAGAGGTCTTACCAGGTTCCAGATGGTCGTAGCCGCTAAAGTTTTCGTACAGCTCGCTCCTCTTGATAGAGGGCCTTCAAATCCCCCGCGGGGGGGACGGGACGACAAATCTTCTTGACCTGGGTCTGAACGCCCGCTTCCAGTTTAACAAAGAACTTGAATTCTCGCAGAGCCCTGCGCGACAGTTCGCCGTTGGCTCGGTATCGCTGGGACATCTCCTCAAAGGTTGCATTTCCCACAACCAAAACCTTCTGCATGGCGCCCCAAAACTTCTCAGGGATCTAGAGGAGAGAAGTTAGCGAAGTCCTCAGAGAGGTTTGGGAGTACTCACTTCATGACACCGTTCTTCCTCTCAGAACAAGGGGTACAATCAGTGCGTCGCTCGGCCGGGACACAAATTCGCAGCAGATCCTTCCTGCGTTCAAGCGCGCAGGGGAGATGTGAAGCCAGGTATTAATGTTAATGGATTGATACCTCTAGTAGGAACCGAGGAGCTAATGAGGGACTGGTAGGTAGAGAGGAGTTCAGTGCAGGATCGGACGCTACGCAGTTGATTTTCGAAATAGAATAATCCCGTAGTCATAATGGAACGGTTGACGGATTCGAGGAAACAGTTGACAGATCGTATGACGTGATGTAGGGAATGGTTAATGGATCGGGGTTCATGGGCCTCAGCTCATTGTACTGGCTAAAACAGTCATCGGGAAGCGTATCTCGGCATCGTTGAAGCAAGCTCTCATTTGAAGCGAGGGGTCGCCAGGCCCTCGCCGCAGTGGCTAAAACTCGGGGACGAAGCTCGGGATGATCGATGGTAGCGAGACGCACTTCAAAGATGGTCGTTGCTCAGTCTTCATTAATCTGCGGTTATAGATCCAGGACTCGAGACCTTCCGGATCGGTGCCCAACTCGACGTCGAAGGCCTCGGTAGCCGTAATGCGATCTATGGTAGAACATAGGCTAACCGTTGGACACAGGCAGGCACACATCATAGCCGGAATTGGTTTTAGGAAATGGCGGCAGCTCTGGCACCAGAATTGTCTCAGGCCATCTCCGTAAGCGATATGGTGATGCTTTCGAGTTCGCTTGAGTTGTAGCTGGCGCTGTGCCGAGAGGCCATCGGAACCTGTGGCATCCTGCTACGCTTGGCATTGTGGTAACAGAAATCTTCGAAAACAGGAATGGACCTTGGGTCAATCTCTAATGATGTGGAACAGGGGTTGGAAACGGAAGGATTCTCTGGCTTTTGTCACATTGGCCATCGATATCTCGACAAGGTGACTCAGACAGGTTCAAAGTGGGGCTGGGCGGTAGTTGGTTCTCGGGAAAGCTCTCCCACAGGGAAACAGACGACAGAATAAGTTGTGTCGTAGCTAAGGGAATAAGGAATTAAGAAAATGGTTGAGGGTTTGGCGGGATAAAGAGGAGAATTTGGATGGAGCCTGAGCAGACGTATAACCTGAAGAGAGACTCGTTTCCTTCTATCAGAAGCTCTACCCGGCCACCTTACGGAGCAGGTGTGGTGTTGAAGATGATGATAAAGGCGGATCGACTCGGATCCAGTGCGTCTCACGAGAGCGTTCGCTTATCCATGCGTGCCTGCTAGAACACATCTTGACCATTGGATGTAAGTGACCACCGGTTGCAATCAGAACTGATGTTGGGAGAATGTGGTGGTTATGGTCGAAGAATCGTCTCTCGTCGTCTCACCTCCAGTTCGTCCGAGTTGCAGATGACGCTGGGCCGTGTAGCTGTCGAAACCTGTGGCATCCTGCTTTACTTGGGATCAGCTCTGAAGCTAGGCAAGAGTGTCAATGGATCGATACCTACCTGTTCCTTAAACCTTTTTCGTACGGGCACGTTTCGACTTGCAACACCAGTGTAGTGGTAGCGGAGCCGACGAGTGAGGGGCGGATGGGCCAACCTTCCATGATGTAGAACCGGAGCTGGATGCGGAAGGAATTCTTGGGCTTTTCATGACCATCGATATCAACGACGCGGAAGAACAGACATTTTTGACCCAAAAGGAAGCATTAGCTCTGACGGGCTTAATGCGCGACTAGACGGTAGTTAATTTTCTGGAAGGTTCCCGGAAGTAAAACAGAATAGGTTGATGAATTGAGGAAAATAGTTGACGGGTTGCAGCTCAGGATCTAATTTCATAGCAGGAAATGGATGACAGGTTTGGAGAGATGAAGAGGAGAAGTTTGGATTGAGGAAGCAAAGAGTTTCACCAGACCACTAATACTCGTATCTAAAGACCGGCTCATGCAGTCACGAGTTCCCTCGCCAGCTCGTACCCAGCGACCTTTGGTGTGATGCCGAAGACGGCGGGTAGGAGACTAAGAGTCCTGACTCCTGAGATAAGGAATATGGGGTGATTCCGCTCAAATGGAAAGGCGCTTCGCTCCTATGTCGGATTCCTGGAGGCAGCGACCCTGGATGCCGACGAAAAGACAAACTCTAGACCTTCCCTAACTTGTTACTGGAAGGCATCATCAGGGCGGAGGAAGCATAGCTCTTCATCGCCATGAGAAAGCGGTGTCAAAACCCTCGTTCTACGCAATTCATTTGTGAGTCTGTATGGGAAACTGGCGAGAACTCTGACGATAGGAGGAAGGCAAAGACGGGCTCGTTCGAGTCCATAATTCATCTGTGGTGGAAGGTGTCGTCACCAAGCTATGACTGTGGGAATTCATATTCGACGCTGGAGAAAGGACGAGTGGTCTATATATAGGACTGTGTTGCTTACGCCCCGCCCCTTCCTTACTTGTTTTTGTCGAGCTGCTGCTCTATGGCCTTACGGATCGCTGGGCTCAGTCCTTGCTGTATGAGGGGCCGCTTGGTTGGATTACCAGTGGCATTGCGTTCTTCGCGGCTCGCTCATCCTCTAGTGACTGGAGTCTAGCCGTCAAGCTGCCTAGCTCAGCCTCGAGGTTCTCAATTCGCGCAAGCAATTGTTGACGTGCGCGTCAATGTATTCGTGGATTTGGAACCTGCACTTCGGAGATGGAGCTTTCCTTCCTGGCCAGCTCTCTGACGCGGATGCCTAGATGCTGAGTTGCCGAATTGATCAATTAATGCCTGTGAAGAAGGTGCGGCTGTGAGGGAACAGAAGTAAGAAACATCGAATGAAGCCATGATCCAGAGACTCAGTGTGCCATTGATGCCATATTAGGCCTCGCCCGTTTTGGGGACGCGCTGGTCTTGCGATACATCAGATCTGGTATTTCGCAATTGCAGTCTGCAAGTCAGTGAGAAAAGCAATACCTTTGTGACGTTCTTTCCCCCAAGATTCTAGGGCCTACGCAAAAATGAGCTACGCAGTTCCCTTCGGGTCTTGCTCGTCTCGTCCTATAGACAAATGGTCGACTTTGCTTCTCGAGGCTTTTGCATGTTTGGCCGTGACGAAGGACATTGCAGTGCTCTGTCTCTCGTGCCTAGACTTGGTAGTGGCTTGAATGCCAGGTACAATTGACCACCGCCAGCCTATTGGTGCTCAACCTGTACCTGCGTAAACCCGTCATGATCTCCCCCACTACAAGTATTTGTGATGCCTGATTTATTCTTCGGATCAATATTTCCTCGTCGATCGCACAACTTTCACGCGTCACTATTATACTTACTACCCAAAGCAAGACTCCCTACTCCCCTTTTCTCCAATTAAATCGGGGCAATGAGCGCGCGGGAGCAGCGCGGCGACGTCCGCAGTGAGCTTTACAAGCGAAACTTGGATTACTCGCTCAAAGAGCTCCAGAAACAAATCCAAGAGCACGAGGAGCAACTAGAAATGGTACGCAAGCCCGAGCTAGATCTGCCAAAACTCTATGATACTCTCCCCCTTCCTTGTCTCCCGCTAAACCCAAGACCAGCTCCGAACCAATGCGATATCCCGACCAGAGATCACCCAATCCCCCACCGCGACCCTAACCGTGATGAAGCAAGCTTTCGATGACGTCGCGCGGTCCGAACCCTACCTCCCCTTCCCAGATTCGGTGCTCCCAGCCCTATTAGCCCTACGGAAAACTCACCAGACCATCCTCGAATCACGCGCATACCTCGAGTCGCAGCAGACGACACTCACAGATGCCAAGAGGCAGTTGGCGCAAAGCCGGGCGGATCTCGAGGACCAGGAAGCGCTGTCGCAGGCGCTCAAGGAGCGGATCGAATCGTTGAAGAAGGGCGAGGAGAACGCGACAGAGGTGTCACCCGAGGAGATCGCGAGGAAGCGCATCGACGAGCTACGCGACCAAAAGAAGCACTATGATAGGGAAACGGCGCGTCTGTTTAGAGCGTTCAAGAACTTCGTCGAGGAGAGGCTGGCGCCGCTTCTGGCGGCTGAAGAACTGGGGGGTCCTGTCGTCGGGGACATGATGGATGTCGACGAGGTGGATCTCGCCGGTGGGTTCGACGCGCGGGGGAGGCCGAAGAAGGCGAAGCAGGATGAGGATAAGAGGCAGAGACGGTTGGACGAGCTCTGGGGAGGAGGCGAGCAGTCGGGGAGTGTTCGGGAATGGGATGAGAAGGTGGCGGCGGCGACAGAGATGAAGAAGTTGACGCAGGACTTGTTGAATAACTTAATTGAGGCTAAGGGGGATACGGCAGCGTCGTATGTGGCGATTGAGAAGGAGTCTTCTGCGGCGCGGTTCCTTGTGAGGGCGAAGGTTGCGCAGTTTCACCCGAGGGACGCTACGAGGTTACGGCTGGTGGATTTTGGGAGGGAGATTGACGATTAGGGACAGCTTTGCCCCTGCACCTAGCAGCCTAATTTTTCTCTTCTTTCTTCTTCTTTGGAAGCAAAATGCATGAATATACGAAAATACCCAGGTTTTGTCGCTATGATGTTCAGCCCTCCTTCTGCCAGTAGGAGCCCATCTAATTAGCGGTCTCACATTCACATGGTGGCCGGCTGCGCATTTGCTATGTAGCAGGAATTCAATGCAGAATCTCTATCTCAAGGAGGCAAATGCATTGTTTCGTCTCACAAATCAAGGGGCCAATGTTCAGACTATTCAAGTCGTGGAGGAGGGACGAGATCAGACCCTGCCCAACCATTGATCAAATCTAGTGATCTACAGACCTCATGCCATGATGACCGTCCAAACCAGATCCTGCTTCAAACTTCAAGATATCCCCCTCCATCTTTCCTTCGTAAAGTTTAACCACAGCAGCCACACTTACGTGGCAAGGGAAGCCGGGGGTCCCGGCGCGGGGGCCGTTGCAACCACAGGGCGGAGTTGTCTTTGATCTCGCGCAAAGAATGATCGGCGCAAGGACATCGAACGAAACAGTTTCTTCCCCAAACAAAACATGTTCTAGTTTTGCCGATGGAGGTAGAATGAAACTTCAGACGTAATTGATCAATTGATCAATATGCTTGCTTGTTTGGGATCGGCTCTCTCGGACGTTGATGTCTTGGTTTTGCATTATAAGGGCGGGTGGTGACGACTTCGGTCCTCAAGCTTGCCATATCTTTAAGGCAGTGTCTTAACTCTACATCGATGAACTGACATCATTGCCCGAATGATTGATAACTGGACATTATTAGAAATTTATCGAGGTCTTCGAGCGAGAAGCATATATTATGATTCCGTTGATTAATCAGTTGAAGTCACCTTTTGTTGAAACCTTCCAAGTCTCGCAGCCAACTCGGCAACCTCTTAAACCTCCAAACCTCGACTTCTTCAACAACATTGAACTCACACACCTCAAGTCGAACACCACTTTTCCGTCACTACTGCAAGACTAGAATCGATACCAATCCTATCCCTATCTATCCATCATCAATACAGTCTCATACATACATCAATACAAAAACATCACCATGTCCCTCCACCAACTCGGACCCCTCATCCGCCTTTGGGGCCTCCCCCTAACAGACATCCCCCCTCCAGGCGTAACCTCCGACGACCTCGCCCCCTTCCTCATCACAATCCTCCAAGAGGCCGTCCCGTTCCTAGATACCATATCCCCGCGGGGCAACACAACCTCAGAACCATCTTCCCCCTGGAAATCAAAAGGGACAAAAACCTACCCAGACTCGACTGCCAGCGTCGACATCCTCGAACGCACCATCCCCACCACCGAACTCGAGCTCATCATGGCCCGCAGCCACCTCGCCCACAGCCACGAGCAAGCAACAAAACTCCGCCCGGAAATCTGGGCCTGTCGGCGGAGCGTGCACGAGGACGCCGCGCGCAGGGGCACGGCGAGCTGGGATGAGTTCGTGGATGCCCTGAAAGTCCGCCATGCCGAGGCCGAGGAGGACTTCACACCCAACATCCGGAGCATTCACACGCCGCTCGAGTGGGATTGTTCGGGGGTCGAGGCAGAGGAGGGAGGTGTCGTCTGGCGGGACTTTACGTTGAAGGTGCACGAGTCGAAGCATGCCCTCGCCGGGCCGCTGAAGAACCGCGTCTTTGCCGTGTTGCAGATGACGGCTTCGGCTGCCGGAGAGGATGCGAAGGAATTCGTCGTCGTGTCCATTGCTATCAACGATTTTGCGAATGCGCCGGAGGCCGTGCTGTCCAAGGAGAAAGGCCCTGTTGCGGGGGCTTACACGAGCGTCGAGAGGGTGAGGAAGTTGGAGTCGGGAGAGATCGAGTGGGTCATGGCGACGGCGTCGGATGCCAAGGGTGTGCTGCCGCTTTGGGTGCAGGCGAAGGCGGTGCCTGGGCAGGTTGCGAAGGATGTCTCGCTCTTCCTTTCGTGGGCCGAAAAAGAACGGTCAAAGGTCCGGGATGGTACCAAGGCCCCGGAACACACCGCTCAACAAGGGAACGGAACAGGTCCTTCTTGCGGTCAGGGAGGAAAGACCGCCGAACACGGCACCGAGGGGGAACCCGTTGCTGCTAACGAAGTTACTGAGCCGGAAGCGGCAGTTGTGCAGGGAGATGCGGGCACGGCCAAGTCGGAGCCGGCTGGCCCGTCCGAAACTACAGGTGCTACCGATTCATCTCCACCGTCGGTTCCTCCGAAAAACGACGAGATCAATCCCGATGAGAGAGAAGGTGTTGTGGCGAAAGAAACCTCCGCTCCTAAAGCGGAAGCATAACGACGACGGTTCCGACGCTTGCAACGAGATTGTTTGATTAGTGCTTTACATTGTTCGTTGATATCGCAGAAGCTCCGAGGGAGATGCAGGATCTTATGAGCGCTCACGTTGGGTCAATGTCTTTCAGTTGAGGAAGCGTAGCTTGGTAAAATTAGTAAATATTATAGCGCATTAATTATCTTCGGTTTTTTTTTTAGTTCCCGCATTTCAGAAAATTTGAAATCATCTCTGGAGGCCCTTTCCGCGTCCCAGCCCAATTTGGTCTATCCCACTTCTCAATGGGAGCGTCGCTCTCTCCATCTCATCCCTCAAGGTGGACAAGGCAACAGTCAAAAAGTGAAAAGCAAAGACCAACACCGGCCAAATCCAGAATCCACATCATGTCTTTAGTATGTACATGCTATTACAGCTCATCGCGTAATTTCCTTCATCGTTCCCATCATCTCGCTTACGCCTGGTCGCGTCGCTCCCAGTAAATGTTGCTGGGCTCGAGGGGACGCGAGAAGAGAGACTGGTAATCCGTGCCAGTAATGTTATTGCTGCCGTCGACATTCCTGAACTTGAACAGCCTAACCATGTTGGCGATAATAGTCTGGAGCTGGAGGTTGGCGAAGTGCTCGCCAATGCATCGATGCCTACCAGCGCCGAAGGGAAGGTAGGGGGATGCCGCGCCCTTGCTAACGAGACCGTAGCCGTAGGCGATCTTTTCCTCGTCCTCATCAATCTCTTGGCGAAGGATCGTGGGCGCGTTGGGCGAGTCCTTCTCCCATCGGTGCGGATCCCAGACCTCGGGGTTGGGGAAGTACTGGGGGTCGTTGCCGGAAACACCGGGGGCAGAGAGAAGAGTGTGGCTCGTTGGGATGACGTATTTAGTTCCAGGTACGGGCATGGGGCTCTTGACGGCCCTCATGATGGAGTGGATAGGGGCGTGCATGCGGAGCGTCTCCTTGATGATGGCCTGGCTGAGAGGGAGCTTCGCCAAGTCCTCGTACTTGATCGGCGGCAGGTCAGCACCTAGGACGCGAACTTGCTCCTCGTAAAGCTCTTCCATAATGTGAGGGTTCTGGGCAAGGCGAAGCATGATCCAGGCACTGGTAGAAGACGAGGAGTGCTGTCCAGCCATCAGAAGGGCAATCATCATGTGGGCAATCTCGTGGTCGGGGACGTCAACACCATTCTTGTAAGTGGCGGTCATCAGGCGGCTCATGACATCGAGGCCTTCGGTGCGACCCTCCTTCCTTCGCCTCTTGACAGTGTCCATGTAGATCTTAGCAACGGTTCGCTGGGCGCGATCGCGTCTCTTGTTCCAGGGGAGAGGAGCCCAGTGAAGGATGAAGTTGATCGGCGTGAAGCCCATGTCGAGGTCGTGGTAGAGGTCAGCGAGAGATTCGTCGAACTGATCACGGATTTCCTTGCCCTGGAGACTGTGCGAAGCGGTGAAGATGGTAAGCTGGGCCATGACAGTGGCGACGTTCATGACGCCCGACTTGCCCTTGAAAAGCGGGTTTCTCTTGAAGTAGGACTGGACCTCATCGCTGATGATGGGGGTGTAGCTGCGGAAGGCCTCGGTGGTGAGAGAGGCTTTCATGAACTGCAACGCGTCGGGTTAATATGATTCCAAGAAATAAAAGGGGAAATAATAATAAAATGCATCAATCCGCCGCAATATTGGGCATGCCATACCTTCTTCTGTTCCATGAGCTTGGCATTGGGGCAGTCGTAGACAACATCCTTGCCGAAAACAGGAGTGGTAAGGACGGTGTAGATCTCTTCGGCGCTCACGTCGCGAAGTTTGCCGTTGAGAATGAAGTCGTTGCCCTTGGGGCCGACGCATACGGTCGTCTTCTTGCCGAGGAGAATGAAGGTGAAAACATCGCCATGCTGAGAATGAAAGAATTAGCAGGACGGCGCCAGGAAAATCAAATACTTGGCGCACGTGTCGCGATCAGCACCAACCTTCGCTCGCATCTTCTTAAAGAACCGGGGAGGATCAATTCCGTATTCGACGGTGCTTCCGAAGAACGGGAACAGATGGAAGACTACTGGAGGTTCATTGGGATTTTTGAAGAGCACCTGCTTCACGACGTTGAGGACAACGGAGACAACGACGATGCTAGCAAACACCACTCCGACCTGGGAGTAGGTTCCCAGCTGTTGGAAGGCCTCGTGGAGAGGCTCCACAGCCTGTTGGAAAACACCCATGGTGATAAAGGGAAGATAGGCAGTCGAAATTAGGTCAATGGCGTTTCCTATCGACAATTCATCATAGAAAGGCAAGGCCGGAGTGGTTGAGGACGAAAGATAGGAGAAGAGGCTGCGATTGGGAGTGCGGCAATGGGGGGGAAAGGGAGAATTTAATATCGAACAAAATTATTGACGTGAGGAAGAAGTCTAGCCAAATGGTACTTCAAACTGTTGGGTGAGGTGAGGTCCCTGATTGAATGGTGACGTGCCACTGCCAAGTCCAGGCACTTGGGTGCAAGCAATTGAGCTTTTCCCAGGCGCACTGTCTAGAGGAATTGGACAATTGGCAGGCAGCAAGTTACAAAGGAGTGGTAGCTTCCCAGTCCAGTCCAGTCCAGTCCTCCAGTCCCGACAGATCAGCGCAGCACTTTGGATTTTTTGGTTCCGCGGCGGTCGAATAGGGTCAGGGGAACCGGCCAATGACAGGCCGTTCGTATTCGTATTGGGGACCCACTCTCCGATCAACATTCGATGTTCGAATTTCTGCTTGCAATCGACTGTCACCACATTGGCCCATCGTTCCATCTCAAGATGAAGAGCTCCAGCGAAATCGCCGTGAACGATAATAAAAAACGAAAAAATTGCGGCACACCGCTATCAATTGTCGAATGAACGTACGGAGTATTCTACGGGGCTATCCATCCAACATCCAACCGCTTGACCCCTCCCGGCCCGCGGAGCTTTTCGAGGGATCACTTCGGAGACCTCCCGGACGAGGTACTTTGTATTAAAGCTTGACCGTCCACATGTTTGTTAGTACGTAATCACACCTCGAACCCGAACACGATTCCGATTTCCAGCATCTCTTCAATTGACTTAAGGGAGCTCTTGATGGGAACCCGACCACTCTTGATTGACCACACCGTATCATCTCTTTTCCCATTTATTTCTCCTGCGTGCCTCAATGGCATTCATCTAGGATGAAGAAGACCCATGTGCGCTAGGCAGCAGAATATCGACATGTTGCTGATCGTCCCTCCTCGATGGCACGCTATTATACCCTTTCTCTTTGGTCAACACGATCACGAGAGCTCACGTCCCCCCATCCGAGGGAAACTTAAATTGCGCCTGCCGACTCCAACGTTCTTGTTCAAAATCATTAGACGGCACTCGTCAAGGCAGCGCTACCATTATGGAAGGATATAGGAATACGCATTCTCGACTTGATTATAGCACGCCGTATTCGTATGCGGATCGATGTTGCCGTTTCTCTTCGGGACTGTTGGCTCTTCGAGGTCTCCCTAGGTGTTAAGCTTCATACTATCTACCCCAGGGCCAACGAAGTTACGGGCAAGTCTGAGAAGTCAGGCACTATCCTCGACGGGATATCCGATTGCTGGTTGGAACCCAGCTATCTCATCACATCACTGGATAACTATCTCCCGGCTTTCGCAAAACAGATGTCAGAGCAATGGTGAGAGCTACAATTGAGTTACTCCCAGAGCATGTGAAATTGCCCAGCCCAGGGCAGGGATATCTTCAAGTCAGGCAGTAGTGTGATGACTAAGTATGCCAGTTAGCGTCCGTGCAGCAAAGGGATGAAATTGGTGCGTAGGGCAGGCTGACACGCTCTGTAGCCCCGCGTTGTGCGTTTAATTGAATAGACTTTGACGCGTCTTCGCGTGGTTCCCGCACCCCTCCTTCAGCTCCTCAAGTATTTTTGGACGTCAATTGCTCCTCCGCTATCATCCTCATCTTCACCATCATTTCCACTACTCTTCCAGCCTGTCCCTCATCTTATACTCCCATAGCTAGAACCCAGCTCTGACTGCCTGTCTTCTCCACCTGGCCCCTCAAAACCCTACCTATCCAACCCCTCCTTTGACCAGACACAGACAGTATGTTTCTCGATGTTTCTCTCAGAGCACCTCCACGCTCTCCAACTCTCATATGCCCCCCCTTTTCTGACCTGGGATTCTAACTTTCTTGGTGACAGAAATGCTTGAGGCACGATTGGAACAGGCTAATGTCCTGAAAAAGGTGGTTGATGCCATCAAGGATCTCGTCCAAGATTGCAACTTCGATTGCAACGATTCTGGAATTGCTCTCCAGGCCATGGATAACAGTCACGTTGCTCTCGTTTCCATGATGCTCAAGGCCGAAGCCTTCTCTCCCTACCGATGCGACCGCAACATTGCCCTCGGCGTTAACCTCAGCTCCCTCACCAGGGTTCTGCGTGCTGCTCAGAATGAGGATATCCTCACTGTCAAGGCCGATGATGACGCCGACGCGCTCAACCTCGTATTCGAGAGCAGCGAGAATGATCGTATCAGCGAATACGACCTGAAGCTCATGGACATTGACCAAGAGCACCTTGGCATCCCCGAAACCGAGTACGCTGCTACTATCTCCATGCCCTCCAACGAATTCCGGAGGATCTGCACAGATTTGATGGCCATGTCGGACTCTGGTATGCATCTCTTTTCCCTCTAATAATTTGGCCCATATCTGCTTCGCTCGACTATACTAACACGCCCTTCTGAACCTAGTCACCCTCGATGCCAGCAAGGACGGAATCAAGTTCTCCAGCGCCGGCGACATCGGCAATGGATCCGTCACCCTCCGCAGCCACACCAACGTTGACAAGCCGGAACAGAACGTTAACATCGAGCTGACCGAGCCTGTTTCTCTCACCTTCTCCCTCAAGTACCTCGTCAACTTTTGCAAGGCCTCCGCCCTCTCTCCCCACGTCAAGATTTGCCTCTCTAATGAAGTCCCACTTCTTGTCGAGTACAACCTCTCCGGCACCAGTTACTTGCGGTTCTACCTTGCACCAAAGGTTTGTTTTCCCCTGATACGTAATACTATTTGTACAACATTGAGCTCATTGCTAATAATGCATATAGATTGGCGACGAGGAGAGCTAGAAAAATGCAGCGCTTGTTATGAGACCAAGACACCAAGAACATTTTTTTTACTACAAAATGGTAGATATTGGAGGATGTGATGGCGGGACAAAAATAAGATAATGATACTTTTCAATGAAACAATACCCAACCCACAAGGACTCGATTCCTTCCTGTCTCTTCCTACTCTTGTGAGGTTTGTATTGGCGGCTCGGCTCAGCGAGGATCAAAAAGTCCTGCCGCTTGACTTTCAGCTGTTAGTCAGGTGCCAGATACAATTTACGGAATGCCATGTGATGTTCTAAGGGGGAGGAGCCTCAAGTGCTTCCCCCCCGATGGGAATGTGTATTCTGAATCTCCAATCATGGCCCTAGACATTTCGAATCACAGCCACTCCTGTTTTCCAGCTCATATGCACTTGCATCTTTTCCCGCGCTACGGTCGACCCCTGCCCGCTTCCTTTCTACGCGGACGCCGCCACTCTGCCTGCCCCTCTACCTTGTCAAGTATGGCTTAGGTGTAAGCTTGTCTGAGGGCCGGAATATGGTATTTGTCAAGGGGGTCCCGACTGTGCCTGTACCTAACGTTTACGCTCTCTTTACGACCCGGCATAAGGAACACAAGAAGCCAACGAGCCACATCGTCATGGAGAGTGTCGACGGAAATTGTCTTGGGTCTTGTTGGGCATCTATGGACAGGGAAGCGAAGCTGGCTGTGTCCGAATAAACTTCGACGTCACTTCGAACAATTACGCCAACTACCTCCACCCGGATATTTTGGAATGATTGGAAGGCGGCAGTTCGACAATTCCATGTTCTGGACCGCTGATTTCGACAATGGAGATCGCCCTGAGGTGCCTGCGGGTCCACTCGACACAGAGCAGCAGATGCTGGATGCCATGGTATAAAAGTATCTGCACAATAACCCAACGCACCGCAAGACCGAGTACTACGGGCGTGTGCTACCTACCGTCCTCCGCAATCATGAAGCCGTTTTCACGCACGCAGACTTGCAACGAAAATCTACCAGGATAAGCATCACATTTAATTCCTAAAGAAGGTACAGCGAATATTCTCATCAAAGACAACGGAGAAACAGTTGTGATCGACTGAGAGGCATCGGGAGGGTATCCGAGCTATTGGGAATACGCTGTCGCGCTTTTCTCGTGCGCTGGTGGGATGGTGACTGGCATCTGCATGTTGTCAAGATTCTTGATGAATACCCGAATGAATACGCCTAGATGGTTATGATATTCCATGAAATGTGGTCTTGAGTCGACAAGGTAACACTTTCATGAAGACGTTACGAGGAGTCAAGGTGTCCGATTTCGCCGCTACTGCTTACCTAAGGCATCAACACTCCAAAGACGGTGATAGTGTGTGAGCATATTGTGGCTGGACGCACTAACAATTTGAATTTGAAATCCACAAACACCGGAGATGCGTGGGGATTTATCGATGACTCTCAACCCCAAGCCTCGGCCATAAATTACTTTCGTAGACTGCCGTGAATATGCGCTAGAGAGCCTCGATCTAGATCTGGTTCAAACTGAGGTTCGGTCCTTTGGCTGTTATGACTTGTGAATAACGAGAAACCCACGACTCGGGATTTTTTACTCTTTCGATTCTCGTACTCAGGTGGGGGCCGTAGCACCCAGCCGCGGGACTTGGCCAGACTTCACACATCCCTCTCTAAGATTATCGAATATTCCGCTCTAGAACCCCCGCTTGATTCTGTATAGATCCATTCGATGGTGGAAGACTTCCCCGTCCCGGAAACCCGTGTGCTTGCGGTTGCTAGCCATGTAAGAATATGCCAGTCGTGATACCAATATCCAACGACATCCATATACTAATGCATCTAACAGGTGGTGTCTGGGTTAGTGGGCTCCCTCAAGACTTTCAACCATGCTATGTATCACTTCGAAAGGCCAAATTTGGTAATACTGGACTTCTAGGAACGTCGGAAATAAGATTGCCGTCTTCGTCCTTCAGTCACTTGGCTGTGAAGTTTCGGCGTTGAACACAGTCCAGTTCAGTATGTAAAACAGCCAGCTCGCGAGGGTCAGAGGGTCCATCTTTTGGCTAACTGTAGCGGTGAAAGGCAACCACACTGGGTACGGCCAATGGAAAGGCTCGAGAGTGTCGGCCGAGGAGATTACCGACCTGTACAACGGCCTCAAACAGTCATACCTAGACGAGTTTGATATGATGCTCACGGGGTATATACCTGGAGCTGCAGCCGTGAACGCTGTAGGCGCTATTGCCAAAGAGCTTCAGGGCAAGACAGAGTCAGCACCGGGTACCTTCTTTTGGGTTCTTGATCCTGTCATGGGAGATAACGGTAGGTTATACGTCGCAGAAGATGTGGTGCCAGCCTATCGGTCCCTGATCCCGTACGCCGACCTGATCTTGCCAAATCAGTTCGAAGCCGAGTAAGTTCCCATGATACTTCTTTAAACGAGTTATGTTTCGCTAACTTCTCCTTTTTCCTATTCCCTCTTTAAAGAGTACTCTCGGAAGTAAAGATCAACGACATGGAAACACTGAAGCAAGCCATCAGGACGATGCACGAGAAATTCGGCATTCCGCACGTAATGATCACTTCGGTCAATCTAGAAAGCACCGGTTTATTCCCGGACCACCTCTGTGTCGTGGGATCAACCATGACATCCGATCGCAAGGCCCGGCTTTTCAAGATCCAGTTTCCTGCTATGGACTGCTATTTCAGTGGCACCGGAGACATGTTTGGTGCCCTGACAGTAGTGAGAATGCGAGAGGCCGTTTCCAAGACTCCCGGTTTGATGGGAGTATCCTCTTGGGTGAGTGAGGATTCGGTCGATGCTCTTGACCTTCCGCTGGCACGAGCCGCTGAGAAGGTGGTGGGAAGCATGCATCAAGTTCTGTCCAAAACTTTAGAAAGTATGAAAGCGGCATTGAAGCCGGCCGCGAACGCACAGATCGGCGACGGCCCTGATGCAAACCAATCTCAACTTGTTAGGTCCAAAGCTTCGGAGCTACGCCTCGTGAGGAATTTGTCTTGTCTACAGAACCCTACACAAGAATTCAAGGCTATTAGAATTTAAATGGTGGTGGCATTGCATTGCTCTGTGGGGATTATTTGAAGTGCATTCATGAATTGGCATGGCATATAGACGTCACAACTGAGGAGGCATTTCTAAACTAGGTCCAATAGAAGAATCCGAATCCGAACCTGTATTTAAAGTCACATTTATCCTTTGACTTATATCTATTGAAGTCACGTTGTACTCCTTACACTCCAAATAAGTAAAGCCCATCCTGTTCTGTTTTTTTTACCTCTTCCTTGGAGCACTTATCCAGTGCTACCGAAGCCTCCAGCACCCCTAATGCTCTCCTCAAGTTCCTGGACTTCCACGACCTCGGGGTTCCAAATGCGCTCAATGACGAGTTGGGCGATGCGGTCACCTTCCTTCACCTGGAAGTCCTCCTCGCCATGGTTGAAGAGAAGTACCTTTACCTGGCCACGGTAGTCGGCATCAATGACACCTGCGCCGGTGTCGATGAAGTGCTTCGAAGCGAGGCCGGATCGGGGCGCAATACGGCCGTCTTAGAGCACAATCCGTTAGACATGAGCGTTGGCAATGTTACTGTGGGCTCGCCGAAGGAAGGCATCTAAGGCTTCTTACATGTACCGGCTGGGATAGCCATGCTAATATCCGTATCTACGAGAGCCTTGCCCCTCGAGGGGATCACGGTGTCCTTAGAAGCGTAAATATCATACCCAGCAGCAAAGGCTGAGCCGCGGGTCGGTAGGCGGGCCTTATCAGACAGCTTCTTGATGAGGAGGGGGGGGATCTGTTCCATTGTGGGATTGTGAGAGGCTGAGTCGTTTGCGGTGGGTGGATTGCTAATATTTGCAATATTGTCGGTCTTGACTCTCTTGGCCGGCGGGGATACTGGAGGCGAGGTAGCAGTTGGTGCAGTCATGGTCTTCTCGGTGGGGATTCGCGATGATGGGATTCTGGCGGGGATTCCTTGCATAGGAAGGCGGTGACGCGACGAGGATTCACGCGCCTGCGTCCTCCCCAGCGGTGTTTCTCCAGTGGGCGTTGGAATTGACCAATGGCGTTGCCAGCGCAAATTGCTTATCCCCAACTGCCGGCAAGTGCCACTCATCCAAGCGGGCATCGTATGGAAGGATGGGATGTGACCGCGTGGACGGACCATCAGGCAAAAGAGAGCAGGTGTGGTCTGGAGAACATCGAGAGATCGCAGGAGCTCCCTGAACCTCTAGTCATCCTTGCCATCTCTGCGGCTTCCCCAGTGGCTTCCCTTGATGATAATGGATTAAAGTCTAGCCTCTGAAGTGCCTTGACAGAGCTCCCAAAGTAGCAGGAGCATGTGCGAGTTAGTCAGCTATAAACGGTGCGGACCTGATAATACTGTGCATATTTTCATCCAATCTACCACGTGTAGGCGGTCAAACGAAGCAGATTCCCCGTTCCGGGCTTTATCCGCACTGTTCTCCTTCTAGTCATCCTTGTGCGAGGGTAGCTCCTTTGACCTAATATTTGGGGGTGATCCGCGAGGACAAGTTTCAACCCTTTCCTCCTCTCCGTTTTCAAACTTCTTCCGAGACGCCATCAACCCCTTCCATCCATCGCTCCTTCTCCGATCAACCCATCAAGGAGCCGCGTTTCCATCATTTGTCTCTTTCATTTCCCCCTGCGCTTTCCCGATTTATTGCCCAGATCCCGTTTGTACCCTTGTCTGATTCGTTTCGCACTCGGAAGGAACTTGCGACAGCGATTTGCTCCCTCCTTCTTTCCCGTCATAAAAAAGCCGCCTCATCAGTTATCACCCAAATTCGGGCGACTCGTCATCGAATTGCCCTCGTCTCTTTTTTCTTTTCTTTCTTCACTATTCAGGTTCAGGGCGATATTGAAAACGGGCTTGAATAACTTCCTAAATTAGGAGGCAGTGGCAAAGCCAAAGGTTTGACTACTTGACACCTGTAGCGCCTCCATCTTCCTCCACGCCCGCATCATCCACTTCTCTCACCATCATTCCTCCCCAACCACTACTTCCGCCCTCATATTTCTCTCTCCTCCCCGACACCGGATCCATCTTCACCGTCGCCGACCCACGAGATTCACGAAGGACTGGGCCCTTGCCTCACTCGACGTTCCGTTCACCGTAGAAGACAAAATCACCAAGCCACTTCACCGATTCTCCCGACCCTGTGTGTCTCCCCAGTCTCGGCACCTCATTTCATCACAGCCACCCATCCCTCACGGCAACTCCTAGGGTGTACATACTTTTTTTAAGAGATACCGAATACAAGAAAAGAAGAGAGAAGAGTTATAAATTTCCTCAACTCGGCTAGAGTTTGCGAACCGATCAAACAATCAGACCGACGGTTCAGATCGTGAAGTTTATAGAACAACCAGTCTTTAGCTTTGGGAGCCCTGCTATATCATACAAGAACAATGTCGGCCTCCCCAACGCAACCAACGCAGTCCGCGAAGCGGCCTCTCGAGGAGCCTTCGTCGCCCTCTCGCGCCACTGAGCAGCCCGAGGCGAAGCGCCCCGCTTTGGATAAGGTCGTTAAGCACGACGAGGAGATTGAGCTCGCGCCCCAGCCCGACCAGAATGGCGGGTCCTCGCCTGACCAGAGCGCCGCCGAGAAGACCAACGGAGTAGCCACGGAGGAGCAGGCCGAGGGCACCGCTGGCGAATCGACCGATAGCAAGACGACCACCACGGCACCGGCGCCGGGCCCGTCTAGTGGTGTTCCTGCCAATGCCAATGACGAGACCGCCTGGATTCATATTAGGGCTGTTATTTCTAGCCCTGAAGCTGCGACCATCATCGGAAAGGGTGGCGAGAATGTGTCCAACATTCGAAGATTGTCTGGCGCCAAATGCACCGTCAGCGACTACCAGAAGGGTGCTGTTGAACGCATTTTGACCGTTAGTGGCGTCGTAGACGCTGTCGCAAAGGTATAACTTAACCCGATGAGTATATAGCCTAGTTACATGTTCGGACTGCTAACCCGATGGCAGGCATTTGGTCTTATTATCCGCACCTTGAACAACGAAAACCTGAACGAGCCTTCGTCGTCGACCTCGAAAACCTACCCGCTTCGCCTCCTGATTCCCCATATCCTCATCGGATCCATCATTGGAAAGGGTGGCGCTCGCATTCGAGAAATTCAGGAAGCTTCTGGAGCCCGTCTTAATGCGTCTGATTCATGCCTCCCGCTTTCCTCCGAGCGCTCCCTTGTTGTCATGGGCGTTGCCGACGCTGTTCACATTGCAACATACTATGTTGGCAGTACCCTCCTGGAGCAGCTGAAAGAACGTTTTGGTGGCCCTGCAGCATCTGCCTACGCCACCAGGAGCGGTGGGCCCGCTGGCGCAGTCCCCGGCGGCATGCAAGTTGTGCCTTACTGCCCCCAGCCCGCCAGTGGAGGATACGGCAACAGGGAGCACTATGGCAGGCGACATGATGCCCGGGCGCATCATATGGCCCCTGGACCCTATCCCCAACAGTACCCGGCCCACCCAGCCCATCATACCCCTCCCATGCCCATCCACTACGGAAGCGGGCCCCAGGCTGGAGCGTACGGTGCTGCTGCACCCCATGTCCCCATCCACGCCGCTCCCCACGCCGCGGCTCCTGGTCCAGGTGGTCCCCAGGGCCAGCCCATGCACGGTGGCATGCCTGGCGGTTCCCTGACGCAACAGATCTACATCCCCAACGACATGGTCGGCGCCATTATCGGCAAGGGTGGATCGAAGATTAACGAGATACGCCAGATGAGTGGCAGCGTTATCAAGATCAACGAGCCTCAGGACAATACCAACGAGCGCCTCGTCACCATCACTGGTACCGAGGAGTGCAATCGTATCGCCCTGTACCTCCTCTACAACCGCCTCGGCGAGACCCACAACAAGCACGCCGATGAGCGGCGGCCTTTCTAGAAGGCTTTCGAGCGAGCAAAGATCGAGCCCGACGTTTCTTCCATGATGCTTACGAGAAATAAAACTGGTGTATTCTGAGAAAATTGAGGTCCACTAATTCGTATTTACAATCACGGTCTACGGCGGCTTCTACTTCCATTTTCTTCTTCGTTGTTATCTTTCGGGTTCCTTTTATTTTCACTTATCGTTCAGTATTTTAGTGCCCGGGCATCATTTCATCTGGTGCGAATGCCTCGGTCTCCTCGCCCAATCCGCAAACGTGCACCAAATTGGCGGGCGAGGGCAACTAGATGGAGAGGGAGAGCGCGATGCCACCGGGGTTTTGATGACGCTATCTGCCTTTCGGCGAACCTTAGGGAAGGGTGTGGGGGAAGGGAAATGCTAACATCAAATGGCGTAGAAACGGTAAAAAGGGTCTGTTTGGTCGGTTTCGAGATAGTCAATTGCGGTCTTTCAGCTGGTTCTTTGTTTCTTCCTTCGTTTCCTAATTTTCGAGGTATATTTCTAATAGCGCACTGTCTCCTTCATCTCGTCTCACTATCCGCACTTCTTGATCTCTCTCCTTCCTTCACGAGCTCGCTTCATCCTCCACGCTCACCTGTGCCCTTGCCACCTACACGAAACTCTGGCTTACTATACTATCTTTGCGTTACCCACTCTCCAACCGTCATGATGGATGCAAACGTCCTATCCCGGAACTAGTGGTACCTTGTCCCTAAATGTCCTGTGTGTCTCACGCCCAATCTTTCCCAACTTTGGCCTATGTTCTCTTCTCGATGTCCCCTCCCCCCTCTCCAACGATCGCTGCGGTGCCCTTTTCCCGTGTATAATGAATATTCACACCACCGAGGATGCTTCCCTTTCTCGTCCGAGCACATTCTGACCCGTTTCCCCGCCTGCCTGCTAATGACGAAGAATTAGGTGACGCCACGGGATAAGGAGTGCGGTCCGCACTTGATAGAGCTAGGGAGAAACTCGGGCTTCTATAGCCATTTCACTACGCTGGTCGCCGGCTACAGTCGGTCAATGACCCATCGTCGAGAGGTGCGTCCAATACTTCCGTTCCGCTAACTGAGGGCAGGTGGTGATGCGTTATGGTTGTTATAGTATGTAGAGATACCGCATACATCACAATTCGGGCGTCGTTACAAACAAGGACTTCTGTAATTTTATTGCTATATCATCATTTCTGCGCTACTGAGCAATTATTGGGCATTACGTCTCAAGAAGCCAATTGCAGACTCATAGCCTAACAAAGTTGATGTGATACTGGGTAATTCACATTAGTCGCTGGAAAGTCATCTGGGGGCATTGTAGGCTGGAAGCGGCACATACAAGGTCGAGATCTTTCCTCGCAGTCCTGATGAGTTGTATGTTCTCACCGATTGCTGGGGAGGTCCATGTTAGTGCTCCTGTCGCTATGTCACTAGGCACTGCATGGTCGTGAACTTACGCCCAGGCTTCGCCTTGGCTTCCAAATGAGCCTCCTTGCTATCCCAGCCGATAATCAGTATGACAGCGGGTCCCTTTTCGCCGGCACTATCCTTGGCAATATCCTGCTGGACCTCACCGAGTCCATAGCCATGATAGCCCACCAACTTTCCCGCATCAAGCTTTACAATGAAATCACGACACTGGCTGATAAACGCAGGTTCCACCCCGTACGCCGTCAAGACCTCAGTACACGGGACATCCAGTGCCTTCTCGGGAGAGCCCTCGAGCGATACATGAGCGGTGATCACGGAGCCGCCGGTCGCCACGCCGGCCAGGCCCGCGAGAGCGTCGGAGGAAGCAAAGGCCTCGAGAGCCTCGCTCGAGGACCAATGGGTGGCGACGACGTATTTCTCGGGGTCCTCGAGGGCCTGGCCCCAGTAGACGGCCTTGACGTTTGGGTTTTGCGTTAGAGGGTCGAGTGCGGCTGACCAGGTCTCTGTGGTGGGCGTGAAGGTGTGGAAGGAGATGACGGCGTTGGCAGACATGGTGATGACGTGAGACGGTACTTGGCGAAGGGAAGGGGAGTGAAGCCGATGTCAGAGGAGCAAATGTTATGTTAGGTCAAATTGCGGGAGATGAGCAGTGGAGAATGTGGGATGCCGCTATAATAAGTGGAAGAAGTGGATCAGATTCGAGATTTCGAGAATAAAGGCTATGAGCACAGGTGGTGTAAAGTCGTCGAGAGGGTATCGATAGCCTGTTGAATTGTTCACAGATCAATTGATCACATCACCAAGCAGTTACTCTCAAGCCTCTACTTGCGTACGCATAGTAATAGTGACGTTATGACTGATCTTATTGACGACTGGAGACAAGTGGTTATCTTGCACCTTAGTAATTCGAAATGCTTCAATTGACGTTGACAGCTGCATTGGGCGAAGTCGAACCTTGTGTCCACAACTTCGTACTATTTCATGCATACAATTGTAGTGGACCGTACTAAATCGTAGGCTACAAGTAGATGTCATTGACAAGAAGAATGTCGAGATTTCTGTTGCCCCACCTTCGTTTGCCAATAGTGAGATAAAATGCGCCGGCTTCCCGCACCTCAAGACTGAATCGATCGGATCGGCACAGACCTGGGGTAATGTCGGGTCAAGCAGGTACGAAGTACGGATTCCACTTTGTAAAGTCACGTGCCACAGCCATGGAGAAAGGTCAACCCAGCCCAGAGCGTCGAGCGCGATCAAGTATCCTCCAACACTGGCTAACCTAACATTGAGTCAGTTTTTAAGACATCAATCGATCAATTGATGCCTGAGATTAGAAACGGCGGCTTGGCGTAGCGGAGCATAATTGGAGAAGTAAGTAATAGATCGTCGTCAGCACTCGATTTGTCGCAAAATGGAACGTTGGTCTCTGCGGGGAGGGAATCTGGAAAAACATTATATTGGGTGAGAATCGGCTTGGATTGGATGATTGTGGTGCAAGGCAAAAGCTGTTGGTTCTCTGTGACGGTTTTCCTGCATCAAAAGAGGGTACTTTACCCGTCCATGCAAACTGCTGCAATCTTCTGATCCCATGACGACGGAGGAGGTGTTGTCTGTGTTGCATTCTAAGCATGGTGACGATGATGAGCTTCCTCCTTCGTCATATATAATTCCACTTCTTACTCGCAGCCGCGCGATGATCGTCGGTCTTGGATGTGCGCACTGCGTAGCACGTCGCACAAGTAGAAACGTCTGACGTGCTGACCCATGTTATACAAGCCTACGGGGGACGCGAACTAAATCTGGTGCAAATGCCAAAAATGAATTTAATGAAGTATCGATACTCAGACTTTGTAGGGCTTGTTGGGCAGATCTAGTTTAGTGCTGACCTCCCTAGTCCGAAAAAAGTAACCAGTCCGTCGAGAATATTGGACGTGCATTTGCTTTAAGGTAACGTACAAGGTACCTGAACCAACGAAAGCTGTTTTCTGCCAGGACCAGAGAAGGTGTCTGTGCCTGCCCGTTAATAGCAAGTGCTTCGTAGTGTGCTCCACTCTCCTCCTTCATTCCAGGCACCCATTCGGTTATGCGGCTGGGGACCATGCCTGTCTTGTATGTCCGGAGTCCATCGACACCGCTCGCCAGGCGTCGAAATCTCGACCTGTGCGACTTGATCTAGCTTTTTATGGTGCTCGCTCGCTCCGCGACTTTCGTCCTCATAATTGCGGATAATCGGATAAGATACCCCGGTGAGTCCACTTCGCAAGTGAACTAAAAAGGGGATTAAAAGGGATCCAGCGATGGTTACAAAGGCTTTGGAGTAAGAGGCGCAGCACGGCTCAATCGGCATTCCTCTCCCTCGCAGAGAGAACCGGAGATTGCGACAATTTGTGGACGACTCGAAAAGCCGGAAAGGCCCAGAAGGATTTTTTTTTTGCCCCCTTTATCTTTTTTTCTGGCGTTTTTCTCCAGGGCTACAGTGGGCACTTGTATCCCCAGATGACCCTGAAATTCTCTACAAGATTTGCCAGTAATTACTGGCTTCTTGGCTAGAGTGTTGGCGACTGAGGAGAAATTGGATCCAAGAGGTGTGAAACGCTGGGCCTGTTGGCGAAGGTACCGGTACACTGGCTCCCACGCCAGACTGGGAGAGCAGTGTTGTCGCATCCATATCCATATTGGCATGCTGCGCTGCGTGTTGGCAACAGACAGCCGCAGTCAAACTGATCAATTGTTTGTCACCCTTCTCAGGCGGACGACGGTGCTGTGGCGCGAGCGATGCAGTTCTACCACACCATTTCTCCCGAGGAGACCTCAGTCTTGAGCCAAACCGCCCGCGGAACAAACATCATAAACCACAACAACGCGAAGACGCTGCTCGGTGAGCGCCATTGGCTTACGTCGAGAGCAGCGTCATCAGCGATACGACATTCAGCTTCAGCCTTCGGCAGTCACGATGACAGAATGTCAGCATCGCCTCGTTGGAAATTAACTTGTTGCATTGCGATGACATGCTCAGGATAAAGTGGTGGCTGTTGGTTCCGGCGTGTGTCAAGCCCCTGTGTTGTGCCATTTATACAAAGTATAATGGACGAGGTATCTATGGATGTGTGTTATTGCTGTTTCTGTGACTCGCGAGGTAGGATCAATCGAATCAATCGATTGGTAGTATATGAGTCGAGGGTAAATTATGGGGTTTGGCTGGCTGGTCGTCGACATTAATACTAATAGGACGCCTTCTTTCGATGTCGTGATCGAAGAATCTCTTGGATTTCAACGCTTAAGATGAGAGTAGGATCTCCTCGTTGCCGATTTGTTGTAGAGACCCTTGACCTGACGGACAGAGAGGTCACTGTCAAGTCCACATTGGAGCACTTCGTTCGTACAAGTAAACGTACGAAGAGTGAGGAATCAATTGATCCATATCGGTTCAAGGACGCCCGAGATTCGATTGGGTCTTGATTTAAATGGTGCTCAGCCCTGTGCGCGATGTCTCTATACTTCGCTTACATGCCGGCGGCACGCCTGGACAATTCCAAACTCTTTTAATTTCTTGGGCCATGCGGGCCTCCAATAACTACGCGAGAGGACGTTCCCGCTAGAGAGCGAAGTTAGGCAGGAGGGAAGCCAAGCCCCTGGGGACATTGAACCTTGCATAGAGGCTAGAGACTAAACTAGACCGCAGTGTACTTGTAGACCCAACTTAAGGCCATAATCCCGCCAGGTACAGGTACGTCGAACATCTAAGAAAGGGTCCTGTCGAGGGGAATGGCGCCCAAGCCAATGACTCTGACGAAATCCCGCCCACGTTCCACCGCCACATTCGACTTGTTTTTACGGGAGGTACCTGGTACGTTGACAGTCTTGGAGTCCTCATCCCCCATGGGCCATGGCCCTTGGCGCTGGGCATGCCTCCCACGCGACTCTCACATTGATCCACGGGTCCTTTTCACATCTCCTCCCTGACTCCCTTCTCCTCGTCTGTTCTGATCCTCTTCCCTTTCCCTTTTCTCTCACACACACTTTTGAAGCTGAATTCAGCCTGTCGCTCATTTATAGTCACTCTCTTGCCCACCTGGCTTCGTCCAACCTGTCACTCATTTTCCATACATCCTTCGCTTCGTCACTCGTTTTGTGCTTTTTGAACTGAGTTGTATATTCTCGTACTTTCTTGAGTATCCTTAATCTACAGCCATTCACAATGCAGTTCACTATCAACGCCGCGGCCTTCCTGGCCTTTGTCTCTGCTGCTCTTGCTCAGACTGCCGGTTTCGATGTTGTCCGAACTCCTACCAAGGATGAGCTCGTCCCCGCTGGCAAGACTTACAAGGTCACCTGGGACGCTGCTCCCGCCGACTACGATAAGGAGACCGTCAGTATCGTCCTCCTTGCTGGCGAGTCTCCCAGCAAGCTCGTCCCTGGCGCCGAGCCTATTGCTGGTAAGCGATTTTCTCTTCTCCTTGAGAATCTCTTTCCCTTCTCTGCTTCTTGATTCCCGGAGTTATTTTTATTTTTTATTTTTTATTTTTTTCTCTCCGTTATCGACTCTTGGCCAATATGATTCCGAGGTTACTAACGTGTGATATCATCAGCCGGCATCGTAAACTCGGTTGGTTCTTTCGACTGGGCTGTCCCCAGTGACCTCGGTGATGCTGCCGTCTACGGCCTGCAGATCCTTCTCGAGTCCGACCCGACCATCTTCCAGTACTCTTTCCCCTTCCAGATCGAGGCCGGTAAGGAGGGCCCCAAGGGCAACAGCACCAGCAGCGCTGTTCCCTCTTCCACCAAGAAGCCTAGCTCCAGCACTGCCGCCCCCGAGCCTACCGGTGCTCGCAACTCCACCTCCGCTGGCACTCCTCCTCCTCCTCCCAAGACCACTCTCACCAGCACCGTCGGCGGTGGCAGTTCTCCCACCGGTGGTGCTGAGGTTTCCCCCGTCCCCACCAATGGTGCCGCTCGCTCCGCTGCTGGTGCCATCGCCGTCCTCGGCGGTCTTGCTGTCGCTGCTTTCGGCCTCTAAATTCGACGACAATGTTTCTTTGGTGGAGCGGTAATCTGTACGATGGATTCCGTGCGACTCTCTCTGGTCCGACTCGCCTAGCCTGAAGGATAATTTCGGCCTCGGGGCTGGAAACTATTTTCGCGAGGGTTTTTTTTGAAACCTGGGGAGATCAGCCTTTCATCCCGAGCCACCTTGGCTGTTTGAGGCTAGTAGGGGTAACCGAGTGAGCCTCGCGCGGCAGAGGCGTATTACTACCAGGCATGGGACGGAAATTTAATTCGGGTACTTCGGAAAAGGTGTTCATATTAATACCCCCTTCTATTCAGGGTCAATATTAAGTCGTTTTTTAGATCTGATTCCGATCAGGTTTGAACATGGCGGCATTTTCTTTGAAATAGTAGCTCTTGCTCGTGGGATTATCTTCATTCTGTGACGACGTTTGTTACTGGTTTTGCACTTTGAACGACTTGTTTTCAATGAGCTCATCACAGGAAGTAATGGTGAGTCGATGGGCGTTCGCGTAGCGGAGCGGAATCAATATATGTTGTGTGACCTGCCAGGCCGTTAACCCGCAACATACATTCTAATGCAGACATATATGATACATCGCGTGCTGCTCTGATGGGCTGTTCATGAGGCGGGTGAATTTGTAGATCGTCCAAGGGAAACACCGAGCGGGTTAAGGGTTAACTTCACCCGCCTTGTGTGTGCCACTTTATCCCCGTCAAGGATTGCCGCCTTAGCAATAGGAGAGTTTCGTTTTCTTGCCCCGGGTATTTTACTCTTCCGAAGACTGTGAGGCTGGAGATGACTTACTTTGCGACCTTGGTTATTGAGGAGAGGTGATGCTACGACAGCAGATCTCTTGGCCTTTTGATAGCATCACGATGATGGCATCGTGATGATCTTTGTCCAAATAAATCCCATGGCCTTCGTCCCAGATGATGGATGATTTCAAGGATCTTAATTGATTCGCAGCATGTATGTAATACTTGGGACCTCCACTCATCTGAGATTACTTGCTTAAGGTTATCACGTCCATCTATGCAGATCTGAGTCCTTCCATGGGGAGGACGCTCATCACTGCCCATTTTGTCACAGTTTATTTTTGGGATCGACTAACAATTTTAGGGAAGAGCCAAACTATGGAAAGGCGCACTTTCCATGAGGTGCGGGCGTGTGGTGGAGACTTCGCGTGAGCATAACTTTTGTTCCTTGCATTCCTTGTGCAGGTGTTGTTCAATCAATTGTTCTAATTGTTCCCCGCATGGGAGTCGCCAATTCCACGTGATCTCGCTCAGATGACTAACGCGTCGAGACGTGAATTGTCTCCACACCAAGACGCGATTTGTGAATGGCTTCGAGTGCTAGTGAACCTCAAATTGAAGCTGGCTACACGTGAGAGGCGGCACCACACTTTTCACACGTAAGACGCCAATTTTACGCCATACGAAGAGGACCGATTCCATTGTTTCCCAAGCCTGAATCCAATGCATTGAGTTTGACCTGGGAACTTGGTCCCTGCCGTCTTGATGACACGGAATAATCTGGACGAGCAGCTTCAATGGTTCTTAGACAACACAACCGTATCTAAGCCGAACCAAGCAAATACAAACATTTCGGGAGCGGAGACTCCAAGTCAGGGCAAGGGAACATACGACCCGACGCAATCGAACTTGAAACTTTCGGGGGAATTCAGACCTCCAGCCCATCAACAAGCAAACCCCACCCCGAGCACCTTCAGAACCCCAACACATGGAGGCGACGTTCACGGCGGACTTCGAGCTCAGTCAAGCTCTTCTGACAAAGACGCCGAAATGGCACGTCTACTCGGGCTTCAACAACCCAAGAAGCGCTCCTTGATAACGAAACAACAACAGCAACTTCCCACCCCCGTGTCGACAACAGTAACTGGACGCTTTGAACATGCGTATACACAGACTCTCAAGACCGGTTGGTAGTTCTGAACAGTCCGAGTAGGCCTCTATGTGCTGACCTCCTTGCAGGTGCCCCTTCGAGCAACTCTTCGTCACAGAAGAGTAACTCTTCTCTGCCGCCAAAGACGCGAATCCCACACCCTACTCGCCTGACCACACCCGATCTTCCCATAATGGATACCGATGATGACGATGACGACGATTTGATCGAAATCACTGCTGACGAGGCGGGGATATCTTCGGATTCTGTGCAATTCGGAACCGACGTTAGGCTCTGGAGGGAGGATTTTGCAGCTCGACCCGAACCCCCAACGAGGAAGGGCAAAAAGCGGAAGAGTAGCGAGATTAGCAAGGTTACAACGAGCGATGATGACGATGACGACTTTCCGGACCTTCACGAACTTGTTAGCACGCCTATAGCACCGCAACGAAACACTGGCTCTTTCTCACCAGGAAACCTAGCAGCTAGGTCGAGCTTAAGGAGAGACACAAGGCAAGCCTCAGTTCTTAGGACTTTGCCCGCTGCTGCCCCAACATCTCCCTCTCCCTCTCGCCCTAAGCGTGCTACTCGGTCTCTGTCTCCGGTAAAGCTTCCCGGAAGTCAACACTCTCCTTCTCGCCTTGGATCATTGGCCCCTGAACCGAAATATCGGCCAACCACCCCTATCATTTCACCGAGGAAGCTTCCTCCCGTTGTGCTGCAGCCTAACGTACTGGGCGCGGATGTTATTGAACGCGCCCTAGCCCAGACACCAAAGCCAAAGGCCCGGCGGAGCTCCGTGATTGAAGACTCCGAGGACGAATTCCTTACGCCTCCCACCGGTGGTAGCAAGGTTATTGCGTCTCTATCATCCGTGACAGCACAGGACTTACCTCTGGGGGCGATCCCATGTACATTCGATGTTAATATGTCGAAATCCGGCCTCACCTCATCCCCAAGTCCATCGAAACGTTCCAAAGTCGACGCAAAAGGTAAACAGACAGTCCAATCAAGTGCTGATACCATCCTCCCAGTTCAAGGACCTGCGTCCTCAGGGACCAAATCCACCATCTCCTCCGGTCAGATTGACCTCCGCGGTCTATCTAACCTAGTGCAAGACCCATGGCCACTCCAACATTGTCTTGACGCCCTCCGAGAGAAACTTGACCAGAATCGACAAACGTTCGAGAAGGCGCTTCGCGAATCTCGGCCAAGGGACCAAAGAGAAGGCATCAAATTAGAAAAAGAACGATTGATGAACCAACAAGCGGTCGTCAAGGGCCTCGTTGACAGGACTGAACAGTATCAAGTTCTGGTCCACAAGAAGGAGAGCCTATTACAACAAATATCACGCGCCTATAGGGATGGCTTGGCAACGGACGAAGACGAGAACAAGCTAGACGAAATCGGGGACGAACTAAAGGAACTGGAGAAGGCCTTCACCGAAGCCTTGGTTGATGCTACTTCTCGGGACCCTGCCTTGTCAGAGCAGTTGAGAGCTGCTCCCCCGAAACCAATCACTGCTATCCCCGCTACTGAACCCTCCGCCTTTCGAAATGTGAGAAGCCGCCACCCAGAGGGACCGTCCTCGGATGTCATTCATCAAACCCAACTTCCCCCACAAGACTCTCCCCGCTACCACCGTCCCGGCCCTAGGCACGAACCGCCACCGGTGCATCCCGATGAATTCGAGGGCATGTTTAGCGATATTGAAGACTCCCCCATTCAAAATCTCCCCCCTGCTCGACCAAGGCCTCCCCAGCATAGACACAATACCGAAAGACTTTCGCTGGAAGAAATGGACTTCCTCAGTGACGATGATGCTGAGATGATTGCACTCGCGGATAGTTGTCACACTAGCGCACCTCACGCGAGTGCAACATCCCAACGGCATCCCTTGGTGGAGATGTCCGGGAATGCGAAGGCACCTTCTCGGCCTAAGATTCCGGAAAAGAGACTTGCCTCGACTGCAACTAAAAATGCATTCCCAGCAGAGCAGATGCGGTTTCCCTGGTCACCTGAGGTAAAGCAAATGCTTAAGGATCGATTCAGGATGGAGACTTTCCGACATAATCAGCTCGAGGCTATCAATGCAACGCTCTCTGGGGATGACGCATTCATCCTTATGCCTACTGGTGGGGGCAAATCCCTTTGCTACCAGCTACCTGCTGTAGTGAAGAGCGGACGAACAAAAGGTATCACCCTCGTGGTATCACCCCTGATCAGCTTGATGCAGGATCAGGTCGACCATCTCAAGTCCCTCCACATACACGCTGTCGCATATAACGGTGAGGCTCCTCGAGAATATAAGGATATGGTGATGAAAATGCTTCGTGAGAGGAACCCCGAGAACTTCATCGAGTTGCTCTATGTTACTCCAGAGATGGTCAACAAGAACAAACGATTCCAGGATGGTATGGACATGCTGTATCAGAAGGGGAAGCTTGCCCGCATCGTCATTGATGAAGCCCACTGCGTCAGTCAGTGGGGGCATGACTTCCGGCCAGACTATAAAGAGCTTGGGGTTATCCGAAGGCAATTTCGCGGCGTGCCCCTTATGGCACTCACCGCGACGGCTACCGAGAATGTGATCATGGACGTGATGCACAATCTCGGGATGGAGAACTCGAAAGTCTTTACTCAGAGTTTCAACAGACCAAACCTCTATTACGAGGTTCGATTGAAGACTGGGAATGCGAACGCTCTTGAGAGCATTGCCAATTTGATCCAGACGAAATATCCGGACCAATGTGGTATCGTATATACCATTTCGAGGAAGAACGCTGAAGATGTTGCTCAGAAGCTTTGTGGATATGGTATCAAGGCCGCCCACTACCACGCCTCTGTTCCCCCGGAAGAGAAGGTCGCGACGCAGCGAGAGTGGCAAAAGGATAGGATCCGTGTTGTTGTCGCTACGATTGCGTTTGGTATGGGAATCGACAAACCTGACGTACGATTCGTCATTCACCACGGCCTCCCCAAGAGTCTGGAGGGTTATTATCAAGAAACAGGACGAGCAGGGCGAGACGGAAACGCATCCGATTGCTACCTCTACTTTAGCCACTCCGATGCGAGGGTGCTCCGCAAGCTCATTTCCGATGGAGAAGGAGGCTGGGAGCAGAAGGAGAGGCAGAAGGGTATGCTGAACCGCATGGTGGCCTTTTGCGACAATCCATCCGACTGTCGTAGGGTTGAAGTGCTTCGGTACTTTGGTGAAGCGTTCGACAGGGCTGACTGCAACAAAGGTTGCGACAACTGTCGAACGGGGGCTGTATCCGAGCAGCAGGATTTTACCGCGATTGCTCAGGCGGCGATCGAAGCTGTGGCTCAGGAAAGCAGACTCACCTCGAACCAGTGTGCCGATCTCCTTATGGGTAAAGGGAAGGCGAACCGCGATGAGAACGAAGCGGACCACCTGAATGGAGGCGACGGACGTTTTCGAGCGCCCGCGGCTCAAGCAACTCCACAATACCGTGGAATTGCGAAACATATGAAGAAGTACGAAGTCGAGCGAATCATCGACCGACTGACCGTAGAGGGTGCCCTTGGAGAAGACAATGTGATGAACAGGAGAGCGGGATTCGCAGTTCAGTATCTCAAGGTGAGTCTTTCAGTCTCGTGCCATTGACTGTAAGTTGGCAGTTCAAAACACTAACCCATGAATTTCTTCTAGCTGGGTTCAAATGCCAATCAGTTCCGCTACGGCCAGCGGCGTCTTATGCTTTCGGTGCAAGTTGGTAGAGGGAGTAAGGAGCCAACTACTGCTAAACCGAAGAAGCGTGCTAAGAAGGACGATGCGTCCAAAAATGCCGCGTCGACCGACATCTCCTCTCCAGTGGCTCCTGCATCGAGGAGGAAGAAGAAGCCGTCGAAAGCATCGTCTTCCCGGCAAGCGGAAGAGGATGAGCTCCCCACTACACGAAACGGCTATCAAAAGGACAATTTTGTTGTCGACGACTCGGATGACGACGATTACTTTGAACCCGTGCCCAAAAAGCGCAAGTCGAATGCCGGTGCCAGTTCTTCCGCTGACCCACCACTACCACCCTTTGAGGACATACCTCTCAGCTCTCTGCCGGAGATCCACCAGGAAGTCGTCCACAACTTCGTAGCGGAAGCCAAGGCTCTCGAGGAGGAGACCCGGAATAATGAGGGTCTGCGCAGGCCCCTCTTCGGCGAGAAGGATTTCCAGGAGATGGCGATCCACTGGACCATCACCCTGGACGAGATGAGGAGGATCAAAGGCATAGTCCAGGCCCGCGTCAATAAGTACGGCGAGAAGTTCCTGAGACTCATACGCCACTTCTACGGGGAGTACACGACGATGATGGGGGCCATGGGCGGCGATGATAGCATGGACGTGGCGGGCGAGGGACAGGAGATTGTCGATCTCATTAGCTCCGATGACGACGAGTTCGGGGACGACGATTTCGATCTCGACCCTGACGATGACGACGACGCCGCCGCCGGCGAACAGCAATCCAAGTTCTTCTCGGCCCCGGTCCAGGTGCCGCCTCGGCCCGCTGCGGATCCTTCGACCATTGCGCAGTGGCATCAGCGTCTCGAGCAGGCTAGCCAACGCCCGCCTCCCGCGGACGGCCCCGCGAACGCCCCGGCGGCTCGTGGAAGCGCCGCCGCGCCGCGGGGCAGAAAGAACGGTGGACGCGGATGGAAAGGCCGAGGAAACGGCGGGAGAAAGGCGAGCGGAGGCAACGGGGTGGCCAAGAGGAAGGCATCCGGTACGGGCTCCTCCGTGAGCTTTTTGGGCAAGGGGAAGGGTCCCGGCCGCGGGAAAGGAGGAGGTAGGGGATCTGGTGGAGGGGCCTCGGGCTCATCGGCGATCGGGCTGATGCCGCTGTGAGGTGTGATGAACAGTTGTTTTTGTTTTCCCTTTTATAATGGTTCATGCTCGGTGATACGTTCGGACCGCGCGTCTAATGGTTTGTATATATTGCTGTGCTCTGGCGTCGCTACTCAGGGAGAAGAAGAAAGGTCGGCTGTAGAAAGAAATGTGGTTTTTTTTTCATGAACGGAATGACGAGGGCGTCGGGTGTCTTGTTTTTCCCTTTTCACGTCAAATAGTATCATTTAGCATGCATACAGGGAGACGAGTATTAGCATTGCAGAAGCTATGAATATGGATCAATCGCATTGTGTCTTTGAGAGGTTGGTTTCTTATGTCTCTCTGAGCTAAGTGTGATATGTTGATGATGGAGATAAGCCGCCCTCATGAGTGGCAGAGTAGATATCAAAACATGCATAGCATTTGTTACCATCGCAGACTCGTTTTCTTCATGTTCTTTTTTATTTTTCTCTTTTTGCTTGGAACGCAAGAAGCGCGCTATTAACGTACAAAGTCCGCGGTAAGGAACAGAGGGTATCTCCAGCTTGAACCAAGTGCTTTTGTGAAGGGGCAGATCGCGCCTCTCAGGAAAATATAAGAAAGGTTAGAAACAGCAAGACGCATTACCCTAAAGAGAGCGAGGCTGTTGCGAAGATCGAAGGACCATGAACTAATAGTTGCTTGGATAGAAGGGCTTCGCCAGAAAAAAAATACATATTCGTCTCTCCAGGACCATCTTCTTCTTTTTGTTTCTGTTTCGTCCGTAAATTCGATGAAAACTCCGCTCAAGGGGGTGTCAACGGGGGTATAATGGCATACCGATCTAATAATATATACAGAAAGATTGCGTGCCTGCTATCCAAGAGTAGGCCGAAAAATAGCAAGAGTGAAATAGAAGGAGAAATGGGAAGCGCGAGGGAGAACAGCCCGTTAGAAGGTAAATAAGACAGGTAAGATAGATTCCATGTAACGCAATAGAGCCGCAATGCCTCACCGTGCTCCCAAAAACTCCAAAACCATCAAAAAGTCAACGTAGGGGAAAAAAAAAAAAAAAAAAAAGGAAATAGAAGCTGTCAAAGAAACCATGAGCGCGCCTGCCATAAAACTTCATAGAGCCGGTGGTTCTTTCGGTTAAGAGGCCAACGGCGATAAGGGGAAAAAAAAAAGTGCCAAAAAAACCTCCCTAGTAGCGCCATCGCGGCTTGTTGTCTTTCGGTTTCACGTCGGATGTGGCCCGTTGCATGGCAAGACGAGCACCCGCTACTGCCTGAGGGCTATTACGTCCAGACACGCCCCCGGCTTGCATCGAAGAGGGTTGAGGTAGTATACTCCCCCTCCGCGAGGTCGTAGCAAGAGAGCTAGCGGGCCGCGAAGGGCGTACTTCTGAAGAAGACCGCTGTGGCTGCATGGAAGCGCGACGAGACTCGAGAGACGATACCGAAGGCTGGTTGGAGAGGCGAGTTTTGGCCAGAGTCTGTTGCGAATAGGGGCCAGGGGAGGTGAGACGCTCACGGAAGGAGAGCTTCGACGGAAGGTTCCGAGTAGGTGTCTCTTGTTGCGGCATCGGCGACTCGGACACGGCGCGACCGATAGGGGATCGGAGCGTTGGGAGTTTAGACCCAGCAGAGGTGGGTGTCAGAGATGAGGTGGATCTCACAGTAGTCGGCGTCTTCTTCGCGTACGGACTCGGGGAAGTAAGGCTGAGTGGTTTGAAATTGTGGCCTGTGTCTACCTGAGAGGCATTGGATGAGATGCTCCAAGGCGGTCTGGCGCCAAGGGTCGATGGGGGCCGGGTAGGTTTTGGAGGTGGAGGCGTGACGTGTGAAGGTGTTGCTAGCGCATGGAGCCTGGCGAGGCTGGCTCGCTTTGGTCCCTGGGCTGGAGTCGGTAGCGAGGAATGGCGCCGCTTAGCCATAGCAGACGGCGACCTGTGCTTCGCAATCTTCGCCGAGGGCGTGGACGGGTCGAGGCCGAGAGTTGTCATGATGACGGAGGAAGGAGGGGAGCTTCCGGGAGTTTCCATGCCGCTGGCAACCGTCGACCGATCGTTAGAAAGCATACTAGAGATGCTGTCGCGGAGCTGCTGGCCTTGTTTGCCCGACTGGATATCATCCACGATAGCATCCATGTCTCGCATCTGCTCCTTCAAACCATCCCACTTGGACTGGATTTCCTGGTGGAGACGAAGAATCTCCCCATTGACGGTGAGGCGATCTTTTACACCATTGTCGATAATGAGCAACACGCGTTCGATAGCAGGGCCGTAGTGTGTCTTCTTGGCTTCGTAACTTTCAATCTTCTGGCTCATCAGGGCCGGATTCGCGAGGTTGAGTCCGCCATCGATTCCTTCTTTCAATTTCGAGACCGAGCGCTCGACGGATTCATACATTTTGTACGCCTTCCGGCCAGCGCCTCGGAACACAAGGACCCAGCGGTCCTCGCCCAATTCCTTTCGCAGAGATTCTGCATCCTTCTCGAGCTTCTTGTAGCTAGCGTCGAGACCCGTACGCCTCATCTCGAGCTCGTCGCAGGCAGTAGGAAATGAGTCCTCCGCCCTCGCTTGAAACACCGAGAGCCGCATCGGAAGGAAGTCAAGTGAAGCGCGAAGAGGCTGCATCCTTGCAAACAGTGCTAGCAGACTCGAGTCGTCGAGGGTCATGTTGGCGGCACTGGGTGAACTGGGGCTCAGTGGGAAGGCTGGAAGGCTAAAACGGTTCTGGGCCGTAGGCTTCTTGCTCGGTGGAGTCTCTTCTACTATCGTCTCGAGATCGCCGAAGTCGACACCATCGCCGCTCGCAGCAGCCATGAGAGACTTGTGCCGGCGCTCTTCCATTTCGAACACCAGACGTGATAGCTCGTCCATCTCGTCCTGGATATCACCAAGGACATTATTCCAGAGCTCCTCCCATTCCATGGCGATCTCAACTTGCTCCTTGACCGTGTGCAGTGAAGTACGTATTGCCGTCCACTCGTTCATGATGGATTCCATCTGAATCACGGCGCGGTTGAGGTCGTCCGGAGAAACTTGCGCAATGTCGATGCGGTTTTGCAGTTCTTCGATGGCTGAGACGTAAACATTAATAAGCTCCTCGAATCGCAGGATGGCCTTCTCGACCTCTGCGAGGCCCTCACGGCCGCCGGCGGCGGCCCACTCGACATCGTCATCGCTGTCAAGGCCGTTGATAACCTCGGAGGCTTTCGAGATCCAGCTTCGTATCTGTTCGGCGGCATTGATTAGGGCGGTGGTGGCGGCTTGGGCGGTTGGGATGGCAGAGACTCTACTCGAAAGAGACTCGGCGTCAGGAAGCTGAAGAGCAGTCAACTGGGCCAGCTGATTGGCAAATGAGAGACGGGACAGAGTGTAAATTGAACCGGGGCGTTGGTGACCTGGTGTAAAGTAGCTGGCAAGGTCGGGCGTGAATTCTACCGAGGCTGCACCGGCAGGCTGAGACGAATGATGCGCGAGAGGGGGCGCTGGAGGCGAGTCCTTCGGCGGAAGGGGTGGGGGCGCTTCGCCAGGCCAGGGAGGTTGAACGGTGCGTTCTATATGTTCGCGGCGCGTCTCGAGCTGTACTTTTGTGCCATTCCCATTCACATGATCGGGCAATCTGTATTTGTTGGTGTCCATATTCAATGGTGGTTCGGTCCTGATTTCTGGCAAGAGGACGGGGGAAGGTGTGGGTGCTGGAGAAGGCTCAGGGGTTGCCTCGTCTGCCGACGTCGCCGGCCGAGGCGAAGGTGATCTGGCGGAGCGGCGAGAGCCCGGTCGGGATGGGACGCCAAGGCCAAGACCCTTCCAAGGGCGACCGCGACGCTCGACGGTCGTGGGTTTCGAGTTTTGCAGGTGGGATTCGTCAATTTGGCGGATATGTTGTTGGTCGAGTTTGCCGACGCGGTCCAGGTGGGAGGAAGGCGCGGAGGTGTCGGTCGGGGTGGTTGGCGGTGAGGTCTTCGTGCCGAAACCAAGAGCTTTGAGGCGAGCTGCTAGACCGGGCGAAGGCTTGCGGGGCTGGCGGACGGGAGTGTTCGCGTTCGCGTTCGCGTTCGCCGGAGTGGATGAGAGGTTATTCACGATCGCGGTATTCGTATTCGAAGCGGGTGTGGAGAGAGAGGATGATGATGGAATCGACGAGACGGATAGGGTGGAATTTTCGCTAACAAGTTTCGGGTGAGGAAATGTCCATGGATCGCTGTGTTTGGAACGAGAACGGAAAGGATGAAAACGAAAGCAGACGTAACAAAAAGGCTGGTAGACACGGTGGTGTACATCTAATGTAACTGCATGCTGCAGTGTTTTGGGGAGGGAGAAGAGCGGGTAAAGGGCAACTTGAAGCCGGCACGACTCGAGCCACTTTGACCTTGAGCTATTATTATGTAGCTGTGTACATCAAGGTGACACAATGGAAGGAATAGTGGATGAGATGAATCTGTGCAAAATAGAACATCGCCTGGCAGGAGTCGGGTGCTGGACAACATTCGAGTCTGGTCCCAGCGCACCGTGGAATGCCGGGATGAAATGACACAGACCTTGGGGATGCGAGAAGGACAAACACGATCTGGAGAATGTAATAATGATTCTGGGCCGTTCATACGTCAAGTCCATTGAAGGTAATACCGGGATAAAGGAGCGGTGATGGCGTCCGGGCAGTGTAGTATTAGTGGCTATCAGTGATGCGGCAGCCTAGACGGGCGTTGAGGATTCATCCCAGAACATTGCTGTACCTTTTCGTACTTGTGCAGTGCGGCGGAGAGCTCGGCAAGATCAAGGGGGTCCTCCGTCACTTGACGGCTTGACGAGGGGGGCAGGAAAACATCGACGATACATTGATTGGAAGTGCAGGGAACAATGGAGTGTACAATTTGACGTTGGGGCCAATATGGCAGGGTTCAATGACCGCCAAGTAAAGCAACAGGAAAGGGGGCGGGTTGGGAAGAGATTGTTGTAGACATGATTGCTCAACACTAGTCTGCAATCCAAATGAAATCATTCACAACTAGAACATTAAATTCCCACATACCAAAACATGCTTTCTAGGTTCTCGCTGGAAATGTCGGAAAGGGCAGACGAGAGGACGGCATCAGCCCATTTGCTGATGGGAGGGACGGGGTCGACATTGGAGTCTTCTATACTTTGCAGACTTGCATCGGAGGTTGGCTGTTCTTGAAGATCAATATGTTTTAGCCCCGACCCGGACTGGGATGAGATGCTGGTGTAGTACGAGCTGCTGGTGGTCAGAGAAAGGTTGGTACCATCTGGCCCACCAGCAGCCGAATGAGTGGTTGTCATTGATTGATGAGCGGATGTATCCGTCCACTGGGGCTGCTCCCTCCTATTCTGCCTAGAAAGGAAGAGGGTTCCGGGACGTTTGCTGATGGCGGGGCGGTGATGTTGGGAGTAGGATTTTCGCGCTGGTGTTGGTTATCTGGCTCTGGTCAATCGCAGGCCAGGGACTCTGTCACATGGTATCTACCGCTCTAAGCTCTGCGGGCGTGTGGTATGGCGATGGTGGATGGTGGATGGTATGCTGTGTCCTGCTTTTGGAGGGTTTGGTGGTTTATCCAGAGAGGCGGGACCTTGATAATGCCGAGAGTAGCATCGAATGTGGTGTAGCCAGGAAGCCCAATCGTGCGCCGGAAGTCTGTGGGTGGCCGGTCCAGGGGGGAAAGCTGGTGGAGGGAACTCTTCCTTGGCAGTGTCGCCCCTCGCGGTCTTGGGGAAGAAAACTTCAGTGAGTGACGATGATGACAGGATGGTCCCAGCTACTTCGTACACTAGGCGTGCACAACAGAGGCTCCACTATAGTGGCTGAACCCCTGTAGGATATGCAGAGAGAGGCACAAATCGAATGGTTCCGTTAGACTTCGCCAGGAGTCTCCACTGCAAAGTCTAGGCTCTCTCGCCAGCAGGGGACCAAAGGATTTCAACAGGCTCAATGTCGAAAGACGGGAGAATTAATCACCAAACCACACTACCTTGGCGTACAAGGCAGAGCGAAGAGGCTGGCAATTGGAAAGCGTAATTCGTAGATCCAGAGACAGCGACAGGGGTGAAAGAAGGCGGATGGAAGCCAGAAACCGGCGGTCGAAGAGTTCGTTCTTCTGCGTTGGCCCCTTTTCGTCGTTTTGCAGGTTACAGTGCAGCGCAGTGGAGAAGTCAATGACAATGACAGAGGTGCAGTGCAGTCCAGCGCAGCTGTAGATCTTCCTGGAGGGGCCTTTAGATGCAGCACGGCAATGCAGGATGAGGCAAGCTGGCAGCACCAATCGGGCGGAAGGGGGATGCCGAATTACCAGTCCGTCAGTTGATAGTTGCGCAGGCGTCGCCAAGGGAAAGTCCAATATCCGAGGGGAAGATGGGAAAAGAGTTGACGATGGCCGGGAGACTGCTTTCCTTTCTTTTTTTCGAAGAGAATTTGGGGAGAAGCCGAGACTCGAATCACGCTAGCTAGAATCGTAAAATGGCTCGTGGTGTGCGAAACTGACCGTAAGAACTGTATCACTGAATCGAAACGGGAGAGCAAAGTTTGAGGTCAAATAGAGTAAAGAACGCAAGGAAATGACTGGCTGCGAGCAAAGGATGGGAAACGCGCACGCGTCGAGAATGAAGAAAGGTAGACAGAAGGAAAGACCGAAGGGGCACTAGAAGAAAAGAACGTTTGGGATAGATGAAGTTTTCGGATAGATTGGATAGATTGGGTTTGGGGTAAGATTGATGAAGGGAAGCTGAGAAGAAAGGAATGTGAGATGCGCTTGCGCCTTGGGCTGGATTAGTTGGATTAGTTTGGGTTACTATATTAAATGATTGAAAATGATTGATCAATTGACTGTCCCGTCCTACGCCAGGCTACAATTGCACGGATAGGCCAAGCACTTTTCGTACCGACAAATCCTCCATCAGATGCGTAAGTGTAACCAGACCTGCCAACCGAGATCAAGTGGTTCGGCAAGGACGAGGTACGACGGACGAAGTACGAAGTACTATCGATGGATGAGCTGAGTGCAACAGAGGGTAAGAAGGCACAACGGCAGGCACGGGTGAAAAGAACAGAGGCGATGCGATGAGTGCGCGGACTGGAGGCAAGGGCGCAAGATCCAACCATGACATTAATAGATCATTACACTACGGAGCAGCCCTAATCTTAGACGGTTGTATTGCATTACCATTGATCTGCCCAAGCTAGCGTCCATCATCGACTTGACTGGGGAACCCACTTCGAGAATTCGGGCCTTGGGTGGGCACTTCAACAAAGGTAGCATCAACTAATCTTGGGACAGATGAAGAAAGTACGATATTAATTCCAAAGCTCCGAGTGGAAGCAACAGAAATCACCCCGACTGGCTTCATGTTGTATTCCAAGCCATTCCAGGGGCTGTTTGGACGGCATCAACGTCAATGGAGGACGATGAGCCGGCAAGATGAGGGCGATGAAACACCCATGTTTTCCCCGTGAGTCCTCCCTCACCAGTCGCCACAGAATGTCTTACTTGGCCTCCCCCTCTCTTCGTCAGTTTGGATGACACTTCATCGGTGTCGCAAATCTCTATAGAGGCTAGGGGGAAGTGTGGAGCATGGGCAGGAAGCTCAGTCCTCATCGCTTGACTGTTCCTGCTTCCCACACACCAGCCCGGCGCATTCGGCTTGATGCGGTCGAAACACCGCCGATGGGCATCGACAGGACATGTGCCCTATTTACTTCGTACACGGAGCATTCCAGTTCTTGAACCGAGATCACCCTGACCAGAGAACCAAATGAAGCCCGCCTCGGTGAAAGAGACAACCGAGATTCACCGTCACGCAGAGCAGGGTCGTCCTGTAATAATATCTTCCAATAATACGAAGAGAATACCCAACCGACCCTGATTCCCCCACGCTGGAGGCGGGGATGTATCCGAGCCCGTGGGCTCCATGGTCGAGCCTAGCCTGCTCCAGGTGTATAGAGCATGCGCCGGTATTTGTGGTTTTATCACCCAAGAATTGAGCCCTGCCAATATTACAGAACCAGAAATCTGGTCGAGTCCAAGCTCCTGTGTTGCACTGATGTGACGACAATTGCCAGTTTGCGATAGTTCATTCACATCTAGACCAAAGAAAAGGGACGGGGAGGCACGCTACATCCTAATGCACAAACAATACCCGATTAAAACATGGATACACAGGTACTTTCGGGGTGAACCCGATCAGTAGCTCCTTCGAAGAATGTCACAGAATCCCAGAACGATTTACGAGTACAAAGTGCTTTTGACGGATGAATCTTCTTCGTTTTCCGATATCCTTAACGAATCCTCGAGTAACGATTTATGTCGTGTAATACTTCTTCGGACGAGTATCCACATACTCTTCCCCCAGAGTTTGTTGTCGTCCTCATTCTTGGAATCCTGTCACAACCATCTATTCCGAGGCCTCATTCTCAGTTCGTCCGAAGTATGAAGTAGTACGAAGTACACTAGTTGTATCCATATCCACAGGATCCCACCACCTCATGGAGCAAGCCCCGAACACTGGGGTTGCCGAGATTGGGGTCCATGAACCCCGGTCTCGCTCTCCAGAGATCTGCTTGTACTTCGTACATGATGTTGGGCGACTTCAGTTTCTACGAACTATATACATACCTTCAAACCCGACTTTCTGCTCCCAGTAGTCCGTGTTGTTTCGACGCGGAGATTCCTTCAAGGACTGTACGGGGAAGAGCAGCCGGCCCGGTGTGCAAGATGAAGTTCTTGATATATAAATAGCCCCAAATCTTCCAATAAACCCAAATAGTGTTATCTAGCTATTCGGAGTTTGTGGGGATTGCATTAGCACAAGTAGTTTACCAGGCTACCAGTAAATGGCGGCTTCGAAGGTACAAAGTGGATTTGATTGTACTTCAGATAAACTGGTTCATGAGGGGAACTCTGCAGGCGCGGGTCGCAAATGCAAGGGGCACGCGGATTTTCACTAAGAGCTGCAGACGCGCTCCATCGCTTTGAATCCAACGGACATTGGAAACACCTACAAATACGCACGTAGCTTCATGCAGACGAGAGCAAATTAGCTCAAGGAAAACACAAAAGTACGAAGTAATCGCTGATCTTTCCTTGCGGTCATTTGCGAGGCCCTGACACTGCCTATTTGTCGTACCCATCGTCGCATGCTCCTCCATCCGAACAGGCCCAAAACAGTCTGCAACTCACGAGAGGAGTGGAGCAAGAGGCAGGAGGCAGGAGCAGGGCAATTCTTCCTGTTCGAATGTGCTCTATTTTCCACTTTGTAGTCGGTGATTTCTTGTCCATTCCCTTTGGCTCGTGACATTGTCGGGTCTGCCACATTCAAACTACATGTGAACGAGGTTACAACCAAAGAAGGCTGAAGAGAGTCTGATTTGGCGAGTGAGGTTTCGTGACATGGCCCAGGCAACATGGATCGTCCGTCCCGTGAAGTTGTCATCAACACTTCGTACATACTTCAAAACTTTAGGCAAAGGACGAGACCAAGATCAGGAGCTGAGGTTTAGTGGGGAGGAGGGAAATTGGCTTAATCTCCATCCATTGTCCCCTCCTCGCTGATGCGAGGTTGAGACCCACTGACGAGATGGTGTCTTCACGTGATGTGATGGATTGCCCATCACAGCAACTTGAGGCAAGTTGAGATTGCTCATTCCACCCACAAGTTGCAACTCCAAAGTACGAAGTACATATTACGATGTGCCAAAGTACACTTCCTAAGCTTGAGAATACACAGTATGAAGGTATCAATCAATGACAAGTATGAAATACTTCGTACGCTCAACCAGGCAGAAGTAAAGTGCAGTATTAGTGCCTATCGAGGCCATTACGAGTGCTAAATCACCCTTAACACCCGAGAAGAGGCCAGGAAAAAGCCACAAGAATTAGAGCCGAGATAATACATCAATTGATTTATACTTGGGCAGTCTGCTGAATGAACGCATTTGATTGATCAATTTATTCCCAATGCTAACAGTCCCGAGAAGGCGGAGAGTCTTTGTTGATAATGAGAGAGAGTTGCCCGCAGGACGGAGTCCATCAAGTCCTCTTCATCACAACTTATTTTTTCGCTTTGCCCTTTCTTGGTCTATATCTCTTTATTCTTTTCTAGAAGTATTTTTGTGTTTCCGAAGATCTTACCTCGTGGCGTTTTAGGTGATCCCACGTATCAGGAAAAAGCTCTGTTAAAAGAATTCCCTCGTTGCCCTTCCAGCAAGGCATCAAAGACCTCCGCTGTTTACGTTGTTTCACGATACCCAACCGGGTTACATGGCTCCATTAAACCCGCCTCGCACGGCAACCAAGTGCAAATTGACACGCTAAATACGCCAGAGCAACAGAACGAGACACGTCCAACAGCCCATCCCATTCCAGCGCGACTCGGCGCCGCCGTTTTGGTTATGTCACTCGATCAGACACTGAGAGAAAAGACTTCCCCCCCCCAGTAAATAGTACATCAAAGCGTCTCCATTGTCCCCTCATTAACCCCCCCTATATGTCCGAGGATACCTCTTTCTTATATATCAATCCACATCCCTTGTTATACACACCTTGTCTCAAGACAGTTTATGCCGATTCCAGCTTTCAATACTAATTGATATATCGCTTTCATCGCTTTGTTTCTCTGTCTCTTGTCGGTTCACTTCGAATAAGCATCATCTTCCCATTTCGTAGCAACCCCCTTTGTACGCCCCATACGCATTGTGCCGTATTAATTGTTCGCTGTCCCGCCCAACTTCGAGATCGCGGCGAAGATTATACAACCTGAGCCTCCGAATCTAGACGATATCGATTGTGGACATATCTCTTGTTCATTTGCGTCATTCAACTATTTTTAAACTCTTTCCCGATAGAAGAAAATCCTTTGCTTTCCAGGTGGTGTCTGCCGTGCAGACGCCGGTCGTTTCCTCCCCAAAAACTATGGCGACAATCAACCCGACCGACGAGCCTCCTGCTCTTCGTCGCGATTCTCCGTCACCCGAGCTAGCCCCCACACCCGCAATCGGTCCCTGTCCCGAGCTCTCCAGATGCCTATCGGCCACGTCGTCGATATCTCTCGGTTCCAACGCCGATATCACTCGAGATTCTCTCGGCAGCGATACTTCCCGCCTCTCCTCAGGCAGCTATAGGTCCCGGAGTTCCGATATCAGTTCTGTGTCATCGAGGAGGTCATCCTATCATATAGACGCGAAGGGTCGGCGTCGAGGTTTCGTGCGGCCACAGGGTACCGATTTCGCTGCGAGCGCCCGATCAAGGGAATCCGTCCTGAGCCTCGGCAGCATTGCTCATATCCAATATTACTTCGCTCGGACGGGTCTTTTAGACGGGAAGGGTGCGCAGTTAGCGAGGAAGAGAAAGGAGCGGGGTGCTCTGGACCTAGCCGACTTGGAATCAAATCCTGTATCACCCACGCTCACTGAGGGTGGATACCCATCCTACAGCCCCCTCGGAGTCAGCCCCGACCTTTCCGCCGCGAACTTTGGATCCGGCCAGTTTGTAGAGTCGCCGGTCGATGAAGGCCCCATGGAACCGGACTTTTACTACGACGACCTGGACGAGCCTGATCCCAATATTCTCCCACCCACTGTCAGCACCTACCACCGTGTCGAGAAGCCGGTACCTCGACCACCCACCATCGAAGAACTCAAATCGAACCTGAAGGGCGCTCTAGACAGAGCATACAAGTCCCTCAAGGAGGTCAAGGATGGAAACAACGCCACATCAAAGGGCGAAAACGACTCGCCCGATACCAACAATAGCAGTCCCCGACCAAAAACGAACTCCCAGGGCTGGTTTGAGATCCAGGGAATGCACATACTCGACGTCATGACCTTCGCCATCCGAGCTGCCAAGATGTATTACACGGCTCACGAGAAGCCCGATAGGTTGGATGCTATCAAGGCAGAGAAGGAGGTCCGAGCAGATCTATTGACGGTAATGGAGGTCCTAAAGCACGCGGCCACACGAGACTTTGTCGGCGGCATTCGGAACGACGAAGTCGCCTCCATGGAGGTTTGGCTTAATGGTGTCTCCGACATGTTGCACCAGGACGAGGAGGTTGAAGAGGCGGAGCGTCAGGAGCGTGCCAGCTGGTCCTGGCTCAGCGGCGACTGGACCGGGCGAGAAGTCGAGCGCGAGCTGGCTTTCATCAAGTCCATGGACCCGGATGCCGAACCTCTTCCCGAGTTCACCTCGGCTCAGGAAGCCTCAGACCTTCCCACCCCTTTCCTCAAGGAGTTCCAGAATGGCCTTCGGCTTGTGAATCTTCATAATGCAGCGGTCTGCAAGTCCCAGCGTCGGTTTGGAACCATCCCTACCTTCCACACCGATACGCAGAAGCCGTACCGTGCTGCCGATAACATCCGCTACTGGGCCAAGGCAGCCGAGCTACGATGGGAGGTGACGATCAAGGTCGACGCCCTGGGAATAGTCTACAACAACAGCCCCCAGGTCTGGATTAACTTCCAAGAAGCCATCTTCAAATGGTGTCGTACGGTCCGTGAGGAGATCACTGGTGAGCTTCGCGAGAAGGCTGCGTAGGATACTTTATGGCAGGGCAGATTGGACACTCATGATTATGGTTTTACGGCAAAAGATTTCAACATATTTCTCGGCATAAAGGAACTTTCGTTATCAGAACTTTTTTTTTTCCTTTGTTCAATTTCAACCCTGTCTTCTGATACTGACAGTCATGTTAGTTTCGGAGATGGGTCCTAGGGAATCATGAATCCCTCGGCCTTTATATCCGGCCTTTTTATTTATTAAATCATATACCCCAAGCATAGACGCATAGCTTAACTTTGCCTACTTCCATATTTCATTTGTATATAGCTCATGGTGGCAATGCCTAGCCTACATATAAATCTTGGGTGGTCCTGTCGGATGTTCGTCCAAAGAAACTGTCCGATGCGTTGCAGTCGGGCGAGGGAGATGATGTATTGGAGTAACTTTCCAGGAAGCAATCCGACAACCATCAATACAGATCATGAAAGAGACATTGCCAATATATTTCATCTCTAGGACTTGCCAAAGTCTTCGGCTTCGACAGACGAGATATTGAAACTCAAATCACCGCAAGCTCGCTCTTTTGACCCCTTCACAGTGTCCATACCTATATTTTATATCCTAAATATTGCATACGCAATTCTTGTCTTTTTTCCCCATTCTTTATCTTGCATTTTGCTTTCGTTTGATTTTCAACGCTTTTATTTTATCTTAGGTGGTGAGCAAGATCAGCTCTCCTGGGTCCAGTTCATCGGTAGATAATCGGATAAATATTGCCACCAAGCTACGCAACAGCCTCGTTGCCTGCTCATTGTCGCCTTCTTCGAAGCTTCGACCTGCAGCCAAAGCTTCAGGAGCACAACAATCACAGTTCCTCGACCATCGTTACTCCAACTCATAAATCCCACCATCTCTTCGAACTCATCTCGAAATTTTTCGATTAACGCCATAATATTCCATCCCAGAATCGTTCCATCCCGCATCCGATTACGATCCATCCCTTGCCCCCAACAACATCCACGACACCCAACACATCCCAAGCTCTGCTCTACAATGGCACCCGACGAAGAAAGGAGGAAGGCCCTCGATTCCTATCGCGCCGAATTAATAAAGTCACGCGAGTGGGAGGCAAAGCTCAAGGCCCTTCGGCTTGAACTCAAGGAGCTTGTGAAGGAGTATGACAGAACCGAAGATAACATCAAGGCGTTGCAGAGCGTGGGTCAGATTATTGGGGAGGTGCTAAAACAGTTAGATGATGAGAGATGTATGTGCAATTTGTCCCCAATGGTCTTCATTAGCCAATTTCCGCTCCTTCCCCCAATCAACTGCATTCGATGATGCGAACCGAAGCTAACCATCTGATCAATAGTCATTGTCAAGGCTTCGTCCGGACCTCGATATGTCGTCGGCTGCCGGTCCAAGGTCGACAAGGCTAAGCTCAAGCAAGGAACCCGTGTCGCGCTCGACATGACCACCCTGACCATTATGCGCATGCTCCCCCGGGAAGTCGACCCTCTCGTTTATAACATGTCTCTCGAAGACCCCGGGCAAGTCAGCTTTTCTGGAATTGGTGGACTTAGTGACCAGATCAGGGAACTTCGAGAGGTCATCGAACTCCCCCTGAAGAACCCCGAGCTGTTCCACCGAGTTGGCATCAAACCGCCCAAGGGCGTCCTGCTCTACGGCCCTCCTGGTACTGGAAAAACCCTTCTTGCGAGAGCAGTTGCTAGCAGCTTAGAGACGAACTTCTTGAAGGGTGAGTGCAGAAGCCCAGGAACTCCTGCCCACATCGTTCTACGGCGCATAAGGTTTTTGTGACATTCATGCTAACAACTGTACAGTTGTGTCTTCTGCCATTGTGGACAAGTACATTGGTGAATCTGCGCGTCTCATCAGAGAAATGTTCGGCTATGCCAAAGAGCACGAGCCCTGCATCATCTTCATGGACGAGATTGATGCCATCGGTGGTCGGCGTTTCTCCGAGGGTACTAGTGCCGATCGTGAGATTCAGCGTACACTGATGGAGCTCCTCAACCAACTCGACGGTTTCGACTACCTCGGAAAGACCAAGATTATCATGGCGACGAACAGACCCGACACTCTCGACCCCGCGCTTCTACGTGCAGGTCGTCTCGACCGCAAGATCGAAATTCCCCTCCCCAATGAGGTTGGTCGCCTTGAGATTCTCAAGATTCACGCGCAAAGCGTCGTGACGGAGGGCGAGATCGATTTTGAGAGCGTCGTCAAGATGAGCGATGGTCTCAACGGAGCTGATCTGAGGAACGTGGTGACCGAAGCGTAAGTAACATGTCTCTATATTCTGCTACTCCCACTCCCACTCCCATCCTTCCGAATCAATCCGATCTTGTCTCTTGCATTAGGGCAAATGCTAATATGCATGCACAGTGGGCTGTTCGCGCTCAAGGCGGAACGAGACGCCATCAACCAGGATGATTTCAATAGGGCAGTACGAAAGGTTGCCGAGGCGAAGAAGTTGGAGGGTAAGCTGGAGTACCAGAAACTGTAACAATAGGATACCTTTGAACCCGGGGTAAACTTGGTTTTGGGAGCGTAGAATATTAGAGTCGGAAGCGAAAGGAGAGAAAGTCTGATTGAGCCAGGAAAACGGATTCAATGTGTAAAAACATCATGCACCCTAGCGGCCGCTGTTTTACTAAGTTTGGACTTAGTTACAACATTGTTTTGAAGCTGTGATCGATGATGTGACGGCGCATAGCTGCCCAATATCGCCAATGGTATCAAACCAGCTCGCAGCCAACTCGCAATGACTTGGAGAGGGGACGATGCCATAGGTTTGCCCGGACCTGCACTAATATAAAAACTGGCAACTAACTGTTGATAGTATGCGAATAGAATCTCGCCGCAGTCATCCTTAGTACTAAGAAATTTCCTCATGCGGCCGGGAGGCTAGATCCTCCCGACCCGCATCCGCTCATCGTCAGCGTGAACTTGGCCTTAGTTTCTGCCCCTTCGATGGCACACACCAGCACAACTTCAAGACTAAGGTCGATGGTCGATGAGGCTGCCTTTATGCGCTACGGTAAACGCCATGAGTAGGAAGGTGCGGGTAGACATCTTTGGTTATCACAGCAAGATTCCAACAAGACGAGATATGACAAGAACGGTGAAGATTGAATCGCGGGAGTGGGCACAGGGAAGGGTCACGGACTATATGTTTCCTGTCTACTCAGAACAAGGGCGCTCCGGGGGTCTACCAGAGCGCTGTGTGTGTGAATATCTTCTGCCATAACATCCAACCGTGGTTAGTCTGGCCGAGTGCCGGGATCCAGAGCCCCTTGTGGCTGAAGTGATTATGCTATTCCTCGACTACAACGATAAGTAGGCTATTCCTCCGCCAAGGCCTTCCGCACAGCTTCCAAGCCTTCCGGTTTCCAATAGGCAGCCAAATCAGGCCAGCCGTGTTGGCGGTAGATATCCTGCAACATGGGCACGGCGCCTTCTGTGCCGGGGCGGTGGAATCCCATAGAAGAGCTTCGCACGGGATGAAGGCTGACAGGAATCTAGTGTAGCTTTACGAACTGGTCCCTTGAGGACCTCAAAAAAGTCTGGGATAGCCTATGCTGTTGCGCTGAAGCGCCAATCTGCCTCTTCCTCACCCACATCATCGTCCAGCTCATAACCGAGTGCATTTACGCCATACTCCAACTCGATATTATAAGGATACCCTTCCCAGCGGATAATACTAAGCTCTATATCAAGCACCATAACCGGATTCTCGCCATCACCACATGTAAGACTAACAACATGGGGTGGAGCCAGCTCCGAAACCAGGGCGTCAGTTATAGGGCGCAGTGTCTCGCCGGTAGTGGAACCTGTGGGCTCGCTAAGGAGTCCAATGAGACGTTGCCAGTCGTCAAAGAGATAACAAGCGGCACTGTCCGCATCATCGTTCCAATTCTGAGGACTTTGTATGAGGGGCAGCTGGGCAAGGAGTGCGAGAACCTCGTCTGATTTTCCTCAAGATTCGAGGAGGTGAGGGTCGGCGTTGATAATGGATGGCCAGCCCTTGGGCGGGGGATAAATGACTTGCGAATCCTTCATGTACATGGTGGTGAGAAACTAGTTCGGGCGGCAATTGTGCTTGAGCGCGAATAGGTGATGTCCTCGAGCTGTGTCATCGTGATTTTGGGCATAAGCAAGGGATTCTAGCCAGAGTGAGAGCAATATTGATCACGTTGCCAGAAGGAATAATTTGAGAGGGGAGAGGGGAGAGGGGAAGGGACGCGACGGTAATGGCACAATATCAGTCGAGGAGAATCTGAACGCAGGGAGACCTGATTCCTGCCTTAGGTCAACTTGGCTTTTGGAGCGTCGAATTGTTATGAGAGCACGAAGCGAAAGGAGACTGTTTGATTGAAGCCAAGGAAAAGGATTCAACATGTAAAAACACTATAATGCATGCACTCCAGCGGCCGCTGTCTTACTAATTCTGCAGTGCTGAGCTGTATTGCAGCATCGACGCTGCGATCGTGATCGTGATGGTGCCTCAGTTGCGGCTGATTGTGAGTCTTGTCTGCGGTGCATGCCATGTTGGGGACGCTTTGGGGCAGGTGGCGCTTAGACCAGTTGCCTCTCCATCACTGGCTACTGGCTGAAGGTCTGGCTGAGGGAACGGCTGAGATTGAATTCCAGGTCTGACCAACAATTGCATGGAACCAAACGCCCTGACACTTGTGAGGCTGGGACGTTAGCTGGCGAGGGCTCGTGGCCTAGGATTAGACCCACGTGCGTTACTAGGGTGCTGCTTGAGACAGGCCAGGAACGGATATTGATGGCAGGCTGAGACGATGGACGGCTGGGGAGGAAGAGGGATTACGAAGTAGTATCGATTGATTAATCCTTGATCAGCGACACGTGCAGGTGAGGCTTGATAAGGCCTAGCTACGACGTGCTCTAGGGGACAGGGGATGAACATTGATGTTCGGCAAGACAAAGAGAGCCCCTTTACTCTCGGGCCGTTATTAAAAAAGCAAAAGCCAGTTCGATGACGATAGATGGGGCAGGAATGGGATTCTCTCAGAAAAACGTCGCGATAGCCTCGCCCTGGCTAGTTTGCCAAGGACACTAGGGTGGAATACGATGCCGATGACAACAACTGAAGGAGCATTGAGCCGCCGTTGGGATCAGTAGTGGGGTCGTATGATGGTTCGAACTTGGCGGGTGGTGACGTCGGAGAGAGAGCAGGAGCCAGTCCAGTGTGGTCCAGTGCTACTTCGTAATACTGGGAAAGCCAGGTTCAATGTTGTACGCCCTTCCTATTTTTAGCAGCATTGATTTAATCGCTGAGAAATCTACACCATCCACAACACCAAGAACCAACCTAAACTAATAAACTAAACTTTTTTCCTTTTCTCTCGCCGCCGCCTGAGCTCTGGATTGATCACAGGGACAGGCCTTCTACCGAGGCTGGGGGAAAAGGGGGGGGGAATCGCGGGGAATCGCCTCATGATATTTCATCGATCAATGTCCTTTAGTGTCGAAAATGGGAGTCGTTTCATGTCCAATGTCTTCAACAGTGTGGCGTTGCACAACAGAAACCGGTCCCTACAAAGTAGTGCCAGGCTGTCCCGATGTAAGCATTGATTTGATGATTCTCCCCCATAATGAGAGACATCCAGTCTGTACCTGTGTATGCGTGTGTAATGTACACCAATATGGGTGTGTCGGCTTAATTGGGTCTGTATTTTCGTTTTCGTCTGTTTTCGTATTGTCTTTCGCAAGGTCCCTGGTCCCCGTTTGAGGCTGTACAGTCGATGGTTCCTGGTTGGGCGGCGCTACTTGGCCCCAAAATTCTGCAGATCTTATAAAGGCGGGTTTGGGGGCTCAGCCGCTCTCTGCGGTGCGTGCAGGTGCCGGATGCTGGCCTAGCCTGGGCTCAGTTGACCCTATCCTCCGGACTACGGAAATGTCCGAAAGGGCTCACAGCTCCAAGAGGTTGGGGCTCCAAGGGGGTGTGAGAAGGCGTTACCTTGCTGGGCTGAAGAAACGGGCTTCCATCATCAATCCAATCTGTTTCCTCAGAAGTGGGCATCCTAGCCCCAGGAATTTGGAGGAGGAAGTTTCCGTTTGATCTGACAGGGGAACCAATCACCTCATTCCTGAAGTAAGACAGACTTCACAGGTAATTGTTTTCTAGTTCCCCCGAAAAAGAGGTTGGAGGAGCGCCTCTCTCGGTTGGGAAGGGCATCCTTTGCCTGATTCCCAAGCGCCGGGGTCCTTCCCTGACAGCAGAGTTTATTGGATATAAGTTTGTGGCCGGTTCGACAAAGTTCTTTGAATCTGCAGAGCGTCGGCCTGATTTCATCTACTTGAAAGATGTTTCTCGTCCCTTGGACATCCTCAGATAGTACGAGTACCACCCATCTCTTCCGCGTACTTCGCAGTGGTTGGCGAGAACGTGTTTTTGTGGATTACCAGGAGGCGGTAGCGTTTCACCGTCAGGGATTTCAGCAGGAAATTCCAACGCATCCCATATAGATGGCCCGGTTTTTGTAGTTTTGTAGCACACTAAGAGCCGTGGATTGGACTCCCTCATCACCTCCATTAATAGGGGTGTGTTTAACCAAGGAAGATACATCCATACTCCGTACATTACATACCTGTGTACTCGTCGAAAGCCTCCCAGCACGGTGTGCTTGACACATCACTGATCAGCCACTGCGGATCGGGTTCCTTAAGGGTTTGCTAGTATTCACCAGTGGCAGGCACACTAAGGATTCCCCCCTGGACCACCACGATAGTGTGAGTTTAGTCCAAAGTATATAACGAGTTTTGCCGGGCTTGACGGGGAATGAAAGGGAACTAGGGGGAAAAAAACAGTCTCTGAAGGTGGCAACATAGCTCGTATCTCGAGGAAGACAAGGTGCTCATTTGCAGCACATATTTTGCGGCAGAAAGACAGCGCGGCAGAAAGAGCACCACCCCGGGTTTCCAAATCAGCTGCAACTTGATGCTAGTTTCTCGTAAACAAAGCTCACGGTCCAACAATTTGGCTCCTTCTTCTCGAAAATACGACCACGCTATTACTTGTACGCTCCACTAGAGAAGAAGCCGACCAGACCCATCTTGACACCTGATAGGGAAGGGCGCCGGACTGCAGGGAATTGAGCTAACTCGATGTGCGTACACACCCCCCGTCCACCGCCCCCTTCTATCAAAGTCAAGTCTTCTCAGTGCTCCTTCCACTGTTGTCAACCTCGAAGTCACAATGTCTCCCACTCCCTGGACAAGTACGTAATAGGCAGAGAGGTTGGATCTTGGATCTCGGTCCAGGCGTGATCAAATGTTTCTCAAGGGAAGAAGCAGGGAAACCTACGAAGCAGAGAGAGTTTGGTTGTGTATGTGAAACATCCAGACACCCTTGGAATTATCCCCTCAGTGATGCAAGAGAGGGGCATCCAACGAATCAATTCATCTTTTTCCAGAAAGCTAGGTCTCCCAATGCAGAAGAGAGCTTGACAACTAGACTTCAATGTTGCCCAACACCAGTCCAATCCGGAGCAGAGTCCAGTCAATGGATCATGTTCTCTATCAGTATGGACTTTAGAGGCGACAAGACATGATTGACCAGGAGGCAAAGGGCGCAATTGTTGAGCCCAGTTTCCAGTTTTGGAGGAGCTTGTAGCTCTCAACTGATGCATTCACACCCCCTGGTCAACCCCTCCCTCCCCTTTTGCTTTGAAGTGCTCCCTCCTTCCCTCCTTCGTGCCAACTTGCAACCCCACCACACCGCCGCACCTCCCCTCCATTGACCCCCTTGCACTCCTTGTTCTCCTTGCACTTTCCCTCACGAAGCAGTTGCCCACTTCCTGGCCCCACCACCCATCCAAACCCACCAGGGACAACTGAAGCCCACACTATCTTCGACTGTTCCTGCTCTGGTTACCGCCTTAGTCGTCGCCTGAGCCCCAAGCCTCAAATAAAGCTGACCGGACGACCACTGCCCCGTCATCCCTCCCCTATTTCTTCCCATCTCTCTCGTCCTCTCACTCGCTTGAACTGCTCTCAATCTCTCTCTTCTTATTCTACATCCAGTTTCCGTGATACCCCAATTTCTCTCGCAGTTATTTTCTTTTCCAATAGCATTTTTCATCTTCCAGCCTTAGCTCACCCGCAACCATGTGGTAGGTTACCAGCCCAGCTGCCTAGCTGCCCAGACTACCCCGCCGCTCCCACACCGATTGCTTGCTCTCCCTCGCCCAAGTGCCGCAGCGAGAAGTCCAGCATGGCGGGAGGGAGCTTACCGAGGAGAATTAGGGAATCGTGTTTACTGACATCTTCTCTCCTTTTTTTCAGTGGAATCTTCGGCTACGTCAACTATCTGGTGGAGAAGGACCGCAAGTTCATCCTCGAGACCCTCATCAATGGTGAGTGAGCTCTGAACTCTCTCCCTGCACCTCTAGGACCATTCGCCCCCGCTCTCACCGTAGCGGGCTAGCTCCTGCTTACCACCAACGCCAATTGACCGCCTTTTCCCTTTTCCGGGGCTAACTTTCGGGCCTTGCCCACTCCAGGTCTCTCTCGCCTAGAGTACAGAGGATACGACTCTGCCGGTCTCGCCGTCGATGGCGACAAGAAGAACGAGGTCTACGCTTTCAAGGAGGTTGGAAAAGTTGCTAAGCTCAAGGTGCTCATTGACGAGTCCAATGTCGACTTGACCAAGATCTTCGATTCACATGCCGGAATTGCCCACACTCGATGGGCCACTCACGGTCCTCCCTCTCGCATTAACTGCCATCCCCACAGGTAAGACATTCCGTCCGCCACCCTTGCCTCCATAGTTCTCACCACATGCCTCCCGCAACAACAACTATGTTTCAATTGAGCAAGAGCCGCAAGGACCGGTCCTTTTGTGAATCAACTGAGAGCTGACATCGGCGACTATAATGCAGGTCCGACCCGACCTGGGAGTTCTCCGTTGTTCACAATGGTATCATCACCAACTACAAGGAGCTGAAGACCCTCCTCACCAGCAAGGGCTTCAAGTTCGAGACCGAGACCGATACCGAGTGCATTGCTAAGCTTGCCAAGTATCTCTATGACCAGAATGAGAGCATTGGCTTCACCGATCTTGCCAAGGCCGTCATCCAGGAGCTTGAGGGCGCTTACGGCTTGTTGATCAAGTCGGTGCATTATCCCCATGAAGTTATTGCTGCTCGTAAGGGTTCCCCTCTCGTCATTGGCGTCAAGACGCAGAGGAGGATGAAGGTCGACTTCGTCGACGTCGAGTACTCGGAGGAGGGAGCCGCCCTCCCTGCCGAAGCTGCCTCTCATAACGTTGCGATCAAGAACAACCCCAGCACTCTTCTCGGTGCCGGCCTTACAGCCCCCGACAAGTCGCTCCTCCACAGGTCTCAGTCCCGCGCCTTCATGACTGATGATGGTATGCCCATGCCTACGGAGTTCTTCTTGTCTTCGGATCCCTCCGCCATTGTCGAACACACCAAGAAGGTCTTGTACCTCGAGGATGACGACATTGCCCACATTCACGAGGGCTCCCTCAACATTCACCGCCTTAAGAAGGCCGATGGAAGCTCCAATGTGAGGACCATCCAGACCCTCGAGCTCGAGCTCCAGGAGATCATGAAGGGCGAGTTCGACCACTTCATGCAGAAGGAGATTTTCGAGCAGCCCGAGTCCGTCGTCAACACCATGCGGGGTCGTCTCGACATCGCCAACAAGACTGTGACCCTCGGTGGTCTCCGATCGTACATTACCACCATCCGTCGATGCAGGAGGATAATATTCATTGCATGCGGTACCAGCTACCACTCTTGCATGGCTGTCCGTGGTATCTTCGAGGAGCTCGTCGAGATCCCCATCGCTGTCGAGCTTGCCTCGGATTTCCTTGACCGACAGGCCCCCGTCTTCCGTGATGACACTTGCGTCTTCGTCTCCCAGTCTGGTGAAACCGCCGACTCCCTCATGGCCTTGAGGTACTGTCTCGAGCGTGGTGCTCTCACCGTCGGTATCGTCAACGTCGTCGGTTCTTCCATCTCGCTCCTCACCCACTGCGGTGTCCACATTAACGCCGGTCCTGAGATTGGTGTCGCTTCCACCAAGGCTTACACCTCCCAGTTCGTCGCCATGGTCATGTTTGCCCTCTCGCTCAGCGAGGATCGCGCGTCCAAGGCTCAGAGGCGAGAGGAAATCATGGAGGGCCTTTCCAAGATCTCCGGCCAGATTAGGGATATCCTTAAGCAGGATGCTGCTATCAAGGATCTCTGCCGTAGGGTCTTCAAGGACCAGAAGTCGCTCCTGCTTCTTGGCCGTGGTCTCCAGTTCTCGACCGCTCTTGAGGGCGCTCTTAAGATCAAGGAAATTTCCTACCTTCACTGCGAAGCCGTCATGTCTGGTGAGCTGAAGCACGGTGTTCTCGCCCTCGTTGACGAGAACCTCCCCATCATCATGATCCTCACCCGAGACGATGTCTTCAAGAAGTCTCTAAACGCCTACCAACAAGGTAAGTTCGTTCCTAAACGCTATGAAAACCCCCAACTCCTTTCCCAAATAATCAGGATACTAACTGCTGTTTCCCACCAGTCATTGCTCGTGGTGGCAAGCCCATCGTCATCTGCAACCCTGACGATGAGGAGTTCAAGGCCAGCCAGGCTCTCAAGATCGAGATCCCCAAGACCGTTGACGTCCTCCAGGGTATCCTCAACGTCATTCCTCTTCAGCTCATCGCCTACTGGCTTGCTGTCATGGAGGGCCTCAACGTCGACTTCCCTCGCAACCTTGCCAAGTCTGTCACTGTCGAGTAATCGTTGAAGGTGTGATGCGCACATAGTAAAAACGAAAAAGGTGTTTAGTGTTTTTGAAAGGACCCTGGGAGCTTTTGTTCAATTGGACGGCGTATGCGCGGGGGAACACTGCGTTGGAATAAGGTTAGAGTATCGGGATACTATTTATTGTTTTTACTCGTTGGGTGGGGCAAGATTCCGCCGCCTTTGTTCGTTTGGGCCGTTGTGGATTGGCTCCTGTTAATACGTCGCGAATAATGTGATATTGAAAGTTCATGAGTCTTTGCTGAGGGTCCTGGCCGAGTGCGGGAGGGCTGGAAATCCTGTCCAAGCGAGTTGTGTACTGAAAGGGGAAGATGGATCCTAGCGATGTGTTTACTTGTATTCAACTTCGTGGCATTCGAGGTAATCCCACAGTAGTTTACCTGGCCAGTGAATACATACGGAGTACAGTTTAGTTTTAATTCTGCATTTAATGTTGCCTCTCCAAAATTCCTCCAGTCAGTGACAACATCTTGCCATACAAAGGCAGAGACGTGGTCGAACCATTAATCCTTCTGAATGGTGACAACTAACTCGAGAGAAAGAGAAAAGATAGAACGTATGTATTTGTGTCTATTAGTACAACAAGCATTTCTCAAGGTAACGCCCGATAGACGACGTGTCTTGACCTCTGCACATCATCCCCGGTCTTCTAACTCAGCGATACTTGAAAAGCTGAGACGTCTTTTTGCCTTGGAAAATATGGGCACTCGCGCATTAGAAATCCTGGTCAAGGTCCAGGTCCAGTCTCCATGGCACGTTCCAATCCGACGCCTTACCGCCACCATCTCTATCGCATGAAAAAATAAAACTCTTAGACAGTTTGGGTGCCGTAACCCTTGATGCGGTCAGCAAACGCCCAGCTTTGTTGCTCGAGTTTCTCGTCCTCCTTGAGGTCGATGCCGTCCTTCGTAACGACGGCGATGGAGTAGGTGTCCAAGCTCCTTGCGTCGCGGTAGTAAAGCACCTTCATGCACTCCTTGATGGCAGCAACAGCGTCCTCCTTGGAAAGCTTCTTAGCAGCCTCCTCATCAGGGACAACCTTTCTCAGGATAGGAATGGCGATGGCCGAGCCGAAGCCCGTGGCAAGCGAAGGCGCCGAGTAAGTAGTACCGCGAAGGTCAGCGGACGCGAGGAAAGGGCTACCCTCCTCGTCAAGGCCGCCGACGAGGACGTGGTTCCAGAGTGGATCGAACTTGTTGCGGCGGGCGTAGAAGAGCTTGGCGAGGTAGCGGTGGAGATTGGCGGCGGTGAGGCGAGGCGCGGCGGAGGCGGCTGTGGACGGGGTGGAGTAGGACTCCTCGATCTCGAGGTCGTTGAGGTGGCGGGTGAGGTATTGCATGTCGGAGATGTCGCCGCCGAAGCCGACGATGGAGGAGCCGGCGAAGGGGAGGAGACGCTTGACGTTGGTGAAGCGGGCGAGGGAGCCGTATGACGCTGAGGGAGAGATGATTCTCGTTAGCCACATTCCTTGGGTGCGAGAAGGGATTAGGTATTTGAGAGTAATTCTTTCAACTAACCTAGGTTGTCGGCGGCGATGACGATTCCTTCGCTGAACTTGACGGCTATTACAGATGTGCCTGTGACAATGGGGGACTGGGTGTGCTGGTTAGGCCCGTGGGCCTGCTGCATATAGGAGCCATCATAGGCGCCGTAGACATCATCTCTGGGCTAGTAAAAGAAAAGAAAAAGCGTTAGATTAAATGCGACGCAGAGCAATAACGCCTGTTCGGCGTTGTTGGTAGAATGGGGTAGACGAACTCTTCCCCAAGCTTGAGGTCGGTGATCCATTGTGACGTGGGTGAGGCTGGGAGCTTTGGAAGGTACTGGTTTTTAGAAATTAGGCAATTCGAGCGGCCGGGGAGAAATATCGACGGATCGAGGTTCTAGAGTGTCGATCGAGATGTTGTCTGCTTGATGGCGGGTTAAGATGGTGAGTGTGTCGGAGGACGTTGTTGCGGGCTGTTTGAATGAACTGCCTGAGCTTCGCGTCGCCAATGCTGCCTTGTCTTACTGCTCTGCTGCAGCGCACCGCAGGCTGGTGCTTGGGCTTGGCGGATGACAGCTGGAGAAGTTTGTGCCTGAGGATGAAATTTACATGCGGAAGAACAATTGGAAGGTACAAATATGAAGTACTTGTACTCGGTACTTTGAGCAGTGTTGCATCGTCTTGCATCATCTTATTAATTTACCTGCTGCAGGAGCAACCAGGAGCTATAGCTCCATGTATGCAGTACTTATTATTCAATGCATAACAATGCACAAGACCAAGTATTGAGTACCCGGAGCTGAACTCCAAAACAGCAAGGCTCATGGACATGGCATGGTCATAACTCATCATCCATTTTCGCAGACCATCAACCCACACACGACACACCAAGAGCAAGAATCAACGTCGACCTGGGAGAGAGCACGAGGCGTCGTTCTCACATTTTGCTTCGCACCCCAACAACCCCCATTTTGCCCGCGGAGCACCAATTGAAAATAGCACTCTCCATCAATTGAATCTCTTGCAACGCCAATTCTTTCACTTTTTTGACGACAATGTTGACCTCGCTCGCACGGGCGTCCCTTCGCCGGGTCGTCTCCCTCCCCCTCCGCCCATTGACCGCCCCCGTCGCGGCGCGTGCCGTCCTCCTCGCCCCCGCCGTCCGGACGCAACAACCCTTCGGCACGACCAGCTGGGCCCACGAAGCTGCCAAGGGAAAGTCGACCAAGGGCGCCGCCTCCAAGAAGAAGAAGACCACTAAGGCCGCGGCGACCAAGGCTAAGGCCAAGCCCAAGGCCAAGCCTAAGCCGAAGCCGAAGCCCAAGAAGAAGAAGGTGCTGACGCCCGAGGAGAAGGCTAAGAAGGAGGTTAGGGAGCTAAAGGTGGCGGCCCTGCTTAATGAGCCGGCTAAGTTGCCTGGGACGAGCTGGCTGGTGTACGTGACGCAGGAGCTTAAGGGAAAGTCTGTTGGGGGAGATCTTGCGGGTAGGACGAGGGCCGTGAGAGAGGCGTTTAGGTCTCTGTCGTCGTATGAGCTCGAGGTATGTCGAGGAAAAGAAAACCTCTCTGAAGCCCCCTTCAACCACCATTTTCTTGGTATTCTGCTTCATCTGTCTCTGAACCCGACGCTAATTTTGTCTGTGACAGCGTCTCCAAGAAACAGCTGAGAGCAATCGCCAGGCCAACATCGACGCTTACAAGACCTGGGTCGAGAGCCACTCGGCCGAGGAAATCTACAAGGCCAATCTCGCGCGCGGCCGCCTCAGCCGCAAGTACAACAAGTCGCACCGCAAGATCACCGACGAGCGCCTTCCCAAGAGGCCGCTGACGGCCTACTCCCTCTTCGTCAAGGCGCGGTGGGCGAGCGGCGATGTGTCCAACGTAGCTAGCACTGCGGCGGGTGCTGCTCGCATACTGGCGGATGAGTGGAAGGCTTTGCCTGAGTCGGAGAAGAAGGTATGTTGCCGTCTCTGATGATCTTCGGGCTTTGAAGTTGGGAGATATGCTGATGTGCTTTTTTTTTTTTTTTTTAGCCTTATCTGGACCAGGCGGCTGCTGATGCGGCGAGATATGCGGAGGAGAAGAAGGAATTCTCTGACTAGTCCAACCAACTCGGTCGCGATTGAGAACGGATCCGTCTTGTTATTCCCCCCCTTACCCCCCAAGTTGTGGGCTGTCCATGGTTCTGTATCCAAGTTCCTAATTTCCTTGCGTTGGTCTCTGTAGCTTTTCTTGTTTTCTAAGTATCCGGAGCGCTTGGTTTCCTTCTTCCTCCTTCCTCCTCAGCTTTATTCCCCTGTCTGTAGTATTACGAGCGCTGTGGGTATTGTCTGTTCTGTGTGTCAATACATTAGGTTTTAGGATGTTGCGATTTTCTTGCCAGTGATTTCTATTCATTGCTCTTCAAAACGATATCGTTTTCTTCGGGTATTCATGGGCCCCATGCCAATGCCAATCAAATGACTACCTGCCACTGATACGATCCCCAGTATTCATGATCTCGTTACTTCGATCTCGTAGCTAGGATCGTTAGTCGTAACCAAACCACCTGCCTTTCCTTTACGCCTATCATGCTCTCCTACACCCATGCCCCCATGACCTGTCCGAATCAATAAACAAAAAAGGAGGGGGAAAAAAAAGGAGAGAGAAAGGAAATAAACAAGAAAAACGGTGGCCTTCGATATATATATATTTCAACCACTACTCATCCCCTCGTTGATATTTCTCCTCCCCCGCGCGGCCACCACAATCTTAGGCTCCCCATCATCGCCTATCCAATATATATCCATATACTTGAGCCTCCTCACACTCGCAAGGTAGAGCAGCAAGTACATGTGTCCGGCAATCTTGCCCCAGCAATACGTGCGTATCCAATCCAGCGACTCGTCCCGACGACACCAGACGCCCCAGCCGGCGGAACCACTACGGATCCAATGGGCGAGAAAGATCCAGGCTTGCCACCTCGACTCGACGTCCCAAGACGAGCAGTCCAAGAGCCAGTATCCACGCTCAAACGGGCGGTGGGACAGGTCTACAAGGCTGTCCGGGCGGTAGCGTTTGTTGAGGTCAAGGTGTCGCGCTAGATTCTCAAGGCGGGGGGTGAGGAGCGAGGCAACGGTCATGGTAGCCTCGGATATGGGCGGTTCGGGAGGGAAGATGTCCAGGGCGTCTGGGTGGATGTCTTTTATAGTTGCTGGAGGCTCGTCTAGCATGAGTTGGCACTCGCTCATGCTCCGGGTGGGTTGGGGAACTTTGGGTCGGAAGGCGCCCTGGTCGGATTGGTGACGCCTGAGGGGAGTGGTAGGTGGCCGGTGGTCCTGCTCGGGCTTGTGAAACTTTGCGACCTTTCCAGGACGAGGGGCGGTGTTGTCTGGCTCATTACGGCATTCTTCGACAGTTTCATCGAGCGGCCGCTTAACTGGGCGAGCTGCGGGCTTGATCTGCTGCAGGTAATGTTCGAGAATGCGCGTCGGGGAGCAGAATATATCGACGGCTACGGAGCAGGCGGGATACGAGTCCGGAACCTCATCTATAATATCCTGACTGCTCAGCGGTTGGGAGCTCGGGACCTCGTTGCTGCATATGCTGTCTCCTGGCTCTGGAAGCAGTACGTGCCTCTTGGGAGAAGTGTGCACGAAGCTGCCGTGGTCGAAAGATTGAGAGAAGCCGGTATCAGGAGTGAAGGCAACATGGATACTACCCAGTTCGGACGGGGCCGCTTCCTCTGGAGGGACCTCATCGCCGTTGTCATCGATATCTAATTTTGTCACACGAGCGGGCATGAAGTTGAGATAGCTAGACGCAAGACTTCGGTATCGCGCGTCGTCCTCGGAGGTGCACGGGGCCGATATATGGACCAGAATCTCGACATCATCCTCCCTGTCCTCCCTGTGATCCATGGCTTGTCGCAAGGGAAACGGTATTGGCCAGAGCGTTCGTGACACGATATAACCATGACGAAAGAGTTGTTGTGTCAACTTCGCGTGAATGCCTCGCGACCGTTTTCTGGAATTAAGGTTTCGGTGAATGGGGTTTCACTTCGGTATCCTCGTCAAGCGTGATCAATGTATATTTACACAAGGATGGTGGGGTAGAGTTAAGAAGGAGGGAAGGAAACAGTAATGACAGAAATGACAGAAATGGGCATGATGGGCGCCATCAACGATCAGGTGTTTTGAAGAAGTTGGCCATGACCGTCTCTGGGCGAGGGGTTCCAGTCCCACTATTAACTTTCAGCGATTGAAGCGGTCGAGATGGAGCAAAGCGGCTCTAATAAAGACGCGTTGTCAGGGAGTGGACGTGTCTACAGTCTTGGTGCCAAAGGTCAAAGAGAACAGCGCTAGTCGCAACGCTACTTGTCCACTGGCACTAGGTAGCCACGGCCTGTGGCCAACCGGAGGGTCGAGATCATTCTTAGTGCGGTTGCCAACCTGATGGTCTGTCTAATCAAAGACTTCATCAAGGTCTCGGCTCTAGGCGGCAGGTTGCAGGTTGCAGGTCAGTCCTCCACTCCAAGAGTCCAAGTGCGTTGTCTTGTGGAATCATGGTGTCTCTCGCCTTCGTGCCTGGCGGCCTTGGATTGGTGGGGTTAAATTGGCTCAAGTCAAAGTTGGAGCATGCAAAATGCAAATTGTGGTGGGGGTTCAAATTGCTCTCTCCAAATTTGTTAATACCAGGCGTCAGGGGGAAAGGAGTCAAGGACAGATGGCAGGTAGAATGTGGCAGATGGAATGTGGCAGATGCCAGATGCCAGATGCCAGACGGCAGACGGCAGACGACAGACCAACAACAACCGTCAATTGCATTTACCCCAGGAAATTTATTAGTTGGGGACCCTGAGTTGGGAACTTGGAAGCCTGGGATCAAGACAACGAACGGTTGAGAGTTCCCCGTAAACAACACCTCACCTCAATATCAATTGATCCAGCAACATCTTTACCCCGTCCCGTCTGCAATTCTCCAACATTTCGCTCTCACTGTAGCCTTGTAACCGCCGTAAAAAAGAGCAAGCAACCGCACACCTTCAAACCCTCACCATTTTCCACCGCCCCCAAATGGCTCAAACAACAGAAGAAAGGAAAGCCGACCTTGGCAAAGTCCTCGTCATCGGCGGCAACGGCTTCCTAGGCCACCACATTGTCAAGCTCCTCCTCACCTCCTGGGTCGCCACCGTTTCCGTCATCGACCTCAAGTGCGTGCGCAACCGCCTCGACGGTCCCTCCTACCACGAGGCCGACATCACCGATGCTGCGGCTGTCCAGTCCATCTTCGACGAGGTCCGCCCCGACATCGTCATACACACCGCCTCTCCTGCGCCCCAGGCTGAGGGCAAGATTGCCAATGCTCTGTTCCAGAAGGTCAATGTTGAGGGTACCAAGGCTATCGTTGATGCCTGCCTCAAGAGTGGTGTCAAGGCCCTCGTGTATACTAGCTCCGCGAGCGTCATGTCGGATAACAAGAGCGATCTGCGGAATGCCACAGAGGAGTTTCCCATAATCAGGGGTGTTCACCAGACCGAATACTACTCCGAGACCAAGGTATAACGCCCCTTTGCCTTTCTATTCATTCTCTACTCCCCTACTTGATGAGATCATTGTCCACTAAAACAAACGCCCATCCGCAGGCCGAAGCCGAAGACATCGTCCTCAAAGCAAACCGCACCGGCTCCCACAACCTCCTCACAGCCGCCATCCGCCCCGCCGGCATCTTCGGCGAAGGCGACACCATGACCCTCAGGCACATGATCCAAGTCTACATCGACGGCCGCACCAACGTGCAAGTCGGCGACAACAACAACCTCTTCGACTTCACCTACGTCGTCAACGTCGCCCACGCACACCTCCTCGCCGCCCTGCGCCTCCTCGCCACCCACCGCCTCATCCCCACGATCCCCCTCGACACCGAGCGCGTCGACGGCGAGGCCTTCATTATTACCAATGATAGCCCCGTGTACTTTTGGGACTTTGCTAGGGCTATATGGAAGGCTGCTGGGAACGATAAGGGGCTTGAAGGTGTTTGGAAGCTGCCTACCGATGTTGGCATCTTTTTGGGGCTGCTGAGCGAGATTGCTTTTGGTATTATTGGCAAGCCTCCTACTTTTAACCGCCAGCGCATCATCTACTCGTCTATGACAAGGTACTACAACATCTCCAAGGCGAAGCAGAGGCTTGCCTACAGGCCGATTGTGCCTCTTGGCGAAGGTATCGAGAGGGGCGTCAAGTGGTGTCTTGAGACGAATAAGGAGCTCGGCGCTGCTGTTGCCGCCTTGAAGAAGAACAAGGCGCAATAAGGTTCCGAGAAAAGGGTAGAATTGGCGAAGGAGGGCGGTGGTACGAGTTCTTTGAACCATCTTAAGAGGGGTTTGTGTTTTCTTGGGCTGTATATCACGTCTTATTCTAGGATATCTTTTTGTTGGGCGTTTCTGTTCGGCGGCTCTCCCGCCGTTTATTTGCTTCAGAATATCTTTCAAACCGTAATATACATTCTAATTAATGGCAAAACAACACAAATGTATAAATATGCAGGCATAAGCAAAATCGGGTGCAAGTCTCAAAACTGGCTGCATGTCCCAAGGGATAGAGACATGTTCGAAACGGTCGAGTTCTTAAGCGCGCGTTTACAGAGAGTCGTTCACTTGCACAGACAAAAGGCACAACTTCATGTTCTTTGTATCCAAGATCAGCCTTACCTACTCCAACAACGAAAGATCCCTAGAAAGGAGCAGCAACATCACCAGGATAGATGGCTTTATAGGCCCAGGCCCAGTCAAAGAGACCAGCCCCATTGTAGAAACAAAGACGAAAAAAAAGGTTACGAATTTTTTTGTTTTCATGACTTTCCTAAGCTACCATTCCTTGCTCAACATCATTCGCCATTTAATGTATGAGTTTGCCCCTCTCCATCTTTACTTCGCGGCTGGGTGTCGGGATATATGAGAAATGAAGAGAACAAAAAAGGGGGAATTAGAAACAGACAAAAAAGGGGATTTGCAAATGCGCATGTCAGATAGAAGAAATGAAAGGAAAACCTGCTTCTCATCATAAAATGTAACAAGAAGCCCATCAAAAATAGCTGCAAAAGGCCAAACCCAGATAGAGAGGAAGTCAAGAAGATAGAGAGACGAAACTAAATGAAGAGAAAAGGGGAAAAAATCGAAAAGAAAAAAAACCATCATGGTCCCCCCCAAAAAAGCACGCTCATTCATTCCAGAGGTCATCAGAATCAGCCAAGATAAAGGTATTGTGCATTTGCGAAGAAGAAGCGAGCAAAAAACAAAGACAACATCAAAAGGCTTTTGGTTGCTTCTGTGAAGGTCAAGAAAACTCCGTAAACAATGCAAGGGGCGTCTACTACGAGCGGTAGGGTATTCGACTCCATTCGGCTCCACAAGCGCAGGGTCATATTGGATATAGGTGGGAACTAGGAGAACGAGAGGGTTCGTTGTGGTCATTAGGCGAGAGAGGCGTGCTTAGCTTGGCTCATATCGGGCGCATACGACAGCCCATTCATGCGAGTTTGTGGAGAGCTAGGAGAAAATACACCGGGGTTAGTTGCCCATCGCCACTCCGCTGCCCTGTCTGCCCCATCCCGAGTTGCGCCACTCCCTTCCTTGGTTGAGATCATGGTTAGGGGGGCTAAGCTGTGGCTCGGAGTGATCAAGCTTCTGCGCATACGGGGACATATGCGTATGGCCAGGTTCTTCGCGGCCCCGCCACGCGTCCGCCGATGGGGTTGCCGGGCCAGAGTTTGGGTACGTGAATGAGGGTTCTTGCATCGGTCGCGCGCTGCTCTCTTGCTGCCAAAGCGAAGGGTCCGTATCCACCCTCCTAGGTGGTGGCCGCGTTGACATGTCTTGCCTATTGTATACCTCCTTGATATCCGAAATGGCTGGGTTGGGACGTTGGCCTTGCAGCTCTTGGAATCTCTTTAGGATTTCCTTTGTGGTGATTTCCCCATTTCCACCGAAGAGGTAGGGGTCGCTGGCAAGGCTCGCAAGTTCATCGGGCACCTGGTTTATTGTTAGCGATTAAGGACTTGAAAACGGGAAGCAAGGAAAATAAGGACGGTGACGCCAGAGAAGGGGTGAAAAAGAAGATCACATACCAGACACATTTCCTCAAGATAGTTGATTAGGGTCTCGACAGCCACAATGGCAAACATGTGGTCGCTGTCCAAAGCCGGAGCTTTATCGTTGGCAAAGAGAATGTTGGGGGCGATGACAGTAGCCAGATTCTTAATATCCATCTTAGAACCCGACTCGTCATCTACCTGATGGAAGGAGCCGGCCCATTTGAGGAAACAAAACAAGATCTCGAGCGCGTCGCGGTGACATTTTGGCAGCAGACAGCAGGCCAAATGAAGGCATTGCCTCCTCTTGTCGTCATCGGGGATCTTGGCGGCCGCGATCCACAACCTGTACAGTTTGTATGTCATCAACGGATCGGGAAGCTCACGGAGATATCGTTTCAACAAGGCCGCCACCTGCACCACGGGTTGTTCCATGAAGTTGACAGCATCAGATCCATCCCTATCAATGATATCACGGAGTTCTCCCAACTTCTTGATGTTCCCGTTCTTACGGAAGACTCCCTCCACCGATAGATCCATCTTCCTCATTGAGCTTATCAAGTCGTCGAGGACCGCAGGGATTCGGAGGGCACCGGGACCAACGCCGTCCGTTGAATCGGCCCCGTCGCGCTCGATTATCAGCTCGAGCGGCACACCAAAGACACCCTTCTTCTTCACGGGCTTCTTGTCGTTCTTGAATGCCTTGCTCAGGTTCTTCCAAAAGGTCGTGGGTTTCCGCGATTCGATAAAGCTCAAAAGTTCCTCCAGCGGGAATTCATCGCCAAGCATCGGTTGCATAGTCAAGACGGCCAAATGCCGAACGATGAAGTACTCTAGTCCAGAGAGTTCCGAGAAGAATCGCCTTCCGCCTCGCTGAGGTATCGCGTCACTCATGCCTCTATCCTCGTCTCTTCCAGCGGATAGAGATCTTTGGTGGCTTCCTCCTGGCCTTCCGACGGCCGCGCTTGCCGACCTGAAGAGACCTTGTTGCGTGGGTTTTGCCTTTTCCCGGACTTGCTCGGCGGCGACTATCCTAGGGATGTCGTCGAGCGTGAGTGCATCATTATTTCCGAACATCGTATCCGTCGTTCCGGCGTCGTTGGCATTCCGATCCTCGACGATATGAAACTGCTGGCCAGGCCGGCTCTGTTCGTCTCCGCCAGCTGATCCAGGTCGGACGCTGCGACCCTCGGGGCCGTCCATGATCCTCGACGTCCTAGCCTTCCTAAAACTTGACGAGAGATGCTTGTCGAGACGTGTACTGCGCAATCGCCTAACGTCGTTCAGGGTGTTTTCGTAGGTTGATTCGCGATTCCTATCTTTCTCCCCGGCTCCGGGATATGTTCTCGACCTCTGTTCTAGTGGGGTCCTCTGGACCGCTCCAGTCTGTTCCGAAGGTGTCGAAGCACCATACCCGTCCGACACACCATGGCCATTCGCTCCAGGACCCTCCGCAGGGGGGATGACGCCTGAACTTCGAAGCATGTCTAGAAGTCTCGCTAGCGCGACCTTGAGAAGGAAAACGTATTGTTGCAACTTGGTAATATGCTCAAAAGGTGGCATCTCCTCAGTGTTGATAGCAATGCAGTTGCTACAGTATGTCATCTTATCGAAGGCGTTGAACCGGGCCTCCTGCAGTCTCCGTCCGAGATCCTTTCCGCATCGAGTGCATCCAACGCAGGCAATGTGCCATCGCAAGTTTCCGTTCAGGGCGCACTCGTCTTCGACCGACTTTCCGCACAGCGCGCAGTGATCCGAGTCCTTGGCGGAAAGTTTTGAGGATCCGTTAAGGACCTGGAGGGAGTTGTCTTCTAGCCTGAGAGACTCGAGGTCGCTAAGGTCGTCGAGAAACTGGTAGAGACCGTCCGAAGAACGCGATTCCTGTTCTAATCTTAGTGCACCCTGGAGGCATATGCGGATAAGAAGTTTAAGATAATGAGCCAGGCCAGTGACCAGAGACAACAACTCTTGCGTCACGCCGACCTTCTTAGCTTCGGCATCTTGAGCTTTTGATAGAAGAGAGAAGAAGGCAACGATCTTCTTGCAGAGCAGTTTTGCTTCTCTGCCATATGACATTGCTAGAAGAGTGTTAACTTGCCGAGGGCGAGAAAGGGTCGAAAAGAAGGGGGGGTGGGAGTTGATGTAAGAGGCGAATACATCGAGATTGACGAGGTACTTACGTTTGACGTTGAGATTGTTCATATTGGCATTCAAGCGATCCATGGAACGGAACAACACCTCGACGTGGGAGATGAAGCGCTTGGCTACGAGAACACCGTCCAAGAAAGCGCCGTTACTCACGTGTAGAAGCATATCCGATATGCAGGCGGCTGAAGACTCTTCAAAGGCTGAGAGCACACTCCAAATGCGATACACCTTTTCCTCCATGCGTTCCTCCTCTTCCTTGACCAGGTCACGACCCATGTTATCCTCGGGAGCCTGGAGGGTTTTCGGGGGGTGGCTCGATTCGCTCAAACGCACGTTCCAAAACTTATGGATCATGTAACATTCCGGATGCCAATGCTGGTTCTGGCCGTTCCGGAAGATTTCGACAAACTGCTTGAGGATGGCTGTCTGGCAGCCATTACACCGCTGGGCAAACTGGGTCGAATAATGGTAGTGGCAATAGACCTGGCCATCGTGTTCGTAGTAGCTGTCCGACGCGCCAAATACTGTTGGACACACCGAACAGGTAAAGTGGTCGACATGGTATTTGCGGTCGAGAGCAGTGATGTAGGATGCACGAAGAGCTTGGCCGCACTGGTAGCAGAGGAGACCCAGGCGTCGGAAGTAATCCGTCTCGCAAAGGGGGTACTGGCCGTTGCCATTCTCATCGTCGACGGGGAAGAATTTCGAGGCGACAATCTGTCCACAGTCCTATACCGGGGAAGCGAGACAGACGCCTGAAGTTAGTAAATCAAATCACACGTAGACCAATACGGACAAGGGAAAGGGGGGTCGAGTTGCTGATCGTAATCGAGAGAGAGGCTGGAGTAGTGGGGAGAAGAAGGGGGAAAGGGGGCGATTTCCCAGTCAGGGGGGAAATAGGTTTCCAAGACTCCACATACACGACATTTGAAGCAATCTAGATGATATGTGCCTTCGAGAGCGCGAACGAACTGGCCGGTCAATTGTAGACCGCATTTTTCGCATATTCGGACCTGGCCGCTCGCTGACCGCGTGGATCTCTGTCGGGGTGGGTGGGTTCGGTTGGCGACTTGACGGTCTTCTGTGTTCCAGTCACGGGCTGGAGGGCCGGGCTGGTTGTTTGTGTTTGGCTTGGGCGAAAGGGTGGGCGAGGCCATAGACCTGTCCGGCGTGTGGTGGCCGCTCTGTTGCCAATTCCTGTCGTCTGGGTACCCGACATCCAAGCTGGGAGGAGGAGGAGGACCACCGTGATACCGATCGGCAGGGGCGCCAGAGCCGTACCCCGAAGCCATCGTGATGCGGTCAACTCAATTGAGTTGATGTAGGGAGATAGTTCTATCAGCCAAGAGAACTAAGCCGGGGCAGAGGGGAACGCTGGTCGAGGACGATGGGGTTCGGGCTCCGTTCTAGCCACACGTATCGAGAATGTGGCTACGAAGTGGTCGACAGTTCGGCATGAGCTGGGGCTCGACGAGAAACAACTTCGGGTGCAAGGGCAAAGAGGGGTGGGAGTAAGGGATGGGAAGGGACGAAAAGAGGGGCTAGCTCCAGTGGGATGGAGAAACGTTTCTCGAGTTAGGTCGTTGTCGACGTCTTTGTGTTTTTGGGGGGGGAGAGAAGCGTGCAATGATTTCAGCCCCCGAAATACGACGTTTGGTTCGGGTATTGAGGAGCGAGCGAGAGTCGGGTCGGGGGGGTGGGTGGCACGGTGGCACGGATAGAGACGATAGTGAATGGCGAGTTGGAGAACGGGCTGCAGCAGGATTGATGGAAGTCGGCGCAGCAGGCAGGTTCCAGCAAGGAGAGACCTCAAAAAGAGGCACGACTGGCGGAGCCACCTATTTTTGGGTAAAGTTGGTGAGCTGGCGGACTGAAGAGGGCTTGGCCTTGGGCTGAGCTGGCTGGGCTGAGATTGGGGGAGGGGAGGTTGTCGGAAATGGGGAAAGCCGTTGAATTAGAGGAAAAATAAAATGAGAATGAACATGAGGGTGGATCGAGAGGGAGAGAGAACGGAGACAACAATGAATCAATCAACAAGGGGTTGATCGAGCATTGGAAGCCCAGGCACAGTTGAGGCAAGGAACATCAAATCAATCTGAAGTCTGGCGTGCGCTAAAGGCAGGAAAACCTGTCAATTGGGGCGATCATTGACACTGACTGAATGTTGGCGGTGGCACTGTAAGCAGTGCTGGCAAGAGGAAAGAGAGACTTGAGCATTTGATGGAGCGCGAAAGGGAGCACTGGGCACTGAGACCAGACAAGGTACCTCCTCGCCTGGGCTTGTTGATGTGCTCTGATTTAATATTACAGGACCCTGGAACGGGGTGTTCTGTGGTTGTACTTCGTACTTCGTACTTGTGGTCTCGGTCGCGACTGGTTGATCTCGATGTATCACTTGTACACTATCCTCTTGTTCCTTCCCCTTCCCTTCCTTGCTCCATCCTAAGGAAGTCTTGGAACCCGCCGTTTCTGAGACCTCGACTTTTCTTCGCGCTTTAGACTAATATCGGGATTAAAATTAACCAAAGGACTGGATTGCTCGCCAACACCAAAACAACATTTGGTACGAAGTATGCGTACAAAGTATGGACTATTCCACGATTCTCCTCCGCTCTCTGCTCTCGCATCTGGGATTGATTCCCTCTTGAGGGAGATGCAGGATTAAAAGAGAGTCAAACTCACCATCGCAGGTCACTTGGACTTGGGATGGTTCTGGTAACCACACTACATCGCGCCTTGGTCTCCATGGCCAAAAAACTGCCAGAAGTCTCGATTCACCAACTGCAACACTTCGAAGAGAGAGCATTGAAGACAGGACCATGCTAACTATGATTATTACAACGCAGGTCTAATACAAGTCAGGACGGCCAGGTAGCCTAGCCTGGGAGGGAACGGAGTGTAATTAACATTATTATTACACTTCAGAAATCTTCAAAATGTTCGAAGTTACTTTTTTTATCCTCGCATGAACAACTTTATGTACCAGTACGAAGTACAAGGGGCACATTTAGACCCAGAGATTGATGAAGTGTCTCACTTACAACTAGTTTAATACTTCGTACTTCGTGGTGGTAATGTATTAATTAGGGGGCTGCGCCGCCAGCCGTTAGAAGAAAGAGGCCGTTAAGAAACCAGCGACAAAAACGGTTTTAGCCGCTGATCTACACTAAGCAAAGCGCAAAGCCTCGACGACGTACCCTAACGCCTCAAACCTCCAAATTACTTCAGAGGGGCTGCCAGCCTTGGCTACAAAGTAGTTTCACCGATTACTGAATTAAGATCAAGGTTCCTCAAGCTAGTGCAGCTAAGCAACTGTAAATTTGGAAGACCCGAGGCGAGAGAGAAAATAGATGAGTTCGCAGACCGTTTTATTCTTTATCTTCACGTCTTCCCTCAATGTCCCTGGCCCACTCGTCCAACCAAGGTTGGGGGAAACTGCAACTGACGATCTCTCTCACTGGCGAAGCAAAACCCGTTTTTTTTGTGGGTTGCTCGAACGCGGGGTCTTGTCAGTCTTGTCAACCCCTGACTACAATTGTACTTGCACCTGAGGTACAATTGTACTTTGTACTTCAGTACATTGATGTTCGCAGTCTTATACTGTCTCTGTCTGGCCTCCGCGCTTCCACGAAGGCCATTCCGCCACCAAAATCCGAGAGAATCAAAACGATTTGATATCGAGTTCAGGGGAGACCGTTTGCGTCATAATTATCCAATTGCCAATTGCGAACGAGGAATCTCATCTCACTGGCACACTCACATCTAGAACTCTCTACTATTATTCTCAAAGTCTCAAACAGACCTCGAGATAGGGCAACCCAAAGAGAGGGACCAGCCGTCCGGTCGCGCACCAAATCATTGTGATCCATTGTGGACCATTGTTCTTGTTTCCTGTTGCTTGTTGCTTATTGCTTGTTGCTTATTGCTTGTCTGTCCGCTTGTGGCTTGTGGGGCTTTAAAGCTTCCGCGAACAAAAGCAATGGAAACCAGACGTCCCCTTTTCGCTCTCATCTGTTGCTTGGAGGACGAAGTAGCACTTCCTCTGCATACCTAACCCATCATTACTTCGTACATGATGAGCTGTCCGACCTAATGCGCCAAGAAACGAACATCTCAAGCCTTGCCTTGGAAATGCAACAACCAAGGATGCCAAACAGGATCCTCCCAACGTACTTTTGCACTTGGATACCACAAACATTCCGGAATGCCTATCACAATGAGCACATATTTGTGATTTGTGACGTTGAAGTAGCCCTGGTTACAGAAAGATCGCCCCGTGTCACGTGATATTTTCATTTCAACTGGGACTGTTTTCTGGTTCTTGATGGTTTGCTGATCGCAGGCGGCAGAGTGACACAAGAAGGAAGGTCATATTGAGCCCTGTGCTTAAACGAGGATTCGCAGGGAGGACCAAAGAGGTGAACCTCTGTAGCAGAGCAGTAGAAGGCTGGGGAATAGATGTCCCCAATCTTAGCGTAAGCGGCTTTAAGAAATCCATGTTGGCTTTTCTTTTTCCTTTTTTTGAGTTGGGTTGTGGTTCGGAGTAGCTCTCTAGATCAGGGCAAAATACGAGCTTGGCATGGCATCCGGACACGATACACGGACAATTTTCGGCAGGCTGAGAGGATGTCGGGGGATCTCCAGCTGAGATCCGGATGTATTCATAGTCGCATCAAGATCGAAGGAACTGATCGTCGTATAAGCCATGAACATCGGCTGCAACCATCGTTGCAATGGTGTGAAAGTCTCGGACATATTTCTCCGATGGCCCCAAGCTTTCATGGAGTTCATTGCGTACAAATTCAGTGAAGCATGGGGAAACTTTTGTTTTCTTCACAGTTCTCGAAACCACGAAGATGAGCATCCTTGATGTCATTGTGGAGTTTCACTTTCTTGCCCCAAGCGATTCCTCGTGACCAAGATCTAAACTTAGACAATCTTTGTCCAAAGCGAGGATGGACTCTCACCGAATCTGAGATGAAAGATCATGGTCGGACTAAAGCGCTAGTTCGCGGGTTAATCGAAACTTTGAACAGATCGGAATGACGTAGGAGGCATTAGATCGATTCCGGGGATGGAAGGGTTGATGTAAGTGCCAGGGAATGACGATGTTAGACAAAGTTATGAAGCACCTGATAAAATGGGGCAAATACTCCATGAGGTTGGGATCCTCATCCCAATCGCTCACATTCAATCAAACGTTACCCTGATTTCATTCTCCTCAGGAGAGAGATTGGATACAAGTTCTAGGAAATAGATCTGGGATTTAATCGTTGCTCAGCACGATTTCCCGGCGTCCACAACATTCTACATCTTCGAGACGAACTCGGCCCTTTACAGTGCAGAAATAACCATTCAACAAGATGCCAACTCTCTGGGGTAATCCAAGGGATAGCGATCAAAGCGACAGGAGATCCGAAGATGGCGGCTCAACTAACGAGAGAACGCGCCTGTTGGGGAACCACCGCGAGGCCACACCGGCCCTATTAACTCCCGATGATCCTGCCGTACGGTTTTCTCATGGCACAGACACACCTACTTCCCTTGCCGAAAGTTGACGCAAAGACGCGTTAACCGAACTAACTGGAAAGATAGGTGTCGCCCTATAATCTCTGGACGGTTCGCATGTTCAGACACATAACCGTCATTCTAACCCTCATTACGGCGGTTTGGTGGATCATATTGTTGATCTCGACCTTTATCACACCTCCCGGATTCCACATGCGAGGATCTGGATTCTTCGCTTTTAGCAATACGACCGTCGCTCTGTTGGTTTTGATACTCGACTTGGCCTTTTTTCGCACGCCCTCCCAGTCGGCGCGGATCTTGTGCGCTTGTATGGCGGTACGTTCTCTTGGTCAGCCCCAACCCTCTCCAAGATTGTCTTCCTGATCCTGCCCCTACGAATGAATCAAGAAAACCACTAATTGCAGTACACGCCAAGCTTGCGTTACTCGTTAATACGATCCTCACGTTGGCCGTGCAGATGGTAAGATATGAGGAGGGATGGGTCGGCGTCACCAGCATTTCGTGGGTCCTCCTCATAAGCCTATGGGTGCTAGCGGCAGACCGAACGGTAGAATGGGGCAAGGCCGAAGAGGAGGAGCGGCTCACTGGACGGCCAGAAACCAGACGATCCCTCGGCGAGTGGTCCAAAGTGCTCACATCGACCGTCGGTCTCTTCGCGTTGTGCCTCGCCGTCATTTTGATGACATTGACCCTGATCCTGCGATCTCTGGACGCTGGGGTCGCACCGCCGGGGAACCTGTACTGGGTAGACGGCGGACATTACAGGATGCACGTGTACTGCTCACCCAACGTCCCAGATTCGCCGGGGCGCGACCGGCAGCTGCCGACGGTTCTTTTCGAGGGCGGTGAGTACGCCGTGGAGCATGGGCTCGCCGACCTGGCCCACAACGCGGTGCGCAACGGGTCCATCTCTAGATACTGCTACGTCGATCGGCCGGGCTACGCGTGGAGCGATACGGCGCCCTCTCCTCTCTCGGCGGGGATGGAAGCCGTCATCATGAGCGAGGCTCTTGCGCAGGCCGGGGAGAGAGGACCTTGGGTCGTCGCCAGCGCTGGCGTGGGATCGTACTACTCGCGGATATTCGCGTCTCAGCACGGCGCCGAGGTTAAAGGCCTGCTCCTCATCGACCCTTTGCACGACGTTGATCTCGACAGGCTGGGGTCGCCCAAACGCGGCATCTTGCTGTGGCTTTGGGGTATCATTTCGCCTTTAGGCCTGGATACACTGCCCGGGGCCATCTTTAGGGGTAGGAAGAGCGCGGACCGCATCTGGGGCGTCTCGTCCAAGCACAACCCTAGGCACATCTTCGCGCGGCTGCAGGAAAGCTTGGTGGCTAGCTCGTTAACGAAACGCGAGGTGCTCAGCAGTCGAAATATCATGAAGAATGACACGGCGCTGACGGTGATCACTTCTGGGTTGGAGGTGAGGCGCCATGTGGCGTGGGAGGGGAAGCAGCGGGACCTTACAAAGTTGACCTCGAACCTGAAGCACTGGGACGTTGTTGATGATGCGCCGCATGAGGTATGGAGGACATTTGAGGGGAGAGAGATGATTGAAAAGCGGCTTAGCAGCCTAGTCCGCGGGCGTTAGGGCGTTAGAGCGTTAGGACCGTCGACTGTCGACTAACAAGACTGGATGAGTGTGTAAGTAGAAGTGTAGGTAGAAAGAGTATATATGTAACAATATTTAATCCCTTTCTTCTGTGGATTCCGAGGGACATTTCTAGAGTACTTCGATCTGGAAATGGATTGCAAAAAATGGAATCGAAAGAACAGGACTCGAAGCTTGGTGAACTTTGTTGCCATCAGCCAGGACTAACCGATCCGAGGCATTGGATCTCAATCGTAAATTTATAGGGGCTTGCCATTGCCACCAAGGCGCCCGAAGCCTTTAATTCTTTAATCAAGTTCAATGAAATGAACCGATCCAAGAACACTAGATCCAGCAAATCAGGAGGGTGAAACTTAATTGGAACGAACTTGACCCTTTTCAGAAGCCAGCGCCGGGACCCTTTCAGCAATGTTGGGCTCAGACGCTCAGACAGGGAAGGCCATGAACTCTATCCCGCTGCATCCGTACTTTGATGGTCTGGTCGAAATTGATGGTGGAAGTCGATTGATCCGCTAGCATTGGGATCCAGCACGGTCAGAGGAGGCATTGAGCAAGGCATTTTGGGGTGAGCGTAGGCCATGGAGTGGTTGCACGAGGTTATATGTGGCACGCTTAAGTCCGCTGGATTTAAGGATTTGATTTGATCAGTTGATTTCTCGTCGCGATCAATCAATCAAGTCTCACATCATTGGTATCACACGAAGCACCACTTTTCAATTTGGACCCCTGATCTGATGATGGAAGACACCAAAGTTGCTCTCACCTCCCGAGTCTAGGAGATTGATCGCTCTAGAACTGTACCCCATTAACCCGTTGTCAGTGGGTCAGGCCAGCCACTGAGCTGCGAAGTCGTGTACCGAACCACAGGTCCTTTGGTAGACCGGACGGATCGATCCATTGATTCTTGTTCCATTGATCCAGCCAGTCCAGTCCAGTCTTGTCCCTTGGCAGACGCCCCAGAAAGACGTCAGTAATCGCTTGAATAACCCACTTCCGCTATAACACCATCATTCCATAATACCTGCCCAGATCCCCCCCTTGTCCGATTGGATTTCATCCGATCTTCCCATTGCCAGCATCTGCTCCATTTCGCGCACCTGATCTTGATCTCTCCTCTACTTTCTCAGTCTATATTCAATATGCCTCTTAGGAATCCCTTTGGCAGACGCTCCAACACGAGCGTCGCTCTCGTCCAGGACGAAAACCTGCCACCCTCCGACCCGAATGCTCGCAATGGCAATGGCGCCTCCAACCCACCCAAGTTCGAGCGTGTCGACACCGTCGGGTCCAAGGCTTCGTCGATCCTGAGCATCAAGACCCCGCGCGACACCGGCGAGTACAAGATGAGTGGTTAGTATCTCGATCTCTAGTCCTCTCGTTCTCGTTCCCTTCTCCTCTTAGTGCCATCTACACTATTATTCCTCGTCCGGTCGCACGGGACAGGCTTCCCCGCCTTTTGGGAAGGGCATGGGGCAGCGGGCAGTGTTGAAAGCCCCGCCACTAGATCAGGAACAGCCATCGTCACACCTTCAATTGCCCAGTTCGATCCTTTGTTCGTTGTCGCACTGCTAATCTTCAGCCGTCGCCCGCCTTGCTGTTCAGTCGTCAACGATAGTGGCGTATACCTCCCGGTACGTGACGAAACTACTGTCAAACCTCTTGTCATCAAGGAATATGTTATGCTATATGCTACGCAAGTCGAACTAATCACTCTACTCGGCCCTGCTCTAGCCGTCGCCCACGGAGAATCCGGAGAGGAGTCCTTGGTCGAGACGCTATCATGCCTCCCGGACGTCATGTGAGATATCGAATAGCAACGGAGACATTGAGGCTTTTTCGATCTCTCGAGAGTCATTCGACTCGTACAGACGGTCATTTGTAAGTCCTTTCCTGTCTAGTCGCCTGCATCCTGCACCTGTGTCTGCACCTACCCTGCAGCTGCACACTGTCAATCCACCCTCCACACACTGAGCATCCCCCAGCTCCATCCCTGATGAAGATTGTTGTGGCCCGAGACTACTTCGTACAAAACTATTGAGGCCACTAGCCCAACACTGAACTTTTCTTCCACAGGACATCTGCGCCAAGTCCCCCATCGTGAACCAAATCCCCGCCCGCCAGAGTCTCGACTCCGCCCGTCTTCCCCACCCACCCCGCTCCTCGCTTTCAGGTCGCAATCGCAATGGTGGCGCGAGGCAACCAGCGACCGAGGAAGAGTCGGACGCCTCCTTCGAGGACGTACGCCTCGACGATCCGGCGGCGTCGCAGCATCCTGCATCATCGAAGCGCCGTGGCCTCTTCGGCATGTTTTCCGAGAACCAGGAGCCCGGAACGACCGCGCAGCCCACCGTTTCGCGATTCCTGCCGGGAAGGAGGAGGCGGGGCCATAGCGGACAGGGGGCCGAGTTGGGAAGTATGGAGAGGCCCGGGTCCCGGGGGGGGATAGAGCAGGTGGCTTGAGAGGATGCGCCGACTCTAGTGTTCTAGTTCTCTGGTACTCTGTTTCAGGGCCACTTCTCCATCCTCTTTTGTTGGTACTCTTTTCTTCCACCTTTTCTCGTCCTTTTTCCCATGTTATTTTTTATTATTATTATCACCTTTCACGGCCAAGGATAGATATGCTTGGATGGCTTCTCTTGTTTACGACAGATAATGGTCCGATTGAGGGTTTGCAGGATCAGTCTGGTGTTGGAGAGAGTCTTAGTTTTGGCCTGAATAGGTCCATTGCAGTGTGAGGAAATCACGGGGCGTGGGTATACGAATACAATGTTATGAGATCAGTGTTCCATCACTCTTTCATCAGGCAAGGCAGGGTTGGGTCAGTTCAGGCGTCGAGCGAGGCTCAAGACAGGGTGCGGCTCCGCATCTTCCGACAAACACAATACGGACTCGCGGCTTTTTTTAGAGGAATCAGGAGACGCCGGAGGCTTGGAAATATCCAGTGTATACAGTATATAATGTTAATGAGTTATTGATGTCGAAATTGAAATTCATCCGGCGGCCATAAATAAAAGAAAATACTCGTCAAGAAATCCGAGTTAAAAATGGACCAGTCCTGTTGTTCCGTTCGTGTGCTGGCGTGGAGTTCTCCGATTTCCGGCATTGGATACCGATGTAATCCGGAGGGCGTTCGGCGTCCACTCACCACGCCCACGGTGCCACGGTGCCACGCCTTTCCCAGCTGCATTTGCACCTGAACCTGTAGTGTACTTTGCGCTTGTCTTTGGCCCTGGCACTAGTACGTAGATTAGCGCGCCATCGATTCGTTCCGGCTTTCAGTTTAGGCCGAGTCGGAGCCACGTCAAAACTCACCGCCGTCACACTTCCTTGAGAAAGACAAGGATCAAACGGCAAACCAAAGAATGGCGACATCACACGTTCCCCACCTTAAATTCTTATCGCTCCAAGTCCAGGTCCGTTGAGAAGATACGTGGAGAACACACATTCAGACACACATATATCTGTCCATCCCCGACCCAAAGAATCCAAAGGATTTCAATGTTCCTACTTTGACCAATTGCCCGTTATTGGTACCGAATCCGCACCGTCGTTGTCGGCTAAGACGAAATCGCAAAGTGCATCTCCGCGGGGAGCCATCTTGAACCTCTCATCTCAAGCGTGCGGTTCCATTCGATCCGATATAGGAATCTCGACTCACCTCACTTCTTTTTTCGTTTTCTTTTTCCTTCTTCCTTCGTACGAAGAAAACTGGGAACAACGCGCACCGATTTCTTCCTTCCGCAAACACTGCAAGATTGACACCGAACCATGACTGCCACGGAGAACGGCAATGGCGCAGCGGGTGGCGCCTCGAACGGCTCCTCGAACAGGGCGCAAACCGGCGGCGTACACGATCTTGCACTCGCCTCGTTAGCCATCCACGCCGATGATGGTTTTAGCATCCACCGCGCTGTGGCGCCCGCGATGCATGTGTCCACGACGTATCGATACTCGAGGAATCCGGAAGACCTGATCCCCATGGAGAACATTGATGTCCGTCTCTCTTTTCATCCACTGCATCCATTGACCCAATCAATCCCCAATCGCGCATAGGTGAAAAGAGGAACCTCACTAACAGGGAAACTGACATGTATACAGCCTAACGCCCCCGCCGACTCCCACATGTACTCCCGCCTCTCCTCGCCCAACATCTCCCGCCTCGAAACCCTTCTAACAGCCATCCTCCACGGCCCCTCACTTACCTACTCCTCCGGCCTCTCCGCCTTCCACGCCATGATCGTCCACCTCAACCCGCGCCGCGTCGCCATAGGCGAAGGCTACCACGGCTGCCACGGCGTCCTCAAGATCCTAACCCGCCTCACGGGCCTCGAAGTCCTGCCTCTCGACTGCCCCGCCTCCGACCTCGGACCCGGCGACATCATCCACGTCGAGACGCCTCTCAACCCCACGGGCGAAGCGCGCGATCTGGAATTCTACTCCCGCAAGGCCAAGGAAGTCGGCGCCTACCTTACCGTCGACGCCACCTTTGCGCCCCCGCCCCTGCAGGACCCGTTCCTGCATGGCGCAGATATCGTCATGCATAGCGGCACCAAGTATTTCGGTGGCCACTCCGATCTCCTTTGCGGTGTGCTCGCCGTGAACCCTAAGCGCGCTGCTGAAGAAGGCTGGGACTCGGCCCTCCTCGCCGATCGCGTCTTCCTGGGCTCCGTCATGGGCAACTTCGAAGGCTGGCTTGGCCTCCGAAGCCTGCGCACCCTCGAACTCCGCGTCGAGCGCCAGAGCGCCAACGCCACGAACCTCGTCGCCTGGCTCGCCGCCCAAGTCGCCGACGAGTCCACCACGGCGTCTAAGCTCGTCGAGCGCGTCCAGCACGCGAGTCTACAGAAGGAAGCTAGCGAGAAGGGCTCCTGGCTGAGGAAGCAGATGCCTCGCGGCTTCGGCCCCGTCTTCTCCATCTGGCTGCGCGAGGAGGGCGACGCTAGGGCGCTGCCGAGCACGTTGCGCTTGTTCCACCATGCTACGAGTCTTGGGGGTGTGGAGAGCTTGATTGAGTGGCGCGCTATGACGGACGCGACGGTTGATAGGAGGTTGTTGAGGGTGAGTGTGGGGGTTGAGTCTTGGGAGGATTTGAGGGATGATTTGAACGCTGGGTTCGAGGCCCTTTTGGCGAAGAAGAAGGCTTAGTTCAACTGATAAGTGCAAGTCGAAAGGGAAAGAGAGAGAAAAAGAGAAAAAGAAAAAGAAAGATCAGAGAGCCAAAGCAATCCATATGCAGAGACCGAATCATGAATGATAGACACAAGACTAATAGATACATAAACATTTATATCTTCTATCATGAGCCTTGATGCTTTCCCAGGTACCCTCGTACGCCAATTGCCCCCAACGCATGTAGATAGATCCAAGAAGTCGGTTGTCCCCCGGTCTTTCAGTATGTTTTACAAAACAGTTCACACGAAATGCTCGCTTCAATACGGCCTGAATCCACCCTTCTTCCTCACAACCTTCCGCACAGCGCCTCGCTGAACAATCTTCCGGTCCTCCCCACCGCCGCCACCCGATCTCCCCGTCTTCCTCTTCGGGCCGTCACCGCCATCTCCGTCCTCGGCCCACCGCTTATCCCCGGTCCGCCGCTCCTCTGCTTCCTCGGCGCGTCTCTTATCCTCGGCCATCTTGGCCTCGATCTCCATCTTCCTATTAAACTCCGTCTCGATCATCTTCTTCTGCGCCGCCGAGTATCCCTTTTCTTTAATCGAATAAAACACACCGCCCAGGTCAGCGAGCCAGTGCGGATCCACTGCGGTGACCGTCGACACGTACACCTTCGCTGTGAGGATAAGTTCGTGGTAAACGATGTAATCGGGCGGGTGACTCGCGTACAGAGAGCTTGTCGGGTGGAGCTGCACGGCAATGTTCGTGCGCAGATTGATGTACTCGCCCGAACCCTTGTACTTGGCCGCCTGGTGGTAGTAGCCCGAGCAGATGCACTTGCGGATGATGTCCCAGTCCGTGCCACAACTCGTGAGCTCCATCTTCTGCATGTTCATGATGTCGACAAGCTGCTCACGGATCTCCTTGGCTCGTCGCAGCGACTTGCCATGGAGGAAGTGCTTCACGCACCATCCGTCCGAGTACCGGTTCGACTTCCACGCCGAGTAGACCTGGAGGTACGTGAGGTGGTCCGACTCGTGCACCCAGAACTTCTCGCGCTGCGCGTCGGCTTCCTCCTGCCTTTCCTTGGGCCGGTAGAAAACGTTGGGGACAGATAGCATGGAGACGATAGTAATCATCTCCTCGCTGCATCCGTACTCGACCGACGTGATCAGCAGTTTCGAAAGCGATGGCTCCATGGGAAACGCGCTCATCTTGCGTCCGAGTTCGGTGAGGTCTCCGAGATTGTCCAAAGCTCCAAGCGCCCACAAGTCGTACATGGATGTGGTCATGGTGTCCTGCGGGGGAGGATCCATAAAATCAAAGTCTAGAAGATCCCTCACCCCGAGCGACTTGAGCATGAGCACGGTGTTGCTCAAGTTCGTCCTTTGGATTTCGGGAATTGTCTGCAGGTAGAGCTCCTCCTTGAACGACTTTTCAGTAAATAGGTGGTATGCCTTGCCGGGTCCTGTTCGGCCGGCACGGCCAGCTCTTTGCGACGCGTTGGCCTGCGAGATAGGTGTAATTTGGAGGGTATCCATGCCGATCTTGGGATTGTACACCTTGAGCTTGGAGAACCCTGCATCGACGACGTACTTGATACCATCGACTGTCAAACTGGTTTCTGCGATGTTCGTCGCCACGATACACTTGCGCACTCCCGGCGGCGCTCGATCGAAGATCTTAGCCTGCAGGTCTGCAGGCATCTGACTGTAGATGGGCAGGATGCTCAGCTTTGGCGGATCGTTCAACGCGTCTAGCCTCTTTTGTACCAGTTCGCAAGTGACCTCGATATCTTCCTGTCCAGTCATGAAGACGAGAATATCTCCCGCATCCTGCGACACGTGGATGCTCAGCACCTGCTGCACCGCCTGGTCCACATAATCTTCGACGGGGGATTTGTGGAACATGATATCGACGGGGAAAGTTCGTCCGGGAATGAAGAACTCGGGCGCACCTCCAAAGAAGTCAGAAAAGCGCTTCGAGTTCATGGTGGCAGATGTTACGATGAGTTTCAAGTCCCGTCGGCGTTGAAGGATCTTCTTGAACAGTCCCAGGAGGATGTCGGTGTTCAAAGCTCTCTCGTGAGCCTCGTCCATGATGATGCATGAGTATTTGTCAAGTTGCGAATCGGCCATTGATTCTCTCAGCAAGATACCGTCGGTTAAATACTTGATGATCGTGTCTTTGCTCGTACAATCCTCGAAACGGATGGCATAGCCGACAGTAGAGCCCAGGGGCACCTCCATCTCCTCGCTCACACGCTTAGCAACACTCATCGCTGCCACACGTCTGGGCTGAGTGCAACCAATCATTCCGTATTGGCCATAGCCCTCTTCGTAAAGATATTGCGTGAGCTGCGTAGTCTTTCCAGAGCCGGTCTCGCCAACCACAATGACGACCTGGTTCTCGCGGATGACCCGTAAAATATCTTCCCTCACCGAGAAGGCGGGCAGAAATTCTCGCTGTTCCCTCAGCGTCTTCGACTGACTAAAACTGCTGGCCCCGCTCTTAGTCTTGTCATCCTTCGTCCTCATGCTGACCCTGACCTTCTTGCTATCCTGCCCCGTTCCACCAACCATGGCGTTATCGGCGTCATCATCCTCATCCCTGACACCCATCACTTTTCCAAGCATAGTGCCCGCCATACTTGTCGCTTGTTGCGCCTGCCGTTGTCGTTCCCGTTGCTGCCTCGCCTCCCTAACAACCTTGCTTCCCTTCCGGCTGGCAACAGCCATGTGGCCCTGAGGATCGCGGATCGCCGACACAGGTTCCTGTTGCCGTGTGAAAATAGTCTTTCCCTCCAAGAACGGCGGCCGTAATTCGTGCGTTAATAGGTGTACTCGTGTAGTATCCTCGTCGTCGAAATCCGCAGCCCAGTCCCGTCTTTGCGCCACTCCGGACACGACCATCCGGTTCATCTCCCACGCTTCATTATCCCTCTGGCGCTGCTCCCTCTGTGCATCAAAACGCCCCGTAGTCTTTTGCGCCCGCGCCGAGGCTTCCTGCGCTTTGAATTCCCACGATGTCTCATCATATGAGCCGAAAGGGTTGTAGAAGTCGTCACCTAACGCATGCCCACCACCATCATCTCCGCCGTACCAATCCCGATCAAGAGCCTGGTCATCTTGATCTTCTTGCATGTTGATGGGCGTCGTTTCGCGTCGCAAGCTGTCCCTTGGGGTCTCATCGCCCCTGCCTTGGAATCTTCGAGATGACGCGCTCTCGGATCTGTTTTGCCCCCGCCTCGCGCCGCCGTATCGAGGCTTGGGCTTATACCCAGAATACTCAGTATCGTCCATTTTTATCCAGAATTCCTCCTTCCACGCGATTTTGTGTGCGTTTTGATTTTCTTGTGAAGGGACGGAGATCTAGATGAGGCGCCACAGTCACCGATGCCCAACATTTGAGGTCGAGTGTGAAGCGCGTTGTCACGTGTGAGCCGGTGGCAACAGCTGCTTTAACGACACTAGCGCTTAGCTTGAACCCACCACCTTAGCTTATCGCTGATAAGATAAACCCCACCTTGAATTTTTTTTTTTTTTCCCCTGTGATTTTTTTTTTGTTAGGTGCTTCGGGCGCAAAATGCAACGAACCGCTCGAGGTTCACAAGACTAAAATTTCCCCAATAATATCTGGCCGCAAAACCGCCCACACACCTCGCCCGGATCAAATATGTCTATGATCACGGCGGCCCAGTGGGTTCCGCGCGGAGTCGCGGCACCCTTCCCCGCGAAGTACAATTTTGACGAGGCCGAATTCGAGAGGATAGCGGAGTTGGCCAAGCTCCAGCTCGACGATGCGAATGAAGACCTCGAGGAGGCTCAAAATGCTGAAGACGAGGTAGAGACATCACAGAATGGTTCGGGTGAAGCGGAGGGAAAGAAGAAGAAGAAACCCAAGAAGGAGGAGATGCAAGATGAGTAGGTTTTCTTAGGGCGAGGCCGAACCAGTATACGATTCCAAGTTGCTAACTGAGGATTGAACAGCCTTGCGCTAGATGACGACCTCAAAGAATACGATCTCGAGAACTACGACAACGATGACGAAGAGGGCGCCCCGTCGGGCCAGCCCCTCGCCATGTTTGGGAACATTAAATCACTTACATACTACGAGTCCAACAAAGATGACCCTTATATCCAGCTACCAGAGAATGAGGAGGAGGACGAGGATAGGGAGGACCTCCAGATCTTGGCGACGGATAATCTTTTACTCGCGGCCAAGGTCGAAGATGATCTCGCTCATCTCGTAGTACACGTCTACGAAGATAACGAAAGCAACCTATACGTGCATCACGACATCATGCTCCCCGCGATCCCGCTGTGTGTAGAGTGGCTCGATATCCCCGTGCAAAAGGAGGGCGTCGACAAGGAATCGAGGGCCAATTTCGTCGCCATAGGTACAATGGATCCTGACATCGAGATTTGGGATCTCGACACCATCGACAGCATTTACCCCAACGCGGTCCTTGGCCAAGGCGCGAATGCCGAAGGTGTGAAGGAGAAGAAAAAGAAGAAGAAAAAGTCGAAAAAGGCCAACGACGAGTACCATGTCGACGCCGTCCTCTCTCTGGCTGCTAACAGGAAGCACCGCAACCTACTAGCCTCCGCATCGGCCGACAAGACCATCAAGCTCTGGGATCTCCACACGACAAAGTGCGCCAAGTCTTACTCTTACCACACGGATAAGGTGTGCTCAGTAGCATGGCACCCGGTCGAGTCGACGGTGCTACTCAGCGGAAGCTATGACAGGACTGTTGTCGCGGCCGATATGAGGGCGCCAGATGCTCAAGTGCCCCGGTGGGGAGTGGAGAGCGACGTAGAGAACGTACGGTGGGATCCTCATAACCAAAACAACTTCTTCGTCTCAACGGAGAACGGCATGATTCACTACCACGATATCCGGAATGCGCCGGCGAACCCCACAGCGACAAAGCCTGTTTGGACACTTCAGGCGCACGACGAGTCAGTTTCGGCCTTTGACATCAACAGCGTAATTCCAGGGTTCATGGCCACAGGATCGTCCGACAAGACGGTCAAGATTTGGAACATCCAACCCACGGGACCGAGCATGGTGGTGTCGAGGAACCTGGACGTCGGGAAAGTGTTTTCCGCGACGTTTGCACCTGATCCCGAGGTGGCGTTCAGGCTTGCGGTGGCTGGTAGTCGCGGTACTATACACGTATGGGACACGAGCACGAATGCGGCTGTAAGGAAAGCCTTTGCTGGCAGGGTTCCGGATGTGCCGGTTGGCGAGGAGGATAGACTTGTCGGTGTGGAGGAGGAGAGCAGCGAATCAAGTGAGGGAGAGGATGAGGAGGGCGATTATGATGACGACGATGACGATGACGCTGTTAGCGGTGATGCTATGGATGAAGACTAGAGAATTGGATTTTTTTTTCCCTGACACCTTCTCCTAAGATACCGAGACAGTATCAGTCATGAACATAAAGAGAACACAAAGTGAATGGTGTCACAGCAGAAACTATGGTTTCCGGTTGCGTATGGGTGATACCGGGAGCGTTGCCGCCTGAGACGCAGATAAAAGTATCCGCGAATGCTAGGTTTGGTGTGAGGTTGGAGGGACACCACCACAAAGTGCGACTACTACATGAGGTCAAACTTGCACGAGAGTTGAGATTTGTCATACATGAGCAACGGTGATGATGCTTTTAGAGAGCTTAACTCTCGTACCTTCGTACTTATTCATATGTTGTAGTAAAATGAGAAAAAGAGAAAAAAAGAGAGGGGTGCCAGCGCCATTTGCGGAGTAAAAAAAAGAAACGAACTGTGCTTCGAACTGGACGTGACCGGGATCGAACCGGTGACCTTTTACAGACGCCATTGGAAAATTCCGATGTTGATGCGAAGCAAACGCGATACCACTACGCCACACGCCCTGTTGCTTGTGATGACCGACCCGCCTTACCTTTGGTCATGGCTTGGGTGCGAATCAACCAAACCAAATGCAACATTTCGCGCAAACCCTTCTTTGGCCCTACGATAAAATTTTGGATTGGTCCTCTGATGTCATCAGGGTCCCTTTACGTTATCCCTTACAACGTAAAACAGAAGAAGTTCTGAGTCGAAAACTCAAAAAGTAAGACAAGGAGCGGTGCGGGTTCTTACTCACAACCGAAAAACCATTTTACCTCTTTGAGGAAGGCGAGAAGGTTTATCGGCAGGAGGACCATCCGCGTGTCATTCATCTAGCAAGCTCTCGGTCACCGATTATCCAAACCTTTCCCAAAACCGGGTTCCGCCTCCAATGCTCAAAGCTCTCCCCGGTTCGCGACCTTCAGGACTGTCTTCTTCTTTTGCCCTCTTTCTTTTTTTTTTTTTTTTTTTTTTTTTTTTTTTTCATTTCTACTAGTTTTTGTGAAGGGCACTTTCTCTCTCTTCGTTGACAGCGCACTGTCCGCCGCGTGGATCACGAAATCATCTAGAACAATTCTGAGCCGTGGATCACAATGCGGATACCGGACTATTGTTGGATCTGGTCTCGCCTCATTCGCAGGGGTGGCGTCCGAAACAGTAAACGCCAATGTCTAGGACAAACTCGGACGGAGGTGGCGTAAGCCAAAGACAGTAACGGATGGGGCGCCAGTAGCTGCACTCAGGAGTGCCCAGTGACCATCCAGGATCGCCCGTGGGCGGCGGTGGGCTTACGCAGGCACACAGGCACCGCACCAATCGTGTAGCCCTAGCGCTCCTGAAACGCCGACCCACATTTCCCAGAAACATCGAAGAACATGGCCAATCAAATGCTGTTCAAGAGTGACAAAAGCCCCACACACGTTACATCCACAGGCACCAAAATGATATTACAGTGTTGGTGAATAAGCACTGTACATACAAAGTATCCTACCTCTTGGGCACTCGTCCGAAGTCCAGGCGAAGGACGAAGGACGAAGAACTAGTTGGGACCACCGGTGATCATTTTTGGGCTCCATGTTTGGATCCCAAGTGAGACCAGAGCTTTCACCGGCAAAAGAGGCCCAAACCTGGATGGGACGAAGGATAAATGGAGATCCCTTGGTTTGCTTTTCCAATAACGTCTTCGCATGAGTGGCGAAGGAGAAAAGCAGCGAAGCAGGGACTTTTTCATGTCAGATGATAACGTTATTACCATTGGAATGTGAAAAGAGCAGAGGGGAGGAGGCACACCAGCACACCAAGCGCTCGAGAGATAAACCGGAATCCAGTGTTTGACTGGCTTGAGTACGCTAGTGTCAGTCTTTTGCGCTTCTGTTGGTAAATCTCTATTACTGGTCCATAACTGGTCGTGGCCGTTCTCTCGGTCCCAGACACCGCCTGGCTGTTTGACTAACATCAATTCTACCCTAATCCTCCGCCGAGTTCTCAGTGGAGTGTACTGAGTACACGCCCACGTACAGTATTAGCTCGAGACACTTGGCCCTTGGTGGAGCGCTACCGACCTTGTGGGCTTCCTTGCTGTGCTGTCTGAGTTGTACTTACAGGCATTGATCTGCTGGTCGCTGCGGTGCGGGATGAGGTACCGGCGCGAGCCTTGGAACCATGCGCTGATCCTCTTTCCATCAAGGCGCTTCAGGTAATTAGCCGTACCGCTGCAAAGCCGAACTTCCTTCCTGCCGATATCGAAACACTCGTAGATACCTGGATTGCAAGCGAAATACTTCCGGGTTTTCACTCTGATGATCAAGTTGACGAGTTGAATCATTGATGCGATCGGGACCATATGGTGAACTTTACACTATTCTCGCCCCATTCTGTGCTGTCCAACGACTGAATTTCGCGCATGCGACTGACCCTTGAGCTAGTACGAAATAGTGTAAATTGCTGCAGGAGGATGAGAGAGCCCCGTTTTGACATGGAAATCGGGCGACAGTGGTGACAGCAAAGAAGATGTGGGAAGAACCCTGGAGACTCTGGCCGGGGTGGGCGGGGGGATGGGCACTACGATTGGACGATGGGGAACCAGATGTTCGACCAACTCAGGGGACAAGGGAGCCAAGCTAGAGCATGGGCGAATAATAATCGCCGGACCAACTCGAGAGAAAAATCGGGGACAGGGGACTTGTGACTTGGAAAAGCAAAGGAACTGAGGGGAGATGCCGACTCATGCAGTAGAGTGGACAAGATGCTACGTATGAGTACAGTATGTAGGGAGGGACAGCAAACTAATCGGCCAATGTACCTCACAGACGATGTTGAGTGCGTAAAGTACTTGCATGCCCAACATCAACGTTTCCTTCGAAGAGGCAGAGGAAAAATAAAGCCCAAAGTGCCTTTAATCCCTCTGCAACCCTCCCATCTCCGCCCTTTCCTCTCCTTTTCATGTTCAATCGTCGAACTCCAGATCCTCCCGTGATCGATTACTTTCGTTCCTCGAAGGCCTGCCTTTGGACCTCAAGCCTTACGCTCCTTCAGACTCGCTTCTTCTTCGCTCCTTGTTCTTTGTTCACTTTCTCGCTGGTCCGGAAAGATACATGCCCTGTCGACACTTTCAAGGAGCGACCTGGACAAACTCTCGCCAGCCAGCGACATAGCGACACAGCTTAGAGACTCACACTCATTGTCCAACAAGTCGGGGAACAACCCTCGGCTACAGTAACACTTGTCACGCTCATTCCTGACGAACCTCACCCGTCTTTTTTGAGAAAAGGACGGCTTCACTTGCCACAATCCAGTGTTTTCTGCACTCCGGGTACGACTTCATTGCACGCGCCTTGACGGTTTGAAGAGTCGCGTCCCTGGTTGAGCTCCTTTCATTTATTACTTCGTATTCTCACGAGGACCGGATTCCTAAACGGAAAGCAACTCTGCGCAGTTCATTCTCTTATTCTTCAACTTTTTTTCTTCTTCCATTCATTCCTGGACTGGAGCTACTTTGTAAGAGTTCCTCGGATTTCCACGCGGCAGTCGCAACCAAGGCGAGCGCAGCTTCCTATTTTTGTCAAGACCCAGAGTCTCTTGATCACCTCGATTCAAGTTCCAATCAATCCGCGCACGCCTCTCCCAAAGTGGCATCTCCCTTATTACCTTGAAATTCTTCGCTGCAACAACTTTTTCCTGCTGCTAAAGCGCTTGCATCCTTTTTCTTCGTCCGTGGACACACACCAGACACAACTGAACCCTCCCGCCTTCATACCACCCGCACCCACCACCACATCGTGACTGATACCTGCTACCACTTGACCTTCCCAAATCTTGGCTCTGCATACACCCCCCCAATCACGACTGCAGCTTGTAGCATTGATTGCTACCGTACCAAGACACTGTCTCTCCTCCCCACCCGCTCTGGTTGTACGTCTCTCGGCCCAGGCCAGTGCGCTACCACCAGACCCTAAATCGAATCTGCTTTTATTCCCGTCTTCACGGCAATCCGACTTTCGATTTCCCCTTTTGTCGTCCTTTTCCAAGACTTGGTCAACCCGAAAAGTCGACAACCACCAGCACAATGCCAGCCATAGTCAGAGCGTTGACGACGCGAAAGGTGAAGATGAGCCTTGAGCTTGCTCAAGAGGCGAGGGAGAGGGCCGCCATGCAGCGAAGCAAGACTACGAAGCAGACCATTGGCCGAACCGACTCGGGTCGATCTCACCCTTCTCGATCCAACTCGTCTGCCACGCGCCCAAAGATTTCCGCACCCATCGAACTCATTCACACGACGAACATGCTCTCGTACAATGCACCAGATCTTCCCAGGCCTTCCACTAGCACCTCAAGCAGGTCTTCTACCAAGTCCGTGACGCACACCGATGAAGAGTCTAATCGCAGTCCTTCAACTGCTGCGTCCACTCCTCCTACCAGTCCAGATGTTCCCTCGAGTGAGCTCAAGCGATCGACATCGCCCGAGCCGAACCACCTGTCATGCTACTTTATGCCTCCCCTGCCCGCGCAGGTCTCCAGTAACTCACCTTTGGCATCCGCGCCAGCCATTCCTCAGCGCGCCCCTTCGCACACGAAGCAGGCCTCTATCGATCGCCAAAGGTCCATCTCGCACATGCCCAAGGACAGCGCCAGGTCGATGTCGAGGGGCAACTACTCTTTCACCCGAAGCGCCTCAACTGCCACCTCCTTCTCCAGCATGTCCCAGGACTCCGTCCAGACCCAGTCCACCGGTATCTCGTCGACCGGCTCTTACGCCCCCATGAGTGCTCCTGTCGAGAAGATGCAGTACACTCCTCCACCCCCCTCGCAGCACCCCTTCGGTCTCGAGCTCGCCCAGGTTACCGAAATCGCCGAGGAGTTCGGCGTCAGCAGCAAGCTCGAAATTATTGATGAGGAGGAGCAGGAGCTTGCGTCCCGTGGGCTTTGCAAAATCAGTGCCGATGTGTATCTCAACGACATCAAGAACATTGCCTCCTTTTTCTTCCACGATCGCGATGCCACACACGCCAGACCCGCCCCTGCGGTTTGGATCTAAGGCCGCGATAGTTTCGACGCATCCTTCTTCTTCACTGTACATACCTTTACGTTTCTTTTACACTACTTCTACACACGAGCACTGGACAGGCAAACGGCGATATAAGGGCACGCATTCCAACAGGAGAGGATTGGACCAAATGAATGGAGGGCAAAGCAAAGGGGGCTACATGGCAACGGTTTTCAAGGGACATCTGGCGTTGGGGCTTTTTACAAATGGTTGATTTTGTCAATTTTTTCCCCTTTTCTTTACACCCCCCGAACGCCTTGCGGCTTTTTCTTTTTACAAGTGATGTGGTGAATATTCCCCGTGCCGTTAGAGGCAGCAACCTACCAAGTCTGGTACATTTCTGCCGACTTACATGTCGGTTCCAATTGAGATACCATTTTCCCCAAAAAGCTGATTGCCTATGAGTCTCTGTGATCTATGGGCCTTCCCTTGAAACTCGACAGTAACTTTTACCAACATTGCTGGGCCTAGTGCTATCATGTGGTCTGGCCCTTGCCACCCCGGAGCTAGCAAGACCGAAAATCGTGTTCTCTAAACTATGAAAACGAGGTGCACATTCTTGGAGTGCGGGGTGGATAATATGCGACGTGAAGCTCATGTGAGACCCTGCCAAAAGCCGAGGCGAGCAACTCCCCGTGTGCTTCCTCCACTTGTCCGTCGAAACCCTGGAACCTTCGACGAGTGCCCCATGGGGGAAAGGACCACTAGTCGATCCTTGGCCTTCTTCTGCTAGTGCTAGTGGCGGTTTTTCCTCGTCGGCCCATGTCATTTGATTGCTGCAATTAATTAATCCACGAGGTGGGATGGAGCGGTCTCAGGACGTTAAAATCCCGAACTGCCTAAACCTCCATATTGAGTAAGCCTGCTGGACGACCTGCGGATTGGCTAGGAGGGAAACCTGGAGGTGGTTTGCTTGTTTCTATTGTCTTTCTTGCTGGTGGGAAGTTAATACTAGATGCGTCTTAATTCCTCCGCCTAAATCCTTGAATGGGGAACTGGAATGAGAAGTTATTTGTCTCTCTAGGCTAGACTCTTCGGTCCTCACACCACACTCCGGGGGAGAAAGAACGTGAGCCTTAGGTCGCTTGCGGTCGAAATCCAGTGCCGGACCACCAGCCTTGAATCATGAGATATCGAAACAGTCCTGAACACTTTCTCAAGCTCGAAACAATGTTCCCGGTGTTTCTATAGGCTGGATAAAGGCGGACAGATGACGAAAGAACATCTGAGACTTTCCGTTTCTGCCTAGCAAAGGGAAAAAGAAGAAAAGCGCAAGGAAAAAACGAAAAGAGAAAACGTGAGAAACAAAATTGTTTCGGGTTTCCTCCCGCTGTTTCAATGGTCGGCGCGGCAGTTGCGGGGAGGGAGTGATTGTCGATCAACCAGCCTTTTCGAGCAGAGAAGAGACAGCACGGGCCTGGGAGTAGTACCCGGTCTTGGATAGTTGGATCAATATGGCCCGGGGCTGAAGTGATAACGGGAAGAGTGTCCAGGAGGCTCAAGATACACGGTTGTACCTTTGTAGTGGATGTCGTGAGACGGGAAACTAAGACATGGGGTTTGGCGTATTATCAAGAGATCACCTGGCCAGACGAAGCTCTCCAAGGGTCATGTCTTACTGCTCAACCTGCTCTATGCGGGGCATATCGATGAAAAAGATGAAGTTTCAATCAGTCCGCCCAGGTCGACTGATCTGCGCCGAGTTGACTAGCTTCGTGACACGGCCCCTTTCGGGCCTGTTAACCAAACGATGGAGGAAGTATTTGACTGGGACTCCCTCTAGTCGGATCAATCGAGGGATAATGCTGTCGGGTTCGCGGCAAGGGGGACACCGAATTTATGTCGCTAATCCATGCTGGCAGAGGCCAGGACCCTTAGTTTTGACTGAGAGGCGGCTTTGGCCATGCAAGCCATTCGTCTTCATTCAGTCTTGGTCGGTGATGTCAGTGCAATGCCAAGGAGATCTTGCATCAATTTGATCTGAAGAGCCAAGCCAGCCCACAACAAGGATCTACCGCACTAGAGTCGAGAAAATGAGACTTCCACGGTTTCCACTGCGTCCGCTCTTCCCAGCTTAACCACCAAGAGAGCTCCACACCTCTTATTCAAGGGCAAAAAAAATCGATATCTAATCAGTGAAGCAGGTCGTGTAAGTGAGCCTTAACCGGACTCGGGACTCCGAGCGCCAGCGGGATTGGGCAGTTGATCACGTGATGATTGCACCAACAAGACGCATGCTGCGTTGTCAAGCAGACAGACACGATCAACTCATTTCGCATCTCTCGGAGGGTCGACATCCTCCGTTGAGTCGCAAACGGACGGTCCTAATTTTCCCTATTGATCTGATGGACTCCAGTCTCAGGTAGCCGATGCCTTTCCTATATGGTGAGGTAAAGTAGGCACCCCTTGTCCGAGTCCCGTCACCATCCCACATGTCTCCTTTTTCCATCCTCCGCCTCCCAACGAAGCTGCGCCGGCGCGCAAGGCGCAACCGAATGAAGACCCTCCTATTCCTCATATTCCTCGTCCTCCTCCTCGTCGTTCCCTTCTACGTCATCTACAAGCCGCCGGCGGCCCTCATCCGACACTTTGCCCGAAAATGGCCCGATGTCCTCTTCGAGGTCGAGACGAAAAAGAAGATCATCGCGCTGACGCTCGACGATGCGCCAAGCGTGCACACGCGGCAGATAATGGAGCTGTTGCGAGCAAATGATGCGAAGGCGACCTTCTTCGTGATCGGCTCGCAGGTCGAGGGCCGAGAGGATCGCCTTCGGGAACTTATCCGGAATGGAAACGAGCTCGGGAACCACGCCATGCACGATGAGCCATCACGATCTTTAAGTGACGAGAAGCTCGAGTCGGAGATCTACGAAGTGCGCCAGATGCTCCGGGATGCGTACGAGAAGGAAGGGATCGATCCGCCGAATAACTACTTCCGACCGGGATCGGGCTTGTTCAGCGATCGCATGCGGCGTCTCGTCGACAGGCTGGGGTACAGGATAGTCCTTGGTGGGATATATCCTCATGACCCGCAGATCCCGTACTGGTGGATGAACGCGAATCATATTTTGAGCATGTTGAGGCCCGGGGCTATCATCATTTGCCATGATCGGAGGAGCTGGACGGTGCCGATGTTGAAGAAAGTGCTTCCGGAGGCGAAGAGGAGGGGTTACAAGTTTGTTACCGTCACGGAACTTTTGAAGGAGGCCGAGACCTAGAAAAGGCATCGGGTCTATATCGACCAACATTTGCATTGGTCTATAAAGGGCGAGGCCAAGGGCTATATTATGATCTATGTATTTCTTTGGGAACTGTTGGCGTTCTTTGGGGCATCTCTGATAGATCTTGTAAACTGTATATTCACCCCTAATATCAATTTTATAGACTTGTATGCCGCAGAATTCGCCGCTTTCTGTGTCTAAGATTGCCCGGGGCCGTTCCATGAGGCATCGACTTTACCGCCGGATTTCGAAGCCGGTTTCACTCTCAACTACATCTCGGTCCTCCCTGTCAAGCTTCACCACTAAGGCATACCTTGGTCCCTGGTTGATGTGCTTTACTAATGTCTCGATATCGGCCTCATCTCCCTGAGCCTCGCCATCAACCTAGATCGTTCCCTCTTAGCTGTCCGTATCTTACATCCACACAACAAACTGATGAGTGGTCCATAGTCATGCCTACCTACCTTGTTGTTAGGGATGTTGCGGACCCATCCAGTTAGGTTAAGCTCCCGTGCCTTTCTCTGAGTAAAGAATCTAAACCCTCGAAAGCTCGGGTCAATTTCATGTAAAATTCAACGCATACATAGTTGAACAAAGCCAAAACGCACCGGAAGCCAACGCCTATATATGCGGCCGGGTTAGGTGGTTGTCACACTCCAAAGGCGCTGCGTGTAAGCCGGACTTACCCTGGACTTCTCCACCATGCACACGAAAATAGATCTAGCCAGACATATCCAGTTAGAAGTGCCACATTTTCATGAATGAGCAGACATCGTGGCAGCACTCTTCTTACTCTTTTCGTCATTATAGCCGTTGTTTGTGGCTGTTCTTACTTCAATCTCGATGGGGGGAGGGACGAGCCTCCCCTTGTAGGCGGGGAATAGTGCGTTATCGAGATAAAACTTGGGGATAACCCAATTGGATTCTGTGTCGGCAGAATATCGGCTAATTATTTCACAACATTTAAGACTCGACAACGCCAACCTTTCGCCTCCCTTGAGGAGGCCAAAGTCGTCTCGAGGTAGTCAACTGTGCCATACCATTGCCAACCTCACAACGCCTATCCATTAATAACAAAATTTCATCAGCCGAGACGAGAAACACGCGACAACCCAACCGACAAATTCGAAACGATAAACGAAACGCCTTCATAATCACAACCATTGCGCCGCAATGGAACCCACACCCACAGCCATCAACGACACCACCTCTAATGACACACCTGTCGTCTTCCGCGCCAAAAGAAAGAAGGCCACCATCCGCAATCGGCCCGACGATATACCCTCCGCTGCAGATACCCCGAGCCCATCCGTGATAGAAGGCACGCCAGCAATCGCCTCGCGCATTGGAGAAGAAGAAGATGACGGACCTTCCGTCGCAGAGGTCCTTCGCCAGCGCAGGAAACAGCAGAGGTTAGGAGGCATCGGGTTCGGGCCAGAGAAACCTCTAAGCGATCTAGGTGATGAAGAGGTGCAGGAACAGGCCGTTGTGCGGGCCGAGGGGGCCCTTGATGCGGATGCGATTTTGGGCGGGATACCGAAGCGCTTCGCGGTGCAGACTGGCCTGGTCGGCGAGTTGGTGAATAAACACATGTGAGTGCAGCGCTCCCACTTTAACCTGTGATGGCTCTTTTTGCCCTTATTTTTTTTTCTTTTCCCTTCGTTTTCGTGCAGGCCACGTCTCGTGGAATACAACTAACCAAGCAAGGATGGAATACGTAGAATCGAAGCTCACTAGCCGCCACGCAACCCTGACCGGGACCTTACCACCGCAACAACAGCCCCAACAGCAAGGCGTATTATCAACTGGAGCAGACGCATCCACGACACCGACCGGCGGCTTCGATGCCCAAAAACGAACCATTCACGGGAAGCTCATGGAGGTCGACCTCGGCGAAGAAGTGCGGAACCAGAACGTCGCTCTCACGGAGAAGGCGAAGAGGAAACTTGAAGGACGGCCATTCGATGGCGAAGAGCAGGAGGGCGGCGGTTCCCCGAGGAAGACGCGGCTGGGCAGGGATGGGCAGCCTATCAGGGGCAGGAATCGGAGGAATAGTGATGATATCAAGAGAGATCAGCTCGTGGAGCAGATTCTACACGAAAACAGACGTACGTGGACTTTCCCACCCTCGACGACCTCCCCCCCATTCTTAAACTTTTTTTTTCTTTTTCTCTTGTCGTGCGGAAGTCATGATGCTAACTTCTGAGATTATAGTCGACGTCTACCATGTCCCCGAAGAACAGACTGTGGAGGACGCAGACCACGAATATGAGGGCTCCGCCGACGACCGCATCGCCGAAGAGTTTAAGCGGGAATTCCTCGACGCCGTCGCGCAACGCCGGCAAAGACGGCGAGCTGCCCGCGCGGCTCGACCGACCGACAAGAAACCCAATCCCGACGTCCTTCGAGGACCGAAGCTGGGCGGAAGCAGAAATGTGCGATCGGCGGTGCGGGATATCCTGCTTCAACAGGAAAAGGATAAAGCGAAGGCTGGGAGGAGATAGGACCGTAATCATCTCGGGCATCATTATAGTTATAAATCCTTTATATGATCGTTTCTGTTGCCCTGAGCCACCACCTAATTTATCTTAACTGCAGGCGTATTCACAGGCGCATGATTAGTGAACTGTATGAATTATTTCATAGCTCTAGTAAACAGTTTGACGTGGATACGTCTTGGGCATATACCACCAGCAGTCCACCTATATATACGCCATCCTCCAAACTCGTCATTGCTCGTGTTGTTGGATCATCTCAGCTCCCAGGTCTCAGGTCGCCGTGATTGCCACGCTCCCCAATAACACCGCGTTGGGGAAACTTGTAGTGAGAAACTGTGATCCCGTTATAACTCGACATGCTGGCCGTCTCTTATTCTCATCAGTCTTTTGAACCCATCCAATCAGAAATTCATAGCTCCAATACAAAGGAAAGTAAAGGAAAGGAAAGGAAAGGGGAGAAGAGAAGAAGAAGAAACAAAAACGAAAAAACAGAACGCCAAATAGGAACTAACGAGCCCCAAACAAAACAAAGAAACGAATTATGTTAATCCACTCGTGATCATGGCAAGGGACCCGAAATATATAATAAAAAAAAAAAAGAGAAAAAAAAGGGAGAGAAGAAAGGGAAAGGAAAGTGGACCAAGGACGGGAAGCCCGAACGAGGAAATCGAATCAAAAAGGTGTGAAGAAATCCCTAGACCGGGTATGACGCCAAAGAGACATCCAAGTCTCATAATGCAACATCTTTATAATATATGCGACTCCTTTCATTACCGTATTGCGCCAATCCAACCGTGAGGAATGAGGGTGTTCGTTTAACCAATGCTACAAGAGAGGGGAACGTGGGCGAAAGATCAAACGAGGAGACAATAGAAGAAAAGAAAAGGGGGAAGGGGGAAGGGAGTAGGAGCCCAAAAGGAATGAGGGAACGTTTTCTGAAGAATAGCTCATCTAATGTCAAGTTGGAAGGGCTTAAACCGGCCGCCGATTGTTGCACATCGAGGACATTTTCGCCGGGCGCCTTGTTCAGCCATCAACACATCAACGCAAGCTGGGCAAAGGCCGCAGATGCATTCCGTACAGGCAAACGATTCCCTGAGGAGAGATACCGATTGGCAGGCTGCGCAGTATATCTGTGTATTTTGAGATGAGTAACTCGGCGACGAGTCTGATAGACCTCGGGACTCCATGTGAAAATTGTCGCCACTTTCGCCGCTTTCAACGGATGGAAAGGGGTGTGGGTCATTGAGCTCCTGGTTGTAAGATGGGGGTGTGAGAGCTTGCTGGAGTGGCGATGCCTGGTAGTTGTTCGGTTGGAAATGGGGATGGGAGAATGGGGGCAAGGAAGCTCTATGAATGGACACTGGCGACTGGGGCACCTGTTAAGATCAGGACCTGGCACAAATATAACTGACGCTTGAGTGGGCGCGCGCCGGGGGAAGAAGGGGGGGGAGGGCTTCAAATACACTTACAGGAGTTCTATCTTCGTCTATATCACCTGCGGCAGAAGCTGCTTGATCCGCGGCATCAATTAGATCTTCCCAACGCTTCCCGTAGTCGGCGGATGGCTCAGCTGATAGCGCTTTCCGATCATGTAAGCTCGGTCTTAAGCGTTCATCATTCTGTATCCTTCGCAACCAATCATTCGTAGAGCCTTTTGACTTTTGCTTTTTGTGGTGAGCTTCCCTGCCACGTTTGGTGACAGACTGCTTTCGAGGCCGGCTGGGCCCGAGAGTTCGGTGCAAAGGCGGCAGGGTCGACGACCGTCCCGGTGGCGAATTGGCAAGGATCGAGGGGAGCAAGTCTCTCGGCCTATTCGAATTCACCGAAGAAAAGGGATCGCTGGTAACATCACCGCCCGTTAAGTGGATTGGAGGCAGTTCGATGGAGGATCGGGGGATCTTTCGACCGTCCGTGTCGGAGTGCCAGTCCTGCTGTTGCCACGGGTGTTTTAGCATCTCCCTTCCAATCATGAAATCGACTGGCGGGATCTTTACCCCTTCAGAGTCCCATTCGTGTTCGGCTCGATGGCCGTGGAGCTGGGCCAGGGCAGCCGCAGCGCTCGCGGCTGGCGGCATCGAGGCACCTGTGAAATTAAGGTTAGGACTCTGATGCTACGCAGTCAAAACCCACACAATTCGAGCTGCCCCGATATGCACGTCGGGTCATATCATAAAGCGCATGACGCCGACAGGCAAGTGGCCCAGTCGAAGCACAAAGAACGACAATTTCGAGGGTACGAACCCTGTGGATTGGTAGCCGTGCCCTGGGCGGGAACAGCAGGAGTAGAGTTTTGCTGCTGAGCCGGAGCACGTTCGGATGGAGGAGTATTGATCATGAGCAGGAAGCTTTCTTCGGTAGCGGGGAGCTTCGAAATGTAGTGTTCGGGGTGGGCTCGTCTAATATGCTCCTGCATGGAACGATAACGTTTTTCCTGCGAACAAGATAATTTCCATTAGCCTCCAATTGCCCTTGAATCTAGAAAAAAAAAAAAAAAAAATTATGAACCAAAAAAATATCAGAACTAGAATAAGAAAATAAAATAAAAGAGCCGGTCCTGCCCTTCAGCCACTAAGCGCAGGATGCTTAGGAGACAGTAGGGATCGCCCAGATAGCCGAATGCGAATCTAGGAAACGTCATGCACCGACTTTCCCGTCACTCAATTCGCAAGTTCGTTGCTGCGATGGAAGGGCTTCCAAAATAGGTATGGACGCAAAAATTAGCTGACTGGCCGAGGGTAGTTGAGACTTACGCCAATGCAGCGCTTGCGACAGCTTGAGCCATCTTGGTTTCGCAGGGGGCAAACGACTTCATTGTTGGCGTCCGTGATTGAGAAGGACGAGGTCAGAGAAGATCGGGGTGGCATTTGATCATGAGAACCCCACCATGCGCTGGTGGAAAGCGGAGGACGGGGCCGTGGTGGTGAGACTGAGACTTCGGGGTCGGGAGGGGTCGACAGCACCGTTATCGATTAGAGATTGCGATTGAGCGGGCGGTATAAGTCTGGAGCTGGGTGAGGTCGCGCATTTGCAGCAGATTCTGCCGTCAAGTCATAAAAGCTATTCTTGTTGCGAGAGGTAGCAGATTTGCCTGCAGGAATTGCGATGTACGGGTGAGCTGTCGAAGGAGCTTTCCTCTGGAGCGAAGCTTCAGTTGGGGTTGTTAAATCTTAGTTATCCAACGGGTGAGGTGTAGCTATGGCAAAGGATATGCTTCCCGGCCACGGTCGTCGCAGGTGTGAGTAGAGCTGTGAGTAGACAGGTGAGGAAAAAGAGAGGAGAAAGAAGAGATTGTGCAGGCTGGTGCTGAGATCAGGTGTATTGTGTATTGCTGGAGCGGAGCGGGAGGGGGTGTGGAGAGTGTGGAGGCGAGAGTTGATGGGAGGATAGGAATAAAGAAGGGCGTGGAGCCACCAATGCTACACGGAGCAGCACCGGGCCTGGTGTGTTCTTGTAAATTTGGCGATGAGAAAAGAGGATGAGCAGAAGACGAAGGCGGTGGAGGTGGAGTGTCTAATAAGTTGTCAAATGATAAACGTAGTATTGCGCGACGAGAGAAACATAAAAAGGAAACGGATCAAATAACACCCTGTTACTGACCTTCGAAGGGGGGGGGAGAGAACTTGAACAGTCATGAAGCGAGAGAGGGGGTGGGAGGGAACCTGGCACCTGCTAATACCAATGCCTCTGTCTGCTGTGCTCCGTTTCCGAAGGGGAGAAGAGACCGACCTGGACAGGACCAGACCGGACAATGGAGTGGGATTCTGGAGCTTCAGAGAAGTACTCAGTGTTAATATGTCTCAGCTCCTACTGGGTACGGGGAGCTCAGCTGCAGATGACAGGGCAGGCTAGGCCCGGAACTTGCGACTGATCACCGATCAAAGGTACTGCTTCATTATATCCTTGTAGCATCAAATACTTGCACTTGAAATACAACGTCGTCCAGTGAGCCGTGCTATACTTGTATATGAGCTCAAGCAGGAGCTTGCTCGCATTAAGGTCCAGTCTTGTCTCACAGATTCTCCAAGTACTTTCGTACAAAGACTTCGTACAATCCGGATGGAAGGACCCCTCCTCGGCTGGGGATCTTACCCCCACACAATCCTCGACTCCCGTGACGATAACTTCGCCAAGTGCCTCTGCACAAACGATCCTCGATCCCCTCTAACCATTCTGTCTTTGGCGAACCGGTCTTTCTAAGCTCGCAACCACAGGCGCCAAATCGAAATCTCCATCATTGATCCCGACTCGCTTGACCCGGCTGGTTTTGGAAGCACCTAGCCTACGGACGGATTCCTTGCTGGTCGTTTTGCTGCGAATACTTCGTAACATTGGACTCGGGGTGCGGTGGGTGGGTCCGTCCCAAACCAGACTTCAATCTTGCATTGGACAGGCGCAAAGTCATTGTACCGACGTAAAGACAGGACAATGATACGTGAAGGTACAGGTTAAACAGCAAGATACCAGCCAGGCAGATGCTGTAATTCATGGTGGCCCTCGAATTGGCGCTTGTTATTAGGGAGCTTGACGGAATTCTTTGTCACAGTTTAGGTCTATACTTCACAGTAGCTCATTCTTAGTATCGGACAAGATGGCAGTTATGTTACGAAGCTCACCTGGTGCACCCCACGCTTATGAGAGTGAAGAGGAACATTTAGTGTCAAAGTACTTCGTACTTGCATCCTAACTTGGCAGTACTTTCAACTGGGATATGGTAATGTCCCAATATAAATGCTGCAAAAAATAAGCACCCCGAATACCGTGGATGCGGGCAGTCATGGGTGCGATTATTTTGGCTGCTGGCGGCAGTTATATTGGTTTTGATGCTGCTTAAACAATAATAGTAAACCGAGGTACCGTCGTGTGGAGAGGGGTAGTCACACAGCTCGGTGCTCTCTCCCAAGGAGCCTATACTTTGGGGGTATTTAATGTGTTATGCAAGCCGTGCTCTAATGCGTTCCGACCTTCTTGATGTTCTCTAAGCTCCTGCTCCTGGGAGGTCATAGCTCGGCGGTTTTCTCTTCCATTGCTCCAGATGATATCCCACTGATTGAGGGATCTTGTACTCCGTATGCGAATACACCGTGACTCAAGTTCAATCAAATCCCAGGCCCTAAGTACATACTCCGTCCGTGAATAGCACTTGAAGTTCTCCACTTCGAGGTTGTTACGTCCACCCCCTGCGATTTTTCTCCATTCTTTCTTGAAGAGAGGATTATACACTGTACAAGTACAATACAGTACGGATTGGATCTCCATGATTTTCAAGCCAGCGATTGGTAGATTCGTTCTGACCAAGGAAAGTGACTTTGTTTGAGAACCGGCAACCAAGGTCGTGTAAGTACCCACAGTGTCATGCCAAAACAGCGGGAAGGTGGGAGAGCTTGGTCTGGAACCAAGCTCATTGGATTTTAATTCTCATGGGGTCAGAAAAAAAAAAAAAAAAAATAAATAAATAAAAAGAGTTGGTCCACTAGCCACCATGCTCGGTTTCTAGTTTACTTCGTAAAGCTGTGTAATATTACTGAATATCCATGGAATTTTTTTTTCTCCCCACGACAATGGTGTAGTGTGAGTGACGTACGATGGAGCAATCGACCTCAAGCTTGGCGATCCCCTTGTCTAGGAGCTTCTTACATTCCTCCCTGGCAGATCGAGGATGATAATAATAGAGATCTCAACTCGCGAATACAGTATTTTGAGCAGTACTAGCCTTATCTTGATCAGTGGACAAAGACATCCTGAAACCTAGCAGAATCCTACAGATGCCCTTGTCAATCAGTCAATGTCTTGAAGACGAGCAAGAACCAGAAAAAGGGAAGACGAAAAGAAAGGAAAGGAAACTCCCGTGGAATGAACAACTCCGAAACCATTGCGGCCAAAAAACACGAATCGATGATTTCGTGGAAGAGCTCTTACAGGTAATACAAGAAGAGCTGAGCTCAAGATTAACCGAGCTAATCCGCACCATCAAGCACCTCTCAAAATTTCATTCTCAAGCAGCAATCTCAAGCTCGGCTGTAACAGAAAATTCGGTGCCGGGAAATGTCGTGCACACGGCGGATCTAAGGATAGTACTTCATACTAGCTCATGTTGATGTTCCATTCTCTGCCTATCATGTGGCGCCATGGTACCATTTGTAGCGCCAAGCTCGGGGACGTCAGAATTGTTACTGCTACCTCAGTTGACGAGGTATTAATTGGCCAGGCCCTGACGAGGAAGGTGCTGCGAATTTTCGTTACTCTCCACTACCATCTGCGAAGTACGAAGTAGTGTCAGTAGGGTAAGTACAACTACGTCAGTAGTGGATGAGGCAGGGAAGGATAAGTTAGAACGACGGTGGTGAGGGGCAGAATTCGTCCAATGGTCCCCACTCGGGTCAGCCCAGCTCACTCGATAAGAGCTTCGAACTGAACTGATAACGATTATACCACCTCATCTGGTTCTTGCCACGACCAAACAAGCTACCACAGAGCTCTGAAACTCTTCAATTATAGCTCCCCTAGCTTCGCTCCAGCTTATTACAGCTTCACACCCATTTTGGCATCAATCTCCCGCCGAGCAGAAATCGTCTCACGTGGTCCCAAAGTTAAGCCCTTGCAACGGTGCAGGAGCTAGCCGGGTGAGAGTTGCACAGTTCGCGAACTGTACGGAGTACACATGTTATGTGCGGGGTACGGGAGGTATTATTCCACTCAATGCACGCCCGGATACAAGGGTACCGGCAACAGCGCCACCGCCAGCCACCGAAAGCTCCATTCCTTCGAAGGTACCTATTGTATGCAGCGCTTCGTTCGAGGTACACCTTTCTCCACAGGATTCGGCATACCGAGGAAACTCTGGAGCTTACACCACAGCCGGCTTGGAGCTATCATGGGGGTGGCGCCAGCGGAAGACGGAAGTGGGAAACGAAAAGGGAAGGAAAAAAGAGTAACGAGAAGAAAAAGAAGAAAAAAAAGAAAAAGGAAAAAAGAAGAAAAACAAAAAACTTAGCTCTGACTGGTCAGAGTCAGTCGCTGAGCTAGTGATGAGCGCTTCCCAGTATCGGCTCTTCTAGGAATGATTCGCAGCAAGGTCCTTTTTCACGTGCAGGTTTGGCTGTCTCAGAATGAAAATGGGTCGACCCTGTTTCTCGAGCCTGGGGGCGTTTGGGTTTACGGACTCGTCAGACATTGGTTGCGCGATTGCCGAATTTAATGTGTAGGTCCTCCAAAACGCTGGATGGTTGTCCAGCCCCCTGAATTAACTGGAGAGTTCCAGCCCGAGAAATCGTCCTGTCCTGGATCTTAAGCTCAGAAAACCGCCTCCATCAATGGTCCCCTTTTACTAGCAATACTTGGCCACCCTTGGGGGTACGTCAAGTTCACTAATAGAGATTTTTCTCGAACGAGGCGTGGAGACCACATGACATCCACGAGGGCAACTAACGAGAAAGAAAAAGAAATAGAAATAGGAAAAAAAAAAAATTCTATGTTGGTTCACCGAGCTCGAAACGGGGCCCCCGAATACTAAGGCGGTGTAGCACGGTTTTTAGTACCTCGGTCCCAACAAATTGCATCATAACCAAGGCATCAATCTGTCGGTGTGAAGGAAATTAGCTAAAAAAGTAAAGAGACGCAGCCCTATACGACCATGACAGCGTCATCGATGCGAACAGCCAGCACTTGAGACCAGCCAGCAATCAGGAACAAGACCAAAGACGGGTCTCATGCTCTGTCACATCCTGTACATGTATGCATTCTGCGGTCCCCGTACTCGGTATGCAAAGCCATTTACGAATGGAGCCACTCCTTCGACGCTTAGACTTAAGTAAGGGACGATAACCCTAGGCAGTTACAGTTGCACAGCCGGTACTTCGATTTGCTCCGGAATTAATATACACTACGTTGATCAACATGCTCGCACTTGTGAGCGACTAGTGTCTTTGGGTTCAGGCTTCTGGAACAAAATTGGATCAGTAATGGCTTGGGAGGCAACGGGTGCGCAGGGGGCCATTATTGTGGGGGATAAGCACCGATAAGATCGCAACGTGCTCTGGAAGAAGATCCAGAATCAGACAACGGCAATAACGTTGTGAAATCTTGAAGCCGAGTGGACACTACTAGACCATGAAGGTGCTCGGTAATAAGCCAAGGTGGTCAACCACATCGTACTGGCGGTCAGGCCGACGTTTGGCAGCAGGACGTAATACAGACTTCGTCTAGCATGAGCTCTGGTCGTGATGCCAATGCCATCATTTCTTCTCAATCTGATAGATCTAGGAAGCTGCTTTCCCACTAAAGACCCAGCGCTCTTGTTCCATTTGATTGACTCCCTCCATCGTGTCAGGTAAGCATCCTCAGGCTCCATTAATCTTCATCGGCTTCGGATGATTCGAAGGAGTGACCCCTATCGGATTGAAACTTGGTCAGGTGGCGAGCTCCAACTGTTCTAACTTCTAGCTCGAATCCATACAGGCGAGCTAGCCACGCGTTGGTGTTGGAGCTCCTGCACTAACTAAGTTCTTGGTACTACAACGCTCAAGCTCGCTTCTCACTGAGCGGCGAGTGGCCGTGGTGGCAAAAGGTTTTTAATGGAGGGAGCAACAGGTCTTCAACAACTCCGAGTGGTCCCAGTGGCCCGTCCACCACCACCCACCTCCTGACCGCCTTCATCGAAGCCTCGAGTTAAATGCCACCTCCTTTCCCGAACTTGAAGCTGAGAAAATGGGGCAAATAAGGAGTGCAGGAAGAAGGGTCAGGGTCCGGGTCCAGGCCGAATTATATCCACCAGTTGGTCTCGATTCGTTTGCCAAGACTGCTAGGTAAAAGAGCTCTCTACACTACGCAGAGCTATTAGTAGAACTGGTGTTAGAGGCTGATTTCAGAACGAGAAAACTTTCGCCAGAATCCTGTGCTGCTCTTCGAGTTTCCGTTCTCAGCAATCGCCTTTTCCTGCCCTCTATCTCTAGATCGCATAATGTTAACGCGCGGATAAGTCCATGCTGATAATCTTTCCATGACCAGCCCGTAAGAACTTGCCCGAACATCGAAGCACCAGCCGGGCAGCCATTAGCTGCAGGGGTGTCTCACTCCGATGAAAATCACCCACACGTTGTGGGAAGATCTAAAACATCTTCTTGTCACAGACATCGCCCGCACAGATCCTTTGACGCCTTTTTCCCCTCCCCCTCACTTTTACGTCCGCATCGTCCTCGGCATCGAGATTCCAACTACGGTTGATCATCTTGGGATATCCGAGACTGTGTTTATTTCACGGAGCGTGGGTACAGAAATAGAATCTTCCACGCTTCTCAATGTGGCTTTCCTTCCCCTGTCCGATTTAAGACGTGATGTGTTGGGGTATTTTCAGTAGACACTGGCGTGTTAGTCTGGATGAGTTTAATCTTTCGTTACATTCTTCGAATTAGAGCACACATCCCCCCGGCCCCCGGAGAGTTAATTCTGTTTCAACCGCGTGCTTCGTAGTTTTCTTTTGATCTCAAAAGGCTCGGGAGCTCAAGCACCCCTTAGACGCGCCAAGCTGTCCTCTTTGCAGAAGGAAGCAAGAAGTCCCGAAGCGCTCCAAGCTTCTGCACTTCCACGGGGCAACCCGCAAGACAAGCTGCCACGCCCAGTCGCGTCCAGATGCCCTCTACGGGAGCGGCGGACTCAAAGGACGTCCAATGGAATGACACGCTCGTTTTATCAAATGATCTTGTCGCCGAATAATAGATGATCTTCACTCCGCCTCTCTCGTCAATCCTAAACCTTGTCTCGAGCGCGGGTTATTCTTTCCCGGTCCCATTCGTGCTTCTTTTTGCCCGATGGGAAAGTCTACCCTTTCCGCCCCGTGGGCATCTACGCGTTCATCGTCTTGAACCGTTGATCTCTTTTTAAATAAGCGGCCTTTCCTCCTCCCCTTTCGCACATGTTCGTTCGTCGTTGTCTCTCCGGGGATCAAGTCCCGCCGAGGCACTTACATCCCAGGGAAGATTTGGCTGGCCTGACACGAGTACCCGGGAACACTTAGGAGTCATTGGCTGAGTTATTGGTCGTGGTTCCTTCCGTGGATAGCAAATCTTCTCATCATATTGGCCTACGTCATGTCGTTGTCAGTAAAGCAGCTCAATGCCGACGCCTCTTTCCTCCTAGCCTTCGAGGCCCTTGCCGATGCCTCATCTCCATACCACCGACCGGAGCCATTCACAGTGCTGACGGACCCTTGGATAACGGGGCCCTCAAAGATATTCCACCCTATCTTCGCCCTGACGAACCCCAAGACAGTAGCTTGCATTTCCAATTTACGGGATCTCCCGGAGCCGGACCTGGTCATCATCAGCCAACATAAAAGTGACCACTGCAATGAGGCTACGTTACGGCAGCTGCCGCCGACAGGGACCAAGACGCAGATCCTGGCTGTTCCTGCTGCGGCGAGACTTATTAGGAGTTGGAACTACTTTGACAAGAGCAAGATTCTTACTATCCCTCGCTGGGACGAATCATCGTCGAAAGACACAGTAGTCCGGGTTCCGGTACCCTCGTTTATATCCGGAGGAGAGCCCGGAGAGGTGACTGTAACTTTCGTCCAGCAAAAAAGGGATATTAGCGGCCTCCATGCCGCCATTGGCATCACATATCGGTCACCCACGACCCGGCGCCCATTTCCTCCTTGGAGCGTCTTCACGCCGCCGGCGACGCCAAACAGCGCACGGTTCCCCAACCCGGCCCCCTACCCTCCCACCACACAAGCACTCCTCTTGGCCCCTCCAACACCGCCTTCATCCCCGCGTCCGGCCCGATCCATCCGCGCCGCCCGGTCGACCAACTTTCACCGAGGGATAAGCCCACATCCGACACCGACACCGGGCCAGGTCCCCGCCCTCTCCATCATCTTCTCACCGCACGGCATCTCCTACCGCAGCCTCGAGTCCTACGTAAAGAATCACCTCATCCCAGAATCTGCTCTCCCTCTGACGGCTCTCCTCCACTGCTTCGACGCGGTATCAAACCCCTGGTGGCTCGGGGGAAACATCAGCTCCGGCGTCCCGGCCGGCCAGGAGACGGCCTTGGCGCTCAACGCCCGAGTCTGGGTGAGCGCGCATGACGGGGACAAGGATGTTAGCGGCCTCATGACGAAGATGCTCAGGGCGAGGAGGTATGCGCGCGAAGAGGTCCTCGAGGTCTTGGCCCCGACTGGGAAGGGATCTGGTACTCGAGGCGAGAGGGAGACGGAGGTGGTGATGCTGGGGACGGGCGAGGAGATTGTGCTCTGCCGAGAGGGGCTCATCGGCGGCGGTGAGAAACGTTGAACTAACTTTGATTTCTGGTGAAACTTTGGATTGGGAAATGGATACTGATTTTGGGGGGAACGGCTGTTCTTTGGCTTACGGGATGGCGTATTTGATTTTAATGATTCCAAGTTGGTTTGCAGTACATGGATAGCATATTCTAGCTGAGTTTTGTGAGAATTTCTCTTCGGTACGAGTTACGGCACACTGAGGTGGAATATACCCATGACGGTACAGGGCGGGACTGGAGAGGGACCAGGTGTCCCCAAAGATTTGCAGGTCTTGTTATATCACATATTAGATTGGGCACGAGAGGCTAGTTAACACATGGAAATGGTGATGCGCATATCATAATAACAAGAGCCATTTAATTTCGGCCTTGAGAACGTTGCAATTGTCCATTAGAGATCTCTAACTTGCTGTTTCATAATCCGCATCACAATCACTTCACATCGGTAGGTTCTAAGAAAGGAGGGCTGTTAACGTTCTTCTATTGCTCCTGCTATTGCTCGTGCTAGGGTATCCGTTTGTCCTAGGACCAGACCTATCGCCTCCATGAATGTTTGTAAAAGGTTCGTCAGGGATGTACTTCCTTCCACCTTCCCCTAGCCATGACTTTTTGGTCCTGCTCTCATGAACCTGAGAGAGTGTACATATCAAGAAGAAAAGGACAAAAGAGAGTGAAAACTGAGGAACGGAAAGAGAAGCAGAAAAAAAAATCAATAGAAAACAAAATGCAAAGAGCCACTCCTGTTGGCCGGCACACGTAGACCTGAGTAGGCCACATAAATGTAGAGCAGAGCAGATTCTACTTCATCTGCTTCAAAATCTCGCTCAAGAAGTCCTCGAAGCTCAGAGTAATATAGCCGTCTCGATCGTCATCATACTTCTTGAACACGTCGGTCATCCTCTTCAAAGAGATGCATGCTTGGACAAAGAGGTCAAAGCTCATGACTCCCTCGCCACGCTTATCATATGTCCTAAAGAGCAACTCAACGAAGCCGGGTGTAAGACGATATCGGAAGGCAATGAGAGCATTCGTAAACTCGGGAAGAGAGATGTTTCCAGAGCGGTCGACATCGAAGCGGTCGAAAAGGGTGCGCCAGGAGGCAAGGAATGACCAGAGGCCGCAGAACTCTTCGAACCCAATTGTACCGGAGCGATCAGAGTCGAACATGCGAATCATCATTCGAACAGTCTGCGGGTCGAAAGAAGTCCAGTCTCCGTTGACCAGGGCTGCGCTAAGCTCAGCCTCGGAAAGTTGACCGGTGCCTAGAAAATACGAAGGTACGTCAGCTGCCTGCAAGGAGAACGAACGATGGCGCAAAGAAATGGATCAAGTAGCATACCATCTTTATCAACGGCGCGAAACAATGGTAAGAGCTTCGGGTCGGCTGCGCCAGAAGGAGCGGCGTCTGGCGAAGGAGGCGGCCTGTTGTCTGTGGGTGGCCGCGTATGATGGGTCGGTCGCGGTCCTCCCGCAATCGGCGGGGGAGAAGTCGCACCGTAGTTGTGAGGATGAGTGGGACTTAGTCTATGATGGGCTCCTTCGCGTGAGTCGTGGCGACGATGAGAGCTTTGGCTCCCTGAAGGGCGTAGGTCCTGGCGGGGTAGAGGCGGGGCAGGTTTACTATCATACCCATTGTGCTTGGAAGAACCACCACCAGATTTCTGCGAAACGTAAAGGTCAGATCCGTCGCATTGGATATAGTCAGGAGGCCGGGAAGCCGGGTGGTTGGACTGCTCTTACATTCTCAGGCTCTGCGAACCTAGCGACGTATGAATGTTAGTTGCTGTCCTTGGACTAGGATCGCGGAGGTTGGCTGGGAAAGAGGGAGAGGGACGCACCTTGGAAGCTCATCTGGGTTGTAGGATCTGTTGTACGCCATGACGGATGTGGGTTGCCGATGTCGCGAGATTCAAGCTATGCTTTTTTTTGTCTTCTGACTCGTTAGAAACGGACACGATGAACGGGTCCAGCAGACTCTGATTATATATTCGTCGTCTTCTGCATGAGGCGACTCGGCTAAGGCGAGGATTATCAGCACCAGATCACCGTGGCGCAATGAAATTGAGGCCGGGAAGGCTCAAAGGGCGGGGTCAGCAGCAGGAGCGGAGCCCCAAATTTGATAGTCGCCAAGGCTCGAGTTCCAAGGCGATCCCGGTGGAAGAATGGGCAAGAGCTTGGAAGATAAATTCTAGGTTTTCTTTGTCGCTGAGGAGTGTGGAGTGTCTGTTTCGACTACGCGACTACGCCAAGGCGATTGAGAATGTACGAAGTACGTAACGTAAAGTAGATGCGAGCACAATGCACGAAAGTATCAGGATGTGAGTACGTGAGTACATCGTGGACAATGGAGGGGCTCCAATCCAATTGTCAGCCAAGAGGAGCTGATGTAATAATGCCTGGTGCGGGACTCAGACCAAGACTCAGCAAAGTCCCCGGCATGGCTCAAGCGGAAGCAACGATGGAGGTCGCAGGGGCTGCGCGGAGCTTGGGAAGGAGGGGGAACTGTGGAAGGATCAACGACCTAGTGTTTTGCAGGACGCAGGCTGTCTCAGATCATCCCATTGATATTAGCGAGGGATGCGGTATGCAAACGACTCTTCTACTCTTAAACTCTCATCAGTCAGTGCGTACCGTTTAGCCGCTGCTACCCCTGTTTGCAACCCCTCCTGCAGCCTCGACGCTCTCAACAAACGACAGTCGAAACCCATTGACTGCTGCGAATGGTGAGCCATTGTCGAATACACACTAAATAAAGTACGCGCAAGGCCCAAACTTCTCAGACTGGAAAACACGTCGGAGAAGGGCTTGGGAATGTCATAGCAGGCAGACTTGCGGCCAAAACCTAACACACGAGGTTACACGACACGGAAGCCGATATACAGCAGGCCCCAAGCTGTTTGCGGAGGCGTCTGATGAATCATTCAATTGTTTAAATGTGGACAACATTCGGAAGAGAGCGAGCAATAAGATGCGGCACTTGGACAGACACTCCCCTCTCCCCGGAACACGCAATAGGGCCCGCCTAGAATCCAACTTCTGTTGACGTTAAGCCCTTCGCTACGAAAGCAACTAGTGGGTTGCCCAAGGTCAAGGAGGGTGATTGCCTTGGGTCACAAGTCAAATCTCCTAGAATATTTTGTTCTTGTGAAGTAGAAGAACGAGTAAATACTAACACGCTTTCAAGAGTCATAAATCGTATATCGTCCTATTGCAGGCACTGATTAACATTCCGATTAAATCTTATCTTCCCTTAATATTGCGTCGGCTCTTTCCGAGCTCTACCGCATCCCCGGATTGTCTTGGCAGGACCAGCATCACGCCGTTACCAGAGTGTTGGAAAATTAGTGGAGAGGATCACCTCAACCCGGCCCTACGATAAATTCGATTGTTGCTTCGGCTGCTGGGAGTTTATCCTTTCCATCTTCTATTCGAGAGAGAATAGGGTCTAGGACCTCTCATACGAGCCATCTGATATTCCGATGGCTAGCTTCAAAACCCCCTCTCCTTACCTTCAAGTTGACGATTCAGTCCATCTCAAATTTTATGTGTTTTAGTTTTAACAGGCCTATTGCTGCCAGGCAGCAAACCCAGATCTGAGACCTGGAGGTCCGGTAAGTGAAATCGTGATACAGGCGGGACTACCTCGGTATATGGAGCAAGGATCTCCTCGAAGGGATCATTTCTCGCCCAGGGTCGTTACAGTCTCTCGGTAAATCACCATCTAGAAACAAGGAGTCGTTATACTCCCAACTGGTAGATAGATATGCGTGGTGAAACTGGAGGCTCGTCGGCCAGTACTTGACGAAAGGGGTTATTCGAAAATCTCATCTCATCTCCCATTAGCCATAAGAAGTCTCAAGTTGTGACCAATCTTCGGTATTCTTGACTCCACCCATGAGCAGCGAGAATGTTGACATGGGAGAGGGTATGGTTAAGTGGACGCCAATGTTCAGATAGCGAGCTGTCATTGAGGCCTGGGCCATGACCGTCGGCCTGGTTCAGCATCTTCTCCAACCCGGTGATTGTGACAGTTTCGATACTTCTGTTAATAGTGTCACTTAGGTCTGGCAGAGGCATTAATACAATACACGATTTTGGGTTCTTGAATATTCCCAATGGAGAGGCCAAAGCCATCCCTATGGTGACCGGATGTAGATTGAATAGTGTAGCTCACATAGATTCAGCTCTGGCGGCATGGCATCAAAGTGAGTGTAGACTCATTTACTTGAAGATTCAACCATCCCAATCTCGGTTTGTGAGGCGCACCAGCCCCGACTAGACTCTTAACATCAAAGAACTCAGACAACTGGACAGGAAAGAAGGAGATTTTCGTCCCCAGATTAACAGCTTGTTCGTTCGGTGCAAGAGCTGATTTCGGTGCAGGCGGGTGGTTCTCCAATCTTAGTGCGGACTTCGATTCCGCGCATCCTTCAATGTTGCCCTTTCAGCGACAAGAGGGGAAAAAGGAACTTTTTTTTTTTAAAAAAAAAAAAAAAAAAAAAAAAAAAAAAAAAAATCCAACTTTTATATATATACGAAGAGATTGCGTTCATATATACAACACAACGTATTTGACGAGATACATTTGATCAATGATGGATCAGCCTTCATGGTTGGGTTTCGCATAGCACCTGAAGCACAGTTCTTTCTCCTGTCCTCGGGCCTCGGCGGATGAAGAAAGGAAGCGTCGAGGCAACCTCGAGGAGCACAGAGTTTGCCGATGCCCTTGGGCGGCGGTCTAGTGTTAATGGATTAATTGACCAAATCTCTGGATCTCAGATCAAATCTCTGCAGGCTGTTAAGGCCCATCGTTTGTCATACAAAGCACGTAATTGCATTTGCCCGCTCCGAATCCACTTTTTGTTGCCGCCCGCTCCCCCCAACCACTTGACCAACATAAGAATACCCAATATCGACGCCTATAAACCTGCACTCTTCTTCCTGTTAGTTTTGCCCTGGCATAGAAAACAATCAGATCGATACCGTGCTGTTGCGCTCACTGACTTCCCTCACTTTTTTTTTTTATCCAGATCTGGTCGCTTATCGACCTTTTCCTGTTACTCATGGACCCGTTAACCACGGATGGCGCCGAATTTTGGCTCTTTGGTTATGGGTATGTCAAATGTCACAGCGGCTGTGGCTCCTTCCATACTTACAATCCCCGTGCCGTCCCCTTCATTGTTCCTTCCCGTCCCCTTAGCTGCCCCTTTCCCCGCTCTTCCCGAGCCTCGTGTTCTCAAACAGCGGGCGAAGTGTTGCACTTTCAACATCACAATACTTTGTCTACCTCGCCCACCCATATCTCTTCTTCCCGGCTCCCCTCTGCAAAGGGAGGACTTATATAAGGAGGGAGCTCCTTGCTCTATAGGAGAATGGCGGGAGCGACCCTAGCACGGGGTAGACAACAATAGCCCAATCACCATGGCGAAGCATTTGCAAACCCCTATACAATGCTGGGATCTTCGGTCTCCCTTCATTGCTTTCATCTTCTCCGCCGACGCCGCACTTTTTCATCTCTGACAGTTGTTTCTTTGTCACCACTTTAGGAGCTTGATATGGAAGCCTCCTCCACACTTCGGTAGCTTTACCCTATCCCCACGTTCCACCCCGAAGACGTTAGGGAACCTCCCGAAATTCCTGACTGGGATTCATTTCAAAATGCAGATCGGAGAGTTCCCGGCTGGGTGACCGGTTATGTCCGTAGATTCTGGCAGGTATGTTCTCCTCCTTGTTCACAGAGGTACGTCTGAGTGTCTGAGGGCAAAGACCACACCTCCAGGAATTTCGCACGTTCACGTATACTAATGACCAGCGTTAGGCGAGGTAAATACACTCAAGAGAGTTACTATCAGGGCGTCCTCATACCTCTTTGAAGGCACCCGACTTTTGACCACGACTCGAGGCAGACTAACTATAGGAAATATTAACAGCCAAGACCACCGTGGGACGCCTGAAGCTCCAGGAAGAGTTGTTACTTTAATCGAGCGCGAATACTGGCAAAGCCTGACCGACCATCACCAGTCTGCTCCTGAAAGGGTTTGGGGCGTTGCTTACCGAATAGAGCGTGAGAAGGTTGCTGAGGTAAAGGATTATCTTGACATCCGTGAGATCAACGGATACTCCATACAATATGCTTCGTTTTATCCTGCCAAGGGTGAAGCCGCTATCCGGACGCTTGTATACATCGGAACTCCCGACAACGACCAGTTTACCGGTGTCCAGGAGCCACAGGCTCTTTCGGAGCACATCACCCGAAGCCACGGCCCGTCAGGGCCGAACATCGAGTACCTTCTCAGTCTAGAAGCTGCATTAAATGCCCTGGGCCCCGAGGCTGGTGATGAGCATGTCTCCGACCTCTCAAGTCGAGCGAGGGCTATTTTGGGACTTGCCGAAGAACCCGCGAGCAACATTGCCATTGCCATCAAGGCAGAGACGGCCATCTCCAGTGAACATGAACCCTTCAAGCAAGAACACAGCATTGACGAGCAGGAGGAAACCGAGAAGGATTCCTAAGAAATGCCGAGATGTTGCGTTGATAATAGCCGACCGCATCATGTTGAATCGGGTGGTTAAGAACACAGCGTTGAGAAGAGTACGGCTTGCCGACTTACCCTGAGTAGTCACTCAATGATCATGCCTCCACTTCCGATGGCGAGAATCGCCCAGTTCGTGAGAGAGCTGGAAAGCAAGTCAGTCGGGATAGTTTTACTTTTCTTGGGGGAGTTAACAATCTGGTCCTCCATCCACGACACCTTCTGTTGCCCGCCGTTTTGTTCTATCATAGCCTCATAGCCTAAACGAAGACTCATAACAGCCGCTCCTTACCTTTCACCAGTTGGTTATTCCTTTGAGACCTCTACCTCACTACCCTTCTTCCAATCCGTTCCCAGGGGTAGTTGGCTCCGCAGCACATATCCGGACGCACTGAACGACGGAATACTTGACAGGTATAGACCGGACACGCCTGCCTATTCGTTTACAGGCCTCGAAAAAGCGAACCGGATCCGAGAAAAAAAAAAAAGAAAAAAAAAAAAAGAGACGCCGAGCAGAAGATAAACAAATGCGTAGGTTCAATGCAGACATAAAACATGGACTCTCGAGCAAGGATAAGAAAACGAAAACATGCAACAAGACCAAGTTCCCCGTTTCTCCCCATCAAAAAGACAGAATACAAGCATTCGTAACTGAGCGGCCGTATCAAACAATCTCGCCCTCCCCTTTTCCTTTTTTCTCCCTCGTCATTTTCTTTCGCCCGACGCTCATATGCCTTGAACACATCCCTTGATCCATGTAACCCGTTTTTTTTTTTCCTTCCCAGTTCCCAACCTCCATCTAGTTGACCCAAGAAGACCGTACACATGCTGACCCAAGGTATTTTCGTTGGCAAATACTTCTCACTGATTGCTTGATCGTACAAGTGAACACGAAATGGTAGGCTCGGATAGGATACGACGTATTCTGTTGGCGACTACTGAATCAATGACTCAGAGCTCTCAGAGCACCGAAATCGTGGATCTCGGTTCTCGGCAAGGCGACAAAGAGGGCTAGCGCAAGACTCGATGACATTCTGGTGGAGTTTAGTAGCCGCGACCACCGTTGCTGTTTCCCCCTTGGGGCATTTGATGTGGCGGCGGCTGGTTAGGATCGGGGTAGACATATTGAGGCGGGTACCCTAGCCGCCATCAGCAAGACGGTTTGAAGTAATAATGAGTCGGTAAGGGCCGAACCAAGAACCTACCTTGAGGCACACCATATGGCTGCTGGGGGTATCCCCGGCCATACACCTGAGGCGGCATGTTCATTCCTGGCATCGGGTACCCTTGAGGAGCACCATACGGCATCGGAGGCGCGCCGTAGCCTCCTCCACGACCCATATAGGGCGGAGCGGCGCCTCGACCGACGTTCGTTCTCGGGCCATTGTCAGAGGCCTTGTCAACGCGGATCGTTCGCCCATCAAAGCTAAACGTTGCATTAGCCAGGCTACGGTTTTTCCTTCCCCGAAGAACTCTCGAAAGTGGGAAAGGGAAATGGAAAGGGTGATCGCAATGAGGCATCCGTACTCGACATTGTTCATCGCTGCAATAGCCTTCTGAGCGTCCGCTTCCTGAGTGTAGCGAACGAATCCAAATCCCCGGCTACGGCCAGTGTCCCTATCCTTAACAACCACCTTTTCGCAATCGACACACGCCGCCAATGGTTAGACTTATTATTTCCACTCGCTTTCTGCGTTCAAGAGAAGAAGGAGAAGGCTTCCATGGGCCACCCAAGTCTACTCTGGGGACCAGTTTAATGCTGGATAGCGCAAGGCGGTGATGGGACTTACGGCTTCCTCGACGGGGCCAAACTCTTCGAACTTCTGACGCAGAGTAGCCTCCTCTGTGTGCCATGCTAGGCCTCTATACAAATCGATTCATCAGGCGCTAGGCTCAATAAGATGCGACGATCAACTTCTTGACTCGGAGCTTACCCGATAAATAACTTCGACATGTTCGGGCACTATTCCTATTCTGCGACTCGGTCAGGATTGTTTCATCACGGTTTTCCCTGGCATATGTTCTGCGGACGTCCAAAATGCACCGTCAAGCCCTTCCTGGAAACAAAAACGCCGCGGTTTCCTTGTTAAACGGGGTTTGCTACCGAATTTTCAAGGTGCGCCACGGAACGAAAGAGGTGAAGAGGAAGCCGCCAACAAAGACAAAATGGACACGGGATTGGGGATGACTTTGATGGGACGCCGCGATATTCGCTGCGGAGAGTCTCTGCCACCGACCTTGTTTTTTTCCTTGATATACCGGCGCGAAGGTTTTAGAGACTAGTAGAAGTCGCTCGCGCGTTCAAAATTCGGAATCCGAGATAAGGACGGATGGAATCCAACCCTTCAGATGAGCTTCCCTTTGTCTACGAAAGAACGTTTTGGGATGAGACCTTGGCTGATCTTGATGACTGAAATGGACGAGAGCGCTGTTGGAGAGTGCCCGATGACGCTAAGGTAGGGGAAGGCTGGCCAATTTTTAACCTGATCAGCGGCGGCGGGATAAATAGAGCAACGGGCAAAGAAGGCGGCGGGTTCCGTCGTCTAGGCAAGATATGTGGTTAAGATGCAGGGGATATAGGAGCGAAGGTGTGCTAGCACAGTGGCTGTAAGTAAGGGTGGTGGGAGACAGAGTACTTGTAAGTTGAGTATGGTGAGCTTGAGAGGTGGATGGTTTGGAGTAACACCTGGCCTTAAAGAATGAGGAAAGAGGTTTCGGGAGAAAGGGAAGGTCAATCAAGGAGCAGGGGTTGAATCTGTTGTAGTCTTCTTGTGAGCCTACTGGCTGGCTTGGGAAGTTGGGGATTGAGGAGGAGAGGGGTGAATAGGTTGATTGAATTAGGCGAAGAACCGACGACAACCTCCACCTCCATCACTCTCACAACCCTATCTGGGGTAGGGGACGGAATGCGACTGTTTCGCTGCTTCACTTCGGGTCCTTGACCTGGACGACCGTGGGCGATCGACGGGGCATCCGCAAGCCCAATTCGGCTCATGGCAGGGTACATGATGTCCATCAATGTTTCGACCAGCATGAGTGGCAGGCATGGTATGTTCCCCTTTCCAAACAAGCATCAAACAGGCGGCGAAAGCGAAAAGGCGACGGATGGAGTCGAGCCACAGAAAGTCTGCCAGCGACTGTTGCCAACTACGACCCCTACAACTTCTTTTTTCCTTTGCTATACGGTGTGTGCGCCAGGTAACTTACACGCCCCTTACCCCTCCCCCTCACCTCGCACTTCCACACATCCACACATCTCCCATCCTACCACCCCTTTGCCGCACCCCCGGCAGAAGACCCTCTCCTCTAGTCCTATTCGGGACAGTCTGCGTGCCATGCACTGAATGGAAGGATATCTATTGTTTTGAGCAGGGTGATAGGACTGACTGTTTCCGACCTATTAGACGTACTATATCGAGATGAGGGGGATGGCCAAGTGAGGTAGATCACACCTTTCGTCACCTTACAGAGCTATGCATCTTCGAAAGCCATGAGATAATACCTCGGCGGTTACAGATTTTCAAGCCTAACAATAGACACTAGATGTAAGTACGAAGTACAAAGATGGAGGGGGGGAGAGAGAGAGAGTGTGTGTGTGTGTGTCTGCATGCGTGTGTGTCCGTCAATATGCTATTTGTTTTTTTTGCGTAACGTATTAGAAGAGAGAAGAGAACTGCAATACTAACGAACCGAGACGGCTACTACCTTGGGAGAAACGTGTTCTATGTCGCAATAACACATCATTGAAGCTCTAATGGAATGTTCCGAGATCTTTGGGCTAATTACACTAGATCGAGCAGGGATAGGTGCATCGATGCTCGGCCAAAAACCAGCCTCGCGGATATTCCTGCAGTTTCTTCGAATCCGCCCGCAGGCAGAATGACGAGTCGTCTCCGGACCGGGCAGGGGGCCGGGAAGAACTGGTCACATCCAAGGAGGACTAAAATGGAACAAAATGGGATAAATGCCACGGCTACGGGTTTCTCCTCGTTCGACTGACGGCCAACATCGGAGGCTTCTCTGTTGCTTCTCACTGCGCCCCTCGACTCGTTTTCTGAAGGAAGTTTCCAGCCATTCTCAGATATGAGAGTCAACTTAGTGCATGTTAGAAAATATTCCATCAACTGTTTCGGTTTTCCCTGTGGACTTTTCCGGGCATTACAGATTAGGTAAGGCCAAACTTATGCTGGAGGACTATCAGGACTATCCCGGCCTGTCTAACCTTGCCAATCACTTCAGATTGTCCAGGGCCTGGTTCACGGCAATACCCCTGCTCGCCTGTCGTTCTGTTACTTTTTGCCAAGAAGTGCAGGGTAATTTTCCTTATGGACCAAACGAGGAGGAGGAAATAAGCACTAACATCGAAGCATCAAAGCGAGGCAGCATATCAAGCAAGCGGTCAGTTTCGTCAACCCCAGGCTAATCCCAGAGCTCCGCTTCCTAGGATATATCTTTCGCGTCGTCACCAAAACGCAATCTTTAATATGGGCGGGTCCTTGCCCGATGGCCCACTCCAAGAAATGTCAGGGTGGTCTCCACTCACCGCAAAGGGCAAGAACTCTGTTACAGACCTGTCGGATGGGGACGAAGTGGGCGCAGGGACGCATTTTTTGGCCCTTTTTTGGGAGGTGTTGGAGTTGAGGTAGCACAAGATTGGGGCGAGCCTCGGGCGATCTGCCAGAGCGGCTCGACACGATACTATCAGATAACCCCGCCATCTCCGTCGTTGAGACCTACGATTTCAGTCGTGGAGCACACCCTACTCCGTGAGTGTGGTGGAGCCCTAAACCCGCTGCCGATATGGCACGGATAAGAGTCGGTGATGTACGGTACATTTCTGCAACCCCGGCTCCTTTCACGGGTTATTCTTCCCAACCGCTTCCGCTTCCGCCCTCATCGCCGCCACCATGCCACCACAACGTTGCGATACACGGTTGACCAACTTGGGGATTTACCAGGCTTAATTCTGCAATGGTCTGGGTGTGGAGGCGTCGGCAAACAACAATGGCGAATTGGATGCATGTTCCACCCTCCCCTCCATTTTTGCAACCATCGTCCGGCATATTGGGGGGGCCTGCAAGTACAAGGCAGTCGGCCAGGGGTGGGCAGCTCATTGGAGATCGCACAGGCATACGAAACTATCCTGTAGCAGGGAGCCCTCACACCTTTTTTTTCTTTTTTCTTTTTTTCCCCCCTCTTTGTCCCCTTTCGCTTGCCACTAGTACGTGAAACAGGTAGCAACGCGTGGAATGCCCAATTATGGCGTGCAGGGAGAAGGAAAAAAAAGCAATGTGGACCTGAGAGGATGGAATTGTTGAGTATCAAATCCTTTCTCTGAGAGTTGCCCAGGTTTGGGCCGACCCCATAGTACTTTGTATGCATCGACAGGGCAGAACCAAATTCCTGGGAACCATCAACGGCAGAAAATTGGACTCCATCTGTCTGTCGTTCGTGCACGTGTGGTTGATGCTGCTTGGGCGCAACTGCTCTGACCCCTCTGAAAGCTGCCATCGATTGAAGAGCCACTCGGATTTCTTTCCCTGTCCGCTGTTCAGTGCGCTGTCGTTCGATAGCTCTCCTCTCGGATAGGGCTAGCCGGTTCCGCAATGTTCAAGGAGTCTAGGACAATGGAGGCTCTGACAAGCCTAATCTGACAGAGCAATCAAATCTAGAAACAGCTGAGGCAAGATAGCTCACGGATGTTCTCGGCGGATGTGCGATTCTTACGAAGCAGGAAATCCCATCAATCTTGTAAAAGCTTTGTCAGCCCTCGAGGCAAGGTTGCTTCACAGCGACGAGGTATTTCAGACGAGCAAAAAAGATGGGACATGCTGAATTTCGATACGCCATGTGTTCCGTAACATCGGTGGAAATGGCTTGGCGTTTTTCAACACTGGCGGTGGTCGGGAGGATCAGCACTGATCTTCTCTCTTTTTCCCTTCTTTCCTTTCCTTCTATCCCGGCTTGGCTCCAGTATCTCCAGTTCCGACTGGACCGGGGCGAAAAGAAAGCAGAAAAGTAGAGAGGCATCAAGCTGTGTCTTGCTGTAAGGGAGGCGGCAAGTTGCGGTCTGGACCCCAACTTTCTGGCATATCATACATCACACTATTCCACGAATCCCCGTACTGGCAAGCGCCCCATTTCCTGCACCATACTGTTACATGTACCCCCTCGGGGCTCAAGCTCTTCTGTCAGTGAACGAACTGGGACCCGCCTCAAGGCGGGTCTGTGGAGTTTCCGCCTGGCAGTTGAAGCGGGTTAACACGAATAGGGAATCTTGGTCCAAGAAACTAAACTAATTTGGCAGAAGTCGCGAAATCTGGGGATGTTTCTAAAACAGGAAAATTGATAGTGGCATGAAGTTCTGCATAGGTGGACGGGAATGCCGGTGGTGATTCCACCTAACTGCGACCCTGGGTGAGGTCCACCGCCCACCATTTCAACTAGGAGAATAAGAAACCACTGCTTGACAAATTTCGGTCCTACGGCGCGCACCGGGTGTAGGTGTTCGAAACATTCCCTAAATCTGTAGTCCATGGTTCAGAGCCAAATAGCCGTGAATGATATCGTTATCATACTGCTTAATGACACGTCCTGCAGCTCGATGAATTCAGAGGGGACGCGAGTATCAAATCAAGATGGCCTAGCTTCTGTTCCACCCCTAGTCAACAGCCCCTCTCTTCCCTCTCCTCTCCCCACTCACTGAGACAAGAGATGGAATACGCGACTCAAAAGGCCCCGTTCTGGACAAGCAAGCGCCGGAAGTACCGCCGAATCACATTCGCCTACTTGTTATAAGGGGTTCGGTCTCCGGGGATGTCATCTATGCCCTGGACGATCGACTCTCACCGAGTCTCCGTGACGGCTCGAGCGAGAGACTGAAAACATGGGAGGCGAGTCCCACCAAGCCGGGAATATCCAGCGATTTTTCTCCCTTTCGGAAAACGAAACCAATGTGACAGCCGGTATCGAATCATGGCATATTCCAGTTATTTTCGACTGTCCGCGCCGCATCCTTATGAGTGTCTCGGTACATGTGAGGTGTCACAAAAATTGCGAAATGCCGGGTTCTTCATGCAGAAAATGCACAACCTCGCCGAGCGCACTGTATAGCTGCGGACAAGACTAGTCTTTGAGTATTGACCTTGTCAGAGGCCAATTTAGCGATGCCTGGAAACCGGGAACTGGAGCCAGGCGAGGAGGACTGTGTGTCTCGTCAGCTTCACTTGTACTTCATAGACGGCGGGATGGGGGCTGGCCGGGATGTGAATTCGAATTGATACGTTATCGTCCCCCAAGATAAAGCCAGGCAATCACGAAGTGATTATTAGACGTGGTTGCTACTGGATCTAGCGGCTGGACCCTGCATGCCCTGACGTCGCTTTTTGTTTCTTTGAAATGGGCCCATATTGTAACCAAGATCATTTGGTATCTGTCGCTCCTCCCCAGATCACTTCAATTGTTCGGCTGTGGTCCTTGAGATGTATAAGGTACAATTTGTATCGAAACATTTTCACGTGCCATGATGATCTTGGGCCCGGGCCGAGAAGTAGACAACGGAAGGAGGAAGGAAGCCGTAAGTCGGGAGGGCGTGGGGCCGCCAACTCTGCTCCTTCCCCGTCAATAGCCCGCACTCCATGAGGGAGTCGCGATGCAGAAGGGCAGAAGACGATAACTGGATGCGGTAGGGGTGATCTTGATGTGGCATGGTTGGCCTCGACCTAGATAGCTGTTGTAAGTCATCATGTCTCTCATTTCCCGAGTTGGGCAGCCTCTGCTGCATCTCAATATACACTCTTGCCATTGGGAATATCTCTTGTCTTTCGTCTACCATTCCGATCGTACAATCCCATCAACTCCACTGCCAGTTTGCCACCAGATGCCCGTGTCGTCCCCGAGGCGGAGGGGGGCATCATGGGTCATCATCCCCGAGCCAATAGGCCCAAGAGGGACGAATTGCATCGAGGAGTGCATACTAGACAATTATTCGATGGTCGTCCTAGAGAACCCGGCCTCGCCTCAGGTGTTGAGGCTAAGATTGCTCCCCCAAATCCTCCTAACAATGATTTTGTTCAGAACTGGCTAGTTCAGACTCAAAGGCGGCCTGACTGGGAATCCGTTGCAAAGGTCCAACCGGGAGAGAGGCTGCCCTGGCGACCGCATAACCTCGGTGGTGTTAATCTCGATATGCCTCCCCCACCGGCCCCCGGGCTCCTTAAGCGTCGCCGCGCAATGTCCTTTGACAGCTCCTTCATCCCAGAGAACCACAAGAGGCCCCAGAGACATGATTTAACCCCGAACCTCCCACCTGCGTTAGCACCATCGCAAAATTCCGACATCAGCCCCGATATGAAGGAGGGCTCACCCAATAGACCTTTGGGATCAGTGGGCTCTTCTCCACGTCCCAAGCAGTCTTTCGATAGACGACCTCGACACAAGACAAGGGAAGATCGGTACGAGATTAAAAAGAATAAAAGAGGGAGAAGGAACTCGGGCGGAGCAGACAAAACAGGAAAGTCCCAGGGTGCAAAAAGAACCAAACGTTCAGACAAGAAGACCCTCGTTTCGAGCCGTGAGGTAATGTCTGCCTTCACCTCGGACGCCATACTTACCCACGACCGCTTGACAGTATGAAAGAAACGGAGAATCAAAGGCCCGTTTAAATAAGGCTAACTGTGTGGCAACAGGTAAAACCGACGCTCGCTATTGGGCTGTACGGGAATGCTCGTGCTGCTGTCCCCAATTACTGTAAGTTTACATATTTCCGTCTGCCTAGCCCGACTAACACGACCAAGTATCCGATCTTGCGTATAACGGCATGAATTTTCTCGAGCCCGCCAGATCCAAAGGGGAGAATACGACGTCGAGGGCAAGGGTACTTCACCGAAAGGACAGTTCCCGTCCGGAAGATGGGAGGGATGACTTGTCCGAGGCCTTGCCAAACGACTCACGAGCTAGGTTAGGGCCGGACACCGGCAAACTCCGGGAGGGCTTAGACGAAGGCCATGGAGACTCCGACCGAAATTTTTCTGAAGGTAGTGACTGTACGGAACAGTCAGGATGCCGGGCAACGGTCGGGGGTGCTCTATCATACACGCTGGCCAGCAGAGGTGATAACCACGATATGACAGAGAGAACGACCTCAAGCTTGGACGCAAGGCATTTCCGCTATCAAGATCGATCGAGCCAATCTGTTCAACCAAGCGCAATTCCAGACTACAGTGGAAATCCCCCACCATCCGAACACCACGATCGTTCCCAGGACAGTCTCAGTCCCCAAGTCATGAGACGAGCACTACTGGAGACTGGGGTTTTTGACGACTTTGAGAACAGCAGTAGCTCACTACCGCGATATACCATCCCGCATTACATGCCACATGCGCATAGCTACCATATCAACCAACAAGCTACCGTGACTCTTGGTGCACTGGGCGATTCGCCTAAGCCTCAATGTGAGGGCAAAAACACCATGGTCACACCAAGTAAGCTTGACCCTCGCATTGGAAACGTTGGTCGAGGTATTGCTCGACATGGCTCAGGTGTTGAGAATTTGCCCAACATGTCGACGCCCGCGAAAAATGGCGACGCTGGTCCTTTACAACGCCAGCACATTGGGGGTAATCTTGAGGCTATTGATAACATCTTGAGTCTACAAAGCCAGGCGTCAGGAGTACACCCAGAAGCTACAAACCCCAGAAAAGTAGATCAGACGGCCCAACCCACTACTGTTGCTGGAGAACGCATGCCGGTTTATTCCCATCAAGCATGCCAAACAGAAGCGCCCTGGTCCGAAGTGCGGAATGCCAGAATGGCCCATACCGGTACCCAAACAACTCGAACAACTGGTCCTCAATCAACCCCCGTATCTCCCATAAACAAAACGGCCTCTCCAGCGGACACGGATCCGGGAGGAGATATGTTGGAAGGGGACTCGAAACCCGTCGCTAAGAAGCTGCCAGATCCTCATTTAGGCGATGACCGCCAATCCCGACAGCATCATGTACAGAGCTTTCCCCAGGAAATGTGCGGTCATCAGAATGGCTGCTCTCATTGCCTGGAAGTCCGGTATGCACCAAGCTTCTGTGTCCATAGGCCAAGGCCGACTTTGGTCCGCGTACCTCCACAGCACGCCCAAAAGCGCCTTCTCCAGCAAGAGAGCAGGCAGTCGTATCTTGCCACGAGAGGTGGCGTAGTTGGTTGGCCCAGAGGCTCAGATAGCACCGCTGTATCAACGAAGCCCGAATGTTTGGACACAAAGGGTGCCGTTCACTATGAAGAGCTGGGGGCCTGCGGGCCCGAGTGTGGCTGTTCTAGAAATGCGTTCTCCCAAAACGATGACGCGGCTGCAGCCTGTCATCCTGAGCGCCCTGATGGACACTACCCAACGAGCATGAGCTACCCTGCGTCATATGACCAGGTCATCCTTACCGAGGAAAACAGGCCGATACTGAAGCAGATTCCTGCATGCAGGACGCGGGGCACAGAAGCTCATCAATATGTTTACAATGATGGCAGTCCTTTCGATGGACGGGATTGCTCCCACCACGGTTATCAAAGCTATCCGGGAGTACCTGACGGCCTTCTGGTTAAAGAGGGGAGCTCCCACCTTGCTCACGCACCCGGAAATGAGTTTTATTATGATCATGTTGACGCGGAACGGATACCTACGTCTTCATACACTCTAAGGGAAGCAGGGCGGGGCGAGCTGGAGATGGAGGAAGCGAATGGAGAATATTGGCATAATACGGTACCCAGGCCGTGTGAGACATACGATCCTTACCCATATTTTGATTCAAGGTATGAGTGAGGAAGACAGACTGCCCATGTCAAGGATTTGCGATCTATTCTGGTTCTTGATCCTTCCACTTAGCGAGGACTGCATCCATGTCGATGGCGCATCGCCGAGCCTTGTCTGCGATATCAGCGGCTTTACCGATTACTGGAGCGTCAATCATCTTGCCGTCGAGTGTCCAAGCCCCACGACCTTGTTTCTGCGCCTTTTCATCGGCAACTAAAATGCGAGCGGCCCAGTCGATCTCTTTTTCGGATGGGGAGAATAGCCGATGAACCACCTCCAACTGGCTTGGGTGAATGCACTGCTTCCCGTTGAATCCCAGGGACCTCCCATCTTCGCACTCCTCCTCCAATACCTTCAGCCCACGGTCACCCTTGTAGGACGTGCAGACTAAGTCGATGCTGCTGGGCAGATCGAAGGCCCGCGCGGCGGTGACTATGGCGGATCTCGCATATAGAAACTCTCTCAGCGACGGGGTTCGCGTCAGCGATAGGTCAAGGGCAAAGTCCTCGGCTGCGAAAATGAGGCCATTAAGCAGAGGGCTGGACTTGCATATCTCGGCAAGATCCATAATGGCCTTGGCGGATTCAATCAACGCTATGATCTTAATCGGGTTCTCGGAGCGGGCACCATGCCTCTGGGGAGCAACATGCCGAAGGACGTCTGTGACGAAGGTGAGGTCTGCAGCGCTATTCACCTTGGGCACGACGACAGCATCTAGATTGGGCGAACTTGCAAGACTGGTGAGGTCGGCCAAAGCGTGGGGGGTTTCGACTGCATTGATTCTGACAGCGAGCTCGCCAAAGGCGCGATTCTCTGCCTCGAGGTTTGCCAAATGAGCACGAAGCTGATCGCGGGCTTTGTGCTTCAGGGAGGGCGTCACCGAATCCTCCAAATCATAGGTTACGTTGTCGGACTTGATCTTCAACGAGCCAGCGAGCATCTTTTGGGATGACGCCGGGACTGATATTGCATTTGGTTTTTGTCAGAACATCTCCTCACAACCCCTGTACTACTGCGGGACCTTGAATATTCATAGTTGAACCTACCATATAGGAGAGACCGGCGGACGATGGATGCCGACGCCATTGTTGATGTGAGGTTGAGGGAAACAGCGATGAATTGTTATATCTTGAGTACTGTTAGGTTATTTTCAGGGCTATTAGATCAGACGTATTGTATAATTCATCAATTGATTCTATTCTCCCAGAGCCAGGCATAAACTCGTTGGACGCAGCTCGTTGGTGAATGTAAACAGTCTTTGAGGAAGTCAGGACAATCTCGGCTAAGGCTGGACATGAGCGGGGGATTCCGAGGGCTCAATAGAGTCGAGGTTCCTTCAATTGATCTCATTTCTCATTTCCTTTACAGTTGATCTAGTGCGGGGATTACAGGACGAGGCACCTAGATTCGGCAGATTTAGAACCCCAAAACGGAACGCTGAACATTGTTCGCTGGCCTGGCAGGCAGGCAGGCGCGCTAACGGAATCCCCAAGCCCCCTGAGTGAAATCCCACCACCTGGTGCATCGATATCCAAAAGGAACATCAAATCTACTAAGATTACTAGAACTGTTGTACGAAGTATATATCCTGGAATTAGCTGCGATTATAGAGACCATCTATTTTTTTCGTCTCCTCAATGTCCCGTGGTGTCCTTGGGCGTCCGCCCACATAGCGACGATATGCAAGGAGGGAGAGAGGAACAACCACCAACCCACCACCAATCGCGCCCTTCACAGCTGGTGCTAGACGGCTCACTGCAAGTTTCCAGATGCCAACGGCGAGACCTGCGACGGCTCCAAGCCCAATGGCTCCGTGTACTGGCCTCCACGGCAGCCAGCCGTGCAAGAAACGCCCCCAGCTCTCCGGGGAACGTCCCAGGTCCTGTAGCGAGCGTCCCGACTTCTGCATGGACCGTCCTAACGTTTGCAGGAACATCCCCAGTTTGAGTAAGGCGTCTGATAGTTTTAATAGAGCTCGAAACCACCACTTCTTTACGCGAACCGGCGTCAGATTCCAGACGAGTCTTCTAAAATTGAGAAAAGCGGCCAGTAGTATGCTCCGGAAGAGAACCAGACACCCCAGAGCGATGATGCCAAGAGGGGTCGCTATCCAGCACCACGGCATGGAGAGGTGCCCAAACCCCCCCTGAATGGGCAGTTATGTTAGTGCTTATCGCCTCGAAGAAAAGGGGAGTTGAAACAAGCTACTTGCCTCGATGGCCATGTCGAGTGTCCCTGCGACGAATATGATGGGATGAACAACAAGGTGAGATGGGTGGGCTAAGAGACGATTTCTGCCTCGTGGATAACCCTATGGCTCTCTGCTACTCTCACTATGGTGTTGAATTATTGCTCAAGCCGCTGGCTACTTTTTCGTGATTGTCGTCGGGATCTAGATATGTCCTGGGTTGGTGCTCAGCTTACGAGAGATCCGATGACTTTTTAAGTCTTTGCCAATCGTGATCATAGAAAGGTTTGGGTTGTTCGGCTTGTTGGGGGGGATGGCTGGGTGAACAGGTATGTAGAATCTGTCTACATCAAGTATAGTGCGCTTCAAGGGAAGCTTGGGAGTATGGATAGTGAATAGGAGCACTCAATCTGGATTCCAGCACAAATTTGTCGTTGGAAGAATCACGGAATATATCTCTACGGAAAACACTCGGACCCTAACACGTAAAAATTGAGGCTAGGCTTCCGGAAGAGGCCCTGCGCGATCGTGGCGGCGAGAGCTGCTGATGGTTCCCTTTGGGCGTCTCAAGGTTGGAGATATGTGGGTGGGCTGGCGCCTCAACACAAGCCAACCCCAAAAGCCTGGTGTGCAGAACGGGCGCAGCGCGTTCCATCATCAGGGCGCTAGTTCCCCCCTGAGCCATCATCGATGAATGGGGATATTCGGTGTCATTACCGAATATACCGAATATGCCTCGCAATTAACTCGCAAAGTCCCATCCACTTGTTGTAAAGGGACTCTGATGTTCAATGTCTGCAGTTTCGATTCTCCTTCGCGGAGGATGTACTCTCTTTTCGATGTCCATTTCGGAGAGAATATTCTCGGGCAGTCCTGTAAATTGTGCCTTCGAGGCGTAGTGTAAGAATATAGTCGACTTACATACTTAGTACTCGCCTCATCGGAATCCTTTTGCGCCGCCCTATTTCTTCGTTTCTAATCTTGATTGGACCTATTATTACCTTCGTATGCAGAGAGAACTCTCACAGTTGCTCTGGACAGTGATTTCCGGATGAGAAGTGATCGATGACTAAGCAGGGATGATTTCAATGCTGGCCTGAAGCTCTTTTTGGGACTTCGTAATTGTCCCACGTCGGTTGATCGCGATTTGAGGAAGCCTGATTGACAAGCTTCACAACAAGGCCATTCCACTCTAGCTCCCAGCGACGTTCGACACCGAGTATAAGCCCCGAGCCGGGAAACATAGTAGCAGGCGATTGGAATTTAGGCCTGTAATTCCGGATCGCAACGACAGCAGAGCGACGAGTACCCCCGTTGAACAAGGACGGATTGCGAACGTCACCGAAGGGCCACGAAGCGAAGACAGCCCTCGACTGTTCAACGATATGCGCAGGTAGCGGCAGGACGAACCTTGTAGACGCTTAGGGTTTCCGATACTCTCTTTCTCGCCCTCGCTTGTTATATAACGCCGACACCCGACTCAAAGGCTCTCCGACGACGCAGATGGAGTCCCAACCGCTTGTGCCTGGCTCTCTGAGCTGGCGCCTCAGCTCCCACCCCATTACCCTCTTGACCTTTCTTGCATTCAGAATTGGTTCGTAGGAGAGATTACTTTCTCTTATGGGAACATCTTGGGGAGCCGTGGTTCGCTAACCTGTCCGCAGCAAGTTTCCTGGTTTACCTACTGGGACTCCTAATCATACACAACATGTGCGTGTCTCCTCTTCCCCCCGGGGAGGATTTTCTCTTTGACTCTCTCCCAGAAGGTTTCCACGCTAACCGCTCTCCTCTTCCCCTATCCAGGATCTTGATCTTCATCATAACAATGCTCCTCCTCGCCGCCGACTTTTACTACACGAAAAACATTGCCGGCCGGCGCCTTGTCGGTCTCCGGTGGTGGAACGAAGTCGACACCGAATCCGGCGACTCAAAGTGGGTTTTTGAGAGCAGCGAGCCCGGGACAAAGGTTATCAACCCGACCGATAGCCGATTCTTCTGGTTGGCCATGTATATCCAGCCCGTTATCTGGGTTGTCATGGCTATTGTGGCGGTGTTTAGGTTCCAGTTTTTGTGGCTGCCGCTTGTCGGTGAGTTTTTATCACATCCCTTGACTTTATTTCATTGCTTGGCCTGTTCTCGAAAGGGAGTGGGTTGGGATCACGAGTTCTCTTGCTGGATTCGTTGGGGAAAACCCCGAACGTGATGGAAGACTAATTGAGACTTTCCTAGTGATCGCGCTTGTCTTGACGATCATGAACACTCTCGCCTTCTCCCGCGCCGACAAGTTCAGCCAGGCGTCGAATCTTGCCGGTTCTGCTTTCTCCGGAGGCAACCTCGCCGGCACCATTGCGACGAACATGGTTGGTCGTTTCTTTAGGTCTTAAGACCCCGGTGTATATTCTTTTTTTGAAGTGACGAGAGGAGTGGGCTTGATTTTCTTTTCCTCCCCTCTCTTTCTGGCCCATATCCCGCGTGTAAGTGGAAGAAAGGAGCGAAGTCCTGGGGTTTTGTAGGAAAATTCATCGTGTATTTTTATCACGGGTTCTTATCTTTTCCTTGTTTCTTAATTTGCTTGCGAATGAAGGGCGGCTGCTAGTTTCAATTCCTGGTCTGGATATAATTTACGACTATGGGTAGAGCGTCTTTTTTGGACTGAGGACTCCCAGTTCAAGCCGTCAATATCTCCCTACACGGAACACATCCACGTTTTCGAAGCGCCTAAATACCGCTTCCTAAAAAGCGCCCGGCTACTTTCGAGATTTGGGGCTTCAAGATCTCGGCTGCGGTGACTGTTTGGGAAAACCACGCCTCAGTAAACCAGAAGCGAGAGACGCAACTAGGTCTAGTAAGGAACGAACGACGTAGAAAGGGGAGGGAAAAGAACGATAGATGCTTCCTGAATTAAATGAAGTGGCTAACTTGGATGGGGGATCCTTAACGCTCAGCGCCCAAACTCCTGTTCGAAACAGGATTCAAGGCATAACTAAAGAAGAAAACAGAAACAAAATCCCCATCAACAAAAAACTCCCGAGATATGGATATTCAGAATAACAGTGGTCTTCCAAGAATATATCCTGTGCCTCACATTACATTGCTTTCATCTTGTCTTTTTTAGAACAACATTCGTATACCATGACGCGGCAGACCCGCCAAGGTCATCACCATTAAGAAGTCTCAAACCCGCATCATCAAAAAGACCACACACCTCACTTGCCCACTCTACTTTCGTTGCGCCGCTTGTTCGATGGCTCGATCAAGGGCCCTCTCCTCCTCCTCCAGCCTCCTAATTTCGGCCTCTGTCATGCCTTCCTCCACGAGATGTGCCACGGCAGCCGGCACTTCGGGTCTCGTCCGCGCCTCGCTCGGCGAAAGGCTTCGATCGGTTAACGACGCAGCGCCGGGAGTAGCAGCGGCAACAGCCCCAACCGCTGGTGATGCCGCTGCGGAAGCAGGATGAGACGTGGCGGGGTCGGGATAGATAACGGCACTGTCGCGCAGGCCTCGACCCGGAACGTCTTCTGATTGCGGGGAGTCCGCGAGGTGTGTTTGGGCTTCCTTGTCTCGGAGATAGTCGTTTGGAGGAGCGTTAAGTGAGGTCGTAACGTAGGGCACTGGTTGGACGGAGCCAGCGGCGCCGACTGGGACCGAGGCCGAGGCGCCCCTGCGACGCCGGCGGAGGAAGAAGAAGACGCCGAGGGCGATAAGAAGAAGACCGACGATGGCACAGGCTACGCCAATGCCCGCCTTGGCACCGGTGGAGAGCGAGGCGCCAGCTTTACTGCCAATGGTGGGGCTTGCTGTCTCAATGCCGGGGTCTCTACTGTCGGAGGCATCATCGGACGGCGTGCTAGTTAAGCCACCACCTGTCCCGGGATTGCCAGACTTTTCAGGGTCGGAAGCGGAGGCATTGGGGTTCCAGATAGAGCCATCATTCGTCACACCGCCCGAAAGGCTGTCGCCTTTGTTGTTTCTTTCCGCCTCGGCTCTCAACGAAGCTACCGCCGCTTGGCCATCAGTGGCCTCTGCAGCTAAGACCGTGAATGCACTGCTGGCGATAGACGGCTGCGTCCCAGGAGTTCCTGGTTCTCGACCCTGTGAATTTAGCTGGAAATGGACAACGAGGTGCATGCGCTTGCCGTAATCTTGGATGGGAAGGTCGCGGTCAAGGGCTGTTGGGTTGAGAGTAAATTCACCGCGCAAAGGTCTGGATGGATCTGTACACTCAGAAGGTTAAATGCCTAGGTCTTTCTTTCTCGGCTTCTAAGTAGGGACTGGAGACAACAACCCGGGGGGGGGGGGTAGCCTGTCGTCTTTCTTTCTCCTTTCCCCACCACTCCCACTAGACTGCTCACCTTGGGAAACACTAGGTCGAATCTGAGGATTGTCCAGCGTTACGAAGTTTGTCGCTGGGGTTGTATAATCCACGATAATCCATTCGACCTCGCCAAGCGTGATATCTCGTACGTAGTCGAAGGCGAAGGGGAGTGTCTCATTGATTCGAAATGCGCGGACACTGGCGAGGCTAGGGTCGACTGTTATCATGCCGTCGAATTCGCTCGTGTCGCCCTCGCTCCCCCCCGAAGCGGGCTCCATGTTAGTCTGCGTTCCGGATCCTACTTGGAGATCCTTAAATATCGTGTCACCGCCCTCGTTCCTTGGGTCTACGCTCCCCAAAACGCGATCATCGTCGAGCCGCAGGTCCCTCAACACGTCGTGAATTGTCCTCGTCTTGGCAGTCGGGCCGGGAGAGTAAGGCGCGAATAATGGCGCCAGCGGGTTTTCGTTGGCCATGATCCTTAACAAATTCCCCCCTTTCCTCTCAATCCTTAATCCTATGAATTTCGTCGGTCGATATAAAACACTCTTTCTCAATCCCCTACTCTTCCTACTTAGGCGTCACCCCCCGCAACTCGAGCAAATTCGATAGTCGGTCACGTCCCCGTTCGTATTATGGGCCGTCAAGTCGGTGTTATCGATTTTGTATTCACGTCCGGCCTCTCACGATATTATATCCGTCGAGATTCGACGAGAGACGAGAAAGTGAATTCGAAATGGGTAATTGTCGTCGTACAGGGTGGACTCGCAATGGAAGAAAGGAAAGCAAAGGCAGGGAAGGGGAAAAAGAACAAAGGATGAGGAGGTTTACAGGGCTCAGCCTCAGCCCAAGGTCTGGGGCGAGAGATGATCGGCAGAGGGCACACCCGCAAGGAATACTTCGTACGATACCGATAGATGCTACTCGATTGAGTCTAGCGACAGACAAACCAACAAACAGATATCCCTCTCCTGCTGCGCCGTACCAGCTACTTTGGTGGAGCGCTGGTGAACAATGGAAGCAGGCAGCACAGGATTTCGGGCTGGGAGGTTGCAGAAACACCCCGTCTTACTGCAGCTGCGCTTGCAATAGACCCCTCCCTCCAACGCCGGCCCCATGTCAGCCGCAGAGGGATTTTGGACTGGACAGGACATAGCACAGCACAGCCAAGTAATACTTTGTAGGGGGATGCAGGATCGGAAGGGTGTTGGTTGGATGCAGGAATCAGTCCAGACCGCAACGGGCAAGCGTCGCGCAGGGAACATGAATAGTGACCGTGGTACACAGCCTTGCGAGGATTGTGGAGGCGATTCTTGTACCGGTACCACACATTTTCGAGATGGTGGTACCCCCTTTGGTGATTTAGTGACAAGAGTAAGAACGAACCGCCGTCAGTCTCTCTGTGGAATCTGCCTTGAAACTGCCACGATTCTTTGAATTATGGAGATATCAGAATCGGTCATGTTGCCGCGAACGATGAGCTCGAAGGACGATACGAAGCCAACATCATCAAAGTCATCAGCCCGAATGCTGGGGACAACGCCAGCAACTGAACTAACGAACGTTTAGGCGGAGAAACTAGTCCTGAAGAGGCAAGCTGGAAGTGGATGATGGATGCTTCAATGTTCTATTGTTGGCAGTGCATCAATCGAACAAATGTCACTGAAGCGATGACGGGGGGACGATGGATTCCGACGCTTGACTTGTACCGGTACCGAGCCTGGCCTTATTGCAACGTCCACTCAAGGGTCGCCAGAGTCAGTCAAGGCAATGAGACTCTCAATTCTCATCGACTCCTGGAGCGGCATGGAGAACGACGACTGCTGATTGGCTTCTTGATCCGGTTCAGGTACTTGGACAATGTACTTAGTTCGCTTCTGAGTACTTCGTATACTATGAACTGGGCTCGGTATTAAGTAATCATTTAGGATGTATTTCGTCCACCATGACACCGTGAAGGTACCTCAGTTCTGGCGTAGGAATCCATGTCGATACAATTTGAAGTCCTTGCTGAAGTCGTCCACGAGGATTTTACAGATGTTGGGCCGAATGCATCAATGGTTTTAACAAATTCTTTGTTGGAAGAAGGCAAGTCTTCATATGAGCACTTCATGTCCCCAGGTCTCCATGTCTCCATGATCCTACCGTCATTAGCACCCGCCAGGCGTGGGAGCCTGTCCAATTGCCCAACATTTAGATCCACTTCTTCGCCTTGGTTCAAATGTCCATCATCTCCAACAGGCGATTCCTTCTGCTTGTCCAACTACGAAGTAGGCTTGGTGCTCACTTGACCGAGTCTCGGGCTGTGTGTACTCAGTACTGGCTGGTGTATGTAGCATGTTGGTCTTACTCTCGCCTCTCCTAAGCTCCAGGTGCTATTATTATCCAAACATAGATCCCATGCAAACAATCCTCTGCCCAACCAGTTGGCCAAGTCAGGCCTCACTCTCTGGCCTGCTTCGCTGCAAAGCCACAACCCATAAAGTTTGGGACAGTGACATCAATGCGAAGCACCAACGAAACGCTAAAAGCAATCCTTCTCTCTTCTCCGCGCTCTCCTATCGAATGGCATCCGGAAATCTTCTTCTGTATCCGACTTTCTACCCCCGTCTCCCCCGCCGTCTGCTGCTTGGCAAAATGGATGATTGACCGACAGATCTCTTTTTTTCTCCTTCATTCCCGCCCCCAAAACAACATCTCGCTTCGAAAAATCCCGCTCGCCCCCGTCTCGCCTTCCGTGCCGCCCCCTAATGCGACCAGCCGTTACGTCCGGCACATGGAACGGGGAGGATGGAGGCTGAGCCAAGAAGCCCTGCCGCATGTCTCAACTTGACCTTTTGTACGCCTTAGAAGGTAAAAATTAATTTGCAAATATCAAACCGCATCGACCTTGATGACGTGAGATTTTCGCATTGAATCTTTGGTATACGAATGTGGTGTTCGGTCTGACCAGCCCGTTGTACGGAGAGTCTCTGCTTGTCTCGAAAACTCTTGTCAGATGCGGCCGCCATTCACTTGAATTAATATCAAAATTAATGATGGTAATGACGATGATGAAATTGAATGGAAGGGGCTCGTAAAAGCCATCTCTCCACTCAGAGTTCAAGTACATTTTTACCATGGGATATCTCGACGTAGGGAATCTTGCCCCTGGAGCGACGAGGCTCTGAAGCAAGACATCATCATGTAAACGCATTCGAGGAGTCTAAGGATACTATTGAGAACCTATTGATGAATCTAGAGGGGATCAAATGCCTAATATCGATGTTTCATAGAATACTCCTACACTCTCATCATGCCTCCCCCACCCGCGCTATTCATCCCATCCAAGCCTCTTCCCTCCGAAGCAAACTGCCCAACCATGGTATTAGCTTTTATATACGGATATACTTCAAAAAAAAAGACTAGAATCGTCAGAATGCCTCAAGGCTGGCTGAAAAACCCAATCACAATAGAAACAAAACGCCCCCCTCCCCAACCCTCTTTTCTATGCAAAAGTCATGTGTATCTCGTCCTTCTCCTTCCCAAAGTCCTCATGATCAGGATCCGCCCATGGATCAGCAATGTAAATCGACGGCGCCGCATGTACCGCGCCACCGCTGCTTCCAACTCCGCTCACATCCCTCTTCAAGTTGTCGTCCTTTCGCGGGGGCAGCGGAGGAGGAGGCGAAGGTGACCGAGGCGGGGGCAGAGTAGAGGAAGGTTTCTTCTGGTCGAAGGTGGTATCAAAAGTCATTTGTATTTCCTCTTCGTAGGGATCGTGGGTTTGTTGAAAGTACGGTGACCTGGCTAGCTCTTGATCCTTAGGTAGCGTCGGTGTGCGCTGTCGGGATACCGGCGTGCCGGCCTCGCTCGACACACGAGCCGAGCCCACATCGAGATGCTTGGGTTCAGAGAGAGTGGCCGGGATGGCCGTTCTTGGTGGGCTGTACACCGCGGTCGTACCATCAGCGGATCCAACGTCCGTGACAGCTGGAGACGGCCGCAGGTCTAACTTCATAGGAGGTAGTGTAGACTGCAGCTCTCGAATCTCAAACTTCTCTTTGGCTAGCTCCGCTCGAATGGCGTCGACATCAAAGAGCACACCCGTATTGGCATCACCAGCGCCCTTCTTATTTCCATCCTTGCCGAGTGTATCCTGATACACCTCCCACTCGGCTCTCTCGAGCGCCTTCTTCCTTCGGAAAAGGCTAAAGGCTCCACCACTTTTGCCTTCTTTGCCCTCCCTCTCAAGCTCCTTGCGAGCCTCCTCGATTTCGTTAATCAATTCCCTCTGGCGCTCTTCGTGATTTTCCGGATCCGGATCTTCGATTTCGGTAAACTCGTCGCTCTCCACCATCCAGCCGCATTCTCGGAGAAGCCTGGGCATCTTCGTTCGGTAGTCCATGTGGCCCACCACGATCTCCGTGACGTCGACGTTCTCGATCCAGGGGCAGTCCTCGATCGGGGCGAGGCCGGCGACTCGGCGAATGCCACCGTTTGTCAATCTGAACAGATAACCCAGGATCCAATCGTTGCGGTTGTATGCATTGACGAATCTCCCGGGCACCACGGTCCTGGCGCGGAGGTATTCTTCCTTCTTTACGACAATGGGCGAGCCGAACAGGTAGACGTTTTGTACTAGGCCGTACGCCCCCCTGCGTGCAAGTTCCTGGAGGCAGGAGAAGATGACACGAGAGCCCAGAGAGTAGCCAACTAGGGTCACCGGCCGAGTACCCAAATTTCGGTCGATAAGGGAGTCTGCCAAAATTAATCCGGCGGCGGTGGCACGGTCAAGAGAGACGGCCCATGGGTTGTCGATGAGATACGATAGCTTCGTCAGCACAATGGGGAGTTGCAGAGCTGCCATGAGAGACATCAGAATTGTGCTTCCGAGAACCTGCTGTAAACCTTGTGTGAGGGCCTGAAATTCGGATTGTTAGTTCAGCTGCAAGACGTAAAACCGTAAATTGGCCGGCATTGCGGAAGGAAGAGCGTGCGACTTACCTCAGTAGCCAGGATATTGATGGTGTCACCCATACTCCTCAGCATCTCCGGCTCCCAGAGCACCGAGTAGATATCGCCCATGACCGAATCAACCGTACTGTAAGGCAAGCGGACGTCATCCACTTTGCCCGTCATCCACCCGGAAATTGTGATGATGAGGTTGACACGCTTGTTGTTGTGTAAAGGCCGGTACTCAAAAGTCTTCACCGCGCCCGTTCGTCTGTTCGCCGCCCTGGCACCGATAATGGACCCGGACGCCGCGGCCGACGAAGTGATGACGGCGGCTCCTCCCGCACCGGCTAGGAAACCGCTAGTACCCGTCACACCGATGGTAGTAAATCCGGCAGCAAGGCCTGCTCCAATCATGGGTGCTAAAAGACCGGCCGAGAGACCGATGACCAGGCCACCACCCACGGTCGCGAGACCCATCATGACATAGCGCCGCTTCAGGGCCTTCTTTCGGCGCTCCTCCATGTGCTCGTCCTCGTTCCAGTTCTCCTTCTCCGCTTGCTGTTGGATCTCGAGGGCGTCGGTCACGCGTTTCTCGAACCGGCAGATATCTAGCCAGGGAATATCCATAGCCTTACCGACTCGTTCCAAAAGGGTTCGCGAGCGGGAGTCGTACGTCGAGTCGGCAATGAGGACGAGGAAGAGATCGCATAGGACTGTCCATCGGAGGTCGATGTCGAGCTTTGACGAGTTGGGGAGCTGAGATGGTGTTCTGACCTCGGGGAGATCCTCGCCCTCATGGCTCTCGTATGGAGGTGGGGGCTCAGCCGCAGTTTCTTGATCCGGGGATATGGGAGATTGCAGAGAACTCCTAGATCCCGCGGAGTTGGGACTCGTCGACTTCTCAGCCATAGGATTGTTGACTCTCGAATTGGCCATGAGGATCGGGGTCAGATCGGCAGGCATGACACCGTGCTCGGCTAGCTGTTCAATCATGACCTGCTCGGCTGGGCTGATATCCATGTGGGCATAGATCCGAATCATCATCTTTTGCGCCCACATCTTGGTGGATTCGGCGGAGAAGGCGACCAGCTTCTTTGACTTCCTCGTCTGCTCCAGTGATTCGGTGTCCTTGGCCATCTGGTATAATTCGAGTCGCACTACTCCGACGTATGCTATCCTCTGGCCCTCGGTCAAGAGGTCCTTGGTAGCCTGCATCTGGGACACAGCATCGCGCTGCTCATCATCTTCATCCATCATACTCGTCGATTTCACATCCTTGAAGAGGTACTGGGTATTATCGTCTAAGCTCGTCGCCGATTCAACATCGTCATCCATAATCACACGGGTATATCCCTTCCCGGCGCCTCCGAGACCGGAATATCCGTATTTCTCGTCATTATCTTCTTCTTCATTATGCTCCCTCGCAATAAGCCGATCATCGTCATCGTACATGTCGTATCTCGCATAAGAGGGCATCTCCTGCCATCCGATGTCACTTTCCGCTTTTTCTTCTTGCTTGATAATCACGTGTTGATGGGAGAACTCGGAAACGCCGTTAAAGTTGCTCGAGGCTGTCGACGTGATGGTGCCCGATCTCGGCTTTTGCGCCGGGTCGTCAGTCGTAGGTTGGGCAGTGGCAGTAGACTTGCTCTGCACCTCGGTCTGAGGCAGAGCGGGCACGGGTGTAAGAGGCCCATCACCGTCGGCAGGCAGGGTCGCAACAGCATCCTTGAACTCATCTTCGCTATCGTCATCGACATCGTCACCTTTACGTCCCTTGCTGCCGTTGGCTTTGGTCTTAAATTCCTTTTCGTCTTCTACCTTCTCGCTCTCGGTCCTATTTTCCTCCGGCTTCTTCTCCTTTTTGGACGTGACTTCGGGCGCGGGAGTGGCGGGTTTCGGATCTCGACTCGAAGAGCGTCTCGGCAACCATGACGTAAAGCTATTCGAGTGACTACGAGGTTTGTTGTCGACGGACCGGCCACTCTCGGAGGCCGCGGAGCTCGGAGCTCTGTATTGCCTCACGGGCAGCCCGAAGTCGTCGAGTTCGACGGCCATCGGCGCGCTAGTTGGCGGCGGCTGTGATTGGGCCGCAGTCTGTTCGGGTCGTGGGTGGCTCTGCTCGGCTGGAGCGGATGTGGTGCCATTTGTCGAGGCGGTAGACTCTTCTTGCTTGGGACTACTCTGCTTCGAAATATCGTGAGAGAGTATCGCTGTTTCTATTGGTTTCGAAGAAGTAAAAGGTGAAGAAGACAGTGGTATCGACGTCGGTTGGTGGGATGACGACGGATCGCTGGTGCTGGCAGGGCCAGCTGTAGGTTCAGTCCCGGCACCAGCCATGTTTCCTCACATCTGATAGAAGTAGAACAAAACGGCCGGTGCGGAGCGAGTGCACGAGGGGGCGATTCGATCTACCGGGCTGTTTCCGGTATGCCGCTTGTTCCTGTCGAACAAAATTATCCCGTCCGTCTCATAGGCAGGTGTTCTCGAGACTGGGTGCGTGGGAGCCGGATGAAGAGAGGATCGGAGTGCTTCGTATGATCTCTGGGGTAGCTCGAGTCAGGGGCTCCGAGGGGATATTTCGTTTTAGGTCTAGTTTTGCCGGGGAGCGACCGTGACAACGGTTCGGTGATAAGACGAGGGGCTATTGAAGGATTGAAGGGGCTGCGAGGTTGAGGAGACAACAAAGATCAAATGAAACATCAGTCCAATTGGATATTAGAGGGGTTAGCCTATCGATACTATTGCCAGATGTTGAAACATCTTGGGTTCCCAGAGCAGAGGATCGAAATATAAATCGACGATGAAGGATTTGATCAATTTGATCAATGATAAAGATTCCCTAAGGGCCCTGAAAGCGGCCTGGAGCCTGCACCTGCACGGGCTCAGCGGCCTGGCCAGCCCAGGCAGGCCCAACGATGAAGTACTTCGAACTACGAAGTACAAAGGTACAAAGTAGATTACACCAATTTTGATTCTCAGGCCAGAGCCGCTCTGCAAACGCAGCACGTCCTCGTTTACAAAGAAGTTGTCATTTGATGTTCTTCAACCCGCGGCTCCGAGCAAGGAACCTTCCGCAGGTTAAGTGCTTTTGCTCCCGGAATTTTCTATCAAGATAGTTTATCGTTCAACGCTGATATTTCAATCTTTCTGAAGAATCTTTCTTGGACTTGCAACTATATTACCGAGGTACTCGCTCATAGCCCAATTGATGTCTGACTGCCAGTCATATTTTGTACAAAGTACATGTACTTTATAATATTAGTCGTCGCGAGACGACCAGCCTAGCCTGGCAGTGGTGTACACCAGTAGCAAGAAGCCCCAAGCAAGCCATCCAAGCCACCTGAAGATCCCTTCTCTAGGGCATCTGGTCAGGCTCCACCAGCGAGTCCAAGGATTCATTCATAGTAGACTGAAGAACAAGAACTTGTACCTCGACTAAGACACACTCCCCAACAGTGGCATGTGGTCTCATGATGTTGTTTTATTGATCCACTGATGGTCGTGAATATCCCTCGGGCCACGCAAGCAACACGACGGGCTAGGGTTTCTAATTTCTTTTTTTTTTTTGCCTTTCCCTTTCTTCCCCCCCCTATAAGTCTAATCAAGACAGCCGGAGTTGGATTGGCTCAAACGCCCAAGTGGTTTGTTATTGACTGCAGGCAGAGCAATGCACAGCAGAACATCAACCCAAGTAGAGACAGGCGCAAGAGGATAGGGTATACCGTAGATTGATGGACCATACGCCTGATGACCAAATAGCTAGTCCGAAGAAAAATAACTACTCAGGCGAAGAAAAAAAAAATCAACTCTTCATCCACAGCCCCAAAGCGGATCAATCGTAAATTTGAGTTGAAACTGGGCTCGCCCCCGCGGCTTGACCGAGTAGATAGTCTGCAAACGACGCGTTTGTTGTTCTTAGGAGAGTAAGAAGACCTCGCCTGGCCCAGCCGCCTCCACCCTATTTATCAGCTTCTTCACATTCGTCCACTCCTCCGCCTTTAGATCCTCCTTCCCACCAAGCCCCGAAGCAACCTCAAACACCGTGACCGACCCATCAATCCCTCCCGTGGCAATCCGCTTGCCTTCAGTCTGCTCCCACGCAAGTTTGTTGAGGCTCTTGGAGAGCATCGTCCTGGCACCTTTACGGGCGCTCGGCGATATCCTCGAAACGGGCTCTTCCGTCTCGACCGTAATGTCCCAAAACTCCAACGAGCCGGCGCCGTCGACGAGCGCGAATACGCCGGGCTTGATGGGGGACCACTTGGCGTCGTACACGACGTCTTCTCGGACGAAGTCTAGGAGAGGTGTCATATTGCCCTCTGTGGTACCCGCTGTCGACGTGGCGGCTGGAGCTCGTACCTTCCATAACTTCACACTCCAGTCTAGCGACGACGATAGCACAAAGTCTCCGAGATCCACAGGGCCGCGCGCCGGATGGAAGTCGACGGACATGACTGGCGCCGTATGGCCCTTGTAGCTAAAGTCCGAGTCGATGCCGGCTTTGGCCCCGGCGCGGTTATACCTATGACAGGGGTAGATTGTGCCCTCCTCCGTGCCCACGAGGAAGAATGTGGGGTCGCCGTCGGGGAACGAGAAGCAAGTCGGGCTGACATCCTCGATCTTGGCCGGAGACGGTGCCTTAAGCTCCAACATCTCTTGCGGCTGCGCGAACACATCCATGCTCCAGGCACACACTACGCCATCTGTAGAGGACGAAATAATGTTGTTGGCGTTCTGCGTACCAACAATCTCAATCGAGTAGATCGGGTGAGTGTGCCCGTAGCCCGTCAGGGGCGTCTTTTGCACCGGCGCCGATTTGGCGCGCGTATCCCAGAGCAGCACCTGCCCGCTGTACGTTCCTCCGATAATGAGATTCTGATGGAAGGGCGAGAATCGCGCCGTCAACACGTCCGACTGGGCGTGGAATACAAATTCGGCCCTGTCGTGCATGTGCTGATTCCATACTTGGACTATTCCGTCCGGCTCGTGGGGCGCGGTTGGGTTGTTGGTGTAGGAGGCCAGAAGAAGCTCGGGAAACTTGGGCGAAAACTCAACACCGCTAATCATTCGCTTGTTGGACCACCGGTCATTGAAGTACTGGATGACTTCCTTAACTCTCCGCTTCCCTTTTCCTCCTGTATTTCCCGTCTCGTCGTCTTCCTCCTCGATGTCCAGTCCTGTTTGCGCATAGTCGATTAGGATATCATATTCTTGGTCGAGAGCTCGCTCGATGACCTTGGATGACTTGTCCATGAACTCGATGAGCTCGTCTGATGACATGACCGCATTCAATTCTTCTGACGTAAGCTGCCTCAGTGGGAAGTTATTCGTTGCTATCGCGTTTGTAGATTGTAAAACGCCTTCCGACATCATATCTTTGGTAGCCTGGAGCTCCTCCTCGATCTCTCGCCTGATGCTCTGCCGGATCTCTTCTTCCCGATCGCGCTCCCTCCGGCTTAAGCGCTTGCTTGGTGTCGCCGTTACCCCGACATCTTCGGTATCTGAAAGGGAGTAGGCTCTCGGTCGGTTAGGCGGCACCCATTCCTCCATTGTCTGGACCCCCTTGTTATACGAGAAGATCTCCTTGACGGGGGAGGGCGGACACTCGTATATCGTAGTAAGGGGAGCGGTTGTGAGCGCCGGCGGAGGGCCTTGGGCTGCTGACACCGCTGCCGTCGAGGGAGCTGCATATTCAGAAGTCTCGGTGCTGACCTCCCCGGCGCTGAGTACACTGTTTGGCCTACTGCCCCGTCTAGCCGGCGACGCAGCACCGGCAGTAGATGTGGAAACTGGCCTGTCGCCGACTAGGCTATTAATCAAGTCCTCGATAGAGCGGCGGTCATCGCGTCCTGGGGTAGGTGATACGATCTAGAAACACACGAGATCAAAAATGTCAGTATAGAAGCTCTCCTGGTTGCAAACCCAAACGAGATAGCGGAGCTGCCATACATCAAGCGAAGCACCAATACTTTGTCTGCTGCCTGCCTGGGCAGCTCTCAACACTCTTTGCTGCTTTAACTCCGCAAGCCTCGCCTTCTTTGCGAGAATCTCATCTCGACGGCTCTGCATTTTCTCGAATCGAATCTAGCATGTCGGACTGGTGACGTCCGCCAACGAAGGATGGGGATGGATCCTGAGTCCTCAGGATTCGCAAGCGTCAGGAAAAAGAGGAATGGGTTATGTCGTCGGTATTACTAGCCAAGGATGTAACAGAGTCGTATCAAAGGCGTCTAGGCTAGGTGGAAATGATGCTGATAAGGGAATCGGTCGTTGGACAGACTGAGTCGCTGTCCTCTTTGTTCTGGATATTTTTGTTGCGCGTCCGCGACTTGGTCGCACTCTCCCTATTACTTTGGCCTGTACCTCAGTCGTGAGTTAGTTGTACTTGGTACCTTTGCAAGCCTATTGATGTGTTAAGAAGCAGATGGTCCGTGCTCGGCAAACGAATTCTCAGAATACAAGGTATGACCATATAAATCAGACGACCAGGGTACTCCAGATTCTCTCATGAATCGGTCCAGGATAGCGAGGCACATCTCTCAATGGTTATGAAGATCCTATATAGAGTCTCTGGTTGTGGTCTGGTGGATATACAAACTAGCATTCAAACCGACAACCGATTCACTATAACTCCAGATGATAACGCTGGAAGGAGAAACTAGCACCCGCGCAAAGTAACTGGGCTGCTATGTCACTTCTTCTTCCTGGCCTTGAGGGCTGGACCAAGATCGAGGGAGAATTGTCGACCAGTATTGGGAACCGAGGGCATTGATGTGCATGATGGGTTGGTTCGCGTACAGTCGAGACTAGGTTAATTGTCATCTATTCTTCAGTGTGTATTGTACACATATACAGCAAAAATAAAACAAGAGACGCAAGGAAACCTCTATGTAGTTTTTAGAAGCCGGCCTCCGGTCATACACAAGACCGCCGCGCAAGAACATTCCCGTTCACAGGACACGCTCCAGAAAACCCAAGCCACACTTTATTTTGTCTCGCTCATGAGTGGCCTAACCGACGTCCCCCCTCAAGACTTTTCTCTCCAAACCCCCACGCATTACACCATTCGGGACTCGTTTATGGGTTCTCCTTCATCAAGGTCTGGAAGTAGGCTTCGAGATCAAACTTAGGGTCCATGGGATCGCGGATGGCTAAGTTGAGAGTTAGTCTAGGCCCAATTGAAAGGGTATTATAAGGGACATGATCGGAAGATCGGATGATAGCTGGCGCCTTGGCGCATCAGCATGACAGGACATACTCTCATCGGCGGCGGAGGCAACGGGAGGGTTCTTAATCCGAGCGTACTCGGACTTGGCCTGGTTTATTAAAGCCTCCTTGCGCTGGTACTCGCGCTTGTCGGCCTCAGCCTTCTGGGTAGCCGTGATCTTCCTCTGGTGGGTGAAGCCGTAGAAGACACCGAGGGCAAGAGCAGAGTACCGAAGTACCTAGAGAGGTCCGATGTTAGTTTGCGACCACGATCAACCCCAAGGACATCCTAATCGAAGATCCGCCTTTCGTCGCTATCGCCCGATGTCGATAGGCAAGGGAGCCGGGACAGGCGTGGAGGCGAAAGCGGACCGGGGACATGGAGCCACATACATTAACACCAGCGGAGGTAGACATTGCAATTGTTCTAGGCCGGGTTGCGCACCGGGGACTTGTCGAGGAAGGCAGGGACTTTAAGGACGAAAGTCAAGGCTGGACAGCGATACCAATTGGTCCGGTCGGACGTCGTGACGGCGATTGAAAGGATCGGATGCGTTTATCTGCGTGTGAAGGGTCAGAAAAACAGCTCGGGAAATAACGCCATGAAATTTCCTGCAAACCAGCTGAGCGGCACAACGTCGGTTAATTCTAATCAAAGTCTCCAAGTACGTACCATCCATTCTCTTTCATTCTACCCACACGCCCCCCTTTGTTGTTCCAGCTACACCACGACGCATAAGCTCCAAGCTGTCCTTCTCACGTTTTCGAGCAAGCCAGTGCAGCTGAGACTCGAAGGTAAATGGTATCTTGAACAACCATCGTCAACTCCACAACCTGTCCAGAGAATTCCGACATCAATAGCCAAAATGTCGGCCAAATCTCTGGACCCGCTCTCCGGAGTCGCTAGCGAAAATAGCAGAGCCCTTTTTCGTGTCGTCATTCTCTGTCTAATCGCCGCTGCCGCCATCGCCAGTCGTCTCTTCTCCGTCATTCGTAAGTTGACCCTCACCATCGCCCTCACCATCGCCCTCACCCTCACTCTTGGCCCCTCCTTGGTTCGACCTCATTGAGCTCGACGCGTCAAGTTTCCGCGATTATTGCAGATCGTGTCTACCCAAACTTTGCCGCAAATCGTGCCCTCTCGTCTTTAGGGACTCTGGGAATCCAGTTGGCTAACCGTATCCTTCTCTCTAGGCTTCGAGAGTATTATCCATGAATGTGAGTTTGCGCCTTCAACTTTGAGCCAATTCGCCCTCTTCTAGACCTCTGGCTAACCTTGGCCTCTATAGTCGACCCGTGGTTCAACTTTCGAGCAACTAAGTACCTTGTCGCCAATGGATACTACCAATTCTGGGATTGGTTCGATGATCGAACCTGGCACCCTCTCGGTCGGGTTACCGGAGGCACCCTTTTCCCAGGATTGATGGTTACCAGTAGCGTCATCTACCATACTCTCCGCGCCCTCACGGTCCCCGTTGATATTCGAAACATCTGTGTTCTCCTGGCCCCCGCCTTTTCCGGCATGACAGCCGTAGCCGCGTATCTCCTCACCAATGAGATGACCACGTCACCCTCGGCGGGTCTCCTGGCCGCGTTGTTCATGGGTATCGCTCCAGGTTACATCTCCCGTTCCGTCGCCGGAAGCTACGATAACGAGGCCATTGCCATCTTCCTCCTTGTCTTCACCTTCTACCTCTGGATCAAGGCCTTGAAGCTGGGCTCCATGTTCTGGGGTGCTCTTTGTGCCCTCTTCTACGGCTACATGGTTGCCTCGTGGGGTGGATATGTCTTCATCACTTGTATGATACCTTTCCATGCCTTTGTCCTGACGGCCATGGGCCGCTATAGCTCCAGGCTATATGTGAGCTACACGACCTGGTACGCCCTCGGGACTCTGGCCAGCATGCAAATTCCGTTCGTCAACTTCAATCCCATTAGGACTAGCGAGCACATGCCTGCGCTGGGTAAGTATAGATACACCAGAGGCTCGAGAACGAAACAATCTACCGTAGATCACGGACTGACTTTTGTACAGGTGTCTTTGGTCTGATGCAGCTCCTCGGTTTCGTCGAATTTGTGCGCCCGACCGTCTCGAGTCATCAATGGAAGACCTTCCTCTACACGCTGGTCGGCGGCATCGTTGGTCTTGGTGTCTCCGGCCTGCTAGTATTGACATCTCTCGGGTACATTGCACCTTGGAGCGGTCGGTTCTACTCGCTTTGGGATACGGCCTATGCAAAGATCCACATCCCCATCATTGCCTCTGTCTCCGAGCATCAGCCCACCGCCTGGCCTGCCTTCTTCTTCGACCTTAACTTCCTCATCTGGCTGTTCCCCGCCGGTGTGTATCTCTGCTTCCAACAACTCGAGGACGAGCACATCTTCATCGTGATCTACGCGCTGTTTTCCAGTTACTTCGCCGGTGTCATGGTTCGCCTCATGTTGACTCTGACTCCTGTTGTCTGCGTCTCCGCTGCTGTTGCGCTCTCTCAAATTCTCGATGCCTTCGTGGACATCAGTTCCCCGGCACCCGCGGACCACAATCCCCAAGAGGAAGGCGCAGAGGGCACCCCTAAGAAGGCTAAATCTGGCGGCCTACGCTCGACTAGCAAGCCGTACGTCGGGATCTTCTCGACCTTATCCAAGCTCGGTATTACGGCCGCCGCGATCGTGTACCTCATTGTCTTTGTGCTTCACTGCACTTGGGTCACCTCCAATGCCTATTCTTCGCCGTCCGTGGTGCTGGCCAGTCGTCTTCCGGACGGATCACAGCACATCATCGATGATTACCGTGAGGCCTACCAGTGGCTGCGACAGAACACCAAGGAGGATGCCAAGATTATGGCCTGGTGGGATTATGGTTACCAGATTGGAGGGATGGCTGACCGCCCCACCCTTGTTGACAACAATACCTGGAACAACACCCACATCGCCACTGTCGGCAAGGCTATGGCCTCTCGAGAGGAGGTTAGCTATCCCATCATGCGCCAGCACGAGGTAGACTACGTTCTCGTCGTCTTTGGCGGTCTCTTGGGCTACTCCGGTGACGACATCAACAAGTTCCTCTGGATGGTGCGAATCGCCGAGGGCATCTGGCCCGACGAGGTTCAGGAGCGAGCTTTCTTCACCTCTCGCGGCGAGTACAGGGTTGACGACGGAGCCACTGATACGATGAAGAACAGCTTGATGTAAGTGAAACAGCCCCTGTCTGGTGTTCATACATATTCGCTATGTGGCATTACTAACCTCATGAACAGGTACAAGTTGTCGTATTACAACTACAACACGCTCTTCCCTCCCGGCCAGGCCCACGACCGTGTCAGAGGCTCGCGTCTTCCTGAGAAGGGCCCCGTCCTCGACACGCTCGAAGAGGCCTTCACCAGCGAGAACTGGATCATCCGCATCTACAAGGTGAAGGATCTTGACAACCTCGGCCGTGACCACGCCACCGCCGCCGCGTTCGACAGGGGCCAGAAGAAGAAGAGAACGCCCAAGAAGCGAGGCCAGCGTGTTCTCCGAGTTGACTAAGCTTCCTCAAGAGCTGCAACTTGAGGTTTTCCTCTTTTCTTAAAAGCAATGGGGTCTGGCCTGCGTATAGAAGTTTAAATGAGACGTGTTTTTTCCTTTTTCTTTTTACAACTCACTTTCCCTGCCATGTCTTCTTGCGCTTTTTTTTCCTATTAGAGCTTAAGGAATAACAAGGATGTTGACAAAGGGAAAAGGGGCTGATACCACAACTGTACTATGTATCAACGAAATGCTGATTTGATAAAACTCTTCATGATCGAAAGTTTACCATTGTACCAACATGCCTTACACAATGTCTGTTCCAGGTATATCCTTCTGATGTCCCTATCCTTGGCGGGATTCTAGATGCTTTTGTCCCCTTGCTCCTTTACCACAAATGTTCACTTACACCCAGGATTCCCTTGCAAGTGCAGAAGGTTCTCCTTCTATCCAGAGTCCAGAACCCGATCTCCATCCCACTTCTCTAGAGATCATGTCTTCATGGCTACTACAAAAGTCTGATAACTGCTCTTATATGCACAGCATCTCCTTAGAGTGAACTTACACATCTTCCTACCCGTGCAGTGTCCAACTGCCCAACGCATACGAGCCCTCATCTGGGATAAACTAACAAGTCCTGCGTTCCACGATGGCATCTGTATCTGCCAAATAGCCTCAATCTTCCTTCCTCATGGATATGTCTTTTGCAGCGACTAAGCGAAGCCCTGAAGGGCTGAGCTCAACTAGATCTCATCTCTTCAGCCCAAGCCAAAACAAGCCATCCTCTTTCAACCCTCTTCCCATCTTTGATTCTCATATCTCCATCATCTCATCTACCTCCATCCATCAAAATACCAGTCTTCTCATCAAAAGAAGGCTGGTATTTTCCTCAACCCATCTTTGCATCTCGTTCTTACCCCCAACCTTATCCTATCCGCGTTTTGTTTCATCGTTTCAACATCGTTGGCGCGCTCGACTGTTCCTCCAAACGCGTCGGCCCATTATTCTAGATCTCGCGACATTTGGGGAGCAGAAGCACTTTCCCATGCCAGAGCCTATCCTTAGGCGTAAGTGAGTATTTCTCCTAGCATGCCATTATACCCCTTTTCTTGCCGCTGGCCGTCCCGCGGAGGGCCGCCGGCGTCGTCAACCTTTTCGGAGAAGATCCTCGCTGACCGTGGCGAAGACTCTACCAAGGTTTCATCTCTAAATTCACTTTTCTCTCTGTACCAACACCTATATCGGCAAGGTATGTGGGAAAGGGATGCACTTTCTTATCCAATATCAGGTAGCTAACCGGCAATATAACTAAGGAGACCGCGTTAGATTCATTTTGACAAGGAGAATTTTACAATGCCTCCTCATATCAAAGCACGACGCGCGGTGACGTACGCTCCGGCGGAACAGTGAGTCTTGTCTTCGTTTCTTACTTTACCTAGTCCTCACTTGTCATCTCCTTTCCTTGTGCACAAGAAGGATCTACTTAGTTTCGGATCTCCTCTGAGCTTTGCCCTCGTGGAGTTGGATGAATCAAGACCTACCCTTTCAAGGGCCGGGATGTCGTAACCTAGAAAGGAGGCTTTCTGTCACCTCTAGTCCTACGTCTCTAGGCTACCTCTATCCTAATATTCACCAAAAATTCCCAAATCTGACATCCCGTTACTCACTTTTATTCCGCCATTCATTGCTGACCAGTACTGTTAATCCATCAGAAGAGTATCTTCTCAGGGTAGCGAAAAGAAACGTTCCAAACTCAGACTCCCTTCGTGGAAAGGTTTTCTGCGAGTCGTGACCCTACGAGGTAAAAAGGCTCCGGCTCTTCCCAGGACAATCCACGAGGAAGAGGAGTACGATGAGTACTCCGAGGAAGAAAGGCCGGTGCGTTCTCGCAAAGAGACTCGCAACCGAGACCGAGTAGTTAGGAGAAGCATCACTCATGCCCATACTGTAAGCGTTGCCCAGCCCTGACAATGGTTTTCTCCCTAGCTAACACTTGACTCTACAAGTCGCGTCATAGAACCCCGTCTTCAAAATCGCGGGCTGCTTCCTCTTCGCAGAAGCGCTATTCCAGTCGCCATCATAGCGACTTCACAGACGAGAGCGGGGACTCAAGCCAAGCGTATTTCTCCGATGATGATTACGAGGAGTCTCCTCCGGGACGCCACACATCATCTATTCGCTCACGCAAGGAAGTTTACGGTGAGGGCCGTCGTCGAGTCCGTGGACGAGAGAGTGGTCGATGTCATAGTGGCCGGCATGAGAGTGTCGCCCGACGTGCCAGTCAGGCAAGCAGCCGCCAGGTCTTCGGCCACACGCGTAGTATCCATGTTTGCTCGGACTGCGACCTTGTTCGTTCGCCTCAATTCCATCACATCCATGGTGGAGTTCAGCGTCGCAACTTTTGCACAAAGTGTCAGGTTGCCCGGCTCGAGGCCTTCAAGGACGATCCGACCCGCGAGTTTGAGCAGTTTTGTTTCCACTGCGGTCAAGTTCGTTCAAAGGAGTTTCTCAAACTGAAGCCCGAGGCCCAGCACCGTGTCATCGCGAACCTTTGTGAGGAGTGCATTATTCATACCAAGGCACGCCAGCTCGGATCCGAGTTGGATGAGGAGGACGGCGATCTTGAGGTAAGCCTTTTTTATTTTGCCTTCTTCCATTTGCCGCCTACCCCGTGGTAGATGTGCTAACAAATCTTTTTCAGTCTATGCCTCCGTCACAAGTGTCGTTTCAATCTAACAGCCCTGGCGACCGGGATAAGATGGGTATCCTGCTTGATGACGAGTTCTTCTCGGATTCCCTCGTTGGTAATGAAGAAGTAATGCAGCGTTATAAGCAGCTTTTCGTCCATGGATCCAAATCGACTGAGGAGTTGCGGGAATCTAAAGAGACTGCTGATACTACGCCTAAGGCACACGGCATCCTGAAGGAGAGTGGCCAACACTTCAAGTCCACTACTCAATCGAAGGCCAGCAGCGCCACTCATTCTCCGTCGACCGACGACGATCTTGACTCCAGCCCCTTCCCTGGCCCCATCAAGAATCCCAAGTCTCGAGCTTCAAATCCGACCAAGGTCTCAAAACAGGCCGTGGAAGAAGATGATGAAATCCAGTCTGACATCGACCCTAAGGATAAGAAAGGTAAACAACCCGTCAGAGGCCAAGGTCTCAAGATGTCCAAGACGTTCGCCTCAGCCCCTCATGAGGAGTCGGACATAAGCTCGGACGGTGACAGCGCCTCGACACTGGGAAAAACCAGCAAGAGTTATTCCAAGGCTCGAGTGGTTGTTGGCAGGCGAGTTTCTTCGTCGAGCGTGGCCTACTCTTCCCCTAAGGGACGAACATTCAGTGGCAGTCTAGCCCGTGGCAAAAGCAAAAGCACCCGGTCAAGTCGGCAGAGTACCCATGGCGAATCTAGCTCATCCGGTCGCAATGCGGGTGCTAGCAAGCCGAGCAGAAGCTCTTCCAAGCGTGGCATAAGTGATTCCACATCTCATGGATCCAATATGCCCTCAAGCTCTGCGCCGGAGTATGGCGGCTTTACTAACGGGCCTCAATCCGATCTCCCACGCGTCAGGGATGGGTCTCTCAATACCTCTAACTCTCGGTTCGACTCAGATGTGCGCATTTCGCAAGCCGAAACCGTCTCTAACCGTAACCATCGTACCAGAAGCCGCGCACGCCCTGAGGCCTCTTTTACGGGCAATAGTACGATGCCGCCTTCTATGCACCCCAACCGTGACTTTGACATAGCGTCGTCAGCTTATAATTCCCGCCGCGGTGGCCCAGGAGGACAGTCTAGCGACTCTTGGTCTCGATTCTTTTCATTGAGCACTTTTGGGGAAGATTATCTCGAGCTCGGTGAAGACGCCATCTTTCCACCTCCACGCACTGCCATACCTTCTTCGAGTCGCCCTCACCCAAACGTCGACGAAGCCGAGCCCTTGTACGGTGATGACCTTGGTTACGGATATATGCATACGAGTGTTCAGCCGAACCTGAATCATGGATTGCGTCACGGACATAGCATGGCTCAGCCCTATGCTCCTTCCCCAGCTGCCGGCGTCAGTTACCACCAGCCTGCCCATAACGCTTTTAATATGGCAGGCGCTGCCGGCCCCAGTTCTTGGGGTGACCGCGAGCCCGAAGAGGCATATGATGGCATGTATGAGGAAGGTGACGACGATGGTCTCAACTACTGCTCTGACTTTGACCCGAACCATATCCCCAACCATTCCGCCAATTTTGGCATGAATCACGGCCAAAATGGTGCCCCCGACCTTGGCATGAATCACGGCGCCGACTTTAGTGGCATGAGCTATGACCCTAATGCCATCCATCACTTTGACCCCAGCTTTGAGCCTGACCACAATCCTAATCATGGCATGAACAATGGGTCCAACCTCAACCCCAACGGCGGCCTGGACCGCGGCCAGGGTCGAGGGCATAATTGGGGTACCAATTATGGCCTCAACCACGGCGCGGGCTCCAGCAGCGATCCCCAGTACCGCTTGGGCAATGACGGCGACCTCGGTCCTACTACGCCAGTTCGTCAGACAGACAACGGTGACCGTGGTACCTTCCTACATGCAACAGGCGCTGCTACCCCTCTCGAGGCGCAAAACTATACCGCTGCCAACCGCGCCCATAACAACGGCCAGGGACCTCGACCTCAAAACGACGGCGACAACCCTTTTACCTCTTCCTGGGCGCCCGCCTACACGAACGAGAGGGGAGAACCAGTTCCCTATCCTTGGGACACCAGCTCGTTTGACGAGTGGGCCAGTCGGCCTGGGAACAGGGCTCGGAGCGCGCCTCGTGATGGCCGCGACATCCTAGGCAACCCCCAAGTCGCGGCGCCAGTCAATCCAGAACCGGCAGAGTCAGCCTTCGGTGGCCCTTTGGGGTATCCTCCTCCTGGGCTCGGTCACGGCCATGATCAGCCTCCCTCCTTCGCCTAGGGGGGGAGGAGATCTCGCCCCAGGGGAAGATGGTGGCACTCGGCGCCCGTGGGCGTCGAGGGAGGCTCGTTTTACCGGACGAGCGAAGGATGGTATCCGATTCCGATTGTCGAGGAACCGGAGGACGGGGAGGGGGAGGACGGGGGAAATCTGGACGGGTCCCCAGCTGTGGGATCTGACGGAAGATCTGCAGGTAGGTGCATAAAGCTTGCCCCCTTTCTATTCTCAGCTTTCGGGATCACAGGATGTCAGGCTAACGTGTTTAAAAACAGATTCGGCGAACGGATGGTACGAGGGAGCCCATGATCAGCGCGATGGGGGAGGTGACGGACCTTCTGGTCTTGAAATCGAGGAAATGGAGTGAATCTTCTCTTCCACTGCCTCTTTCCTTTCCTCTTTTGTTGTGTTTCTTTCTTGTTTTGTTGTTTTCAAGGTATATGCCATATCATCTGTATATGCACCAGTCAGTTCCCTTTGCGAGGCCAGGTGTGCGGTGTTTTGTTTCTGCATTTTTATTTCATGGAAGATGAAGGACTCGGCCACAACCCGGACGCTCGAGCATACCCCCGCAAGAGGAGATGAAGTTCCCGTTCGTTCTCTTCATTCTCAAGTTTTATTTTAGCGAAGCTGAGGAACAAATGTTTGACCTTCGTTTTTCTTTTCCTTCTCTTGTTCGGTTGTTTCCAGCTAGCTATACGTTCATGAAAACCCAAACACAAAAGCACAAAAAAAGATAAAAAATTTGCTTCAACTCCTGTTGTCTCTTTTCTGCAAGCGGTAACTGCGTGGGCTCACTTGCTTCTGATGGATATGTGTCGATCTAATGAGTTATCCTATCAAGGCAGTTGCATCAACGCAATCCCCAATCCCCAATGGGCGTACAGGTCCTTTTGCCAGATACTTTACCGGCAATGATACTTACCTGCATCAGGCTCATTCTTCTGAAGTACGGAGGTACAGAGCCCTGTGTTACAAGAATCGAACGGCTTCTCATCATGGCTTGGGCATCTGCATCATTATTTTACCCCGCTTATGTCTTTCCGAGGCTCTCTCTCTGACAAGTATCATTCCAGCGGACCGCGCCTAATAGCAGATAGCACGGGGAAGATGAACTGAGATGTCTCCAAATCACCCTCGCAGTCCCAAGTCTACCTCGGGACCCTCCTTTCCATCGCTTCCTAAAGATTGGCAATGCCGTGCACTGCACAGGGATGGCTCCGATTGCCAGCGGCAGTTGCTCCAAGCCAGCCATACCCTTTGTCCTATCCACCATCGGGAATATAAGAAACTAAACAAGTCTTACAAGCTGAAGGAAAAGTCTTACAACAGTATCATCACGAAGGAGGGCGAGCCTGATGCTAAGAAGAAGATCGAGGCCAAGCTGGTAGCTGGGAAGGAAACGCTAGAGCTCAGGGACCAGGTTAACCGTCGGTTTTTCAACTTTTCCGCGCAGAACCGTGGCCACATCAAATGGATATTGAAGCTACAATCCGAAGTCTATCATCTGGAACAGAAACTGGCAGTCTTGGGAACTGAGGGGTCCTCAAGCTCATCGCAACCGAAACTGGTAGCCAGGGCATCTAAAGAACCTGCGAGCTCATCACAAGCAGCACAAGAGATCCCGTATACCGAGACCAAAGCCTACCGGTCCATTCCTAACCCAGCAATTCCACTGCCTGCGCCACACCGTCGCTCACCCGATAACGACCCTATTTTGGTCCTGAAACAAGCCATAAATGAAGTCTTGACAGCAAGGATCGAGAAACTTTACTCGATTGCCCCTTCTCTCAACGACGCGTCTCCCATTGTCCTCGATGAGGTGACCCATGAGCTAAGGGAACCGGATGAACGTGACTTCGTCATCCGCTTCCTCTTCCGCGAGCTCCTCGTATACAAAGCCGATGCCGATATACTTTCCAAGGCCAGTCGCACAGAAAGTATTGATACTTTCCTTCGGGAGTCCTCAGGGGAGCATGTCGAATACTACCTCAACTTCTTCGAAGCTTTTCAAGAGGGACGGCGGGATACATTCCACCTCCTCCGTGATGCCGTATGTGACTATCTCCTAGATCCACGGCTATCAACGACTACCATCCTTGGTGCCAAAATTGCCACAGAAGATAGCCCTCGAAGGATGACCACCAAGGGCTGGGATATCCTGTGGGCAAACTTCCACGACATCGTAAAATGGTGGAATCTTGAGTCTTTGCTATCCGATTTGATGATCTGGTTACGGTTAAGACCCTGGCTGCATGTCACACATATGGATCAGGGGATCCCGGCGATGGCCATGTCCCAAGTTGGTACATACCCGACGAAGATGTCTCTCAGGAATGTAAGCTGGCCGTGATCCAGGGCTTCATTGCGGTTACGAAAGGCTTTAACGAACCCGGCGAGGACTCGCCCGGGCCGGGACAGAGCATTACCGAGGAGAGAGAGGTACGATGCTATCTCGTGGGAAGAATGAGCAAGAAGGATCCTTTCGCTCTACCGTTGGCACAGGAGTTGAGTGAAAGGATTGCATCGTTGGAGGTCCTAGTATATGACCATGAGAATGAGGGAGATGGAGCCACTGGACTCATACAATCTTCCACTGCAGAGCCGAACCCGTGGATCTCCCGGTCTCGATCTGCGGCAACAGAAGAAGAACTAGGTTTACAGTCGTGGACAATAGAACACTCCCTGGAGGGAATACTCAGCGACCTCAAGCTCATTTACCACCTAAGGGACAAGAATATGACTAGGGACTACTACGAGTTTATCATTATTGACAGATGCCCGGGAAAGAAATTTAATCTCCTCAATATTGAGGAGATATCGGGAAAGAAATTTAATCTCCTCAATATTGTGGCAGATGTGTTACTTCAACTGAGGGGAGACCCGCCATTCTACCAAGTTTTCCGTCAAGCTATCCAACAACACGCTCCCGCCGAGGAACAAGCCCAATATTTGGAAGCAGTTGAGCAGATGAGGCTCAACCAACGGGCTATACTAATCAATCCCCACCAACACCTAGGTAGCCGTGTCCGATGCTGGGATCCTCCCGACTCAGTCTACCATACCCTTCGAGCTACCCTGCAGGATTCATCACGGCTTGTACCACTCTCCGAGTCACGGATTATCTGAAGAGTCTCAAAAGACCTAGAGTCACGCGGTGTTATGACGCGAATCGAAGACTACGAGAAACCGCATACTTCTCCTATTGTTATTCAGGGGATCGATGGGCAGAATGATTTATACTTCTGTTACGGCTTTGAGCCTCTAAATGAGCAAGCCCTTCGTGGCAGTATTCTTGACTTCGACCCTTCTACCAACAACCTCCCCGAGTTCGTCGAGGCCTACAAGCGTGCTCATCCTCGCGCTGTGTTTGCCAAGGGGAGGATCAATGTCCACTACTGCGCGTGGCCAATGCCGATGCTTCCCGGACAGCGGTACTCTCGCCTGAACTTCTGCACATATGAGGGCCGTCTATACAGGTGGAAGGCACTGCCATTTGATATGCCTATGTCCTCGCGTATATGGCAAATATTTCTAAATCACGAGCTCAATAGCAAGTTGCCGTTTGTGCGGATTGTGCAGACGACGCTGGTGGTATGTGCCGAAGACTATGATGGTGTGGAATCTAGTCTTGAGGCGTTGTTTGATATTGGCAGGAAGCATGGTTGGACATTTTCTATTCCGTCGTCGCCGGCGTCTTGGACGAGGGATGTTAAGAGATTGAATCTCGAGACGTTGTGGGAGGGAGTGCGCCCAGCTTTGTGAACGAGAATGAAACGTGTGACTGAGTATTCTCGAGCGAGAACACTAAGCTGGTGAGAGAGAGAGAGACTGATATGGCGGGTCGGCGAGTAGATGTGTTGAAAAGGAAAACCCAAGAGCAAGGAGGGTGGTGCATATAAATAGGAAAATGGATTTCAAAGATGAGGAAACATAAACCGTAATTTGTAGAGTCCAGGATCCCACGTTCGGAAACAGTGAGGAAGGACTCACTCCGACAATTTCCTAGATCGGATTTCTTATCGGGCTGATGATACAATTGTACAAAATAAGAAGTAACGGGCTGCGTGCTTATCTTAGATACTTCACACTCTGTACTTCCAATGTCGGTGACTCAAGCGGACTAATTTTAATGAATCCCCTCGTCTCTCGGACATTTGAGGCTAGTGAGAGTCGACGCGACGCCATTCATCTTCAGCTTTGCCATCTTTACCATAGGCTTCCCTTCACTTGTTAAAACAATTATCTCTTCGTTACGAGGATTCTACATTACAGAGTTCCTTCCAATCTTATCAGGCCCTTTACATATTTACATACGAGCCACATTCCCGTTCTAGTCATGGCGGCGGCTACTACGAAACCTTCCACGCTCGTAGTCTATCTCAGCGGGAAGCCCACCACACCGAGCGGCTACGACGGCATCCTCGCAAAACTCGCATCCGAAGGCCAAGTCCACACCGCCGAGAGCAAAGAAGCGGCCCTCGACATCCTCTCGAACCCCACACAGGCAACTACGAGAATCCTCGTCCTCGACGGCGCGCTAGCAAACGAAGAGAACCTGGACCTTGCCCGACGTCTCGTCGACTTCGCGTGGGGCGGGGCGACGGTGATCCTCGGGGGCTCGTTCAGCAGCGCGGAGCCTTCTCGGATGATGGAGCTGCTCGACAGGACGTGGGGTTTGCCGTGGGCATACGAGGGGAAGCGGCGGGAGGAGACGAGGCTGAATGGTGATGCGGTGACAGTTGCGGTTGCGGAACGGGGCGGGCTGTTGGAGAAGTATACGCAGGAGGCGGTATTTGTCCGGAACGTGGAGAGGGATGCGGGGTGGTACGAGACGGAGGATGGGGGTGCAGCGGCGACGGTGTTGATGCCGTTTGGGGAGGGGGAGGTTGGGTATGTGGGAGATGTGAATGGGGAGGAGGGCACGGTGAGGAGTGTGCTTGCGATGTTTGGAGTGGTGGCTTGACTATGAATGACTCAAGCGGTATTTTATGATGACGATGATGGCGAGGGAGCCACGGCCTATTTTTGTTTTCTTCTTCGGCGTTGTTTTAGGAGTTTAGCCAGCCGGCATCTTTACTCCGTACCACAGCGTGTATCACAGTCAGTCGGAGATCACTTACACTACGAGGGAAGAGATTGGAGCTAGTTTTGTCTAGCTCGATGAGCGCATTGAGCAAGTTAATATTTAATCATATGCATGGGTACTTTACTGAGCCCACGTTGATGCTTGGCTCTGGTGAGAGGCCAGACCAATGAGACGGGACCCATTTTCCTGACAAAGTAAGAACTGTAAGAATGTAAGATGATTGGGATGGGAGCTAAGAAGGGGGGTCAAGTTGATGAAGTCGGGCTGCTCAGGTTTGGAAGGGTCCATTGCTCTGGTGCCAATTGAGGTGGGGGATGTAAATGATGTCACCATCCACAGCTTCACAGGCGAAAGATACCAGGATTCAAGGGTTCCGTGGTGCAGAACTCGGCTGTGCCCTGTGCCAGAGCGGGGGCGGGGTAAAAATTGTGCCTGGAGAAGGGCGAGAAAGAGAGACAAAAGAGTCACTTGAGAGCTCCGAAATAGGAGCCCGCCATCAAATCGTTCAACAGGGAATCAATCGAGGCGTTCAACCGGCATGTGTCGCCTGCTGCTTGCCATTGGTACTTGTCGAGTGGATTTCATGGTTCCTAGAGTTAAATCACCCCAGAAATCAGCCTAGGAAGTAAAAAAAAGTCAACAGAGGCTCTTTTCAGATGTCAATTGGCAGCGTTTCTTGGAGATTGATGGCCCCTGAGGGACATCGATCCATCTCAACTTTGGTTCCTGGACACGTACCGTTAAGTTGTTGAGCACCATAGAAAGGTACAAGTGCTGGGCTGACAAAGCACCTACTCCCGAAGTATACGTACAATTGTATTGTGGTGATTGTCTTGGTGGTCCAATGGTTCAAGTCCGTTAGTTGGAGTCACCGCCAGACGCTAAACCTCTGATCTTCGATCTTTTTTCCGTAGATACTACTACTCAACCTTCTTAGGCCATTGATCATACAATACAAGCATAACACCTCGGAGAAGACACGGCCGGCCTCGAGAACCCCCAACTGCATCCACTAGAGTCGTATCACACCTCTGAACGAGTCCCATCCTACCGCTGCACACCCCTCCTCATCACACAATAACCCGGTCCCCCGTTCACGATATCCCTCCTGCAGCAGCCCTCCCACCCCGGCCGCCGCTCCTCATTTGCTCCCGACCCAATCTTCGTGCCTAACCCGCCCGTGTGCTCCCATTTAAGACATTGCATTATCCCTCTTCGTGAAAGCCATGGATTTGGTCAACCAGTTTGTCCTCCCCCACTCTCCAACTCTCTGTACTTGTCGTTGTATTAGGTGACCATGTCGCCAATGGAGCATCTTGCGCTGACCCGCGCCAGCCTCGAGGGCCGTCTTCTCTTTGCGGTCCCGAAGAGTAAGCTATCCTCCCCTCCTTGTCTCTCTTATACATATTTGTAGCTAACAGAAATCCCAACCGTGTCCAGAGGGTCGTCTCAACCAGGCCACGCTGAACCTCCTCGAGGGCGCTGATATCCAATTCAAGCGCGAAAACCGCCTCGACATCGCCCTCGTCAAGAACCTCCCCATAGCTCTCATCTTCCTCCCCGCCGCCGACATCCCCACCTTCGTCGGAGAAGGCCAGGTCGACCTCGGAATCACCGGCTGGGACCAGGTCCAGGAGCACGATGCCCGCGTGAGGGCCTACAACCGCGACAGGAGGCTCTCCGTCGACGGTGCTGCATCCTACGCCGGCGATGACGGCGACATCAAGAAGTCCCGTAGCGAAATGGTCATGGAGCTTGGCTTTGGCGGCTGCAAGCTCCAGGTTCAGGTCCCCAAGAATGGACCATACAGGACCTCGCAGGATCTCGTGGGAAAAACTATCGGTACGAGTTTCGTCGACTTGGCCACCGAGCACTTTGCTAGGCTGGAGCTTGGCTTGGAGTCTGAGACCAAGAGCGACGATTTCCTGGTTCCTAAGAAGCTTCGAACCAAGATTATTGAGCTGAGCGGGAGCGTTGAGGCGGCCTGCGCCCTCGGTGTCGCTGACGGCATTGTCGATCTTGTTGGTATGTGCGACACATTTACTCGACAACCCCTCCACCCCTGCCCCCATTCCAACCATTTCTACCAGCTACAAGCGAACAGATGACTAAAAATTACATCTTACAGAGTCCGGAGAGACCATGCGAGCCGCAGGCCTCGAAGCCATTGACACCGTCGTCGAATCCCAATCCGTTCTCATCAAGTCCCGCAAGCCTTCCAACCCCGAACTCGTAGACCTGATCGCCTCGCGCATCCGCGGCGTCATCACCGCCCAAAAGTATGTCATGTGCCAGTACAACGTCGAGAGGACGAAACTCCCCGCCGTCGTCAAGATCACCCCCGGGAAGCGCGCCCCCACCGTCACCAGCCTCGACGAGGACGGCTGGGTCGCCGTCAGCGTCATGGTGGAGTCCAAGAAGATTGCTGTTGTCATGGATGACTTGACAAAGGTTGGGGCTCAGGATATTTTGGTTATTGATATCAAGAACTCGAGGTAGATGTGTTGGGAGGAGTGAGCATCTTGCCGGCTTGTGTTTCGAGAGTTCCAGGATAGCGATAATGGTAACGAAGCGAAGAGAAAGGCTGGTTAAAAAAAGAAAAAGTAAAGGTTGAGGTTGGTTCAACTAGCGAGTGTTTTCTTTGGACACGGGGTTTGGGAATAGAATCTTTTGTTTTTCTTTCTGTCTTCTTTCTTGTTATGACAGGTCGTGGATTCTACGTCCTTCCTCTGCTGATTTTGCGTTCCCGCCTATCTTCACGTACGAACCTGGCCTTGAGTTCTACCCTAGACCCAACCCGGTATGGGTGGCATTACGATCGATTTCATCCGCAACCGTTTACGACCGGGGAGCCCATTCGACTTACACCGGACTTTTACAAGGGCTCGAAGCCATGGCTTGTTCTCCAAAGTCAGGAGACAACCCTCCGATTTAGCTTTTCTTTGCACGGACTAATATGAAGGACACATCGCCCTTTATTATTCAAAAAAACTTCCTCGGGTATATATAAGAGAAATATTTACGTCTTCCTTAGGTCATCTCTCTAGCCACACTCATAAGAACCCGTTTTACCTCCGCTCTGCATATAGGCTCTCAAACAGACACACCTCAAACAGCCTCCTCCCTATTCTCCACCTCAACCGCCTTCTCCTTCTCCGTCGCCTTCTTCTTCTCAATAACAGCCTGGATCTCCGCATCAAGCCTCGACTCACCCTTCCTAGTCTGCCAAGCCCAAGGCCCGCCCTCCGCAAACATCTCCTCGACCTCCTCAATCGTCTTCCCGCACGTTTCCGGATAGGTAAGGAAAGCCTGCACAGCAGCACCGATGCAAAGAACGCCAAAGATGATAAAAGTCTTGTACTTGATGTTCAAGAAGGCCGGGGGCGTGAAGAGTCCCAGGGCGAAGTTGAAGAGCCAGTTGGCCGTGGCGGCCATCGCCATGCCGGTGGCGCGTGTCTCGAGGGACCACACCTCGGCGGCGTAGATCCAGGCCACGGGAGCCAGGGTCAGAGCGTACACGATGATGAGCAGGTAGCTGAAGGCAATGACGGTGTGCGCGGGCGAGCCAGTCACGCGGATGACTACGTTGGCGTTGCCGCCTACGCCTTCGGGGACGTCAACTCCGTAGGCGCCGAGCATGGCGCCGACTACGAAGTGGCAGACGGACATGCCGAGGGCGCCGTAGATGAGGAGACCGCGGCGGCCGGAGCTGTCTATGAAGAAGAACATGATGGTCGTGAAGCTGGCGGTAGGGCTAGGGGTTAGCGAGCCCGTTCTCGAGAGCGGAGCGTTCGGGGCACCTGCTTGGACTTACACGATGAATACAGCGTATTGGATACCCGATGAGATCAAGTTAATGTTTCCCGTGAGATTTGCCATCTGGAAAACGTATACTACACACACAAGTATCAACTGTCAGCTCATAAGTTCTCTCATAATTTCCCACGCCCGCGCAGACAACCCACCCCCCAACCCAATCCGCGTTTTTCTTCAAAGTCAACGAAATGCGGCTATTTTTTTAGATCAAAATGAAGCCAAAAAACGAGGAGAATACTTACCAATATAGTAAACGATGACATTTGCACCAGACAATTGCTGCCACATCTGCACGCTCACGCCGGCCATTGTACGCTTCCACATGCCCTTGAGAAAGAACTTCCTCCACCCCTTTTGCGACTCGCGTTCAACGGACAGCACGGTAGAGATCTCCTGCCACTCGGCGATGACGAGGGGGTCTTCGCGGTCTCCGCCGGCCTGGATGTCAGCTAGGGTCTGGATGGCCTCGTCCTCGCGGCCGACCTTGGCGAGCCAGCGGGGGGATCTCGGGAGGAAGGGGAGTCCGAGCATGAGGAAGACGCAAGGGATGAATTGGGTGCCCCAGGCGGTGCGGAAGGAGGCGGTGCCTTTGATGAAGGAGCAGCCATAGCCGATGAAGTACATGATGAGAATACCCCATTCGATGGCGAGCTGCTGGATGATGATGATACGGCCACGGCGTTCCTAGAGGAGAGGTATGTGGGGTAAGTATGTGGGAATTGTGGAAGAGTTGGATGGAAAGCGGGGGTGGGAGAGAGCTTACGCGCTTGGCGATCTCGGCGAGGTAGACGGGGACTTGAGAGGAGGTGATGCCGACGCAGACACCGTTGAGGATGCGGCCGGCGATGAGGGAACCGAAGCCATTAGTGGAGACTTGGACGGCCGTTCCGATTAACCACCAGAGACAAGCAAACATAATACTGTATTCGCGGAGTCTCGGGTCAGTATTGCTTCCTGGGCACACCGAAGAGAACGTGTAGGAGACTTGAAAGCCAAGGACCCTCTGGGATCAGGCCATTGGGGGAGGGATCCCGAGATATGCGCGTCCCAAGTGGGCAGGACCAAATTCCAGGCCCGGGGAACGAGCAGAACCTGCAAGGGAAGACACGCACCTATCACGACGTCCCCATTTATCAGAGATGGGACCGGCCATCAAGCTACCAACAACGGAACCGGCAGCAAGAGAAGAGCCAATGGCACCCTGGATGATGCCATGGGGGTTGTCGAAGTAGTCGACATATTGCTGGGTAATGACAATGGCCGACATGGACGAGATATCGAAGCCGAACAGCATGCCACCTACGGTGGCCACCATGGCCACAAAGTAGGTGTTTGCTAAGAGCAGTGACGAGGGCCAGGTTAGCTTCTGGGTAGCTTATTGGAATGGGATGACGGACGAAGAGAGCTCGGAAGTTACTCACTGATCTTTGGTAGCTTCGCCATGATGAATTGGAGTAGCTTCTTGAATCTAGACTTTCAAGGAGGCTATCCCAGAAGCTTAATCAAGAGTTGGATGCGATGGAGACGAAGGGACCCTGCAGACGTAGCTGTGATCCATCTATTCGGAGGGGGGAACCAGAGCTATATATTCCCCAATATCTGCAGGACCCGTGGCACGGGTTCCAAAGCAACAGTAATATGTAGGTCAATATCGACGAGCGGAGGAGGAGAGGCAGGTTGGTTACATCTCGAATGTCGGGTCGACTGTAGCAGGGAATCGCATGGGACCTTTTGGGTTCACACAGGCGAATGGACCGGGAATTGGGTGGATGGATGTTCCCAATACACGCCCCTCCAGTCACTCGATGCAGTGTTGCTCACCACGGTATTTTTATGTTCTTATCCTTAAAAGCTAGCCCTAGCACGAGCAGATGAGGGAGGTTGGAGGAACGAATCTCCACCGACGCCAAGGAGTCAGGTCAGTGCTCTAGCTAGTCTAGGGCGCGGGAGTCCGTGTCTTTCTGTGGTGACTGGTGCTACTGAGAAGATTGAAAGCCGATTCCCCCCCGCATTACACCTTGCCCCTTCTGTACTTGGGATTAGACTCCATCCCCATCTTCGCCTCCGCCTCCGCCTCCGTCCGGGGTTTGGGGAATGTCCATCGGTTGCGTCTCTCCACTCTTGGCTCTCCATTGTCTCCACATGCACCTCTTCCGTGCGGTGCAAATCGTGTCATCGGAGCTTTAGTCGTTCAATCAGAACAAAAGGAAAAGGTGAGTTACATTATACATTGATCTCTTCTTCTATAATTTGGCCGCTCCCGCTCTTTCTATTGTACTATATATTTCTATCCATATTATAACGCTTTCCTTCCCGAATTCGTTCCACGGCAAGATTGAAGAATCATCAGGAAGAACCGTCATAGGCGCGGCTGGCTGGGCACAATTCGCAACCTTAAAGTGCTACTTTACTTATTTGCACCCCCCTCATCTCCAACTACCGCAGGTAGGCATCGGAAGCTTTCTCTGTGGGTGTGTAGGTGTTTATTTTTCTGCTGACCTCCAGTGCCTGCTACGTTAGGATACAGGAGTACGACCCTGTCGCTTTGGCGTAGTCACGGAATCTACTGGTACGGCACCGGTCCGCTTGCATCAGTCGATATCAAGCGGATCAATGGCACGTTGAGGATGCATGCCTAGCCGTGCAAGGAAAGCCGTGCCAGATGCTCTCATCAATTGATGTGCAATCTTCGTATGTCGGGCAACCTTGAAGTACGGGTTGAAGTGCGGATTTGCTGGTTTCCCGTGGGATTCTACGTAGAAAGGCAACACTCGGGAACCTCGAGTAAGCGTGGAGGTCGGTCCGACTTCCTGCTTCCGTGATTGGTGCGGATGTTGTATCGAGTGCCGGGCAAGGATCAGAGGCGAGGTCTGCCCAACAGGCGAAGTGAGGGCATGGTACAGCCAGCGCAATGACACTTCCCGGTGGCAATGAGCCTCGACTGTTCTTTTCCCTCTGAGAGCAAAACACGAAACGAAAGGAAACTTGTTCGTTCTATTTCAGAGACCGGTGACGGTATACTGGAGCGATCCCTTTCCAAGTTACGAAGTCGTGTGATGTGATCTTTGGGTTGGCTCGGGAGATTTTCAAGCGAGTGTCCTTAACACTAACACCTTCCCATGCATTGAGATCAATGAATTGATCAAAGAAGTCAAACAAAACCCCACCGTGATCGCTCGATGCCAAATCATCTTTTCAGCCATGATTTCGTCTGATACAAAGTAGGATCCCGGTTCAGCGAGCAGTGTACCGCTCGTCTTCTTGAGATTCACCTCGTTAATAGCCACTTCATGGGTTTCAATGCAGTTCGGAACGTGGGTCAAGGTCGGACGGAAGCAGAAACACAGCTTTTTCGCGCGGGACAACCTGCCCGGCACTTCTGTTAATTCCCGCGGTGCGTAAAACTAGCTACCTCAGTACCTTATTGATCTTAATACACAAAAAACATTTCGTACGATATAAGCTCCCAAGAACTTCTAGCAGAGACGCGTTACTGGCCAGGTCCATGGTCGACTTATATGTCAGTGTTGATGAATGCGCTGTCAACGAGTCTGCTTCAAAGGGAACCGTCTAAACCCTAGACCTATGTTCAACTCCTGCTCCCCCCAATCTAGGTGGTCGGGGTAAGGCGCATGTTAATATATGGATTGGTATAAAGGGATAAGCTGAGAAAATACTTCTCTGCCCTTTTCTCTGCAGACACCGAAGGCTCAACTTGGCGAATACGGAACGCCTAGAAATGACACGCCAAAGGACATAATCCAGTTTAGAGCATACTCCTAGCACATACGACCATAGCTCGCAGATCATTGAGGGTCCCGTCCGCTCCCCTGTACACAAGCTGCGAAGCGCCAGACTAGTAGTTGGGTCGGTGACGACCAGCGAATCCCTGGTGTTGTATGTTTTTCTTTTTTGCCGCTTTTCTTTTTCCACATCTCTTTTTTCTTTCCTTTTCCTTTTTGCATTCTTCAGCGGATGTTGGGATGTGTTCTGTGTTCGTACGAGGAGGCGACCCGCTTCTGTATCGGGTGGCACTAAGCGATGGAGGTCGTCACGAACTAAGACAGCACGAGTTGTAATTCAGACCTGCAGCTTTGGGAGGAGCATAAAATGCAACTATACTTCATACAACTCCTGGAAGCAACATCAATCGATTCCAATGCTGTACAGAGCGCATGCCTTCGCTTGATTGTGATGATCTGTCAAATTCCTGCTGAGGCAAGGGTGTGTGAGGTGACAGCAAAAGCAAACAAACAAGGTTCCCCAGATTAGGCGTCTCTCCAGAATGATCCAACGCTCCAACTCTAAACCCGTGATGCGCGCTAATCGGAGATTTACCTGGCCAGAGGATCCCCTAGCTCTCAAGTACTTCGATGGAGAGAAGAAGTCCCGCCTCCATGCACACCGTGGGATATGCGGCTCGTCATTCTCGGACGGTTCCTGCCATCACCTTCGCCATTGCCAGTAATACCGTCGCCATGTGTTCGGCAGGTGCAAGCTTAATACGAACACTGTCCCAAACATAGAGCTCAAAAAAATACAACTCTGTGCCATGCCAAGCACCGCAGCGTTGATGTCCAGGGAGACATTTGTTTGCTTTAGTGTCACGCATCAACCGAGACTTTGCCTCCCCCCTTCTCAGATTGGACCGCTTCAGTCTCTCCGGTGGCGCTGGGCAAGTCGTGTTCTGTTCCCTGCTAACCAGTAAGCGCGCCAGCCAGATTCTATTTCCCCGTCTCATCTCGTCTTTCCACATGAAGGGGCTATTCGACTCGCTGCCCAGCTCTGTCTGCATCTCGGTCGAGCGGCAGGTTCGTTTGAGATCCTCGGGGCTTAGTTGTTTTCGGATCTTCTCGCTGCTAGAAGCTCCGCTGGAAGCGGGAGAGAATCAGGTCCAAACGACATAGGAAGGAGCTGTAAGTGGCCGGATGCCAGGACGTTAGTAAATAGCAATCGGAGGAGGAAGGCTCAATGCCTTGGTTTGAAATCTTCTCTGCTCCGCTCCGCTCCCCCCAAACTGCCTAACTTACCTCTCCCATCCTCATCACAACAAAGTTTCCGTCCTTATCGAACATGAAAATCGGCGTGGTGAGATCGCAAAACTCGCGCATACTAACGTGTTTGTTAAAAAAAAAAATGGTTAGCAACGGCGGGCTTCTGTCATACCCACGCATGAGCTACCGCAGACCGAAGCTCTACGGCATGGGACAGACTTACAACTGCCTGCACATGCCGCAGGGGCTCGAAGGCGGCGAGACATCTGTGGCTACGGCGACCGCTCTAAACTTCCTCATGCCCGCCACTACAGCAGTGCCAAAAGCCACTCTCTCAGCGCAGGTGCCGACGGGGTACGATGCGTTCTCGACGTTGGCGCCGCTGACATACTCGGATACGGTACCGCCCGAAGCCGACGGCCCCTCTGCGGATTCATTCTCCCTGGTATCGACGAGGACCGTCGCGCCGACTCGGAACTGGCTGTAGGGGCAGTACGCCTTCCCCTTTGCCGCGGAAGACAGCGAGCGAAGCTCGGTGAACTCTTTGGTGCTGATGCCGTAGGTCTGGCAGGCGTTGGCGACTACGGCAGAGTCGGAAGCGTTGAGAATGTTGATCTGTTCCATATTTACACTTTTCACGTTGTCCTGAGCTCGATAGGGAGTTTGGTCGCTTCTCTAAGTTCGCGAGAAGGAATTGGAGACGAATTGGCGAAAGGGAGTAAGGAGAGAGGTCGTGGCGAGAGATTGCGGGCGGAAAGCTTGGGGGGAGGGCTCAGACATTGATGTAAGTCCCGCTCGAAGCCGATTCTGGCCAGCTCCGTGATAGGCGATAAGGTCAGCTCAGTCCGGGGAACTCCTCAACAAGCTATCGGAAGTTTCCGACAGCGATTGAGAGAAACCTTGAATTGAGTGGTGAGTATTGTGCACTTCCTGCCTCAGGGGAGCTTGCCGCTGGCTGGAATGGAGGTGAGAGCATCTGCAGCTCACCGTCTTCTCGTCACTAGGCTTGGCAGCATTGATCACGCTTCATAGTCTTATGCTCAGTGCTGACTGACTGCACACTGCCCAGTAACCATTTACGCTAACCCAGTCTGTCCTCTCCCCCTACAACTGCGGCATATCACACTCTTGATCACTGCAATGCTGGAGACCCCACGTGCTTCTCCGCATTGATGATTGACCCTATCTGCTTTCGAACACCCTCAAGCTAGCTTGGCTGCCAAGCTGGGGATGGAGACCGGACAGTCGCTTCCATCGCAGAATGACCAAGTACAAAAATTGAACATTTGAAAGAATTAGGCCTCAATGACTCGCAGTTACCTGGGTGTGCCAGTCCACAGACGTGGTGGTGGACTTGGTACACTGTCACTGCGGCCACCTCCCATTTTACTTGAATGCCGATTGCAATTGATAACTTTCTGCCAATTTGATCAACGAACGATGTCCACACTTCGTTTAGAAGACAACCCCCCCAAAAACCCTTCAATTTAATATAATAATACAAAGTGCTCGAGCATGACGAAGTATCACACTCCAAAACCAGACGTGCCGTTGCCTTGCCCAATTGCCGGAGACCCATCCTCAATTCTAAGAATACTGAATATTACCAGCTCTAGCCATCAAATTCCATTCCCGCCACCAACCCCGCCTCCACAATCCACTGCAATCGATGGTCCCTGAAAACTAAGCTCCATTTGAAGCTTGTGGAACTTCAACAGAGATATCATCCTCGTCCGAATCGCCACGCTCTTGTTCATCCAACATCCCTCAGATGTCCAATCCAACTCCTCGGACCGATCCGAGACCCCATCTCTAGAATGTTATGATATCGGAGCTGGTGTCTGAAGTTTGAAATTTTCCTTTGACAATATGCTTCTCATATGCCCTATAGACCTATACGTTGCAGTCGGCTCCGCTACAAACAGTTCCTCGCCAGGGCGACACTCCTAATACTGGTCGATTGGTGGCGGAGGCTGACCGTAGTCGAGAGGTCAGATTCTGGTCGTGGCTCGACGGATATAACATACGGCCGCAAAGCGCGAGTCTTCTTCATCTCGACAGACGCATGAAACATGCTCAAAAGGGATCCCCCCCGACTCTTTACTTCCCTTCATTCATATCCACCAAATCGATGAAGAAATCCTCCACTATCATCACTTCTCGCAGCTCCCGCCCCATCGCGGCAGATAGTTTCCTCAACCTGTCTCTGACTGAGATGAATTTGTTAGCATAGCTACCCTTCCTGTGGGACCTTTCGGGGCCGAGAAGAGCAGAGCTGCGGCCGAGAAGGCCCGGATAATATCTTAGATGAGGGCGCGTACTTCGGCGCCTTGGCACGAAGACGGCGCAGCCTTGGGTGTACGAAGTAGGCAAAAAAAACGTACTGTAGGAAGACTTGTAGCGCGTCCGAGATCGATCAATTGATATCTGCGTGGACTCCGCCGTGCAGTTTACTTGGACTAACCAACAGTGCGCGTTTGTGGAGGTGTGGAGGGTGCCGAAAATGGCACCCGACCACCAGCCAAAAACGGCACGCTCCAAGATTGACCCCTCCGTGGTGGAATCCATTTCCGCCCTCGAACCTCGGCATCTTGGCATCCTGCACCGGCAGCTCACATCACCCTGAAAGCTTGGGGATTTCGCAATCCTCCTCCTCCCATTCTATAAATACAATTCCCATACCCAGAACAAGGTGAAGAATATACTGTTACTCTCGACCTCGTGAATCTCGTGTGAACAGACGAACCTAGAACCTCCCGAAATACTCTTTCCCCCAAACCCCGAAAACCACAAAAACAAAATGTCCGGTCCCGGCGTGGGCTTCGAGTACCCTCCCCAGCAGGTCACCTGGCTCCAGCGTGATGCTCTCCTCTTCGCCAACTCCATCGGCGTGACCCCCGAGGAGCTTCACTTCCTCTATGTGCGTTTTCCTGCCCCCTCCTCGAACTCTTGCCTTGCATCGCGAGCTCGTCGTATTCGTCGAGTATAAGATAGCTCCGTTGGTGCTAACATGTGATCCACAGGAGCTCCATCCCAACTTCGCCGTCTTCCCTACCTATCCCATCATCCTCCGTACGTCAATCGCCAAACCCCAGCAAAGATCCGTTGCTATGAGTTAAAAAAAAAAAAAAAAAAAAAAAAAAAAAAGGCTACCTAGTCACTAACACATACATTAACAATACAGCGTTCAAGGGCGCCACCCAAGAAGTCATCGACTTCTACGCCTCCCAAAAAGCCACCCCCATCCCCGGCGTCCCCAAATTCGACCCATCCCGCGCCGTCGACGGCCAGCGCCGCATGACCTTCCTCAAGCCCCTCCCCACCTCCTCCGAGGGCCGCCGCTTCGAGATCCGCTCCAAGGTCCTCGGCGTCTACGACAAGGGCAAGCCCGGAACCGTCGTCGACGTACAGTCCGACCTCGTCGACGCCCAGTCGGGCGAGGTCTATAACCGCGTCGTCGGCAGCGCTTTCTACATCGGCCAGGGCGGCTGGGGCGGTCCCAAGGGCCCGGCCTCGGAGAACTTCCCGCCTCCTAAGGACAGGAAGCCTGATGCCGTTGTTGAGCACCAGACGAACTTGGGTTCCGCTCTCCTCTACCGCCTCAATGGCGACTATAACCCCCTCCACGCCACCCCCGAGCCCGGTAAGAAGATGGGCTTCGGAGGCGTTATTCTTCACGGTCTTTACTCGTGGAACAGTACCGCACACGAGCTCCTCAAGGTCTTTGGCGGTAGCAACCCCGCCAACATTAGGGAATATCAGGCCCGTTTCGCTAGCCCCGTGAGGCCTGGCGATAAGCTCGTCACTCGCGCCTGGAGGACGGGCACCAAGGTTGACGGTGACTGGGAGGAGATCAGGTTCGAGACTCAGATTGAGGGTGGTAAGGTCTGCTTGAGCAACGGCAGGGCGCTCATCAAGGTTGTTGGCTCCGGCGCGAGCGCTAAGTTGTAAGATGCTTGGTGTCTTGGAAACCGGAAACAAAGTGGGTGGTTAGGTGGTCTAGTCTACATATACCATGTGGTTCATGTCTTGTACTATCAACTTTTTTTTTCATCCTTATTACTGGCAAATAAAACAAGGTTTATTTAGTCAAACGGTATCCTGCGTAATGTCTGTACACCCTTCTTCCTCATTTCCTGTGCCGCCGCAATACTGCTAGGCACCTTGATGCCACATGGATCACTCCATCCGTCATGGCTATGGTCGTGAGCATGGGGGTGACCATGATGATCCTTCTCCGCCTCCTCGCTAGCCTCGATCTCATCCTCCGTGCTCATCCCTTCAACTGCCGGGACTAGCGACCCGAACAAGAAGTGCTGCATCACAGGGAGCTTCCCGAGGACTTCTGCGACAAACATCCTTCGCATTCCGCCCTCCACCTTAACCCATGACTTTGACGCCGAGATATCGTCCAACATGGGGCTATGCCACCGTAGCCCTTTCACCGTCTTTGTGCTGTTGACAAACGAGACCTGGCCTAGGTATAGATAATCGTGTCCAAACTCCTCCAGCGTAAGGTCCTGGTGTATAGATCGTGGAGTTATGTACGGGTGGTGCAGTAGTTGCGAAGCGCCGAACAAGAAAGGCAAGAACTGGTAGTCGTCGAGGCCCCAAACGCCGTGAGAGCCCGCAGGTTCGAGGTAATATGTCGACTGGATTGTGCGCATAAGTTCGAGATATTTGTTGAACACTCGGAGGACGAGCGGCTTGAAATCATCCTTCGTGATAATCCGGAGCTTGTAAAGGCAGAGAAGCCATATCATAAAGTTCAATTCGTGTCCCGAGCCGTAATCGATGCGAGACCAGTTACCGAAGGAATGCTGCAGGTAGGTTGATACTTCCGCAATGGCGGCGTCGGACTCGATCCCTAGCTTCTTGTGCCATTCGGGGAGCTTCGCTTTGGCGAGGTCGAGGAAGGTGCGGAACACCTTGTTGCCGAATCGGGATCCTCCCTCGTCACTCGGTGGTGCCTGTTCTACTAGTCGCGCCGCATCGTCGAGTATCTCTAAGATCGTCTTGACCTCCTTGCTTAGGCCCTCATCATCCTTCACCGCGGAACACGGCGTGTCCGTGACCGCCTCCGAAAGGCCAAACACCCATGCTAGGATAAGCTTGTACGTCGGCGACGAAAGGAATAGTTCGTGGTCCTTCTTCGAAAGGATACGTCTCGACGGGATCTGGAAAGTGAGTGAGTTTGTGTCGGGAGGCGGTGGCAGCTCCGGCGTCTCTGGGCGAGGGGTGGGATTCGTGCGGTCGTTGGGACGCCTTCGAGGTTCGAGCTTGGGGAGTCGGTCTTTTAAAGACGACGTCGAAGGGGCCCCCTGCGTCGGGTTATTTGGCTTCACGTCGGTATCCGGCATGTTGTTGCTTGCTTCTTTGTGCGGGGATAAGATAAGGGGGGGTGTGATGGTTCGATGATGTTGGCGGGAAGAGCTACGTTGCGTCTCGGAGACCCTGAAATCGAACCATTATGATGTCGGTCACATTGGTAGCTCCTAAGGCTGAGTAAGGCTGCACAAGCTGAGAAGCACAAAAGGTTCAACATTATTCAGTGGCGATCGACAGTGTCAAGGTACCTTTTTTTAGCGGTAGTCCCTGCTACTTACAGAAGGGTTGGCGCTGAAATTGAATACTCCTCCCTAGAATTTATGACTTTATTTACCCCGCGATCTGCTGCAGTCGCCCCGCTCTCAAGCACCGAATTTTTGCACCAGCAGCCGAGCGCGAAGCTCACTAGAATTTAATTTTTCGAGATCGTTGAAGCCTTACTCAATCACCTACTCACTCACCCTTCACTTCAGCCTCACAATGGCCCCAACAAATGCGCCTGCGGCGGAAATAGCTCCTCTGCCAAATGCAGATGGATCTGTCATCTTTTCCTACGCTGGATACAAGGTGGTGGCGGCTGCCAATGGTCCTGTTGAAACTCTGAAGCGTGAGGAATACGCATTCGAAGCTCTGGTAGATGTTATCGTGCGACCTGCAGCTGGTGTTGGAGGTTAGATATCAATCCCCTTTTCCCTGTCTCTCTCATATCCCCACAGAAGGAATAGACACTTTGCAAATTAGGACTGAGGCTTATTGAGTTGGACGGGCGGTGACGCCTGTTGTCTGTATGTGTAGGTACGAGAGAGCGTCATCTTGAGTCTATTCTACAGTCTGCCCTTCGGCAGCTAATTCCTATCCGGAACTTCCCAAGATGCCTTATTCAAGTTGCCCTCCAGGTGATGGAAGTGCCTGAGAATGAGTATGAGAACGGAAAGGCCATGCGGTATAACATTGTACGTTCATCTTAGTCTCCCGCACCCATCATAATCTTCTACCAAGGGGGGAACTGACAAAGCAATGCGTCGCAGAATCTTCCCGCCATCCCAGCATTATTACATGCCGCCATCTTAGCTCTACTCTCTGGAGCAGTCCCGCTAAAGGGGATAGCAACTGCCGCCTTACTGATCGTCCCTGGGGACTCCAACGACGGGAAAGTCATCGTTGATCCGACGGCGGTCCAGATTGCCCATGCAAGATCTGTGCATGTCCTGGGGTTCACGTCCGAAGGCGACCTCCTTCTCGCCGAGAGCGAGGGTCAATTCTCCCTCGACGAATGGGACGAGGTAGTCAGGGCCGCGCAGAAAGTCTGCCTCCAATCACCAGACGAAATGTCGGTTGACGAGGGAGAGTCCACACTAGCCTACGTCAAGTCCGTGGACATGAAGCAGTTCATTCGGACCGTCATGGCCTCCAAGGTTGCCGCTGATCTACACTGGAAGATCTCCGTATGAACAAAACTATGAAGCCAGGCTTTGCCGGCAAATGGTTTGGGGCAAAAGGGGGGAGCGGAGCCACTTCCGTTACTTGCAACAGCAGCACAATGCATTGGATGAAAAAGGGTCGTACTTTTGGTAAGCCCCGCGGAGGTCTTACTGGAGACGATACTCGATACGAAGAAACTCGCGACGAGTGGGTCGGAGTTGCCCTGACAAAAGGAAGGTGAACGGGCCTGTTGAAACAAGACAATGGCAATGGCCCTTGGGCAAAATCGTCGTTCTGTCTGGAAGGTGTCTGGAAGGACACAGGACAAGTGGGTCCAACGATCCCAGCTGTTCGAGGTAGCGCTTCGGCCAGGATAATTGCTGCCATTATACTACCCATTACTACTACGAAGATAGCTGGAGGAAGGGCTTGAAAGTCTGTCTACGAACTATCTACAACGGCCGTACGCCTAATATTGCCGTTTTCCCGCCTTGGGAGGAAACCCCCTGACAGGGTCTGGACCGCCACTATAACTGTGGAGATTTTGCCGCAACGACTGTCTGTGTTTGGGGAGGCGGGAGACCATCGGGGGGTTTCATCCCCAACTATTAAGCCTCAGATCTTGCAGGGGAATCCAAAAGGCCCCACCTCTTGCAATGACAACGAGCCTCGTGTTTCCCTGGAGTTGGTGACTGGTCAACTTTCCATCTCCATTTGTCGCAAGGCTTAATTCGACAAAAATGCGACCAAAATAATTTGCTTCACGAAGCGCTTCCTTAGATGTGATAGCCAATCTTGTCAGATGTACCTGTGCATCCAGATCCCACCGCCAATTTGTCACATGTGGCGTAACGATCCTACCTCGTAGAAAAAAGTGTCGGTTATACCCTGCTTGATGCGCGACAAGTCAAACACGCCTCGGCCAGCTGCCAGGTCCAGGGTCTTACGTGCAAGGCGTGCAGGCGTGTCCTTCAAGATCAGTGTCGTCGTGGTAGGACCCCCCACTGCAAGGGTCCTCCCCATCAATATGCAGACAAGTGCAAATGATATTAGTGTTTTTTTGTTCCTTAAACCCCCTTTTGTTCTTTTGTTGTGGTTGTCAATATCCCATTATCGCCACCTCGTCTCGGGGGTAAAATGCGGTCGCCACTGGAGATTGGTTGATGTGGAGTCGGGGGCGCTAAGAGGTCAGAACCGAGCGTATTTGATGCAGGCCAGGATTATGACACGGCGAAGGACGTGTATCCTCAGTTAGAAAGTAGCGTCAGATCTCAACTCATCATTGCTCAAGACTGTTTGTACTTCGTAGTTTGCGTGGTTATTGGAGCCGCCTCGTTGAAGATGTTACATCAGACTGATAGTTTCTGACACAACAAATGGTAGCCGAAGTTAAGGTATTCTTTGTGCCTGTGTACTGCTCGGTGATGCAACTACGAGGTCGTATCTTCGTAGTTAAAATCTTAGACTGCTGACAAAGTTCTAGCAAACAGCAACCAAGCTTTTGAGGGCAGGAACAATTCTCCACAATTGCAATATTGCAATGCGCCAAGCAGGAGCATCCTGTTCTAATACTTACACCTCGAATTCAATACGGTCACGCTCGGTAACCGAGCAATACCCACTTCGTAATAAAAAAAAATACATCAGTGTCATCATGCATTGAGCTTTCCATTCTCACCGGGACCTGGGGATTAAGACACTTTCTGCAAGTACCAAGTATGTTGTGTTCGTCTTATCTTCTTCCCCTTGCTTCATGTGCCGCCAGACCCTCGACGAAGGCCCATAGTCTCGGCGGGCCGAAACCCATAAACTAGTCATCCACGCAGCAGCATATGTATACGCAACTTCGTAATGTGGGAGGACATAGAACAGAATCTAGGTAATAATACATTGATACAAATACCACTACAAGTACCTTCGTACGTCTATTAAGGAAAGAGGGTTCGTGGTGGTTGCGAAGGCGCAAGCAAGCTGAGGATGTGCTACGGGCCGTGGTTGGTTGGCAGGAGCATGTGCGTGCTCCAAGGGGAAGGAAAGTTCGAAGTGATATTACTTCGTACTTTCACACACTTCGTAATAATACCACCTCGAGTAAATGTGTCGGGATCAGGATTGCGAAAAAAGGCCGACTTGGTATGGAGATGGAGGTTGAGAGGTGTCTCGAAGAACTGGGGCCAAGTATCAGTACCAGTATCAGTACTCCCCACAGCCCCCTCAGCTTTTTTGCCAAGCCTGCGATTCTGTTACACCGTCGTCCTGTCACTGTCACAGGGATGAGTGTGCCTCAACAGGGAGCCCGGGGAGCACAGGGTTCATCAGTGTTGATCCGGCGGCATGGAGACTATTGGTTCCCACAAGAGGTTCTTCGTAGTGTCTTCATACATCGACCCCTGCTGGGCCTGGCCTCGACCTCTAGGGCCCTCCGACATTGAAGCCAAGCCAGTTGAAGAGGAAAAGAATCAATCAAATCCTGCAATGTGCAATCGGCGATCGCACTGAGTTTTCCCACACCCCGGACGTCTGCTCTGCTGTGAAGCCTGTAAGAGATCGACAAGCCCATGCACCCTTGACCTTAGCGGGCTGCAGGGTTTATTGATACCGTTTTCTATAGTGTACGAAGGACCATGTACACGACATACCCTTACCCTCTTCAACAAGGATCGGAGCCTTTGCCTATCCCTCGAACTTCTTGATCGTCGCCATCTTCATTCCGCCCAACTGGCACAGGAGGCGAGGCAGGGGACGGGAGCAAGCAAATACGAATATAGATAAAAGCTCTCGTCGCGAAGTCGGGAACAGCTCTCTGACCTCTTCTGGTCTTCAGTCTTCTCTCGGTAGACCCAAGCAACCCCTTCCTCCCACCTTTGATTTCGGCACAGGCAAGACGGTGAAGCAGAGCTCTGGTAGTTCTCACAATTACCTTTTACCCTATTCAGCGGTGTTCTTTGTCTTCCTGCTTGTCTGGTGCCGGTGCTGGTGCTGGCCTAGCCGTTTGTGGCTGCATATATTCATCTTGTCGACGTCGTTCGGAATCTTCTTTTGATATCTACTTCCGTCCCACTCTTGCTTCCGATATATCAATTGGTACCCTCAGAATCGGGGCGTCTCTCTTTCCTTCTCTGAGCTCCTGTTCCGCATCGCCACTTCGTCTTGCCTCAACTAGGACTAGCTTTCCGACTCAACCAAAGCAGCTCGAGCTCTTCCCCACCTTTTTGATTTCTATTTTCTGCTACTTCGTAGTTTTCCTCGGCATTGCATTCTTGTTGATACCTTTTTCTTGGTCACTTTTCTCGATCCGCATCGCATCTCATAGACCTGGCGTCGTCTTCATTTTCATCTTCCTTTGGTTTCTTTTCTTTCCAGACACATCACCTAGACTTTTCTTTCACTTGCTTTCACATTTTCATTGCATCATCCAGTCCCTTGCCTCTTCCTCTTGGTCTTAGCCTCGTCACTTGATTCGCCTTCACCTGCATCCCACGCTGCATAGCCAATACCACGTGCGGGTCGAACTGCAGGGCAGCATCACCATCACAATCAAACTTCAAAGTTCACACTAGGAGTTTTGCTGGAAGCCACGGGTTTCCCTTGAGGTTTAAGCGCCGCCCTCGATTGACGGGAAGAACCATTCCAATTGGTAAGTTCACAGCAAGCCCCCTCTCCCCGGAAACTCAATTCTGCCCGGCCTGCGCGGGTGCTACTAGCACACAGCCAGCACTTCGGCACAACCGTACATGTTGTGTTTGATGGTGCCCCGAGATTCTCATCACTAGTGTGTCTGACCATCAGAATTAGGAAATCAACACAAATCCAGGGATCGGGAACACACCCACACCCACCCCTCTCCCCTCATCATCACCCACACCCGCGTTCCGAAACTCCACGTCATCTCGCTACTTAGCTTAGCTTTCCTTGGAATTTCCTGTGTGACTCGCGTAGTTCGCGTGGACCGCCAGGCTTTTCCTAGTCGAGTCTTCTTTTCCTGTCCTGTGCTGTGCTGTAGGGTACTGTACCGTACTGTGCTGCACCTGTGCCGCATCGGCTACCGCCTGGTCTGCACTCGCCGACGCTCCCGATTCCAGATCCCGGCCAACTTTGTTCGCAAGGTACTTCGCCCCCCCTTTCCCCGACCTTCGCCTAGGACAGAACAAGCATAAGCCGGAGCCGAGCAGAAGAGAGTGGAAAAGAAGGAATCGCACTAATCTGGGAGATTCCTGCACGAAGACGCAACAAACCAGCCAATCGCGCAAGCCAAGCATTATTACCCGAAATCCCCACCATGCCTATATCCAGGAGCACCGTTACCTCCCCCACGGCTCTCCACCCAGCCCTGAGTAACCCGCCAACTCTCCCAAAACCGGAAGGATATATTAGCAGCATTTCGGATCGCCCAAAAACCTCCAGCGCCCGCCTTGGTGCCCCTCCAACTACCTTCTTCCCTTCCCTCCATGCTGAAGTCCTGACCCGTCATGCCAATGCTGAATCGCCACGACCTACTGTTCCCTCTGGTACATCTTCTCTGAGCGGCCTTCCCGAGCCCTCTGAAGGCGTCACCGTCGCTGACAACCGTCCCCAAGGTCATCGGAGAAACAATCCGTCGCACGAGATTCCCCGCCAAACCATCATCAAGGCCCTAGCTTCAGTTGCCAGGAATAATAAGCCTGAGGCTCTAAGCTTGCCAGGGATGCTCTCCGCTCATAGTATGGTCGATAACCGACCTGGCACCTCCTCGTCGCAACAACTCGCCGATGCCCTGAGCGGCCTTGCCGCGAGCCAGAATCTCACACCAACCCTCTCCACCGCCCTACCCGCCAGCCTTCAATCACCATGCTTCTATCACCAGCGCTTCGATGACGCCGTCGACATCGACAGGGTCCTCGAAGAGATCAAGAATGATCAGTACATGTCACACTCCCGCCTCGTCCAGACCGCCACAGGCGTGCGGGAGGTTGCCAAGCAACTGCAGCGACGTCCCATCAAGCGCGCTGTACGTAACGTTATGATTGTTACCAAGGCCCGGGACAACCAGCTCGTCTACATGACGAAAGAGCTCGCCCTTTTTCTCCTCCGGACCCCCCGGTACGGATCCGACGTTGGTGTCAATGTTTACGTCGACGCCAAATTGCGCAACGGAAAGCGCTTCGATGCCGCGGGTATTCTGGCCGAAGATCCCCGCTTTGAGCACATGCTCAAGTATTGGACTCCAGATCTCTGCTGGGCCCGGCCTGAAATGTTCGACCTCGTCCTTACTCTTGGCGGAGACGGCACCGTCCTCTTCACTTCGTGGCTCTTCCAGCGCATCGTTCCGCCAGTGTTGTCCTTCAGTCTCGGAAGCCTCGGATTCCTAACGCCCTTTGAATTCGAACGATACAAGAACCACCTAGACCGTATCATGGGCTCCGAAGGCATGAAAGTCAACTTGCGAATGCGATTCACCTGCACAGTGTACAGGGATGGCATCAACCACCAGACCGAGGAGGCTGAGCAGTTTGAGGTGCTCAATGAGCTCGTCATTGACCGCGGTCCAAGCCCCTACGTGTCGAACCTCGAACTATACGGCGATGACGAGTTGCTCACCGTTGTCCAGGCGGACGGGTGCATTTTCTCTACTCCGACTGGTAGGTTTCCGAAGATCCCCCCCCTCTTTTCGCTATGCTCTCTCTTTCCCCCATCGCAATATGCAAACTAACGCTCTGTAGGATCAACGGCGTACTCGCTTTCTGCTGGCGGTTCTCTTGTCCACCCTGACATCCCCGCCATTCTTCTCACTCCTATCTGCCCCCACACCCTCTCCTTCCGCCCCATGGTTCTCAGCGACACAATGGCTCTAAAGGTGTCAGTTCCACGAAATTCGCGTGCCACCGCTTACTGCGCCTTTGATGGCAAGGGCCGTTTGGAGCTCCGGCAAGGCGACTACGTCACCATCACGGCTAGTCAGTACCCGTTTCCCACTGTTGCCCGGACGGACACGGAATGGTTCGACAGTGTGTCCCGCACGCTGAGGTGGAACGTCCGTGCTGCCACGCAGAAGGCGTTCGACCCTTCGGCTGGTGACAAGGAGGACCTAGATAACGACTGTGCCGAGTGGGACATCGACACAGACTCAGCTTGCTACGCAAGCGAGGAGGGTAGCGTTAGCGCCAGCCCTCTAAGGAGGCAGATGAGTCTGCTGGGAATGTGACGGGGTGGCGTTTTTGGATGAATGGGGTTTTCTTTCTGCCTCGTCTCGTTTCTTTTGTTGCTTGAAAAGAAAGTCGATATCTTTGAGGCTTTCGATGTGGTTTTGGAATAGACCACTTGGTTTTAGGTCGTGATCGTCGGACCCTCTGGTACACGGGATATAAAGCACAGTTACCTAAACTGCGTCTTGAAATGTTGTTTCCGTTGCACACATACCCCGGCCGAGCGCCGGTGACCTGATGTTTGGGATGCTCTGTCCCATAATAATGAATGATACCTTTATGCCCGCTTCCTCTCCTGGACGATCGGGGAGGCAGTGGAAAGCATCATGTATGTCACAGACAACTTTTTTTTTTTTTTCTTTTTTCTCAGTCCCTGTCTCGTCTGCTCCAGAAGATGGGATGGGGGGTACACAATAGACTTGAACAGAGAGAGCACATCTCTGACCTTGATACCTCTTCTCGCCCGTCAGCCACGCATCAGTGACGTTCATTCAACCATGTCGTAAAAGGTGCCAAGGAGAAAAACAAATCAAAACACACAGCTCCGGAAGCACTAGCTTCTTGTCCCCGTCGTCATGGAAAACAAATGCTTGTATCAAATGGGGGAAAAGAAGAGCCGAAAGAGGCGGAAGTGGAGGGTACGGAGACGAGTGTTCTTTCTTCAGCGTGATCGACAATAGGGGTTCGCGGGAGGTTTTGGTGTGTGAGTATTGATGTTTGCGGCAGCGGGGGATGGATCAAATGCAGTCGAGGATTTTATAGGGGGTTTTTAGTTACAGTTTTATGAACAGTGTAGAGCATCGGGAGTCACGGGGGCAGCGGGGAAGTTGACCGAAAATCGTAAGATGCCGACGTAGTATTTCTTGGTATATCAATTGATGTGAGGTGTGAGGGGGGAACATAAAAATGAGCCTTCCCTGAGCTGTGAAGCGTGAGATATTTATCATGGCCTGCGAAGACTGATCAAATGAGATTGGGGGGAGGGGAATGGCACGGATTTGAAGACTTGGTCAAAATTAATTCATCTTCCAACAGCATCCATCGACCACTTCCGTTCGTCTTCCGAACACACAGATCTCGGTGTCTGGGAGCTGTCTGAGTACCTTTTAAAATGATAACATGGTTGCCAAATAACGACGACTCTTTTCAAGCCTCCTTCGCCGAATTCAAATCTCAAAAAAAAAGAAAATAAAGCACAAGGACACCAAAACATGAATGAACAGCCCCCGACACCATTAACACGCCAACCCACTCCGGCCAAGAACCAACACCAGCCAGAAGATAAGGAAGAGAGAAAAGAGAAAGAAAGAACCCCCAGACCACTAGAGACGGGGAGCGACGGAGAAAGCTAGTTTCCCATGTAAAACTCGGGCCCTCGCGGCTTTCAACCGTCGCCTCTCGACCCCGAATTAATGCTTCCCGTTTAAACAGATTCACAATCCCCGACCCCAATCCTATCCGCTTTTTCCCTTCAGTCCCTTCCCCCACAAAGACACGGTCGGGCTGCCCCGACACTCCAGATGCGGATATCCCGACATAGGCAAACAAGGGGTAACCAACATGTTCTTCATCTTCACAAGCCAGACACGGCTGATAAACGTAACAAACGCAGACTCTTCCTCAAACCCATGCACATCATGTAAATCCTGCAACTTCGGCAGGAACCATTTTTCCACCTTTCCAAAACTGGTTCTGTGCAAAACCCAGTTCCTTTCAGCCTTAAGACGCATATCCTTTTTTGTTCCTTTCCGTCGGGGTTGGTCGAGACACTCGCAGGGTGAGACTCTGCAGATCACACCGTGCCGTCTACCGCCAGTTCCCCTGACTAAGAGCCAACAAGCCCGCGACGCAATCGGCATCTCCTTTCTTGCTAGGACTGACATCCCCTCGCATGAACCTTTCTACTTCGTCTTCGGGAATTCGGGATCGCCTCGTGTTGCCATCTTCAAAGATGTTGACAGCCTCGTCACCAAGCTTGATACCCCTCCGATGAAGCGGGCCGGTATTAGCCCGGGATCCCGGAAGCAAGGCTTGAGCTCGTTGTTCCAGCAGATGTCGGTCGGCTTTACTAGGGTCGTGCGGATGGGTAGCTCCGGGAACGGGCCGGCCAACCACGCGAGAGAACGGATGTCGAGGGTTACCGTCCTCGTCCGGGCTCCAGTTTTCCTTGTCCGAATCGCCGGAAGGGGAGACCAACATGGAAACTTTTAGTTTCTTGCTAGGGACATCCTTCTCCGGGAATTCGTCATTTTCATCCCTCATTTTCCCTATCTCCGTGAGCCGGCCACTTGAGAGACGTGAGATGCTCGAGTGGCTCCGACTAAGCCTAGGCTTCTTAGATAATTGGGAGCGCTGAGAGTGCCTCGACAGAGGTGCGTTGCGCTTAGAGCCGCTTGGCTGAAGAATGGAACCAGAAGAACGGAGAAGGCTGATGGCCGCAAGCGCAGAGCCGTTTGCTTCATTCTCAGCCATCTTGGTGAGGTCGTCGGGGGCGTCCTCGTCACAACATAGCTCCCAGGCGTTAACATCCCGCGACCGCCCACGGACGAGACGGGGAGGCGGGAGCGTGCCCGTCAAGGTCGATATGGGAGGTAAGGTCACGCTGGGAAGAGCACTATGGCTGCGTTGCAGACTTCGGGAACGGACTTGAGGTAACGGAGGGAGGGCGGACATCGGTCGTTCGGCTTGTATTCGTGGCGGGCTCGTCTCATTGGAAACGATCTCAGCCTTTCCTTCGAGAGAGAAAGATAGACGAACCCGGGAGGGGCGAGGTAGAACATTGCTGTCGGACCGCGTAGAGGAGCACGAAGAGGGTGCAAGAGAATCTAGCCTATTCACGAGACGACGAGAGATTAGTAACTAGACGCGTAAACGTTTTCCGTCGTGACAGGAGTGTAAATGCATACTTTGCCGGGTCTTCGCTTGCGCAGTTAGCGAGAGCTGATGGAGTCGAGAACGAATTGCTCGAGTTCCAACGGTTGGCGAAAAACCCACTCGCTCCGGGGAATGACTGAGAAATGGCCGGAGGGCCATCTGCAGACGCGGGCGGTGGCGTTCGGTCAAGAGCCCTAGGAATTTCCATGCCTTTCACCTCAGAGTCTGCGTGCGGAGACTGATTTCCATCACTTCCGACTTGGTGTGCATGAAGCTGAGGGCTGCCAGAGGCTTGTGATAGAACCGGAGAGGCATGATTGCTGGGGATAACGGCAGCACCAGGAATAGGCGAATAAGGGTTTTCGGGGAGAACGGTAGACTTGGTCAACGAGAGTTCGGAAATGATCTGAATGCCGCCACAGCGAAGGGCAGCAATCTCTTGAGGAGTAAGGGGACGAGATTTTCGACGGTCATTCTGGCGGCGGTTTTGAAACCAGATCTACCCGGCACGACTTAGTCTTTTTTCCCGCTCGCATGGAGTGATATCTGCGATACGCGTCTGCTCTTCTCCTCCCGACTTACCTGGACCTCCTTCTCGTTAAGGGAAACGCGTTTTACTATTTCCAGACGCGCTATCTTATCAGGCTTCGGGTTTTCCTGATACGCGGCTTCTAATATGGCTTTGTCCCCAGCTCTATCCCACGGAAGAAACGTTAGCTTGCAAACTCGATCCACCACCAGCTCATTATACAGGAGAGGACAGAAGAGATATGCATCTTCGCGTCCTAGGTGTCCCAGGTCGAGTCAATTGGAACGGGAGAGGACCGTACTGGGTTCGTTTCCGCTTGTTCTTTGGGTGTTTTTGCGGATCAACTTTTACGACAGTAAGCTCGCCTACTGCCCTACTCGGGGTCGCGTTATAGGGCGTCGTCTGACCGGACTCGGCAGCCATGGTGTGTCCGGCGGTGAACTCGAAGGAAGAGGAAGGAGTGGTGTCTGTTGATGCCATAGCGAGTAGAGAGAGCGACGGGGAGAAATTGGGAGAAAATTAAAAATTAAGAACGAATGGACGGCATCAGAGACACACAAAGATAGTTGTCGTGTCGCTCAAGGAAAGAGAAAAACCAACACGATGGAGGTTGGAGGAAGGTAAACGTGGAGAGAATGGACGTGGATCAAGATATTAAGTGTGGAAAGCTAATAATATGAGTGCCGGGGGTTTAAGAGGGTACGAGGTAAAAGGGCGAAAGCTCTTGAACAAGGGCCTCGCGCTGCCGCGAGCAAGGTGGGATGGGGGAGCAAGGGTCCGCGATGCAGGTGCTGCATCGTAATAATAGCAGAACACATTGGCACCCTCGTCCGCGTTTGCGAATCTGGCGAATCTGACCAGTCATGTCGCGTACTGGGGACCCTCTTTCCCCCGAATAGGAAATTAAGGTCAACATATTTCACGTGGATAATCACGTGCACAGATTTTCTACGAGTCTTGAGTGAAAAGATCCCTGATAAAGAAATAGCCGTTTTTGTGCACTCCGACGACATAAAACCTCATTGCCATCAACAAATAACCTCTGTACCTGTGGATGGCTAGATCTTAAGAGTCGACGCGGTTGACGGGCATGGAATTGACCTTCTCGTCCTGACCTTGTCATTTATCCGTTCCTTTTGAACAACATTTTCACAGTCTACAAGTAAACACACAAGTAAACACAAACAGTTGTTGCCAAGTCTCCTGTTGTGTTGAGCTCCGCAATTAGTCTCTTTCGGTTCAAATTAGTTCTTCATTCTCCAATTGCATATCACGCTCCACCTTTGCAGGGCCCATTTAAGACGCGGTCCACAGCCCACAGGTGACGGTATTTCCCAGCCCAAGCAATTTCCAGTGCCCCATCTTCAGTGCTTCACCTCGGCTTTTTTAAGCAATAATAATCCTAAATTGTTCCTGGAAAGGATTTGATGGAGTGTACTTCGTGGCTCGTACCGTCAGTGCGAAGCAGCACTTTTGCTGAGCGCCTCTGTGAATACGACCTTGCCTTAAACGCGTTCAAACTTCAACGCCTCATGTCGAATTGAGACAACCGTGCAGCCGATTCAAGTCGCGCTCTCATATATCGCCTAGGATACCGAGGAGGGACACCTCTAAAGTCTGAAGCAGGAGCTCGGTAAGGCTCTGACTTTAATTTTCCTAATACTACTTCTTCTGGCTAGAACAGGGCCCGATGTACGAAGTACTTCGTATTCCGAATTGGACCACAGCGCTGCAGGTCAAAGTCTTGCTTCATTTCATCGCGTAATCAGGCATATGCAGCGCCTCGCGGTAGAGGACGTTTGACGTGTCTGAGAGGCTGCACTACGCATGGTCAATTTCACTAGACATGCATACAGCACATCTGTAGCCCACACAGGGTGGTCATACTTGCTCGTTTTACATGATCTCTCTGACAAGCCGAGCGAGTCGAGTCCCTGCCGAGTCCCGACATGGGAGTTGAAGTGCACTTCTTCTCCTCGTCCAATAAACGGCCCACAGCGCGAGCTATCCTTAACCTTGCCACAAAGCCACACTTCGAGCCCGCCTCTTGTTAAAAGAAGCTTCTCCACGTCATCTTGCCATGTAAAATGAGATGGTCTCATCACGATGCTTCTAGTGTCTTAACCCCATCTGCCGCCGTCAATATATCTATGCATGTCTCTACTTATCTCCCTACGTCGTATTTGATGTCATTATCCTAGCCCACATGTTCTCCAATCCAACAATCTACGATTTCTTCATCCTCTTCCTCATCACCACTCTCATCGGGCACGCCTGGTGCGTCAGGGGTCAAGGGAATCTCGACCAACTCATCCAAGGTCTTCTCTCCTGTGGCCAAATCACGTCCCCAGGCCGCCCTTCTAAACAAGTCTAAAGCTACGCCGGGACTGTCCACGGAAATGAGATGTCCAGCTTCGTAGACAACCGCAAACGAAAGATGTCCGAACTCGCGCACTTTTCCATTCACCTTGTCGCCAGAGATGAGCGATGTGTACGGAGTCGCTCGGAAGAAGGTGGACTGCCTATGGTTTAAAGCGAGCGACACTGCTTCACCACCAAACCTAGAGAAGCTTGTTAATAGTTAGGGAGCTTATTGATCGAGCCCAACACTAATGCGTACCAGTTCCCAATGTAGTCCGCATCCCCATAAATGAGCCTGCCGACCGACCCAGTAGTATTATTAGTTGCAAAGCATTTTGGTACGTTGTCTTTCTTTGAGAAGGGAAAAAAGTAAGAGGAGAAAAAAAAAAAAAAAAAAAAAAAAAAAAAAAAAAACTTACAGAACCCGGATGCCCTTGTCCATCAAGAACTCCAAGTCCTCCAGGAACCCGGGATAGGCATAATCCCCCGAATGCTGGAAAGCCAGATACACGTCGTAACTTGAGTCTTCATACCTAAAGTCAAGAGCGACACCGAGGGCATCCTGCGTCTCCCGCGTATTCAGATACTTCACGAAGAAATCCGGGTAAGCGCGTTGGTTGCTATCCTTTCGGATGTCGTACATGCTCCGTTCGCTGTATGAATAGTACGGGCCCTCAACATTATCTCGACACATGTTGGCTGCTTGTGAGCACAGAGCTTCCGTTGTGATACTGGATGTGGTCAGCCTCGAGCACACCTAACGATACGGAAAGGGCAAGAAGATATACCCTTGAGGATCTTCGTAATAGGATTGCCTGCACCTCCAAAGTTGATCTAGGCATCCGTTTATCATATAACATGCCGTTGTCATGTAGTCGACCCATTTCTCGTCAAGGGTCTGAATATTGTAAGTGTTGTTCACTGCGAAATCTGGATACTACATACAGATTTTGGTCAGTCTTAACACACGTAGGATATTGCAAAAGTCGAAAGGATACATGTACATGCTACCCACTGATGGGAACTGAGTTGCTGCATCGATGATGCCGTTGCTGATACCCAGAGTCTTGAGATTCAACTCCACTCCTGACAGTTTCCCAGCTTTAATCGCTTCATTCTGCTCATGAAAATATCGATAGAAAGCTGTCGTCATAATTAGCCAGAAAGTATCATACAACGGGGGTTCCCGGATAGACACACCAGGCCCATAATGTCCACCATAACTGAAAATTCCATTATCAGCAAGGAGTCCTTTACATGACACTAAGAAACCCATACCTCTCGGACCACAGATGGAAGTCCGTGGATTTTACTTCGGAACCCATTTGCGGCAACTCATAGAGGAGTGCTTGGACTGCATGCCATGCCGTGGCAGCAGCTATCTCTGTCCTGTCGACCAATGTTGCATTGGTATAAGGGGACAGCGGTTGCCCGCTGTCCCGCGATTCATAGGAGAACCCGACACCGAAAGGCTGGGAGAGGAAGAGCAGGTTCGACTCCTGGTTCCAACTACTCTAGAAAGTTAGCCTCGTATGCAGTTGATGGGCGAGGAGAGAGACACTAACGATTCAGAGTTTAAAGTCGTCGTGAGGTCCGGGTTAACTCGACACGGTCCAATACCTAGTTCTTACATCAGATCTTCTGCAGAACACTATCATGAGGACAAACGAGATGGCGAACCATTCAACAACCCAATCAGTGAATCCGATCCTGGACCTCCATTCAACCACAGTGTGATCGGGGCCGTCTCTGCCTCGTTTCTCGCCTCGAAGAACCAGAAGAACAGATGCAAGCCCTCATCAAGGTCGACATACCCTGAGTACGACCGCACCCCCCGTGTCGTCTCACAAATATTCGGTTCTTTAAAACGCAAGCGCACCGTATCCGTCACGTTAAGTTCGGTCAAGCTGTCTTCGGCGCGTTTCTCAAATGTCTCTTCCCGAATGCTGCTGCGTAGAGCCGCAGGGAGTCTTGGGCCTCGGTCCCAAGTGATGTTATCTGCTGCATCTGCACCAATGATGACCCGGAGAATCGGTAGCAGAAGGAGGGATCGGCGCCACATCAAAACTTAGCGGCGGCGCGGATTGCAGTGGCAGCTGCTTGAGCTACTCGGCTGGGAAGGACAGAGCTCGAAAAGGTCCTGGGCCTTGGAAATGAGCTATGTGACCTCTTTCTACTAGATCCCTGCTTTGCGCGGCAACAATAAATCTCTCTGGATGCTTGATCTCTCCCACTCTAGGCTCGAAGAATAGTCTCGACTGGCAGGCATCAACCCCGTATATATATATATATATATATATATGGTCTCATAGCAAAGAATTTCTCATTGGAGGGGAACACTTATTTCCGGAATGGCGGTTAAAATTCAAATACAGGTCAATGCAGGATCTGAGCACTTGTATAGCCTACACATGGTTTGAGAGCGCAAGATATAATAAGCCTATATTCCCGATAGCTATCCAACCCCAAAATGGCGGCTCTCGGGAGATGTACTAAATATATCTGATGCCTGCGGACCTATATTGATGGGATTGCCCGAGATGGAGACTGGGTGCTCTAAGGTTTGGGCGTAAACTTTGCAGGTAAAATGGTAGATATTGGGCGCGTGTCATGATGTCACACGAGCATCTGAGCTTGGGTCTTCAGGCAGGTAATCTCTATCATCGCTACTATCAAAGAGGGTTTCATCACTGATGGCAAGCTGAAACGGGTTGACAAGGGAAATGTCGATGAGGGCTCCAACAGGCTCCAACAGGCTTCAACAGGCTTCAACCACGGCGTGTTTTTGAATTCGCGTGTGTATCTAGTCCACTATTCCTGATCGTTGCGAATGCAATCTGCTTCTAGTTTGGCGTTCGAACGAGCAACAATGTCCCCGAACTCGGCCTTCCAAGCTCTTTCCTTCAGCCATCTTTGTGCTAAAACTATCATTCATCCTCCTTTATGTATCTTGAAACGCTTCCTCCCAATACCTCCCTTTACCAACAACTGCCAGGTATTCATCACGAGAAGATCATGACCTCGCTTCCCAGGCAGTTCGGAACCATTACCCCGGTTAATTTACAATTCGTCGTCGGAGTTCTCGCCAGGCAGAGGCATGGCGGCAGCCTCGTCCATCTCCTTCCGGTACTGCTCGAGAAGCTTCTCGTCGACCTGGGCAGTGGGAGGGGCAAGAGCGGGGGCGGCAACGAACTCCTGCATCGGCGGGTTAGTAACATAGGACAAGAAAAAAGATGACGAGGAGGATGACGGTGACGATGAAGATAACTCCTGGAAATCGTATCAGGGCGGACGTACAAGAGCGGGGTTTCCGACAAGCTTTCGGGCAAGCCAGAGGAAAGGCTTCTCGAAGTTATAGTTGGACTTCGCAGAGATGTCGTAGTACTGCAAGTTCTTCTTACGATGGAACGTAATGGTCTTGGCCTTGACCTTTCGCTCCTTCACGTCGACCTTGTTGCCACAGAGGACGATAGGGATGTTCTCGCACACGCGGACGAGGTCGCCTATATCGAGTTAGTATCCAGCCTGGATCACGCTACACCGCCTGTCGCTGTTTGCTTGCGGGGGAAGCGGAGGTTGAGAGCGGAGAGTTCACGTACGGTGCCAGTTGGGGACGTTCTTGTAGGTAATTCGCGAAGTCACATCAAACATAATGATACCGCACTGGCCGTTGATGTAGTAACCATCACGGAGACCACCGAACTTCTCCTGACCGGCGGTATCCCAGACGTCGAACTGGATGGGGCCGAAGTTCTGGAGACAAGGGTTAGCGCATGCGATTCACGGCGCGCGAATCGAGGATCGTTACATACGGTAGTGAAACCAAGAGGGTGAACCTCGACACCGAGAGTGGCCATATACTTCTTTTCGAACTCTCCAGTCAAGTGGCGCTTGACGAAGGTGGTCTGGGAAGAAAAAAAAATTGCAGGTTAGAAAGATGCCCCTCATCGGGCAGCGGGGTAGTTCGGCAAGAACATCTCGCCGCACATCGTCTAGATAAGGTGGAATGGATGCAAAAATGCATCGGAAGCTAGAAACTCACCTTGCCAGTGCCGCCGTCGCCGACGAGGACGAGTTTGAAGGTGGGGACTTCTTGGGCGGCCATGATGTCGCTTCGAATGTGAGGATGTGTTTTTGGGTGAGGGATGTAAACAAGCGCGGGGGAGTCTGGCGGATGGCGCCTTGAGTTAGTGGCAAATCGAGAAGACTTGAAGCTTTGCAAGAAAAATAGGATTGCAAAGGTGAGGGAGTCGGGGGAGAAAAAGGGAGAAATGCGATACCGGAAAAGATGGACAATAAATAAATCGCGGTAAGAGGTGGTGGTTGGAAGGTGGATTAGGCGGGAAAGGCGATTTCACCGATGGATGGTTCTGACGTTGATTTCTACCCAGTCAGAGGAAGTGGGATGTGCTTGGGGCAGGAGGGAAAAGCCTTAAAGTGAAAAAAAGCGAGGAAAAAAAATTATGTCAGGCTACACAACTGCAACGTTCAGAGGCTGGGTTGCCAGGCAATAACGAGGGGCAAGAAACACCTAGCAAAGATCCTTCCCGATCGAGCCATAGACTGGCGTCACATCACGTGAGAGACCCATCATTCGCAGCAGGTTCACGATCTGATGGGGGCAGCTTGCTCGCATGTGTGTTACCATCAGAAAATTAGACTTAGGCAGCCCCTCCAGGCTCCCTCAGCTCCAGATCTGGCCGATATGGTTGGCTGGTTATTTGAATCAGTGGCAACGGTTCGCTGCATTCCTTCAGTTGCATGCTCTGAGCAGGGGTGGGCATCTGCCATATTAGATTACGAGCAGGTAGGGGAGGGGCAATCAGAGGTCCATTAGCTAGCTACCTGCCTAGCTAATTGAAGATGAGCGCATGTCATTCAGGACCTCCTATCCAGTTCTACGAGTGTCTAGCTGATGTCCGAGAATTGCATGTATCCTCCTGTGCAGAGAAATGAGCGGTTTGAAGCCCAAGGAGCCTGGCGGAAGAGATTAATCTTGATCTTCCGATATTGGTGCTTACAAATCGATCAATTGCGCCTGGTCGTTGAGTTAGGCTTCCTTAGGCCTCCTCCCTGACATGATTCTATCCGTCAATTACCTTCGTCCACTCACCACAACTAACACAGGCCTATTGGCATCAATGGGGTATATTCTTTTCCTCACTAATTATGGCTTCCGGTTCCTGAGGAAGAGCCTCTTTTACAATAGAAATACAAGAGTTAACGGAGCTTTGCCTAGGCTCGATTGGTTGGTGAATTACATTGGGATTATATGACACCCCAGCAAACCTCTTCCACCCCAGTTGCTCGTCGGTTTCAAGGATAGTTGGAATTCTTCGCGGTCGCCACCTTCTATCTTTCTCGAAACCTTTACCAGGATGGTTTGCTTGACTGGAATTAGCTATCGATTTTGTAAAGGTGCAAGGATTTCGGCTTACCCCTTCATTTCCACGAACACACTCCGCCACCTTTTTGAGGTCATCGTGATTTGAGGCGTTGACGTAGCCAAAGGCACGAATCTCGTCGCCTGGCTTGAGACCCGCGGCCGCTGCAGGGCCTCCATCCGCAACCGTGTTCACCTTTGCGAACGCCTCCATAAGCGTGGCCGGAGCAACGTAGTCCCGAAGGGCCGCGGCAGGGGGTCCGTCCCGAACAGCAGGTTCCGGCGTTGCAGTGGATTCCTCGGGGAGGCTTGCGAAGTGCTCGTGTATCCGTTTCTCGATGGTATCCATCAGGTCCTTGTAATCGTTTCGTAGATGAATAATTCTAGATCTCGTTGTCCGAACTTGACACGAAGATGTTAGGCATTCGCTCTTATTCTTCGGACAGGACAGGACTCACTCTGAGCAACATCAATATCCGCCCTCGGAAAGCCATCTCGAGTAAGCAGTGGCGTATTCATGTCAACCCCATGCTAGAATACTATTAATCAATTTACGTAGTATCAAAACGGGGGTGTTGGGTTCCCTACCGAGTCGAGAACTCCGCTGAGGGCTCTTAGTTCTGCCTCGATGTCCGCCTTCTTGTGCTGAAGCTCCCCCATTGTGCGCTGGATGCTTTGGCCATTTTGAGCCGGCCTGCTGGAGGGCCCAGACGGGATAGTTGGCGCGTGAAGGTTGTCCATTCCCGAAAGAAAAGCTTTATTACGCAGCTGTGGGATATCTGTTTGTGCGTGGTCGGAATGCGAATCTAGCGATGTTGCCGCTCTTGAAGGTGAGGTCTCGGATCATATGCGGAAGATGGAGGGGTAGCTTGGAGAGCACTTGGCCACCCACCCACCTACCTCATACGGTGAAGCAAAGCTTGGCGGGACAACTAGAGTCTCTGCAACCAAACGGTGGCGGCTGTTAGCCTCACCGGCACCGGTTCAATGTTCCCCATCCTCTTACCGGAATATCCTCGGCGGTAGTAAATCCTGACTTTTGCCGAATTCTTAAATCCGGTTGGACGGACGCGCCCAACCAACTTTTGGCTATTCTCGCATTGGCCCTGCATCCCGAGATAGATTCCCTTTTTGTGAGTTACCTAACAATAGTGGAAGAGAAGTTGTTTTAGCAACACCAGTATAAGGGTTAGCAGCCATGGCGACCGGTGTCGATGCGAAGCTCCTGAAGAGCACGAGATTCCCCCCGGAATTTAACCAAAAGGTCGACATGCAGAAGGTCAACCTCCAAGTAATGAAAAAGTGAGCTTTTCAACCGCAAGATTGCAAGCCGACGCGCTAGTGCTGACCTATCTAGATGGATTGCAGGTAGAATTTCAGAAATCCTCGGCAATGAGGACGACGTTGTCATTGAGCTTTGTTTCAACCTCATCGAAGGCAATCGATACGTATGCAACGACCTCCACCCCATCGAGTGTTATGTTTGTTTTTGCTAACCGGCCTCGGGTTTCTGCAACAGCCTGACATCAAGTCTCTACAAATTCAGCTCACCGGATTCCTTGATAAGGATACTGCTACGTTCTGCAAAGAGCTATGGAAGCTATGCCTAAGCGCTCAATCAAGCCCCCAGGGCGTTCCTAAGGAGCTCCTCGAAGCGAAGAAGCAGGAACTTATCCAAGAGAAGGTCAGATTACAAGCGATCGTTAGGTGGTCGTGCTTCGTGACTAAACTAACATTGTGTTGTAGATCGAGGCTGGTAGAGCAGCGGAAGAGGCACGCCAACGACGCGAAGAAATGGACCGCCGAGACCGCGAATTAGCAAACACCCGAGAGCGCGAAAGACGCGATCGATTCCGTGGACGGGGCGACGGCTGGAGGGGTGGACGAAGAGGAGATCACACTTCCGATGGTGGGTGGAGGGGAGGATTTGGTCGTGGTGGCAACCGCTCGCGATCACCTCCACCCACTAGATATCGTGATTCTGGAGATGCTTTTAGCGGTGGAGATCGGTACGTTCCCAGGGGTCGTCGAGGTGGCGGCCGCTATAATGGTCGACGGCGGTCTCCTTCTCGATCTCGCTCGCGGTCCGTTTCACACAGTGCTTCCTCACGCTCCGGTTCTCGGAGCCCGACCCCTCGCCCATCCCGTCGATCCAGCCACCGTCCCACCAGTCCAAAAAGGCGTCGCCCGTCTCGGGAGAGGTCAGAGAGCAGAGGAAGGGGAGAAAGCCACAGGAAGCGGTCACGATCTCCTCGTCGCTCCCCTCATAGGGATCCCGATGAGACGCGAGGAAGACGTTCTTCCAGGCGCCACCCTAACCGATCCCGTCCTCCCTCACGCTCATCTTCTCGGCGATCGTCCCGATCGGGCGACAGCCACTCTCCACCATCAAAACGGAGACGCTACTCAGCATCATCATCCGTATCCTCTCGTTCGGAATCGCCGCCTCGTCGTCGTCGATATGCCCGTAGCAGATCTTCGAGCGGATCATCGCGCGGTCAGTCCCCGGCAAGAGGACGGAGACGCCGTAGCCGAAGCAGATCCTCATCTTACTCGTCCGATGATAGTCGCAGAAGTCCTAGCCGAAGTAGACGCGACCGCCACTCTCGGTCCGCCGATAGCAGCAAGACGCGATCGCCTTCAAGCAGTCGATCTCGGTCCCGATCCCGACGACGAAGTGTTTCCCCACGGTCTGACAGGTCCCGGGGCAAGTCAGCTGACAGTTTTTGATCCAGCAGTGACCGTTTGCATGCAAGACTGCACCGGTGTCTTCGGATACCAGGCGAAGGTGTATAATGGATCCACCTGCGGTCATTTATCATTCTTCAACTACAGGCGCCGGAAGAGATTAGAATTTGGGCAGAAAGATGAGATAATCTCCTCTGATGACAAGATAACGGTTCTTTTTATGCTTTGTCGGCTCCCTGGCTAACGTTGTTTGAAGCATTTCCATCCTGCCTGGCCCCCCACCGACGGCTATGCTGCCTGCCTTCCTTGCGCTTGCCTCGCTTTCTTTGCCCTCGTACGTATCGAGTAGATCTAGATTCATTGGCTAGAGCATGGCTGGTTTACACCCTAATATATATAAAGGTATCTAATCACTCGTTCATAGGTGGTACGTTGGTTCAGGCTTGAGTTCGAACAGGCCCGGAAACATAGACTGAGAAACGTAGGTGAATGGCGGTGATGGCGTCCCGGTTCGCTGTCACTATGATCTGTCCAAGACTAAAGACGAAGCGCACTAGGAATTGTAGTTGTTGTAGCTATATGAGCTCTCATCACATGCCAGTGGCCGACAGGTCTGGCTGTTGCTCGGCCCTTCCATTCTCGGAAGGTTTCTTTCCAAGCTAGTCCTGAGCTCCTGCCGTCTGCCACCCGCAAGGTTTCAAGTCTCGGGCCTTTCTCAGGGCAGGTGGTTTCCAGATGCTTATTCAAGCATACTCGCCCGTGTGACTACTGCCTCATTGCACCTTGATAGAGATCCAGTGTTACCAATGTTATCCTCAACAATTCTTGTGCTTGACAATCTCCAATTTGCTCCCACTTCGTTGCTTTCATGTTCGGCATAAACGGCGCGTAGGCGTCTTTTGACAGCTATTCAATATATGTCCAACTCGATCTCTCTCAACTTAGGAGAAACTTGCAATGTCGATTCATCCCCTTTCGCCGGACGCGGCACGACTGCTTCGCGCTTCCGCCGTGATTATATCTCCGGCGTCTCTCGTTAAAGAACTAGTAGATAATGCAATCGATGCCAAGTGCACTTCGATTCGAGTTCATATTTCACGCAACACTATAGATCTGATCGAGGTTAGGGACAATGGCAATGGCATCCATTCGGGTGATTTCCACGCCTTGGGACGACGGGCTCACACGAGCAAGCTGAGAACATTCCAGGAACTTCCTCATGTTGGTGCAACGAGCCTCGGCTTTAGGGGTGAGGCGTTGGCGTGCGCAAATACGTGCTCAGAGGTGATGATAATCACAAAAACGGCGCAAGACTCTGTTGGCCACTGTCTCCGACTTAATCCTCAAGGCGGCGGCATCTCCGAACTGCGAACTGCGTCGACCGCGGTGGGCTCTACGGTCCAGATCACTCGTCTGTTCGCCAACCTCCCAGTGAGAAAGCAAATGGCGCTTAAGACAAGCCAGAAAGCCTTGTCCGATATCAGGCATCTGCTACAAGTATACGCCTTTGCTAGGCCCCATATACGGATTCTATTCAAGGTCCCCAGCGATAATAAAGGGTCCTGGAGCTACTCCCCCGGAATTCCATCAACCGTTCAAGAGGTAGCTTTGCAAACATTCGGCAAGAACCTAGTTAATAAATGCCAATTCGTCAAAGCGACAGAGTCTGCTTCGTGCCAAAACAAGAGACTTGTAGCAGAGCTCACCGCTTCGGAGATTTCTCAGATTGAAGTCGAGGGCTTTCTACCGAGAAAAGATGCAGATCTCTCCGAAATTTGCCGCAAAGGGGCATTTATATCAGTCGACGCTAGACCGCTGGTTTCCAGCCGAGGAACGCCTAAGAAGATCATGGCGACCTACAAGCGTTATTTGGAAACATGTCAAGGAAATAGGGTGCAGCGTCTCACCAGTCCTTTTATTCAGCTCAATATTCGATGCCCGCCGGGGACTTATGATGTCAATGTCTCACCTGCAAAAGATGAGGTTGTCTTCACAGACGAGCCTAGAGTGCTCAAGGTGGTAGAGGAGTTGTTTCAGTCATGTTATGCGGCGGAAGAGAACGTTGGATCCCCGGTTACAGCTGGCCATGATCTATCATCAGAGGATATCATCGCACTCGAATCGTTTGCTGAGGATGATGACAAGCTATCAGAACTTATTGAGCCCCTGAATACCGACTCCTCAGGCCCCCGACCTTCTAAGGATACCGCTAATGAGAATGGCCAAAAGGGAGATGCTGACGCGTTGGGCGTAAGCCCGGCTCACGCCTGTCTGGCTTGGGCCGTCGATATGTCCATAGATTTAGATGACGACACCGACGAAGAAAATTCCATGGTCCACAATGTTCAACGCCTGTCCGTTATTGATCAGCTTCGCCGAGGCTCCGCACAGGAAGGGAAAGATGTGGGACGTGCTTCAAGTGCTTCCCCTGGGAATGGGCTTGATACAAATGGAAGGCAATCACCCATTGGGGGCCCCAAAGCTTCCGTGGAGCACTCGGCTCATAGCCCTACACAGCAAACCTCCACCGTTAACCCCTGGGGCATTGCCTGTGTCTCGACAGAAGTAAAGCAGCATGAAATCGACACTGACAGTACCGATCTCGGCTTCAGACCGGCTTCTGTTGAGAACCCCATTTGTGCAGATCCTGCACAAACAGTTGGTGCGTTCCCATTCAAAACCCGGGACTTTCACGCAGATGTAATTGGTGATTTCTCTGGATACGAACATTTGACGCCCCCACCCATGCCAAGGTCGCTCCAGGGGCACCAGAAGCTCCAAACCCCTCCGTCATCAGCCCGGCGGGCAGGATCGGGAAATCGGGGTTTTAGTAAACCATTCAAGTTACCGACAATGTCTCACCCCAAGGATCGGTATCCTAATGGACGTGGCAAAGAGAGATACGGCGAGCCGAGAACTCAACACCAACCGGCAGGCCGCGGCCACAAGAACCCTAGCCTAGACACAGCTTTCTCGTATCCCTTGCCTATCACAGAGCTGGTGGGGTGGCCGACCCTCCTAGAGCCCACCATCCTTGGTCTTCCGGATCACTTTCTTACCCCAGAGCCCAATCCTAGTCAGCTGGTTGATAATGACACCAGTCCAGGCCGACGGGCTCGATCGCCATCACTTATCGCATCCATGAAACGAGGCCGGTCCTCTATTGCACAGTCAGCCGGCGACCCTGTCAAGGAGGAGGATCCGGTTGGGCCTTCTACGGCCCCGGATATTAGGGACTTTTTGATGCAACGACCGCGGTCCATGTCAAGGGATAAAAAAGACGGGAAGAGGGCACTCAGGAGGGTCAGGAGCAACCTGCTACCGCTAGAGTCGGTCGAGCTGGGTAAAGAGATGCACACTGTAATGGTTCGGGAAACTATTAATATCGATATCCTTCAGCAGCAGGTCTCCACGATGATGGGTATTGATAGTTACGTCGCCTCCGGCAAGTGCCAGCTAGGCTTGCCAAACGACTTAGCATCGGCAACTGATATTCAGAACACGGTACAGCGCATATTCGGGGAGTGGACAGAATTTCAAACCGGGAATTGGTGCGATTTGAAGCTAGATCTACGGAGTCAGCTCAAGGGCAAAAGTAGGGAGTACATGGCTACACCCTGATGGGAGCGGGATATTTGTGTGGCGTAGGACTTGAGCAGAAGGGAGAAAGTATAGTTATTGGGAGTTGCCATGAATGAGTGTGGTCTAATGTTGACTTGCCCATCTAGGAAGAGCTCAGCAACAAGTTAGTATAAGGTTATTCATAGATTTTCTTCGGTTCGCCGGAATTCTAGTGGAGAACCGCGCTTTGCTACAAGTACATGATCTGAGAACATTAAGAGAGGAGGGTCCAGATGGTCACACCGAGATCATCGGTCTATGAATAGAACAGCAGATGCTGATCGACAGGTTACTTGATTCGTTATACTGTTCAAGTATTAAAGCAACATACGAGACTCCCCACGGCTCGAGCGGAGCCTCAAAGCTGGGAGGGATCTGGGAGGAGGCCTAATGGCAACTTTCACACCTTGATCGATAGTACGTCCACAATTAAGGTGAGGCGATGGCCATTCGTTCGTTGGGCACGCCTAGGGCATGTCAGGCGGATAGGGGCTAGGTTCACGAGCGCAAGAGAACCCCGTACCAAGTCAGCATTTTGAGAAACACGACCATGAGCGCTTGGAGCTGTGCCGTTTGGGCAATGTGTGTGGGGGCCGACTGCCCGTTTACGATGTTTACTTCGTTCGAGGAGGGCCAAAGTCTGTTGATGGTAGGAGGCCTTTTCTTCGGGTCAAAGATAGCCCTTGTGCTGCTGATGCTGATGATGGGGCTGTCCGCATTTCTTGGAAGATCGACGCCTCTCGTACCAAAAACACCAGGGATCAGTGTGGACGCAAGAAGACTCCTCATCACCCGGAGTCGACGTTTTGGCATCAGTCAAAGGGAAGAGCCGAAACGGTGGAGGGACCAAAGAGCAAGAGAGTTTGATGAAATCGTATTACTCTTTTTTTTTTTTTTTTTCTTCTTTTTTTAAATTTATTTAGTCTTAGTATCCCCCCCGGGGGTTACTCTTCTTCTTCCTTAATCATGCCAAGTCCGCAGAGCCGACAAGCGGACAGAACTTGAGGTTGCAGCGATGACGTGGGCGGAAGAATGTGTCGTGGATCGATTCGAAGTCCATTATAGACCTCCTGCATTCAAATATGAGATTCAAAGATTCAAAAGGGGGTGGTCGGGACTTCGTATTCTCCAAGCCCAGCGCTAAGACAGAGGCGATTCCGGGACGAGCGTCTCCCTCTCCCTTTCCTCGTTTCTGTATGGCCACATTGCAACCAGTCCCCCCAACCCTACGAGGCCGGCATTGGTGCATTGGTATCACGATGTTAAACGTCAAAAGAGAGGCGCAGTCGGAGAATCATGCTACTCGATTCGTTTAAACAAACCCTGCCTTTTAGAGATTCTCTGGGAAAGCGTTCCCCTTAAATACAGCAGATGGATTAATGCAAGAAGACACCGTCATTGATGCCTGGGTTTGAGAACTGATCCTCCCTGACTGTATTTTATTTATTTATTTTTATTTTATTTTTATTACTTATTTTATTTTATTTTTTCCCACTCCTTTCTTCCTCTACGAAGTACAGAATTGTGCTGATACTGGGCGAGTGAATGTGGGATGATAGGGAACATGCCGGAGGCGAGTCCGCACGACGTCGTCCCCACTACACTACTGTAGAGACAGATTAGTTCGTGCTCGTACTAGTATATCGCTCTGAATAGTACGGAAAACGCAACAAGAAAGAATCTATTTCTTGGGCTGAGCCGATGTGTGAGTAGGCCTTTCTCCGAGAGACTTCGTACTCTGTGATAGCGGATCCGCGTCAACTCCACATAAATGCGAAGAACAACGTCAACGTTTAGACTGTTAGCTCGATGGTCTGTTCCGTCGCGGACATCGGCCGCTTCCCAATACTCCGTAATTCTCTACTGCAGGCAGAGCTATTTTTAAACTCGAGCTGCAGGGCGAAGAGGTTCTGGGTGTCTTCAGGCTGTAGGGTGGTACCTCGTACCACGCTATCCTCCGCACTTCACCAGCTGAAAAAGGCTCGGTCATTGGCCGAGATCAGAAGATCCATTGATCAATTTTCCAATGTCTGTTGGAGTTAATATCTGCTGTCTGGGCCGGTTCCATGGGGTGATGCCGTGACGGATACGGCCAATGACTTTGCGTCGATGCAGTCATCGTGAGTTTTGGGAGGGGAGAGGGGAGGGGGACTTGACGGCAAGATAGAGCGCTTTCTATTGGTTTCGTAGGGTTGGTAAAAACTTCCCTGTCTTCTGCCGTGCTCTTGTTCCAGGGGGAGATGATCCACGCAGAAGCCTTGATGGCTAGGGTTGTGTTTGTTTCATCGTGCTGACCCTGAGGTTCCATTACTTCCACTTTATCAATCCTAGGTGCCGAAGGGTTCGGGTTTGCCAGGGATTGGATTGATCAATAGATCAATGTCTAAATGCGTGAACTACGACTTTAGTGTCTCTGATGGGATCCACTGGTTCCCGAAGATTCCTTGACGGATTCCTGAATTTCCCTCGTGCTCTGTTTAGCGCAGAAATGCTATCCTGAGGTAGACTTCACGATGAACCGTGTATGAAGTACTTGTCGGGAATTTGGTTCCAAGAATTCAATTTTAGGTATGAAGCATGTTGCGTGCTAGTCTTTGAAGGGTCAAGCTGAGAACCTTCGCGAGGCCGAGTGGGGACATTGCCAGGAGACGGACTCCTTTGACAAGAATTTTGTGTCTTTTGAGACCATGCATCCTGGATCTGTCAATGGATTCCATCAAGGATGGTCCGAGGCCTGAGACACCACAGCTGAGACTTGAAATGCCATCGCCGTACAGTTGCTTTTTCTTTCTTTCTTTCTTTTTGAGAATTGAGACTCTTCAATTGATACAATTTTCGTCCACCATTGATTATGTACTTCGTATGCAATGCAATGTGCGGGCGAGTAGCAAGCAGCGAGCAGTGAGCACTGGAAGACGGGATCGTACAAACACAACTCGCAAAGTTGTCGATCCGATCTTCCGGAGACGGGCTAGGCGAGCTCTCTGCCCACAGCAGATCAACGATCTTACAGATCCTCCCTTGTTGCTGCAACTGTAACATGCATAGGACAGACATGGGGGGCATGGCCAGGTCACCTCAGGTTTCGTCGCCTCACATACGAAGTAAACCAGGCGTTGACGCAACATCAACTGTTAGGGAGCAATGGCCGGAGGACAACTTCCCTGGAACTTGCTTTACAGTGACACTGATATCTCAAGACACAAGCTGATTCGAGCCAAGTGTCGAGTGAAGCCGAGCAGTGTACTTCGTACGCAGAGATTCTCCTCGTTGCCGCATGGAGGTAGTGTAGCCTACCTCACTGGCTACAACGTACTAAACCGAGCGAATTGCCGCTTTGGAGTACATTTTGAACCGTCATTTGATATTGATCCATCCACAATCTCCTCGATCATATCAACTGTCACTTGGTGCAACTGTGGGCTTGTTGGGACATGAGTCCGAGACCGACGAGGTCAAATCAGATTTCACCTGTTGGGAAACCTGGCGGCGCCGCCACAGCCCACATTGCAATGCTCAATGCTCCACCAGCACGTCATCCCTCAGCGCACTTTGCCCTTTTGAGCCCCGGGGCCGAGCTAGGCGGCGGCTGTGTTGCGCCGAGACTGCCTCCTTATGCCCTTGGTCCCACAGGAGCATTGAGAATTTGGGACGACATCGACATCCATCTCGTCCTGGACTTCTCCTGAGTGACCCGCCCTAGAGGATAAAACCCGTGCGCCGAGTTAGCGAAATAGGAGAGTGCGGCCGTGATGATGGCCTGTGGCCCCATGCTGAAAGTGACCGCAAATGCCATAACAGCCAATGTATTCGAGTTACACGAGCCAGTAATATGCGCGAGAATGCGAAACATCCCGCATCGCTGGTGAGGCCCGAGAAATTGAGTTTAATGGGATTATACTATGTAGGCATGGGCCGCATTTACATCGGAGAGTAATTATACTACTCGTGTACTCAGTACGACTAGAGTGCTGGATGAGATGCGGTGATGCTCAAGAGCATGGTATGAGCATGGACCTGCGAACCTTGGAACGTGTGTATCTGCAATTATCCTCAAGAAGAATCTGAACGTTGCAACAACACTAGCATTTAGATCGATACTCCCAAACACGCCAGTGAGAGGGTAATGGAGCTAGCAGCAGCCCTGTGCGGAGGATTCCATCAGAGCTGTATTAAATTATAATAGGCACCACTCTCGATCCGGAAAGGCTGATGAAATATCTTCATCAATCGCTGGCAGTGCGAACGAAGGACTCGATTACTTCGTAGTTGTATCAAGATTACTTTGCTCACTACCTCGTATACAGCTAATGCTCAGCCAGCAGCAGCAAAACCACTGTTGACGACAAACTACTGGACCTCGCGCTCTCAGAATCAAATCTAAACTAGTACCGTAAACTTGTTGGAGCACTCATCGATCCGTTCAAATGACACTGGGGAAATAATTTCCTCCCGCTAACAACTCCGTTCTCGTCTCCGAAGTAGTGTATTAGTACATGATACGAAGTACTTCTGACAATCCAAGCTGATTATGACGTGTACTATGTACTTTTGTTCTGCACTGCCAAACCCCCGTCCCCAACCTTTCATTGAACCCTTTATTGCTCAAATTCTCGTATTTAGCTAGCGCTGGCTGGGTCCTCAACTCGGAGGCATGACTGTCGGCTCAAGCCAGGTACAAGGTACCCAAGGTGTGGAAATCTGATGGATCCGCAAATTGTTTAATAGTATGCACAAAAGTACACGACTTCATCAATGCTTGGGGGTTCGGTGATGGAACAAGTCACCTCGCTCTTACCCTCTGCAATTCCTTCGTTGGGCTGGTTGGTCGGGAAGACTTGAAAGCTTGGACAGACCTGCCTGGCTGGGCAGGATTATTAACCTGACCAAGGAGGAGGGAAGGAGCACAGAACAATGGAACAGAAATGTCCCTGGTCCCCATATTTTTGTAGTTCGATACTTTGTACGAGGTACCTCGACTTCGTACTGGGCTCAGCCCAGCGGTCGTCGCTTCCTTGTTCTTGACTTGGCGTTTGGCTATCTCCTTTGCCTCACTTCACTTCCGCTTCCACTTTCACCTGCACAGCCCAGCTTCCATGCCGATTTTCTTTCCTCCTCATTCAACTCCCAACCTTTCCCACTTTACCACCAAAACGGTAACGCCAGAACGACTCGAAGCCATTGGCGTCCGACTTTCTTTCACGAGGTTTCGCTCTCTTCGACATTAATCCCTCCCTTCCTTTCTCGTTTTTGGCTTCCCCCATCACCCCCGAGTCGCCGAGTCGAACCTGTCCATCGTCGAGCACAAGATGCCGGGCTGAGCACAGCGCCCAACCCTCTCTTCCTCTTTACTTGTCCGACGCCAGGCCAGCTACCGAAGTGGGAAAAAGGGAAATAATAAAAAGGGAAATTTTTTACGTCTTCCTTTCGATCATGCGAACGCGAGAACCTTCTCGCAAAGCCTCGAATACTTCCGGAATCACCTCCAACAAGCCTCGTCGCAGTCATGGGTCATCAGCTGTGCCTGTTCCACCTTCAAAGCTTTCTATGAGTTGTGCCTCTCCTGCTTTAAATAATCCTAACGCCATGTCGATTCCGGGCTGTAGACGCGGCCGGGGCCGGGCCAGTATAATACCACTCTCGAGGAATTGTTGCCTTCCGAGGCTTCAGATGCAGTCCTGGTTTCTCACCTGCCTACTTGCTTCGTGTCTTCTCTTTTTCAAGCCAGCCGCCGCGGCCCAGATAGCTGCCTTTGACAATTGTCTTCCCGATACTTACAAGGCGCATGATCCGACGCCGCTACAATGGCAACCTCTCTACGTCGATGCCGTCTTCGACACCCAGAATAAGAGCCATACTCTTCGCGTGACGACGTGGGGCAACGTGACCGGGTCGTATAATAAAGTAGCGCTGCCTGCTCCAGGGGATCCGAACTGGTCCAACCCCGAGTATACCCATGGCAAGATCCAACAAGAGCCGAACCCGGACATGGAGAATCGTCGGGTCACCACTTTGATCACCAAAGTTAATGTCCTTACCTACGAGCCCTTCAACGATGCTTCGGACTTTTGCAAAGACTCACTCATAAACGGGACCTGTCCGCTTGCTCCTATTTTCGATACAAGCATATTGTAAGTCGCGAGGGTCGCTCTCAATGCAGTCGTGGCCGAATCCTTTTGCCGCGAGCCGCAGTTCTTCTTGGGTGAACCCTGCTAACTCGTGGCTTTTCTCTCTAGGGATCTCCCTTACGGCCTCCCGGCGATGAGTTTCTCTCATTCCTTCTTCTCAAGTTACTCATTTGCGACCTTTTCAGCCACATTTCTGATCATCTACGGCGACTTGGAAAACACGAATATCGGATGCGTGTCGGTGCCTATCACTCCGGATCTCAGCGGTTTCGCCTGGATGCTCACCTTCCTCCCCTTCGTCGCACTCATATTTGTCGGCGCTGCAACCGTCTTCGCCGCCATCTACAGTCCTTGGGGAACCACGGATATTTTCATGTGGTCTTCAAATCACGGCCGTGATGTCGATTTGCTTCGCCTCGTGACCCCTGGTTTCGGCGACTGCTTGCAGTACATCCAATTTGCTGCCTTGACTGGTGCTCTCTCTCTCAATTACCCCGGATTTTACCAGCCGGTAGCTAGCCAAGTAGCCTGGTCATCATTAATGTTCAACCAGAGTTTTGTGAGCCACGGACCCCCCTATCAGAGCTTGGTCGACGGCATCTATGTCACAAATAGCACCCGTGGTCTCACTCGATTCAGTCAACTAGTAGGAATGAGCGAACCCAAGGACGTATGGGCCGGCATGATGGTTTGGTTGCTCGTCATCATTGGTGGCGTGCTCGTCCTAACCCAGCTGGGGTTCCTTGTCCGCCGAGTGTATCGGCTCGTTAGGAGCATCCCCAAGGAGGACCTTCGGTCCAAGAACGTACCATTCTCCGTTGGCAACATTGTGAGAATCGGGTTCAATTACTTTTTACTCCCCATTGTCTCCTTATCCACATATCAACTCGTCGCTGCTGGCGAGTCGCCTGCTTACACTGTGGCACTTTCGGTTGTTACCCTGGCTATCGTAATTGGCTTTACGGTGTGGCTCCTTCGGATCATCACCCAGGCGCGTCCTCGGTCCGACCTGTTCGATGACCTCCCGACGGTCTTGATGTACGGCCCGCTGTATAATACTTACACCGATGAGGCCGCTGGTTTTGCCCTGATTCCAATCCTCCTAGGGATCCTCCGGGGCATCGCTATTGGCGGTCTTCAAGCCTCTGGCATCGCCCAGATCGCCATTCTGGCTAGCGCAGAGGTTGTGCAGCTTCTTGCCTTGGTATACTTCCGTCCATTCCACCCTCAAACTTCCATGAACGCATATCACTCCCTATTCTCTATTCTCCGCCTTGTAACAACGCTGCTGATGATCGCTTTCGCTCCGCCGTTGGGCGTTACTGAGGGGCCTAAGGGCTGGGTCGGATATGTCATTTTGCTCATCCACGGCGGTGTTCTTGTGTTTGGTTTCTTCCTGAATGCGCTGCAAACCTTGATTGAGGTTGTGGCTCGTCTCCTTGGGGCTGGCGGGGATGACATGCGAGGGCTAACCCGCGGCGGACTTTCCAAGATCTTTGGCATGCGACAACTGTCGAGGCGTATGTCTCGCCGCCACCACGGAGTGTCCCGTCAGAGCCAACTCTCTACTACTGCGATGCTCGATGCCGAACAAGCTTCCAAGACTGGATATGTGATGCCGGGTGGCAGAATCAGGAGTGAATCTGTGGCCAGCATCGGCGGTCTAATGAACAAGCAACACAGGTCCTCATCCGCGCTCGATAGCATCGACATATACTCTGGCGCTCCAGCAAGCTCCTTCACACCCACGACGCCTGGAGAAGCAAACCCCTTCTCCTTCCTCCCTTCCCCCACCCACGGCACTCGACCAGCTCAAGGTGCCATGGCCGACAACACCATGGAGCCGTATTACTATCGGCCGCCGAGGCGGAGACGCGAGACGATCACCGAGCCCGTCGCTGGCAACGCGAACGCTCCCTCGATCATGGAACCCAAGCGTTATAGCCAGACGGGAGGCACCCTCGGCGACCCGAGCGACTTGGATGCGACCCTATCCCGAGGTGCAACACCCGCCCCTCATGGTTCTCTTCCCATTAACCTAGCGCCGAGAACTGATTACACCACGAGAGAAGTGGACTTTTACTATGGTGTGAGAGGGCCGGCTCTCAATTCCGAGCGTCCTGGAAGGAAGCTTGGAACGGGCCCAGCAGATCCAACCGGACCGGTAGCGACGGCGCAAGGATGGCTGCGTTCGTTATTTAGCGGCAAAACGAAAGATAAGGGCAAAGGATTCGAAGTCGTCCGGAGCGCGAGGATGCCTCCGGCGATGCGAATGCAAGCCGGTCTTGGGGCCGATCCTGCAAGCGGCGGCATGCCTGTGGCTATGTCTAATCTGAAGAATGGACCTGCCGACTCGGACGACGATGAAGACGATGTGGCGGGACCGGCGAAGATTCGGCGAGCACGGAGCCCAGCGACCCTATTAAACGAAGATGGAGAACCGCAAGACCTGGATGCGGAGACCGCGGCGCTCGGCGACTTGGATGCGCCAGATATCCCGAGGAAGAGTTCGAAGAGGCATTCAGGAGTGTTAGACGTCAGCGGGGCGCCGTCGTTCAATCTCATACCTCCAGGGACGCCTCCAGACTCACCCAGGCGACATAGCCATGACATCAGTGATGGGCCGCCAGTATTATCCCGACTGCCGTTTGAGCGCACCGACTCGACGAGGTATAATTCGTCCGTTTCGTCCATGGATATCGGGGATGACTTCACCCAGATCGACCTCCACCGGTCCAAAACCAACGAGGACGAGCCCACCAGTGGTACCGTTCCGCAGCACAGTATAAGCAGGGTCGAGCCGGACCGGCAGCATGTTGACCTTCTCGGCAGCTCGGCCGAGCTAATCGATGACCAGTACACGTCGAGCCACGGAGGATCAGTCGACGGCAGGCGGTGATGCCGCTAAACTCCCTTCCTCGGAACTATACACAACATATACCACCAGTTACTACCTCTTACACTTTTGGAAACAAGAGATTCCAATGTAATAATGATCTGATCACGGGAAGGGAACACAAAAGTGCTACCTTGGGAGAAACAAAAAGCGTGTTTTTGAGGGCATTTTATTATATACACAGCATTTCGGAGGAGCTATTCTTTTTGGGGTTCTTTTTTTTTTTTTTTTTTTTTTTTTTTTTTTTGGATATCTTGTTCCGGGAGGAATTATCATGGAATTATTATCTCGAGGGAACATGACAGAACATAGTACAGGATTTTATTTTCTTTAGGGGGTACCCGGATTTTCCAATTGCGAAACGAAGTCTCACTTGGTGTTGCTACTTGCCGTTTCCCATCGTCGAGCGCATCTCGATTAGCTTTCTTCCCCTTCTTTTTTTTCTTGTTTTGATAAGACTAAGGGCTTCTGTTTTGGATCATGATGATGCCGAATAATGATGAAATATAACAACAAATTTTAATCCTTTTCTTTTTCTTCCATACGGCATAGGTGTTTCTTTTAACCTCGGTCCTAGAAACGAGTTCTTGATTTACTCATGACACTTAGGCTATTATTATCCTGAATCCCGTCTTCTGAGTTCTGAATCCCAGAAGTTCTGCGCTCGTTTTGTGGCGTTGACAAGTCCCAACTTTGATTCAAACCTATTACTTCCTAGGATTCGGGGTCCTCCGATCCCCCCCAAGAATCGCTACGCGCAAGACTAAGTCGAACCGTTTAGACCTTCGTGGGTTTAAAGGAAAGGAAACGAAGAAGGCGAAATGTTGTTTCATGGAAAGAGATCCTTGATTTACCACCGCCTACCAAACCAATACCATTAAAACGAATGACCCGATGCTCTTTCCCGAGAGCTTGAAAGACCCATGAACCCTTTGGCTTGTGAAAAAACAGCCGACATAAAAACCAGGCCCCTGATGCCAGTAATGCAGCGCAGTTGAAAATGACGGAGACAGTACGTATGGGAGAAGAAAACAAAAAAAGTTTCGCAACGGTAACTTTCAGCTCTTCTTGGATTTCAAAGAACAAACGAAGAGAAGAAATTTCCTTGCGAGGGTATCAAAATATGGGTCCCCTGAATGAGACTAGAGAGAGAGATTGAAATAGACCACCTGAACACCTTTGATGCTATGAAGCTGGGTTGGACGCCGATGATGACAGAGAAGGAAACGGAGAAGAAGAAAAGTATACAACATTGAATATGCCGGGGCGAGGACATAATCTTATGTTCAACGAAGATGCAAGGTAGAAACCAATATTAGTGCAATAGAGGTCAAAAGAGGGGGCCGTGTTCCGGCTTCGGGGTGGATAAGAGACTAGTCTTCCCAGATCGTCTCGAGATCAAGGTCGCCGCGCCGTTCGGCCCCACAAACACTCCATCTTTTGCGCTTGTCCCTCGAACCAAAGCCAAGAGTACGGCCACGAGTAGGTACGTCGAGGCTAGACTTGGGCTTCGAGTCCGTAGACGAGTCGGAGCTCTCCGCTGCCTCAGCGTCGGCCTTTAGCCTCGCTAACCTCTCGGCCTCTAGAGCTGCCTCTTCAGCATCGGGAGAATCAGGAATTGTCTCGAGACTTGAAATGCTGGGGCTCCTAGACCGGGCGGAAGTGGGAGTCGACGGTACAGAAGAAGGCGCAAAGGAGGGCACAAAGCCATAACCACCAGGGAAGGAGTCAGGCGATCGATAAAACGGGTTGGTAGTGGCTGAGGTCGAGGTCGAGGTCGAGTACGAACCAGGGGTTGGCACGGCGCCGGTAGTGGTAAAATGTCTAAATGGGGATGCTGGCCGACGATGGCGTGAAACCGTGATCTGGGCTGGCGGAGTAGGCACGTTTGTAGTAGAGCTGTTCTTTTCAGTGACCTTTCGCTCGGCTGGCTCGAGAACGGTCATACGGACTGGCGATATTGGCGGGAAGGCTTCGTCGGCGATTTTCCGGGGAATGCGGATTCTGCTCGGAGAGCTCGGGGAACGAGAAGGGCTGCTGGGCCGTAGCTGCGGAGAGTAAAGGAGGTGACCGGCGCCATTGACTCCAGGAAGAGATTGCGTTCTTGACAGGGGAATCGCCAAGGGGGAAGCAGCAGATCGGGATCTTGTGTGAGAGCTCCCTCCCGAGAGAGGCGAAGTAGTTCGTGGTCGGTAGGGTAGAGTATTGGAGGAGGAATACCAGGAAGGCGATTTTGGGGATGAGGGAAGTGGATCGGTCGATCGCCGTAGGGCCTGAAGTCTCACGAGGCCATCGCTATCGGTTGGGGGGTTTGCGTTGGGATTCTGAAGACGTAATGTAGGGAGAGGAGACTGCCGGAACTCCTCCATTCGCTCAGTCTCTGGAACGGGCTCCATTTTGGTCGATATGTCAAGGGTTGGTTCGGTCGAGTAGGCCGAGGTGTTAGAGGGTTGAGGAGCTCATAGGTACACGGATAAACAAACGAGCTGAGATGGTCTTGGGTGATGAAGCGGGCAAGACGCGGAAAATAAAGGTGGGTTTGATTGTTGACACGATGGAGATGCGGGACAGAATGGCTGAGTACTGGGTCTGGGACTGGAGGTGAATTGTCTCGTCGCCGGCTACGTCGCGAAGGACGAATGGCCAAAGGGGGCACTAGGTGTTTCGGAAGCTATATTGACTTGCTTCTCGCTGATCTATTCAGCGGTAAGTTCTCGGAATTGCTTTTTAATCGGCAAGGTATTCGTCAAGCGGGGAGGCGAGATCGTGGTTAGATCGAGAGGGGCTTGTGTTGTTTATATTCTTGGTCGTCGTTATAGGAGAGGGTTCGATCGACGACCTTCTGGTTTCAGCGGCTCTCGTAATCGTTGGATGCCGGCTCTTGGTGAGGCCAAGGAGGCAGAAAAATAGTGGGAGTAGGGAGCGGGAGAAGAGAGTGGGGGGATGTCTGATTTTTGTCCTCTTGCTAGAAGGAGCGCAAGAAAAATATATGCGTTGCTGTGAGCGGTAACGCAAAGGTTAAGATTGACGTCGGTGAGGTGAGGGGGGGGTGTTGCTGAAGATGGATGGATACAGGTCTTGGGAGAGGAGCAGGGAGGGTGGTGTTGAAGTAGCCGGGGACCAAATCGAAGGGATTGATTTGAGGGACACTAGAACCGGCTGAGTACAGGTACTTGTCTACTCTGCTGTAAACAAAGTGCGCGGGAAGCCGCCATCCATCCAGCAAGGGTCGCGGAGCGGCTGGGTTAGGCTGGGCAGGTTGTGAACCAGAACCTCAGAACCACGGCACGAGTTGGAGGGTCCTTCTCCTTGTGGGTTGGTGGGTGGTGGATGGACGGAAGGAGCAAGGGAGCTATTAATTAGAGCCTTCGAAGTATTAATTAGAGGGGGTGCTCAGGAAGATAGCAGGAATCAAGTACCCAGAGGCGAGACTATCCGTCTGGGGAAGGTAACTGTACATGAACCGCAGTACATTAGTGTATGCAGGTCTGTCTAGTGCCTGCTTGGTGCTACGTTCCGGCTGCACTTCAAGGGCCGAGGACGGTGAAGAGATAGAGGGTGAACACTTTAAAGAAGATGGGAGGTACCGTCACTCGAAGTACTTGTACAGGTAATACTCGCACTTGCTTACTTTGCAACGGAGGTACCCGCAATGACCGTTGCTGGCAACAACCTCTGGGCTACAAAGTACTGGTGGAAGGAGCGTTTGGAATGGATGAAGGTGAGATCAATGTGATTCCACCACCGTCTCGCCCCAGTTCAAAGGGTCATCGCTTTTGGACAATCGGACCCTTTGATTTAAGTTTCTCTGGTGCCCTAGAGGCGAAAGTTGAGACCTTCAGCCTCAGGTCGAAACAGGGAAGTGGACATCTCGAGAAAAGACGGTTAGACCACTATGCTATTGATCGCAATGCAGCCTCAGCGGCACTGGCAAGCGGTTTCGAAGGCGAGGGAGAAGCAGTACGAGAACTTGACACGTTTGGTGATACATGCTCTACATACGGAGGACCTTGATCTATGGAGTATTTACGAAGCAATCAAGTCGGCGGAATAAATAATGATAGCGGCAGGGCAAACGGGCCAGGTTGATGGATCCATCCATGTGCCCTCTCCTCTTCGAAGTCTTACCACAGGGCAGAACATGAATCTACTAATATCAATTGATCCCTGGTGAAGCACTGTTTGTATTCGCAACATTGAAAGGGGGTCCAGGATTGATTGGTTCACTTGTCCCATGCCGTCTTCTGTCCTTTTCGCGTCTGCCTGTCGTTTCTGCCTTAATACGCTTGCCCCAGCACGGGGGTCTGTAAACCCGACATTCCATGCTGGATTAGGATCAATCGGTAGACCTTGGGAAAGGGTGAACTGCCCCTGAACTGTTCATGTTGTAGGTTCTTGTGGCTCTCAGTTGCTCCGCATGGGTGCATGAGCCATAATTCCAGCTGCGAATAATACTGCAATCTTTACGAAGTAGTCTGGCACTAAATCGATCATTTTCGACAATGATGAGTGCGTGCCTGCATACTTCGCGCATGCAGCCAGAGATGTCATTCGAAGTGAAAAGGGGTACACTCCACGACCAAAATCCATCACCTCAGAGCCAGATCTGCGATGGTTGCCAGTTGCGGAATGGTGTGGTCTTGCAGGACCCTTCACCCCTGCAGTCGCCAACCACACTCTCGGGCCAGCCCTGAGTCTCAGCCAGCCGATAGTGCTGACCTGTTGTTGAAACCTTGTGCCAGGTGGTGCGGCTGACCCGGATACTGACTGACCATCCATCTCAGAAGGCCACTTCTGAAGTGACTGTTGCAGTGGCTGCAGAGCAGAGTGTCAATCACAGGACCTGCAGTCTTGTGGACCACTCATTGGATCGTTCCCGGCTTCGCCGTTTACATGCCTCCCCTGCTGAGCAGAGAGCACACCTGGTGCCTGATGATGAATGACGGGAAGCCATCACCGCCATCCTTGCATTCATGAGTCTATCTTGTACGAATACCTCGGTACTACGAAGTACTTCACAGCTGCATTCCACCTGCCTGTCCTGTTCTGTAGAATACGAGATGTACATATAGCTATATTATCACCAAGGCCCGTGTCCTTTCGTACGACAATGCCGGGTGGATCAAAGTCGGCATGGAAGTTCCTTGCTTCAGCCCATCTCAGGCGAGAGAGTTTTCTGTTGCTCTCCTTTCATGCCACCGAAGTCCACTATTTTCCACGAGAGATCTCTAAGCATGCCCGTCTCGAGTGTAACGCCATCGCCTACCCGCCCATCGCCCGCTAGAAACACATCAGAAGGTGAATAGTTTTCGTCCGCATCGCCACACGGAAATTTTTGTTCCCTTCTCCCTCCACCAAAAAAGGAGGCCCACGCGAGCAGGGAAAGCTTTGACCTTTTGGTCTCTGCACCCCTTAAACCTTAGGCCCAACCAGCTTCAAACCAGGTCGAGGCATGACGCCTCGTCCAGTGACCTCATCATGCCCCGACACCGATGGACGCGCAATGCCAATGTTTCAAAACGGGAAGCACTAGGTGTCGCAAGCAGTCGTGTTCAGCGAAGATAATAATAGTTCATGTTAATAGTGCATGTCAGGAATGCCCCTAGAACCCCACCGTCGGTGGGACTTATAGAGGGTAATAGGCGGATCCGAATTAGACCTTGGGCTAGCTCTGCCCAAAAATCTTGACCTGCGCTTCATCGATGATCAAGCCTTCTCTCAAGATGCCGCATTGGGTGAGGTCATGACCACTGCGCTCTACCCATTCACTACTCTCGGCTTAAAAAGAGGCACCCCAATAACCTAGGTGATCCACAGTCTCGGTAGGAACCTGCAAGGCGACACAGGCAGGGAGGGAAATGCCTGCTGCGCTATTCCGCGTAAATCATTGCCCGGCTGATGATCTGTTGTTGTCGTCAAGCTACCTCTCATCAGATCTAGCTACGATGCCACTAGCCTTGCTGATCTTTCAGCCAGCTACTGCAGCGTAATTCCATTTTTAGCTCCATGCCTTTCAATATTCTTTCGATGTTGCATCGTTTCTGTGCGACCACTTGGTGGGGACCATGCTTCAAAAAACCAAAGAGCCTTTGCCTATACTGAGAACGGCTCAACAGGTACGCTGAAGTGGTCCTAGTACGTGATATAGGTTATCAAGATGCATTGGATGTTACCGAGATGAGATCAATGCTACCACCGTTCCGCACACCCAAGAAACAACTCGGCACACACCACAACGCTAGAAAAACCGACGCCGGCTCGGTGAAATTGGTCCTTATGCGCATTGCTCGGCGACGGCAATTTCCACCCCGCGTGCCTAAATCTCCTTCTCTAATATAGCTTGATGCCCGCATGGCGGGTGAGTCCTCTATCCGAGAACGTCCCGGCTGTGATCTGCTAGTACTTTTGCTCTATTCTCCTCAGGGTTGTTGGTGGTCAAAGTCACGAACAGACATTCGGGAGTCCATGGCGCGGTAATACTCGCAGCCTCTATCACCCTGTGAGAGGGCTAAAATCATTATAGGTTGTGCAACATTCATGAGACCGGTACGAAGTTAGATCTAGTCTTACACAAGGGATTTCCTTGACAACGACATAGAAATGGGGACGGGGACGAGAACTAAAGGCGAGGGAAAAGAAGAAGAGGGAAAAAGTAAGAAAGAGAGTGAGCTACATCTCTATAACTTCGAGCTGGAGCCCTTTTGTCCAGCAAGACCCTTAGCAATCTGTCCCGTAAACAAGAAATCGGGATACTGCACCCCAATTTCCGTCCCAACACCAACCGACCCGCCCATCCTCCACAGCGCGCCATCCACCACAAGAACATGCCCGTTGACGTACGAACCCGAATCGCTAAACAGGTAAATCGTCGCGTCAGAAATGTCCCTCACACTGCCCAGCCTCCCAGACGGGATGCGCTTCCCCATAACATCGTCGCCGACACCGCTGAGTCGCGACATTCCCTCGGTGTTTGCGATGGGGCCCGGCGCTATGACGTTGCTAGTGACGCCGAAGGGTCCGTACTCGAGCGCGACAGATGCCATGAGCGAGTCGACGCCAGCTTTGGCGGCCGCGACGTGGCCCTGGAGAGGCATACCGGTGTAGTGGAAGGTCGCGGAGATGGCGATGATGCGGCCGCCTGTGAGGCCGTCTTTGCTGGGGAGGGGGTTTCGCTTGGCGGACTCGACGAGGTGAGGGATGGTGGCTTTGACGGTGTTGAAGGTGCCAATGACGTCGATGTCGATTACCGCTTTAAAGGCTGGTGAAGGGGTGTTAGGAAGACTTTATACCGCTTGCAATGATGAAAGTCATAACGTACCGTTCGGGCTCATCCTAGATAAGGGTACCACGAAATTACCGGCTGCTCCGGCACTATCCAAGATGTGAGCTCAAAGTCAACGACGCCTTCGGGACTGATACGATTGTATACTGTAGGGTCGCTAGACTTACATAACGAAATCTATACCGCCCAATTCCTTCACACAGCGGCCCGCCGCGCTGGCAAGGCTCTCGTACTAGAGGCACAGTCGAGTCAGCGAATACAATTCCGACCTTTGGAAACGATCTCCCTTCTGCGGACATCCTGCCTTTAAGGCCCAGACACTAGACTTACGCTTCGCACATCGCAGCCACCAATGCCAATCACCCTAGCACCCTTCCTTGCCGTCGCGATGTCTTTGGCCGCCTTCTCGGTCTTTTCAACGTTGCGACCGATGATGCAAGCATCGGCGCCGAGCCTCACCATAGCTCGCGTTTGAGCGCTGCATATCGTACCAGCGCCTCCCGTCACAAAGACCACGCGCCCGTCTATCGTCGAGACAACATTAGCATCGACGTCCGAGAAATGACGGCTAGAGGTTCTTGAGAACGAAAAAGTGGGCGAGACGTACTGAACAGTCCATCCTTCCAGACGGGGCTGAGATATTCAGATTCGGGGATCGACATTTTGTTTTCGTGTCGCGGGTATATCACGGCAAGGAACGGGCACTCTTGACACACACACACAACTGGACGGTCGACTCTCTGGTTCGAAATCAAGCGAATGCGATTGTTTATATTGATAATATTTTCAGTCGACAAACTCCTTTCAAGGGAAGGGAACTTCTCTTTAATATGTGGAGGAGAGAAACGGAGTTCGGGCCTACAAATGGTTTAGTGTCCCCCCGGACTTCTTTCCCTGCCTCCGCAATCCGCTGGGATTAAGCCTGGGGAAGCTACGGGGCTGCCGAGGTCGACGAGCCTCGGCTCCGCTGTGGATTGACGTAATCAGCAACGCGAAAAAGCTCCAAAGCGTACCTTCGTACTTCGCACTCGCATAGCATCTTGTTGGCCTGAGATCCAAGACATCCACATTTTATGCAGTGCGGTCTGCATAATGAGTTTGCACTAAAATGGCAGCTCAAGCCACTTTTGGCCGTTGCCGCCCGCCTTAGTAAACAGACGGCAGCTACTGGCACGCAACTGGGTCCGCCCGCTTGCAGTTCTCCGCCTTCACAGCGCTCAAGGCACCAATGGGCGAGTGTCACCCCCTCAGCGAATCAGACGACGCCCCTCATCAGGTGCTTGATGCTTGACGACACACCATCATTGATCCCTTCGACCAGACCCGGCCGGAGAATCCCCTCGACGCCCAAACCTTGAACCTCGCATCGTCCCAAGTCGCGATATATCTCTTCTCGCCTCGTCAATCTGCGCCGTCTCTGTCTGTCCGAAACATCCAAGAGTCCACAGAAAGTCGTCTTCCGCATCATGACCTCCAAAAAGGTTTCCGCGCTGAAATTCGTCGGCACCGTCTCGGTCGGCCTGCTAACCGTACGTCATGCCCACTGCGTCATAACCCCTCCTCCCCCTCCCACCTCCAACTCCCGTCCCCTTCCACAAAACGAACAATAAAGAAGGGGGGGAGTCGTAACCACTTGACTGACCTCGTCTCTCCTACAATGTAGGGCGTCTCCTACACTCTCTCGACCCTCGCGGCCCCCGCCCTCCTAACCCTCCCCTCCGCGACCACCGCCTCAAAAACCCTCACCTCCCTCTCCTCCTCCTCCGCAACCCACCTAACGACCCTCTCCGCCCTCTCCTCTTCCGCATTCGCCCTCGCCTTCGTCCTCTCCCCCCGATCCTCCCGCCACCCTTACCTCCTCTACACCTCCCTCCTCGCCGCCGCATCCGCCTTCGCCCCGCGCCTCGCTCCCTTCCTCCTCGGTAGACCCTCGACCCGACCCGCTGCGCCCGCTCCCGCTGCTTCGTCGTCTCCGCAGAGGAGGAGGCCTCAACGCTCCATGGAGGCGAGCTACGAAGTCCTCGGCGACGCACACAGCGACGGTACCGTGAGCGGTGAGGAGGTCGAGGAGGATCAGGCTGCGCAGCAACAGCAGCAGCAGAATGGCGAGGAGGTCAGGGCCCAGGTTGAGACTTTCCTTAAGGAGAGGCTTGTGCAGACTAGTCTTGCGGCCTTGAGCTTCGCTATTTCTATCGTGGGTATTTGGGGTGATGGTGCTTCGGAGGTTATCCGAGGTGAAACCATTGTGTTTGGGTTGTAAGGATTGGCAATCGCTCTTCGACATCTTTTTTTTTTCGTTTGTTCGCAACTTTTATGATGACCATATGGAGATGAGAGAGGCTGGAGATTGAAGTTCTTTCGCCAATCATTTATTTACAGTGCCTGGTGCCTAAGAATGGCATCTCGCACCACGAGCAGTTAACCCTCACCTCATTTCATTTCTTCTTTGAATGATTCAAGCCTGGAGCAAGGGGATGGGTTGTGTGGGCATTCGAAGAAAGGAAAAAAGAAAAACAAGCTACTAAAAACGCCGCTCTTCTTCTCCATGTTAAGTCCAAATGGACACTCTCACACACACACATATATGAATATACCAAGGAATAGAACTTCAGTTCATGTAATACTATCACTCACTATCCTATTTCACAAACCAAAATATTAAGAAAAGAGAAACAGCACGCACAAGGCGGCCTATTAATTAGTATCAGACATTTACTCCTTCGACGCCGAAGATTGATTGTAGAGATGATTTATTCGAGGTGTGATGGTGGAGTCGAACCAGCGGCTGAACGGTGCATACATTACAGCCAACCGTTGAACAGGGTTATGCTTAAATGACCAAGCACGAATTCGCTTTCCGTAGATGTCTAGACGGCCACGGTTAGCGGACTGCGGAGTAGCACATGGCCAAAGGAGACTGGCACACTTACACATCGGGATGCTAGTGAGGAAGATGACGACCTGGATCGAGGCAATGATGACAATAGTCCACTTGATCCCCATGCCCGTAGTGACCCAGTCAAATGCAAAGAAGGTGAGGACGAAACTGAAGAAATTCTTAAAGATGATCATCATGGTAAATCCCTCAATAGCCAGATCACCTAGAAGGAAAAGGGGGAAGGGAAAAAAAAGTTAGCGACGTGATTTGACAGTCTTCAAAGCAAGGATGGCTACATACGGTAGGCGTCTACAATGTAGAGCGAGCTGGATACGGTGCTGATGACCATTCCAGCGACCTGAAGGCCGAAAAAGATAATGGGCACAATCCAATGGTACTTGCCAGTGATGAGTTGCGACGCCGTGATAGCGAAACCGTATAAGCCGGCACACCCAGCGGCGAACGCAGGGATGGTGAGGAAGATTCGGAACTCAGGCTCATAGATGCCGTTGTTCCTCCGTGTCAGCCACTTGACGCTGAAATCTGCCCCCAGCCCGGCCACAACGAAGCCTATTAGTGCGCCGACGAAGGGACCAGCATAGGCATACCCGTTTTCTACCTCGGTCCAAAAGTACGGGCCCCCGGTGAAAATAGATGCGATGATAGCACCGATAAAGACAGTCCATCCAATCATAGTACCTTGCACCATACAGGCCCACAAGAAAGCAGGGTGGAACACGAGAGCGAAAGGCCGAAGAAGAAGTTCCCCGAAAGCGTCGTCCGTCTTCCTCCCGTTGAACGGAGCCAACGATTGAGCAAAGGTGCGTTTTGGCGGGATAAAACGAGCCGGGTTAAAGGACGTTGCCACTCCGGCTACTTCGGCCTTGGCCGGGTCCAAGTTCGTCGGTATGTTGTTTGCCAAGGTCTCGGTGCCGCCAGAAATCCTGGTTTCAGTATGGGGAGGCGACTGTTGAGCAGAGTCGTATGCATGCCGGACCTCCGCCTCCATGTCAGTGTTAAGCGAAGCGTCGCGACGATAAGCCGTCTCTGGGCAAAATAAGAACACCAAAACTAGGCAAAGGGCGCAGAAGATGGCGACGAAGTAGAATGCCCAATACCAGCCCAGGGACTCGGTAATCTTTCCAACCAAAATAGGAGTGAAGAATGCACCGCCAAACACGGCTAAATTAGTAAAAGCCATACGAATGCCTCTTTGGTGGACAAAGTAGAGATCACTGACGGCAGCGTTGACGAGAGTCTCGAACGGAGCACAGCCGACACCCTGGACAACGCGAGCACCGATGAACGAGCCGTATTTGCCCAAACCGGGGGCCTTGAACTCTCTGGCAGAGCCAGCCCACGCGGAGGAAGCAATGAGAAGGATGAGGCCGAAAATGAAGGCATGTCGCTTTCCCCAAATCCTAGCCGAAGGGACGAAGAACACGGCCGCTGCGCCGACACCAAGCAAAAAGTATCCAGTCATCAAAGCCACCTTCGTAAATGTCGTCCTGAATATAATGGTCATAACGATTGTGTCCGCCGCGAGAATGGACCCGAGCGAGGTAGCAAAGATGGCGCTCATCGAGAGGATGAAGGTGATCGTGTCGCGTTTCCATATCGGCCAGTTGAGAGGGTCATTGGGGTCGTCTGACGGTTGAGGGACCTGAAAGATTGATTAGAAAAAGAAAAGAACCCGCCACCAAACCACGTTTCCTTTCGTGCATAGAACTTAGAACGAGAGACAGGTCCGTACAAGAATGATGGGCACCGGGCCCGACCTGTCGCATTTCAGAAGAGTATTGGCGTCCGCGATCTGAGGTCTCTCGAGGTCATCGAAATAACGGGTGGTCCCTAAGTTCAGGAGCAGCAGCGGCGGCAGCGAGAGTTAGCAAAGGCTCATACACACACACACATACACACACAAAAGGCGGATCGCAAAAAAAAAGGACTGCGGCTCCACAGAATAAGCATCACTAACCCGGAACCTTCTCCAGGGACTTAGACTCTAGGATGCCCCACGACATAGTTGCGCCTGCGGAGGTGTTACGGTCGGGACGCGAGGGAGACGACGGGTTCGGGGCGATGGGCGGCATTATGTCGACTGAAGCCTTCGGAGCATTGCTCGAAAACGAGAGAGAAATATCAACTGCGACACGCGTTGCTCAGGCGAGCCCCAACGATCATCACGAGAGTCGACGTCGAGATTGAAGTTGGACGACGGATGGATCGAGGATGCGCGGCCGCCGACGATGATTGGCTGCGCCCACTTAAGGTGGTTTATTGGCTCCGCCAGTGAGGTAAACTCTGAAGTACAATTTCGGTACTTGGCAATTTCCGCTTGGCGAGAGTCTGAATGCTCTGGTCCAGTGCCTGGTTGATGGTGGCTGATCCCCGATGCTGTCAACCGAATCTGGTCTAGCGTTGGAGCAGAGGGGCTGGCAGGTGCGGCACTGGGATTTCGGACACGAATCTATCCAGCACAGACGTTGCCCATACAACCCCTACGCATTGGCATCACGATGCGTGACTGAAACTACTGTGTATGCCACTCTTTGTCGATTCAGACCAAGCCACCTCTAATCGCCGAATCTCTCCTTTCCCAATTCCCATCTCGAACACGGGCCGACTAGATCGCGTGTGATACATTTTGATAGGGGTAACTCAGCTGCGCAACTCACCGCCCCAACCAGGCAGCAGTTTTAAACCCCTTCTCTTCGAGCCCAGATGGTCGCTAAATCGTCCGACTGGCGAAGAAAACCGCAACAAACTGTGTATTATACCTTCCACTTTAAGCATCATTTCCCACTTCTTTCACATTAGGCACGTATCAACCCAATTCTGCTCTACGACGGAACGCATCGGAGGTGATTGGATTTGAATATCGTGTATCATTACTGTACAGTTTGGACGTCAAGTTAAACCGGGTCCTGCCATCTCAGTCTTCACCGCCTATCGACGTAGTCCGGTGACATTGCAGGATTGCGCCACTCTCAACGTCCAGCGAAACAAAAATTCCACCAGTGCTGAAATGGACCGGAGTTTAAACACCGGCAGAGGTGCTGCTCCCTTTGCCAAACAGTGTCACGGGAAGTCACCCAAGTCCCGCCAACTGCTTCGTCCACTAAGAAGCCGATTGTAGTGGAAGTAGGCATGCAGAACAAAGCTGGTGGTTAGAAAATGTCTCGGTCGACGGCAGACCGAAATCTCCTTGTTGGTCTGTCACGAGCAGCCATCGGTATTTGACCGAGGTGGATTGGGGAGGATGACGGAGGCACTGCCTACGCCGGACAAGCCCTAGAAGATTGAAATCAAAGCTGGCAATACCACTAACACTGTCTCGCTCCACACCCATACACTTTCCACGTAAGTGCCTTTCTTAGATGATTCGAAGATCATGATGACCGAACGGCAGAGAGCCATCGACCTTTTCTCACCACAAAAATCAGCGCGCGTCAGGGTCTCTGGATGGCTCGGTAATAACTCAGAAATCGCCACGGCTTCCTCGCACTTCCTGCTCGTGCGTCCGAGGTCGGTTGGCATAATAGCAAGCCTTGTCCTTGCACTCAAGGCTTTCAATCCCTCCAACGTCATTTCAACCTCGAAAGCTGAACCCTTCGAGGGTTTATTTCGGTATGGACGTCTGAGAGTGGTCGCAAGTAAGTGTATCGGCCATCCGTTACCTTGGTGTGGACGCAACAAGACTACTGGAATGGCCAATCGGACCAAGAGCAAATAGACGACGCAGAGAAGGATGCCTTCACCCTTGAAACTATTCGAGACAGTGTTAATGGAGGTTATTCGGTTGCGATAGAGACTCGTAGGCTGGTTCTGGCATAGTTTCCCATTGCATTGTCTTACCTTTTCCACTTTCCACACCATCATATGACTCTCCCCATTTACGCATCTTCGATCCTTCTCCCCCGGGGTCCCTCCCCAAGTACTCGCTAAAATCCTTCATTCTCACTCAAGTCGTCGGTGGGGAGTGAGTACATTAGGCCCCTCCCTCTCTTGACGAGAGTCATGAAAATCCAGACCTTCACTCAAGTCATCGGTTGTTGATAGGGTCTTCATCTTGATAATTGACGTTCCAGAGAATTCGGTAGCATGAGCGTCTATACATTAAATAAAGATGTGATAGAGCAGTCGTTCCTTGGATGCTTACCCACCCATTTCTTGCTCCATAATACGTCGGGTCTCGGCGCTTTGCTAGCAGCAACCGATCGAGGCGAAAGATTAGTGAGTGTCCGCCCCTCATCACAGCTATCCTGATCGAAGAACATCTGGGACAGGGATGCTGAGATAAGCAATCAATTGATGCCCTGGTCTGTATTTGTGAGACTGGCCGCAAAGGAACCTTGACCATCCGAGGTTCCGTCCTCAGGTGAGCCGGCGTTGCACACCGAACCGGTCTGACTACCCCCGAACTTCCGACGTCATCACCCCTTTCCACACCGCCCCGTCCCTAAATAGCATCAATGATGTGGTATCAGGGCTTACCAAGGAAGGCCCCAAGCCTGACAAAGACCAAAAGTCCTTCAAAGAAATAATGTTACTATGCGTTAACCATCACATTGTTCTCGGGTAGGCTGTTACCGGAGACGGTCTGAATATCTGCAAGAATCACTGCCTGTTGACGGTGCCGGAGCACTATTTGATAGCCTCAAGTTACCCAAGGACATTCCGAAACCGCCGACCTTGTATGCCTACGAGGATCTATCACTGACCTTACTAAATTGAGTGTAAACCCGAAAGGGATGCCCTGTAATAAGCGGAAAGCGGTGGATGTGAAGTCGGTGTGTGCTTGGTGGTTTCGACGATCCTGGCTTCAGTCCTTGATCCGCCAAGGGGCGTGGTTCTATATCACCGTGCTCGTCAGGGCCCTATAACACATCAATTGGCGTGCTGTGTTCGAGATATATCAGACTTGTCAAAAATGCTCCACTCCCTCTCGGTGCTGACATGTCGACAGCAGATGTGCGTTGACGCCAGTGTGGGTGTAAATGCAGGTGCAGGTGTGTGTGCAAGTTGTAAGTGGAGGTGGAAGTGCATGCATTCTCATTCCACCAATGTGTTCCCCACAATCCGCAAAGGAGCACATAATGTCCAATATCAAAATGCATCTTGTCCCAATCTGCGTCTCCCCGCTTTCTTGCTCTGCTTTCTGAATTTGGGACAGGCATCCTGGTCTTGTCTTGCCCTGACTTGTCTTGCCCTGACTTGCCTTGCCTTGCCTTGCATGGAGCATCAAGCAAGCAATTTCGGCGTGATGAGAGAAACATGCAAGAAACATCTTTAAAACTCGACGAAAAGCAGGGAGATGGGCGCGGGCATGCCAAGCTTTCGTACAGGTCCAGGACCCGAATGGCCCCACGTTTCCCCTCCTTCATACTCCCCCCCGCCCCTTCCGATATCGAAATGGAGATAGTATACACAAGTAAGCTATATATATGTATTCGTGTGCGTGTGTATGTATGACGGATACGGGCGCTGGAGGGGAGTGGGTTAAAACAACGCCGCCCCTCACAAATAGACCCGGTCCTTGGTTGTTCCAGCTTGAAGCTACCCTATTACCTATTTCGGCGTTCCGCATGCTGAAAAAAAAAAAAAAAAGACCTTTTTCCGCAAGATGCAAGACATCGACACAGGAAGCCGAGCGCGAGGCCGCAATTCACTTCTCGATGAGTACGAAATACGGAGGTGGAATAATACTTCGTGTAATCTCACAGATCTAAACTGTGGAGGTCCGGCCCGATCCATCCCTGGTTGGCGATCCGCTCTCGCTCTATGTCCGTTACTTCGTAGTTCTGCGGAGTTCTTTTACACGCCACTCCTTAATTCGTCCACCTGCTTCTCGGCGTCATTTACAATACTGGCGGCCTTCATGCACGATCTTCTGAATTGGATCAAGCCCAACCTAAAGAGGCCCAGGTAGCCCTCACCTCTCTCAACACCATGACATCTACTTACCAAAGTTTCGGGTGGTTACAGTAGTGTCTAGGCTCATGCGGATGGACCTTCAAGGTTATACGACTGCGATTATTGACAGTTAAGTGATGAAACTTGTCGTCACTCACGTTTCTCGTTTACAAGGAGAACTAGCCGAACCAAACGTTTCGTAGTTCGGTATGAGGCATGAGTTCGGAGAACATGAGGATGGGAGAGGTGCATATGGATATATATATAATTCTCTAAAAGGAAACACTTATTGAGAGATCGGTGGCACTGAGGTGAAAGGATGGACAGACAACCCTCGATGGAACATTGAACACCGCGACGATTTCCCTTGTTGAAACTGCCTCAAGCCAGTCGGTGCTCAAGGTAACCCTCCGCCTAGTGTGAGATGTGAGACTGCAACTAAACCCTACCAGAATCCGGGGAGTAAGAATCCCTCAATACGACATAGTTCTTAAACACAACACTTCCTTCGCCACGCCGGGGAGGAGTTATAGGACACCAAGATCTTATAGGAAACGGCAACTTTTTGGTATGTATATGCGAGGAGAAGTATCACCCTACGGTTCAAAATGCGACGTATTTCTATCACCGAGGTTGACCGATTTGGCTTGGTTTGGTGGGCGTTACACCCTAATTTCGAGCCTCTTTTTTTCATCAATGTTTTCTCCCTTCTAATTCTTCTAATTTTTGGGATGGTGTGGGTATTGAGAGGGATGTTGATAGACTCTTCCCGACAACTGCAGAGGTGATAAAACCTCACATCAAATGCAACATCGGCGGGGTGGCATCGGTGCCGGATCCGATTTTGGGGGCGAAAACAATGTGAGAATTGCGGACTCAACCAAGTCAGCAAGGATCAATGTGCAGCCAGGCTGCAGGTGGTGGCACATTGCGTTATCTCCACCTCTGGGTCAGGCTGAAAGCGCATCATCCAGCTCTCTGCTACTTTGTAGAAGAGAGAGATGGGTCCATTCCCTTGAGCCGTCTCGTATCGAACAAGTATGTGCGTATTGACAAACAAGAAAAGTGAAGAAAAAGAAAAAAATAAAGGGAAACAAATCACGCCTTGCTCTTGGGCTCGGGCCGAGTGCGCGGCATTAAACAACAGAAGAATATCTCGGTCTTTGAGAGGCTATAT